GGGGGGTTTTGTTTTTTTTTTTTTTTTGGTTTTTGGCCGGGGGTGTGGGGGTTCATGGTGTTTTTTTTTGGCATGGTCCCCCCTTTTTTTATTTCACCCCCCCCCCCCCCCCCCCCCCCCCCTGCTGCAAGGAGGGAATACCAGCGAAGGACGGCTCGCCCGCATTATAACCAACCAACCTTCCCTCTTTTTTCTTTTTTCTTTTTTTTTTGAGGCAGAAAGAAGGGGAGGTGCCGACTTGGACGATGGAACGAATCTTGGGACTCTGGATGGTGGTGGGGGCACGCTTGCTCCGTATTCCCGCGGCATCGGCGTTCCAAGACTCGGATCGATCGCCGTACTGGGAGGCTGAAGTCTCCTATTTGACGATGCTTGGGATCCCGTTTTCGGTGGCCAACGCCGCCGAAGTGAGCATAGATCCGAGCTGGAAAGGACGGGACCCGGGTGACCAGATGTTCTCAGTTGAATGGAAACCAACGTCCCCCGGCCCCCCTTGCTGTATTTATGTTTTGTAGGAATAATTGAAACGAGCCTCGGGCGTCGTTGCCTCAACAACCCCACCCGCCCTTTTTTCTTTGCGTTGGCATTGGCATTCCATTTCGTCTCGGCTGCTGCCGAGACACGGCGCGTTCTCTGGCCTCCGCGACGCTGGGTTCTAAAGTGACTGATATCCCCTTGACCTGTGACCTTGAGGAGCACTACATAGTAGGTTGTCATCTCGGACAGTCACCAAAACTTAATGACGAATCCATGTCTCCAGCTTCAATTTACCGTAGATTTCGACCGTGTCACATGAGAGACCTGGATGGGAAGGTCGTTGATAGGAAGCCAAAGGAAGTTCTTGAAGGTTTAGCAATGTGGAGAGAAACTGTTCATCATCCTCCCCGATCCCGACTTGTTCTTTTTCATACCCATTTCATTTCTAGGGTGCGCTATACCAGGTTGGACAGAGACTCCTCGGTTCCCCAGCATCTTTACGAGAGGAGTCACAAATGGCTCAAGTTTTGCATTGGCAATCGAAAGTGAGCATCTAGTCTTTCTCGCACTCAATGGTCTAATTTCCTGACGTCCCATACGCAAGCAACGGTCCTGTGAGCAATTAAAAAGCAGCAGCGTGGAAGACACTTGGTGGTCTTGTGTGGTGTCTGGAGTCTGGACGCCTGTATATGAAGAAGGGCCGTGCCTGCCCAACCCAAATACGGTACGCGCACGGACCTCATGACATCGTTTATCTCGCATCGTACCGCGATCTCTTAAGAGCATCGATGTCAAAGCCCTCCTCCTCTCGACTGCTAATGAGGATTACGGGCCTCTTTCGCATAACTCATACTTGTGGATACATGGATCTAATGTCTGGACACCTTTCAAGATGAGAGTCACTTTCCAGGTGGCGGGCGCGGCGAGAGGCGCGAGGGTCCTGCTGCAGGCGACGGCTTCGCCTCTTCCCCGTAAGCATCTCGGCTTCGCTTGTAGCAGAGGAGCTCGAGCCATTGCTAGATATTATCATCTATCACATCGTCGCAACTCGGAGGCAAGACTAGACGTGGGCAAATGGGCTAGGACATTTAGCACAAGCCGGGATTTCTCGACGATTGAAGTCCCATCCTTTGCCTTTGCGTTCGAGTGAGTCATGCCGTGAGGGATCCCGTCATGCTTCCGGGCAACAGCCGTACTGTTTTCAGAGATCCACTGACACTCGACAGCATCGACGGTGTGCTGTTGCATGTGTCGAAGCCCATCCCGGGCGCTGCGGAGACGCTCAACTTTTTGAATGAGCACAACGTCCCTTTCATCCTCCTTACCAACGGGGGCGGGAAGCATGAGACAGAACGGGTCAAGGACCTCAGCGAAAAGCTCGGGGTCCCCCTGACGACGGACAACTTTGTCCAGTCGCACACGCCTTTCCAGGAGCTCGTCGACGGCCCTAACGGCCTGAGGGACAAGACCATCCTAGTCACGGGCGCTGACGCCGAGAAGTGCCGGAGCATAGCCGAGCGGTACGGGTTCCGGAGCGTCGTCACCCCTGCCGACATCCTGGCCGCGGAGCCCGCGATATGGCCGTTCGACCCGCTCCTAGAGACGGTCTACGCCTCCACGGCACGGCCCCTCCCGCGGCCCGTGTACCGGCCCTCGCCGTCGTCATCGCCGTCGTCATCGCCGCTGTTGTCGTCGACGCTCAAGATCGACGCCATCTTCGTCTTCAACGACCCGCGCGACTGGGCGCTCGACATCCAACTGATCACGGACCTGCTGCTGTCGCAGGGCGGCCACCTAGGCACGTACTCGCGCCGCAACGGCGACACGTCCCTGCCCAACTGCGGCTGGCAGGGCGACGGGCAGCCTGCGCTCCACTTCAGCAACGCGGACCTGCTCTGGAGCACGGGCTACCATCTCCCGCGGTTCGGGCAGGGCGCCTTCCAGGCGGCCGTGGCGGGCGTGTGGCGGCGCGTCACGGGCGGGCACGAGCTCGCGCGCCGGGCGATCGGGAAGCCGTCGGGGGAGACGTACCGCTTCGCCGAGGGGGTGCTGGCCGCGCACAGGCACGAGGTCCTGCGCGGGGCGGGGCTCCACCCACGCCCCGCCGCGCTGAGGTCCGTCTACATGGTCGGCGATAACCCCGAGAGCGACGTCGCGGGCGCCAACGCGTTCCGGAGCGAGGTCGGGACGGAGTGGAGGTCTGTGCTGGTGAGGACGGGGGTGTGGGACGCGAATAGGCGCGGGGAGGAGGCGCTTACGGGGCACTTCAAGCCGGACGTCGTGGTGGATGATGTGAAGGGGGCGGTTAGGTGGGCGTTGGAGAGGGAGGGCTGGAAGGGGAGGTTCTAGAGCTTGTGGGGGCTTTGACCCCATGGTCTTGATTGTATATTCAAAAGCATGTTTCAAGGGCATGGTCGGATGGCGTTGAAGAAGTCTAGAATCAAGAGAATTAATTGTACACATGTGTTACTGGCAAGAATAGCCAGTCCCTCTATTTCATTCCCATTATTGATGCAAACCAGCTCACCACTTGGCATGACAGAACATCCAGATTGTCTAACTTTTTATTCACAATCTATAATTTGCCAATACGTATCGGACCTAGAATCTTTCTAAAACGGTTTTCACATCCACGCTTGATGAGATCTGGAGATTGGGGCCAGAATACTTGTGGTACTTGCCAATCCAATCCTTGTCAATCGGCACCGCTTAAACATTAACCAATCATCATCTTATTTGGTGCCCCACGCTCAAGCCTCAACACAGCGAGCGACCTAGCTACTTTTACAAGGCTGGCTGAAATCTTGACGGTGAAAAAAACCCCGTCTCCATCGCTACTACTTCCAAAGAGCAGCGAAACGAAAACGAAAGCTCTGGTTTGCGAGAAAAGAAAGCCAAAGATGGCGTCGTCGCTCACATTCCCACGCGCGACATTCGCCAAGCTCTCCCCGCACCCTTTCCTCCTCGCCAACCTCAACCCCACCGCAGCCGACATCCCCCCCACGCGCACCAACGGGCGCCTCCCGCACCAGGCGCGCCCCCCGCAGGTCAACACGTCGTCCCTCTCTCACGCGCACGGCAGCGCCGTTGTGCGCGCCGGCGACACGACCGTCATCTGCGGCGTGCGGGGCGAGATCCTCCCCGTGGCCAACATCCCGCAATTCCGGGCGTCCGACAACAACAGCAGCAACAGCACCCCAGACACACTCGGCGGGGCCGGAGCAAAGAGCCGTGAGCTGAGAGACTACGACCTGCTGGTCCCCAACGTCGAGCTCGCCACGGGCTGCGCCCCGCAGTTCCTGCCCGGCGCGCCGCCCTCGGCGGCGGCGCAGACGCTGGCCACGCGCGTCTACGAGCTGCTGCACTCGTGCGGCGTGCTGGCGCCGGAGGACCTGAGGATATGGTACACGCCACCCACTGCGAAGGAGGACGGGGAGGAGGAGGAGGAGGGCGGGGACGCGCGCATGGCGGGGGGTGAGGACGACGAGGGGCGGCGGCGGCCGGAGATCGTGGCCTACTGGACGCTGTACGTCGACTTGCTGTTCGTGTCGTTCGACGGCAACGCGTTCGACGCAGCGTGGGCGGCCGTGATGGCGGCGCTGCGGGACACGAGGCTGCCGCGGGCGTGGTGGGATGCCGAGCGGGAGGCGGTCGTGTGCTCGCCGACGGAGAGGCAGGCGCTGAGGGTGGCGGGCCTGCCGATCGCGTGCAGCGCTGCCGTGTTCCTGGAGAAGGAGCATGGGCCGTCGGCTCCTGGGGAGGGGGGGAAGCACTGGGTCCTGATGGATCCGGATCGGTTGGAGGAGGGCCTCTGCCAGGAGAGGATCACCATGGTGGTGGATAGGAGCAGTGGCGAGACCAAGGTGCGGGGGATCTCGAAGGCTGGGGGGACGGTGCTGGGACCGGGGTTTATGAGGGACTTTGCTCATCAAGCCGAGCGGAGGTGGGACGAGTTCCAAAAGGCTATGAGGTGATTGGGGATGTCATGGATACTGAGCTGTTGGCGGACGGAAACGGATATGGGGACTGCAATGGAACAGCATGGATCTCGATCAACTTGATACCCGGTAGGCAGGCAGTCATGGCCTTTCTAAACCACACAGAATAATGTCCAACAGACATGGAATTCATACTGTCAATATTCAAGTGGCTAGTATGTGGTTAATCTGCACTCTTCTCTGAGAACCCACCCACGGATTGCCCCCTATCTGATCCAAGAACCGGCAACCCCTGAGATGATCACCGCGCGTTGGTGACCCAAAGCTCAACCAAACAAAGGAAAGGAGAAGGAAATATAGCTATCATTGCCTTTCTTTTTGCTGGACGACGGGCTCCAGCTAGTGCTCTCGAGGCAGAGATGGACTGATGCATTCACCCCTGGGCGTTGGGAGGTGACGGCATCCACCGTAGCCCCACTACAGGGTCATACATACCCCGCCGGTTCAACGCGGCCCAGCGGGACAATGCATGTCATGGGCTCATGACCACGTCGACAAACTTTCTGATTTGAAGTTATACAGTGACAGCAAATCCCACGTTGCGACCCTAAGATTCGCCAATTATATCCGGGGAAGATCTCTCCTTGGCAGGCCCCCGATCTAAGATTCGATAAACTCTTGCCATTGGCCCACCGTTCTCCAATCATGGACAGCATACCCCTCGACCACGGCTCGCTGGAGCACCTCCTCCCGCCGAGCTGGAAGACGCAGGTGACGGCGTGGCTGGCGGAGGACACGCCGTCGTTCGACTACGGCGGGTTCGTGGTGGGCGACGCGCCGCGGCAGGCGATCCTGTGGGGCAAGAGCGCGGGGATCCTGGCGGGGGTCCCCTTCGTCAACGAGGTGTTTGCGCAGTGCGGGTGCGCCGTCGAGTGGCACGCCGACGAGGGGTCGCACGTCGGCGGGCCGCGCAACGTGGGCGCCCACGGCGGGAAGACGCGCCTGGCGACGGTGACGGGCCCCGCCAGGGGGCTGCTGCTCGGCGAGAGGGTGGCGCTCAACCTGCTGGCGCGGTGCTCGGGCATCGCGAGCGTCAGCCGCCGGCTCGTCGTCAACCTGCGCAGCGCAGGGTACAGGGGCGTCGTGGCGGGCACCCGCAAGACTACCCCCGGGTTCCGCCTCGTCGAGAAGTACGGCATGCTCGTCGGCGGGGCCGACGCCCACCGCTTCGACCTGAGCTCCATGATCATGCTCAAGGACAACCACATCTGGAGCCGCGGGAGCATCACCGACGCGGTGCGCGCGGCCAAGAGCGCCGGCGGCTTCAGCCTCAAGGTCGAAGTCGAGGTGCAGAGCGAGGAGGAGGCCGACGAGGCCATCGCCGCCGGCGCCGATGTCGTCATGCTGGACAACTTCACGGGCGAGGGCGTCAAGGTGGCGGCTAGGAGCCTCAAGGAGAAGTGGGCGGGCAAGAAGCAGTTCTTGCTCGAGGTGTCCGGCGGCCTTACGATGGACAACGTGGAGCAATACGTCTGCAATGGTAAGCTGTGCCTGGTCGCTGACTGCTTCTTTTCCTATCTCTTTTCCTTGCTCGTTTTCCGGCTTATTTTTCTCGCCGTTTCCTTCTTGGCTAACCCTTTCAAGACGTCGACATTCTGTCCACGAGCAGTATCCACCAGGGCGTCCCTCACGTAGATTTCTCACTGAAGATCGATGTTGGCAACATTGAGGGGGAAGGCCCGACGGTTTCGAGTTAGAGTAGCCGAGTGAATGGAGTCAGGACTTTGAACAACAAAATACCACCGTAAAGGACGCGTGACGGCGCTGAACTGTAGCAATAGGGCGTGGATATCCAATGTGTCTCTATGGTTGTCAGGGAGAATGAATATGCACAGAAGTTGCTCAACGAGATGCCGAGTATTAACTTGCCCTTTTTTTTCGTGGAGGAACGACGGCTGCCTAACTTGACTGCGGGTATGTTTTGCCACCCCAAACAAGGGTGACTGACCCCCTCTGCTCCAGCACTCAGTGACGCAGGAGGGGGGCTGGGGGCACAACACAATACAATCTGCCAACGTGACTGCAAGAAGAAACAGACTTGGGAGGTACCGCAGTGGCTGAGAGGGGCTTTTCCAACGAGCAAAGAGGCCCGACTTTGTCCTGATAGGAGTTTATTGGCCCTCCATGCCCCCGAGTATCACATCCAGCCCCATACCCTCCCGACATGTGGCCAACAGTGCCGGACCAGCAACCGGGCACGTCTTAACCGCTACCTGGTGCTGACTGGGCCATCCCGGCTACGTCTTGGTTACGTGCTGGATAAACACCGGTTTCAGGAGAGGGAAGGTGCCAAGGGCGTGCAGAATGCCCACCTCAGCCCCCTTCCTTCCCCGAAGACCATGGAATCGCAGAGTAAAATTTTATTTATTTATGTATTTTGGTCACTGAGATTACGCGTGCTCTTGATCCGCGTCGACTCGGTCCCCGTCGCTGATGCAGTCTTATCACGTTGTGCAACCGGGATTGGCTTCCGAGAGACACACATGCATGTCTGTGATGCAGCATGTCCGGGTGCTAGTCCCAGAAAGATCCTATAACCAGCTACGCTGGTTATAGGACCCAAGGTCCCGATGGCTCAGGCCCCCCAATCAGCCATCTTGCAAGTTACTCGAAATGATATGCGGGTCCATGTGATGATCTTTTTTGCTGGCGCATGCAAGTTTTTGCCGGGAGCCTCAAAGGTGGAACCCCCTTGCTCTCTCTTGTTGGGCATCACCGGCTTCTCTCCCACTTAGCTCGCGGAGGCCACCTACCTCTCCGTCTCGCATCTTGGATCCGGGTTTGTGCCATGATTCAGATTCCCTAACTTGCAGGACTCGGTTGTGCCAGGGGCTCCTCTCCAGCTCGCACTCTTGTGAACTACCACTCAGCTGAATCAGCAATGTACGAGCGGCTATTCAGAGACCGCAGTCGCGATGTCTCTTGCTGTGACTGTGACTGTATCTCCAGGGATAGATGAAAACTGCTCTCGAGCGAGGTCAGTTATACCGTCGAAGCCACACAGAATTGTCGGTAGGCACTGATCTAATAACGTAATATGCCTCATCTTGAGCTCGTTGCCACAACAACAATAGATCCTGTGTCTTATAAGATCGACTTATAGGATACCTAGAGCTAGTCCGTCAATGAGTCGACCTAGTTCCGACTATACAGGCCGTCGCCAGAGCCTGGGCGAGTCGTTGCCATCATTCCCCCCAACGGGCGCAGTTAATCAGTTAATCAAGCCATAACGAGGCAACCTTGGCTGGGAAAGGCGTCCAGAAACTGCGCCGCAGCGATATACCTTGCGTGTTTTCCAACCAGGTATTATGACGGCAGATCAAGGTTAGGTTGTTTTTCCGTTAGCCTGGCGAACCACCCCTTATCCCTGTGCGGCCCATTTTGCCTCACCCACGAAGGGCAACCATCGGGAGAGCCCCGGCGCGTCTGACCAGGATGAACGCGTGCGGATTATAATTGGCGGCTTCGAAGGCCAGACTTTGCAGGCTATCCTCCTCCTCCCCACTCGGCACGATCTTTCTGGTCGAGTGGAACGGAACCGATTCGCAGAAGAAGCGAAGCTTGAAGGCGGTGATGTGACGATCCATCCAAGCTTTACTTCGCCTGCCTTATCTTTATGTATGGATGGAAATGTCTCCGTAACCCGTCCTTCAACGCCCCGTGCACAGGTCATGATTCGATTCACCATCGGGACATCGGAAACCCACAGGAAGTTACAGTCACGATCACCGCCCTATTTGGGCATCGCGCCAGCTGTGCCCAAGGCCTTTTTGGTGTCGTATGCCATGTCCCTGGCTCAGATGGGCCAGCAAAGCCAACACACTATGAAGTATATATCTTGTGTCTGCTCCAGGGGACCGCCGAGGGACATTTGTTTTTTCTCTCTCTTTAGAGCCAGAAGTCCTTCGTCGTCGTCCCTTCTTCATTCGACCTTCCTTGAGTTGCTTGAGCAAACCCCTCTGTCACAATGTCCCATTTACCGAGGTACTCTCCAGAGTACGGAGATGATCCATGCCCCTCCGACATGGAAACCAACCCTGGTTCAGGAGGTGACGGCGACGGCAATGTATACTGGCAAAATTATACCCACGAGCCAGACCAACAAGATTATTATGACAACCAGACAGACAATTATGTTCCGACGGGAGATCCCAACGACCCCGCCGGTAGCAACGACTTCCCTGAAGTCAGGTAAGCCTGCCCTGCGCTGCCTTGCCCTCGCCCGGCGGGACATCCAAGAGACACAACCACCCGCTGACCTTACCCCTCCCCTCTAGCACCGGCGACGAGCATGGTTATCACTTCCAGCCGACGCAAGCAGCCCAAGACGCCCACCACCACCAGAGCACTGACTCATTCGTCGACGAGCATGGTCATCACTTCCAGCCGACGCAAGCAGGCCAAGACGCCGACCGCCGCCAGAGCACCGAGTCGTTCGTCGACGAACGCCGGGGCAGCTTCGACCGGCGCGAAGAGTACCGCACCGCCCCGCACAGGGCGTCGTTACGTCGGCGCGCCGAGGTCAGCGACCGCACCCGCGAGCCCTACAGGAAGTGTAGGCCCCGGGACGAGCAGTTGAGGAGTAAAGGGTCGAGCGGCAATGGGTCGAGCAGTAAGGAGTCGAGCAGCAAGGGGTCGAGTAGCAATAGCTCAAGCAGTAAGGGGTCGAGCGATAGGGATTCGAGTAGCAAAAGGTCGAGCGGCAAGGGTTCGAGTAGAAAGGACCGCTAATTGCTAAATTCCAACATGGCGGGCGTCTGGGCGTCTAGATCGGTGTTTGGGATCCGGCAACGCTCGTCTTGGTCTCACGAAGAGGGTGTTTTGGGGGAAGGGCGGGATGGGTCGACGGTATATTTGTAGCACTCAGTTTAGGTATTATATGGCAATAGGATTTCTCGTTCGAAGGACACCGCGCACGGCTTGGGTATTTATTGTAAGCGAGCACTTGCGACCATGGGAGTGAGCGAGCGCGCTGGCGCCACGGGGTAGACCGGCCGGATAGGCGGCTATGGTGTGTAACGGGTATCCAGGGTTGCAGTTCCATCTGGGGTATCTGTATTCGGTACGCGAGATGTGTGTTGGTCTCTTTTATAACCATAAATGAGACTTTAAACCAAGGACTTCCATGCTTTGCGACACGCGCCGCCCGACTTGATATTGTTTTCCTCATGGGCAAGGTGCCCACATGATCGACCGATGGGGAAGCAACAGCTTGCGTGCTTTCCAGGAACCCGCGCGTACAAGATCTTTTGGTGATCCCCCGCATGCACCTGGACGGAAGCGAAAGAGTCTCATGCAGCGCGCGCAAGGTATAACTGCCAACAGCAAATAGTCGGATGCAGGTTTCAAGCCATTTCTTATTCAAGTGCCATCCACATCCAAAGGAGGAGAAGATTGCATCCTTGTGACACCCGACCTCACTAAAACCTCGTTTTCATTCCCTTGGCGAATGTCACCTCGAGGGGACGAAATGTAGCCACGGGCTCGCTTTCTCCTCGGAAATGAACCTTGCATCCTTTATTTGGTAAGTGGAATACTGAAACAACTCCAATCTCGATAGATCGACAAGTTTGTCATAATTATTTTTGGAACCGGCCATGTACGTCAACGGAGAGGATCGCCAGAACTGGGATTTCGTGCCACACCCCCGCCAAGGCTCCCCATGCCCGAGCACACATGGCGTAGCCTTCTTCCCAAGGGAGGCGGGAAGTGAGGTATCCCATGCCCATAGAATGCGACGCGGGACATGGGGCAGATCACGTTGCGGCGCCGGGACACTGGAGTTCTGAACCATGTCTGGTGGGCGCATGGCGAGACATACGTGCGTGCCAGGGCTTAGGGACGTGGGGGATACAGTCTGAGCAAGCCTTGTAGCTGTTATGGTATGGGGCCCGGATTCCGGGCAGGTGTGCTAGCGGCAGCCATATTTACCCTGAGGGCCCCGCTCTCTTGCTTAATCGAAATCTTGCGTTCGATCTCTCCATGCATCGCTCTTTCATCTCCTACATTTTGCATCGGCCAATTATGGTCCTGTTCGACCTCTGCCACGTTGAGAAGGACGGCTTCGCCCTGCTGCACCGTTTTCATGGCGTCCTGGGGCAAAAAGCTAACCAACCAGCTGCTCACCCGTGGTAGCCAGTCTGCCCGATTTGGCCTCGAAAACCTGACGCCTGCGACAAGCTCAACGGTGGGCCACATGGTATTGATAATCATCGAAGGGCCACCGCCATCTGTGTGGTCCTGGTCCTCACCGCCCGGGACCTTGGCTCGTTCCCGCCATAAGGCAACGTGTGCTTGATACCCAAGAGTCCACGGCCAGGGGCTTTTCATAATACCTCACCGCTGCTATGGCCGGCCCAGGCAACTCGGGTGGGCGATGGGGGGCCAGCAAAGCAATGCCATCAGAATCACAGACGACCGATGACGAGGCTTCCAATAAGGACCGCTGTTTCGACAACCCCCTGCAGTGAGTGTCGACTATACTGGCGTCGGCTGATAATTTGCGGATCTGCATCCGCCCAAGAGAGCGTCCAAGATATCAGCCCAACTCTCTATTCGCTGCGCAACTCCGTCAAGGCATACGAACAAGGCGACCAGAAGGGTTTGCTCCACCTGTCGGTGAGTCAGTTCCATCGTCCGACTTGGTCCGTTCTCAGGGGCTGATGATTTGAAAAGGCATCCATCTCCCTCCTTCCCACAAGAAACACACGATCCTTGGCCCCAATACTGTTGACTTTCTTTATCATCCGCATCAAGTCCAGAGATCCACCAACCCCTCTGTGGCGAAGGCAGCACCAGCCTGAGTGATTTGACCGCCGCATCTCCTCCAATCATTCGTGCCATCCTCACCCCGTAGTTTTTGTTGACAGGGAAGGAACAAAATCATCAACATGAACCCCTCGGATCGACGAGGTCGGGGCCATCCCCGTGACGGCCGGCAAAATTATGCCAAGCCTCCAACTACCCGGATGCGACGCGGGGAAAAGGAACCCTCACAGCCTCTGCGGGCTTCCGGCGATGGCAGCGTTTCATTCGACTGCTACCCGACAGAGTTAATGAACCAACAGATCGCCGGGACAACGACGGCCCACGAGGGTGGAGACATAGTTCCATCTGCCGATAACCCCGCCGTGACCCAGGGGCTCGGCGGCAATCTGGGCGGCCAGGGTGAGATGGGCTCCTTCGAGTACTTTGACCAGCCTCAGATGCCGTCAACCCCCGTGGGTGCCCCTGAACACCCTGAAGCATACAGTGATGCTTCGGTGGGCGTGCCCATCCAAGGCTGCCTGACCCATGAGAACCTAGCCCAGATGGGGTACGTTGGCGATGGAGGTGAGGTGGATGGCGGGATGTCGTCGAGTTTGCCGTCCTCGACAACCACGATGCATGTCGGATATGGGTCAGACCCAAGGTAGGGATGGACCACACCCCTATTCGCCGGCAGAGCCGCTATTAACTGGCTCGTTTAGGTGGTCCGAGGAAATTTTGCTGCAACCCGTGAGATCGGCGGAGTCGAAACGTGCAGCCCGGAGGTCGAGAAAAACCTCCACCATCGCGTTTGCCCGCAAGGCCCACCAAGAACATCGCCCCAAGTTTTCGGAAGTCGACGCAGGTGGTTCGAAGCGGGTGGACGACTTGTTGCTGAGGGACTCGGGTCGGACCAACCACTGTGGCCGGGCGATGGGCTGGCACGACGACCCCATTGGTCCGACCCACTACCCATCTGAGCTCCTCGAGTCCCCAGAAGACCTGATATATGAAGAAGCTTGGGGGCCAGATGGGGAGGGGTGGGACCAACATCCTCAATATATCCCATGAGCTCTGGGGTGTAACACATGGCTCAGCTGGGTTCAATAGTGGTTGGGTCCTAGATTTTTGGGTCGAGGGAGCTGGTGCCTGATAGAGCGCCGGTACGACCTAGATTGTGCTGTTTTTCCTTGCTGCGCAGGATTTCGGTTCTTCTGCCCTGGTTCGCTTGGGTTTTCTGCTTTTGTTTCCATGAGTGTTTCGCGTTGTCTTCGGTATTGGTGAATCACTTGTGCTGCCTTCCACCTTGAGTTCCTCTTTGCTAGAGCTAGGGGCAAAGCACCCTCTGAGCTGTGAGGAACCTGTCCTCCGCAATAGTGGCAATCGTGGGTGAGAGAAGAGAGAGATATTGCTATGAGGAGAGGGCTGTGACTTGGGCATCCTGCTCAAGGATGGGTTGGTTTGGGGCTTCTTATGATTTCTTACCATCTAAAATCCCCAATATCAGGTGCCATGGCTTCTAGCTAGGGCTCGTTGATTTCGATCCTTGTTTCACAGGTTACGATGGGATCGTCAGGCGTGTGTTACGTCCAGAATGGCCGGACAGTTAGGATCCCCGCCATATCCGTCGACGAGGGAGCATGAAGCCTGAATATGCAGAACTTCCTGTGTCCAATCATGCGTGTGATATGCAGGTGATTGGCCGGGTTTGGGGCGATAGCAATGCATGCCATCTATCTAGGTATTCTCGTACAGAAACTGCAGAACCGGCACCGCTCGGCTTGGGCCCCCTTCGGGCCTCACCCTTTCACCTTATACACGGTGATCATCTCGACGAAGTGGTCCGCCGAGGTCATTCCGAGGGTAACCTATGTACCCCTGGGGAGCCCGGGTTAGGGGTCAATGGCGGGGAAATCTTTGGCTCTATGGCTGCAAATAGGGCTTGGGCTTGGACTGGAGTCGAACAGTGAGTATCTGATATTCAGGTTCCGAGGCGTGATCGCACATATCGTTTCATGTCGTTAATTTAGCCTTCGCCAGGGGCGGATTTGGCACCGAATGTGTTGACTAGGGCTGATTGGGTTGTTGACCGGGTGGGGTTCCTGGCACCTGGCGATCAGAATGCGCTAATTTAATGGGGTAACTAGGCCTGTTGGTGCGCGGGTATTCCCACTTATTAGTACCGACTTACGTCACGGAGGTGTTTAACTGGAGGTAGCTTTGAATGCTGATCGTCACAAATACGCCGCCTTGCAGATGCAGGTGCACGCAGTGGCTAGCTAGAATAGGCAAAAAGAAGTCCATGAATGATTCTCAAACTTTCCTTTTTCTGGATTTTCAGCGAAGGTCGAGAAGGGCCAGAAGGGCCGAGGCCTCTCCGCTCGAATTAGGGGAAGTCGTGATCTGCCGTCGGATTTGAGAGGAGGGGTCTCCAGCATCATCCCATCGACTCCCCTCATTTTTTGCCATTTTCCGCCCGACTGGCCACCAACATATCCTCTTTGCCCTCCTAGAGAGAGTAGTTCAGGACTGGAAGCCTCATCTCGTGGGATAGTAGCATGGACGCGCGCGGCGATGAAGAGATAGAGTCGTCTGTCCACACTTCGCCTCTTTTTGCTAATCCGTTTGGCATCCCTGGCGCCAGCTATGGACAGTACAGCAACGAATACTACTCCGCCGCCATCTCTCCTACCTCTACTACTGGTCTCCTTGGCCCCGCGGCCGCAGCATCTACTCCGTTCTACGACAACACCGAGACACAAAGCAGCAGGGAATGGGACACCCCCTGGGCTCCGGAGCTCGAGGGAGCCGCACCCCATCAGCAAGCCTCGTCATCATATTCCATCTCAAATACCTATCATATTCCCTCTGGCTATGTCCCGGCCAACTATAAAGGTCTGCACGATCTGCCCGTCGGTTCCGTAGGTTCTGCCCGGAACCACTCGGCTGTATCTCCTATCGATAGAGAGGTGCCTTGGGATCCAATTCCAGGCAAGGGAGGCTCCGTTTCCTCGGCCACAACAGACCACGACCCCTCCGAAAGTGTGGCAGCACCGAGGAGTAACCTAGAAAACTCGGCGATTGAAGAACAAGACTGCTCTGGACGCAGGCCACAACCTGCTTCGAGCAGTCCCACAAGGACTCGGCGCCGGAAGGAGCCGAAGAGGAAAGGGGAACCCAAGAGCCAGCAGAGCCGGGCGGCCAAGAGAGAGCAGCTTCTCGAGTCCAACCGTCAGGCTTCAAAAAAATGTCGCCGAAACCATAAGACCCAGGAAGAGGTGCTCGAGGCTCGGGGAACTGCACTCACGAATGCCAACAGAAAACTCGTCAACGAGGCTTCAGGACTGAAGCAACAACTGCTTGCTCTGAAGTTCGAAATGCTCGCCCACGGAGAATTTTGTGACCATTATATGGTCAAGGAGTATATCGCCAACGCTGCACTTGAAGTGTGAGTCAGATCCATCCAATCCCGATTATGTCCACGAGCGAAAGGGCTCGTCGAGACAATACGCAATGGTAGTGTTTGCAACGAGGTGGCTGACAGACTCCACCATAGGGTTGAGCAATCGAGACAGCAACTAGAGTTGCTCAGTCCGTCGACTCCAAGTCTATCTCCTCCAAGTCTATCGACCCCGAGTCTATCTCCTCCAAGTCTATCGACTCCAAGTCCGTGGACTCCAAACCCGTCGGACACGAGTTACGACTGTCAATAAGTTTGCCATCGCTTCTGACCGCTGGGCACAAGACCACGCTGAACGTAAGTGAACCGCGACTCGTAAACTTGGGCGTTGAAAAGGCCCGAGTAGTCCTCGAGTGTCTCCGCTAACCAGAAGAAAAACAGACACAGCCAGCGGGGTGGCGTGGGAGAAGATCAACATGCCGAAAGAGGCGTCAAGGCGCGTGGCTCATTTCTCTTCCTGAGCAATCCTCTTTCGGCCTTCAACATTGCTGAAGAGCTAGCTGCAAGTCGATATGTCTTTCTGGAAAGCATATCCTTGCAACCCCTGTGATTTATTGGGCATATGGTTGGTTAGGTAGGATGGTAATACCCAGGTCGACGCTAACCTTGGACTGGTAAGATGCTGCGAAACGAGGCATCCAGGCGCAGCGTAATTAAAGTTGGGGCCTGCCAGAGAGAGAGAGAATTAATTGTAAGACCGGTGTGTAAGGGGAATTCTGGATTTATCGGTTGTTCGGCGTCCCCAAAAGAAAAGAAAAAGAAGAAGCAAAGAGCATTTGAGTCGCCGCCGTTGCTTCGAGTCATGCAAACGTAGTTACTTACGCATTACGATTCAAATGGAATGCTTGGCACAACTGGGGTTCAACTTTGAGATCCCCTCACACGGGCCCAAATTTTGCCGTATTACACGTGTCCCCCCGGGTCCAATCGCCAAAATCAGCCCTGTTCGGGGTCCCTCACAGCTCCTCCGGCTCATCTTGGAGACCCTACAACGTATGCGCCCCACATGGTTCTTCGCCAATCCCCTCTCTTGACGGACATTTACGACGAATACGGTGCCTAAATGCTTAGCCCACGCCCCATTTTGACGTCAAAGTATCTCTGGTTTTCGCTCCTTACCCAAATGAGGATCTATGCTGCGAAACAGGCACGACAGGGTATCTGGAGTGCCTCGAAGCCGCTGGTTAAGAAGATTAAATAGCTGAACTTCCTGCTGTCCGCCGCTGCTTGTAGAGAACGACATGCCCAGTCCAAGAGCCATCGCACCCTCGTGTTCCTGCCGACCCCTGCCAAAGTTGTCACCATGTTGCGTGCCATGGGCCCCTTCTCTGCCGTGACCATCCTCTCCCTCTGTTCTGTCCTCTCCCTCTCCCCAATTGCCATCGTCTCGGCCCATGATCATCGTTCGTCCCCAGCCTGCAAGGCCGTCCCAGGCACTCCCGACTGGCCATCTGACTCGACCTGGGCCCGTCTCAATGAGTCAACTGGGGGACGACTGCTGCGACCGTCTCCTCCAGGAGCTGTCTGCCACCCCGACCAGCCAACATACGACGCCGCAGAATGCTCTCGCATCCACTCGGCCTGGTCTACCTACGAGTTTCACCAGAATGACCCGGTCTCCAGCCAGTGGAACCAGTACAACAATGACACCTGTCTTCCTGAACCAAGTTATCCGTGCAGCGGTCAAGGATATCCTGTCTTCGTCATAAATGCTACCTCTGCCGAGCATGTGAAGCTAGGGGTCGACTTCGGTGAGTCTTAGACTCTTGGTCCCGAGTCCTTGCCGAGGGGCAGAGAGAGAGAGGGAGAGAGAAGAGAGAGAAAGATGGCTAAACGATAACCCACGTAGCGAGGAAGCACAACGTTAGACTGGTAGTGAAGAGCAGCGGCCATGACTTTATCGGCCGATCCGTGGCGCCCAACTCGCTGTCCATCTGGGTCCACCATCTGAAAGGCATGAAGGCGCACACTTCATTCCGGCCAAAGTGCTGCAATGCCAAGATCGATGGCCCATCCGTCACCGTCGGGGGCGGTGAGCAGATGTTTGATATCTACAAGTACCTAGACACCCTCAACCAGACAGCCGTAGGAGGCGGAGGCAAGACCGTCAGCGTGGGCGGCTATGTCACGGGCGGTGGTCACTCTCTCCTGAGCGCCCGCTACGGCCTTGCGACGGACCAGGTGCTCGAGATGGAGGTGGTGACTCCCCAGGGCGAGATCGTCATCGCCAACGAGTGCAAGAACAAGGATCTGTTCTGGGCGATGCGCGGGGTAAGTCCTCCCCGCCATAACATCCAGGTCGATACAATACCGGGCAAGGTCGACGACTGACGCGTGAACGAAATCAGGGCGGGGGCTCCACCTTCGGCATCATGACCTCGGTGACTTTCAAGACGCACCCCACGCCGCCACTGACTGCCATCCAGCTGGTGGTCGCGAGCTACAACACCAGCAGCCCGTCGGTCTTCCCGGCCCTCGCCTACATCATCAGCCACTACCCGTCTCTCGGCGACCAGGGGCTCTCGGGGTACAGCTACCTCTTCTCGTCGTACCCGAACCCCTTCGACGGCGGCAACACGAACGTGTCGGGCTTGCTAGTCTCCTTCGTCCTGCAGGACACGCAGGACCCAGCCGCCATCACCTCCCTCTTCGACCCAATCACCGCCCACGTCACCGCCACCTGGCCAGACATGGTGACCCTCGTCACCAGCGTGACCACCTTCCCGTCCTTCCTGGGCTGGTACTTGGAGAACTTCGACTCCTCCGAGTCGGGCCAGGACCTGTACGTCGGCTCTCGCCTCCTCGACGCCGACGCCCTGACGGGCGACCTGTCCGCCAGCGCCGACGCCTTCAGGCAGTTCGCCTCGGGCGGCACCGCAACCGCGTTCCTCGTCTCCGGCAAGGGCGTGCACGACGCCCGGCCCCGCGGCGGCGGCGACGCCGTCCTGCCGGCTTGGAGGAAGGCGTACGTCCATGCGAGTAAGTGTGAAGTTCCGAGGACCCTTTTTTTTCGTGACACCACCCACACAAAATGTTCCTCCCCCCCTCGCTGACAATACCCCAGCCGTCGGCGTCGAATTCGAACCCCTGAACGCAACAGCCAAGCAAGAAGCACAAGCCGCGATGAACCGCCTCCTCGACCCGCTGAGGCAACTAGCCCCCGACTCGGGCGCCTACGTGAACGAGGTATGTCTGCAGCTCCGTCCCCCCCCAAACACCAACCTCCTTCGGCCGTCCAATCTGACTCCCTTCCCAAAAAGGCCGCCCCCTTCGAGCCCGACTGGCAGCACCAGTTCTGGGGCGCCCACTACGACCGCCTCTCCGCCATCAAGCGGTCCGTTGACCCGGACGACGTGCTGTGGTGCAACCCGTGCGTCGGCAACGAGGGCTGGGAGGAGGTCGGCGATCGGCTCTGCCGTGTGTAGGGGTGTGTGTATATGTCTACGCCCCTTTTTGTTGTTTTGATTACATTATTCTTCTCGCTCCTTTTATGGGGTCATCGGCTACTCCCTGTGATGAAAAGGGAAAGCTTGGAGTTGGACTGTTTGATGATAGACTGGTGTTTTAGATAGTATTGGCCCTGGTGGGATTTAATTGAACTTGGGCCAAAGGTGGGCTGAAGTAGGTTGAAGAACATCAGCTATCCACCGTGGGATGAAAGTTCACTGATGGTATGTACTTGCGAAGTACATATTTTAGACTTTTATACGGATGAAGCCGGTGATGATTTGAACGGGGGTGTTGATGCCCGAGCCCAGGAGGTGGGATCTTGCACTTATGTCCCATGATGCCTGTCCTGCTGGCTCTGCTCACCTTCCCAGATGTGTGAAATACCCGTGTGCCATGGATACAGCAAGTGATTGTGTCTCAAAAGTCTCCGTGACTCCAAGTTTCTACCCGATCTATGCCGCGTGAGCCATGGTACCCAATCTATAACCCCCATTCTATACAACACCAGCCCCTTTTCCCTGATGTTCTTCCCCGTCGTCCCCATTGGCGGGAAGACTAACTCTCCACGATACGATTCGCCCTCGAAAAGAATGACACCATCTCCCAGCTCCTCCGAACCCCAGTAAATATACCTCCACTAACTCCCCCTTGATACACGCAAGAACACCTTAAACAAACGCATCACTCTCATCACTACCCACCACCCTCCGCCTCCGACTGCTCAAAAAAAGATCCACCATCCTCTTACTCCCCATGGCCCGCACATCCTCCCCAGACCCAAACAACCCAGCTCCACCACCACCCATATCCCCACACACCGCCTCATTCTCCTTGTTTTCGCCGCTCCCGCGTCGTCTCTCGCCCAGCTGCGCGAGGCTGCCAAACTGCCTCTCGACCGCGGCGGTGAGCCCCGGGCTGGACGCGATCGACGGCGCGAGGGGAGAGCGCCAGGAAGAGGCGGCGGGCCCGCAAAACGTCGTCTGCCCGCGGCGTCGCCGCAGTCTCGCCGTCGGAGACGGGGTCGCGAGCGGAGAACCGGTGCTGCTGTATACAGTGGGGGCCCCGTTCCGGGGGCGGATGCGGATGAGCGTCTGGGCTTGGTTCGCCCTTCTGCTCTCTGGCGATCCGAGGTCCGGCTCTCGGCCGACTTTCGGGGTCCCTGTGGACTTGGTGTGTCCGGGGAGGGGTGCGGGCGAACCCTTTGGCGTGTGATTGACAGAGACGGGAGTAGTTTGAGGTGCTCCTGGATTCGGTGCCTTGTATTGCTCCCAGGTGTAATTCGGATCATCCTTCTCCGCCGTGCTCCCTGCTTCCGGAAGAGGGATTGTCTTGACCGACCGTTGGTACGTGGACACCTTCACTACGTTGGGCTCAACGACGGCGAGAGGAGATATCGGAAGTGTGAACCGTCGAGTAGCAGGAACCGACAGTTCTTCATCCTCAACGTCCTCGTCGCCTTCGATCTGGGCGCTCTCGCGGACATGGCCGCGCCCGAAAGAAGTCTGCATGGTTGGTGACGCGAACTCGACCTCCGAAAGCCTTGACGGGGATGAGGATGGTTCGAGTTTTGCCACATTCGCGGAAAGCCAAGTTTTCCAGTCCACCGAGCTCACCGAAGATACGACTCGGTACTCAGTTGGCCGATACGTTACTGGTGGATCTGGCGATATGCTGGCATCTCCCATTATGCTGGGCGGTTCGCGAAGCTCGCTAGGCAGGGTCATCCAGACTTGGCTCGTGTTCGCCCCATCCTCACCTGTCACGCAGGAGTACATACTTTCTGAATAAGCGGCCTCATCTGGGGCCTTCGGGACTGTCCGGTGGATCTGCGTGCTGGTGTCTGATGAATCAGATCCCACCACATGAGGTCCGTGGCTTGTGGCCTCCACCATCTGCTCCATTGACTTCTGCAAAGCTCGACGGTACGGACTAGCAGTGCGAAAAAGGTGGGAATCGGGACTGCCAAAGAAGGCAGACCTCCTGTCAGATATGGTTCTCCCAGAGGGTTGTGGGCCATCAGGGCAAGGAGCGAGTTTGGCTGGAGGGATCGGGTATTTCCCATCTCCTGAAGCTTCCGGATATGCCATGTAAGAACCGCGCTTCGGTGCTTCAGTTGACCCGTCGGGTATCTCAGCATGGTTTGGATTAGCGAGCGGAAGCTGCTTAGTATCATGCAGTCTCTTTATCAGAGCCGAGTAGATACGCTGGCTGTCGACCGTAGGTCCCGGGGGAATAGGCTGCCCAGTGAAGCTTTCCTGAGATTGCAGCTGATGGTTTCCGAACCCCGGTCGTCGGTTCGACGGCGGCAGAGGCTGAGAATCGCTCTCTTTGATGATCGACAGCTGGTGTTCCTCCCCCTCACACGACTCTCGTCGTTGTTGGCTCGTGAGAGTGCTTGCGCTAGAACCTGTCCAGCTGGTCACTCTTGACTTGTCATCAGACGGTATGCGCTGCCGCTCGCTAGTGAGATCCTCCATACTTCCATTCCTGGAGTTAAAGTGAGCACTCGGATGCAGATGATGAAAAGAAGGGACTGCGGATGCCACGTTGTGGATGGAACCGCCCACATGTCGAGGCCATGTACCTTCCTGGGAGGCGGATGAATTGCGTGATCTAGTCGGCTCAGAGGCATGCGTTTTACGAGATTGGATATGTTGCTCGGGAAAGCCAGTTTCCTCCTCAGTCTTGGACAAAGTGAAGAACTTCCTCAGTCTCGTCTTCAGGGTCCTGGATGCATTTCTCGCCCTTGTCTTTAGTCCGTCCTCGCTGGACACCTTGATGCTTGGCATCCTTGTCGGCGGCGGCATGCCACTGTTTGAGCTGCTGCTACGTAGGGATCTTCTCATACCAAACTCGGCTCGTCCAGGATTGGGGCCGCGGGATATTAACGACTTGGAGTCTAGTGATTGAAATTGGGCGTGATCCTGTTGGCCATCCTCCAGAGAGTGGGAAGTATCCCGGTTGACCTTGCGACTGATCAGAGAGGCTTCACCTCTCCGGTGAGGATTGAGAAAGCTCATCGATTTTGGTGTTCGCAGAGCTGGCGGCTGTCCAGGGCGGACATTTTCCTTGTTGTCTTCGGCGGCATGAAGCCTAGAGGACGCTGGACCCCAAATGCCTCTGCTATCTCGTGTTGAATTTCGACCTGGTAACATGGACTTGGATCTGCGAATACGCCGATATGACGAAGGCGCGGATGCAATATCGTCCTCCGGGGTGTAATTTTCGTCTCCCGCGAGCAGTGCGTGTAGATAAACTTCTGAAACTGTCGAATACGGGAGTGCTGGTGCCTCCCTCGATGGTTCAGGGGGATAGGTGTCTTGGCTTATCGTTCCCTCGAGGTAATCTCGCATTTTGAGATTGCTTCTATCAGAGGATTCAAGATGTGCCTGCCTCATGTTGTTCGGCATTGTACAAGTCCGCATGCCCTTATTTGGTGTCCTCTCCTCATTAGAACACGGTCCAACAAACCTCACGCTCTGTTGCCGCCGGGTGCGTTGGTATACACCATTCCCGTTGTCCGCAGTCGCAGCATCACCCTGATGGCCCTCCTCCCGTTCGATCTGATGGCGTCGAGGAGGCGACACAGGGGGCGGAGGGAACAACGAGGTGTCTGTATTAGAGCGGTTCTTGGCTCGAGCTCGACTGAAAGCACTCTGGGCCGCACTCTGGGCGTCTCGCTGAGCTATGGCGGCGTCTAGGCGCTCGAGGTGGACGCTGTGTACTGAGGTGGTCGACTTGCGCCGGCGAAGGTCCGATTTGGACCTGGTGCTCTGTCGTCGGAGCATTTGCATAGCTGTTAGGCACGAGGTCCAGTGGCCGATGTGAGTCCAAGTCTAGACGATGGCCTAATCCTACCAAGGTAGAATATAAGGTAACAAGGTAACTGGGCTGCTTTTAAACGGATGGATACTACTGGAAAGATCCAAATTTAGTCGAGCTGTTCATCAAAACCCGTAATAGTTAAGCGTTGGCACCTTGAGCAGGGGAAGGGGATGGTACAGTACAAACCAATCCCTGGCTACGGTCGAGGGGCGACCGCCGAAATGAGCGATGGCCAAGGTTGCTTCCTCCTTGGACGGATGGCTAGGATTCGATTTTCCTTGCAGCCAACCGTGGGTAGAGGTCATCGAGATTGCTGTCTAAAGCTGGCCATGACAAGCACGGGAAAGCACGAATCATCCCCTCCATCAGTCACACGGCTATGTCCGGCTGCCTGGCACGGCAGGAACGAGGTCCCCGGATAAGCGACGAGAGGAGCATGCCAGAGAGGATGGAAGGAAATAATGTGCTATAGATGTTTGCACGAGGAACAAAGTGATCGTAGCGAGGGAACTATGCAGCCCAACCCAACTCGAGCCCATCTCTGCAGACCCAGTTGCGTGTACCGTACAATACAAGGAAATCAAAATCAATAAGCGGCACTATGGACGATGCACGCTCAGTACCTATGCCCCAAAAATAATACTGATCCCGTTACCCCGTGGCCGATAATATATAGCCTCGCTGTCCGCCCTCATGACGAAATGCCCGGACATAATGAATGATGCACCAATTTAAGCGGCAATATCCTCGAGGAACTCGTGCATTTCCTTCTCGATGATGTCGTGGATCTTCTTGGAGAACTTCCCGGCCTTCTTGGTGAAGGAAGAAACACCATGTCCAAGGTTGAAATCGTGCAGGATGGCCTCCTCGAGCTCAGTGACAGAGCCAGCGAGGCCATTGCTGACAGACTTGGGCTCGACCTTGTAGCTGCCGGCCTCAATGATGCCAGAGTAGTTGCTGCACCCTCCGCCGTTCCAGGCGAGGAGGTTAGGAGTCTCGTCGGGCATGTCGGTAAGGGCACCGACGGTGGCAATGCTGAGCATGTTGGCCTTCATCTTCTCAGGGGTGATGGGGGCAACCGAGTACTCCGACTCGCCGGCAGGCTGGAGCGAGAGGTAGTATGCGAGGAGACCGCAGATGTGGGGGGAGGCCATCGAGGTGCCGGAGATGGTGTTGGTGGCATACTTGTTGCCGATCCAGGTCGACAGGATGCTGAGGCCAGGGGCGAAGATGTCGGTGCACTTGCCGTAGTTGGAGAAGTAGGCACGGCTGTCGTCGATGCCGGAGGCTCCGACAGTAATGGCCTTCTCAGCAGCAGCAGGGGAGTAGTTGCAGGCGTCGGCGTTGTCGTTTCCGGCGGCCACGGCGAAGTGGATACCGGCGGCGACAGCAGCATTGACGACATCATCCAGAGCCTTGGTCTTGCCACCACCGAGGGACATGTTGGCAGCTGAGCCCTTGAAGCCCTTGCGCTTACCGTTCTTGGCAGCCTTGACTTGCTCGATATGGGACTTGGCGGCGAATTCAACACCGGCAACAACATCAGCCATGGTGCCAGACCCGTTAGACCTCAGCACCTTGACGGCGTAGACGGTGGCCTTCTTTGCAACACCGTATTTCTTGCCGGCGATGGTACCAGAGCAGTGGGTGCCGTGACCATTGCCATCGATATCCTCGTCGTTGGCGGGGATGGTCTTGCCCCAGCGAGCACGACCCTCGAAGTCGACGTGGTCGACATTCGTGCCGGTATCAATGACATAGACGTCTACGCCCTCGCCACCCTCTGCGGCATAGAGGTACTTGTTGAAGGTGCCGAAAGAGAGCGCATCGCGGTGCGAGACACGGGCCAAGCCCCAAGGGGACATCTTCTCAGTCTCTCCATCACACTTGGACTCCTTATGGGACATGGTATGAACGACGCTGTCTCTCTCGATGTACTCGACCTGTGGCGAGAATATTAGCATTTGACTAAGGCGATTGGTATGGGGACGGAATATCCCGCGCCTCTAGGGGCACATCGGAATCGCCACCACATGATCAAATTGCTCAACTTGATCATGCCAGATTCAGGAACATTAACCCAGGGCAAAGCCCCATGATAGCGCCAGACAGGAGCCAGGAAAGGGACTCGGAAGGGCAGGCGGTTAAGGCATGATGGCAAAAACAAACAACTTACATCAGGGTGCCTCCGGACCTGCTCGATAACTGACTCATCGAAATGGCCCGAGTAGCCCATGAAGTGCTCGCCAATCTGGTACGTGTGCTTCAGGCCGCGGAAGACATCGTCGGCAAAGGGGATCTGGCCGCGCTTCCTCAGCTCCATACGCTCCTGTTCATTGGAAGTATGGATCTGCTGGATCCAGGATTGGTGGTGCTGGGCGGACGTCTCGGAGACGTGGTTCTTGAACTTGATGAGGTACGAGTTGGGGACAACCTCTGCGTTGGAGGATGAAAGAATGGGGGCGGCGTCGCCATGGATGGTCCCATGGCTGACGGTTGGTGCCGCCACAGCATAAGCTGCCAGCGAAAGAGCGATGAGGCCTCTCATTGTGAAACAAAAGGGAGCGAAGTCGGGGAGCCTGCGACCTCAAAAAACCGGGGGTAGAATAAAACTGAAGTAAAAAAGAATCGAAACCAGTTACGATGCCTTGAGAGACTTTGATGGGGGGAGGTTTGGGGAGAGAGATGATGGATGATGGGGGCTGGGCGGATGGGGGAGATGGAAGAGGGAAGGAGGAAGCTCGGCGGATGGGGGGAAGCTGGGTAGATAAGCACATCATCAGTCATCCGGAGGCGGTTGCCAGACGATAGACACAGTACCTGAGGCAAAAGGCACGGTCCAGGATAGGCTCCGTATCTAGCCGAAAACAGTTAAGACAAGAGGCGGAGCAGCCAATGGGACTCGCCTCTTCCCCCTAGCTCGGTATGCAAGGCGATAAGAGGTCACGATGCTCAACCCTGCGCAGTAGTCGAAGCTTCTAACCAGGGCATTGAGTGACGCCAACAGCGCAATGGAAAGTGTACATATGCCGAGTTTCAGTTGCAGATTGAAGAAACAGATGCTTAGCTGAATAGACACTAGCTATGGTCGTTGAGACGCCAGATGCTCAATACAAGGAGGAGGCAGCTGGGAGCAATGTGCAAGGCTACCTATCAAGGTATCTGCCTCCTGACGTGGCGTATCCAGCGCATTTGATCCACAGGCTACAGCCCTGCCAAGGTTCGGTGGACAGTCAAGTAACTCTCATTATTCCAGGATTCTAGGTGAAACTTTCGATAAAGAGCTCCAATGCTTATTATTCACCTTGTAGGTATCTCTAGGCACGTAACGTACGCAAGTAGGTAGTAGTCACTTCCCTGGAAGCATTCCTCAAAGCAGGGTTGGGGAAGGTTGAAGCTTGCCGAGACCTTCGGTCAGATGTGCCAGTCATCAGGATGGGGCACGTGCCGGAACCCCCCCGCGTTGCCAGTTGGTAACCAGGGGCGGAGATCCCTGTCCGCGCTCTGACGCAGGTCCAGCCACCAATCGAACTCGGTGCCTGATGACTCGAACTTGAATCAAGAACTGTTGGGAGTTACAGGGCATTTGTGCACTTACTGCGGACGGGAGTCTCCGCGTAATTATACACTGGTGAAGAGGCAGCAAGGGAGGCGTCTACCCATGTGTAGAATTCTTTTGACCCATACCCAGTCAGTGCCTGTAGGACGAAAGCATCTAGGGATTACGTAGGTAGTGCACCGAATTACATCATAGGACCCTACAAGTACCTACGTTGTCAAATGTTGACAGTCCCTCCCGTTTTAGGTGTACGGCCACGCTGCTGAACTCTGAAATAGTCGGGAGCTCATACCGAGGCAACTCCAATCTACCCCTAGGTAGGTAGGTAGTAATTACCTACTGAAGGCAGCGCCCCTCGGCCCTTTGCGAACTTCGTACTGGTAGAGTTCGAGACGCCGATTACGGGAGACTCGAATGTGGGCCTTCCTTCCCTCCTCTCTGTTCTCGAGTCAGCCAACTGTTACATTGACTCGTTTGGATGGGTATAAATACGCCAACTTCATGTAAAAAAGAACCCTCAAATGCCTCAAGATGCATATATTGTTAATGGATCGTATTTCGGACAGAAACCAATGCCAAAATGATTTCTCTCCCTTGAAGCACAGCAGCATCCAAAGGCACCGAGGGGTGTTTGTAAGGAGTACCTTGTAGCGGGACTTTCTCCGCATTCTGACAGGAGCACCGCCACAGAAGCCCCTCATGAGGGGTTGCCCAATCATGTGCTCAGGACTCGATAGATGTAAGCCACAGCCTCAAGGCTGACACGCTCGGTTGATGTAGCTGGAAGAGCTAGGAAACAACACCAGTTGATCAAAGCCTCCATAACCAGGTAGCTGCACCTGGACCTGGGACTTGTCCTTGTAGGCCCGTATACCTGCATCTTTACCTACCTAGTTGCCCTCCGATACCTTCAGAATTATTTTAACACGACGCTCACTTTGCTGATCAGGATCCTCCGGCCATCCCGGCCTGAGCTCGTCCACGGAGAAGTCGAGCAACGCGCCTTCACCCTTCCATGAGGTCCTCTGCTGGCGCGAACCTAGACCCTCGATGGGTGCTGGGAATATCAACTGAAGCCGGTTTCCTGATATGAACAGACAAAGTCTACAGCTCTGAGAGCTCACGATCCAAACATGTCTTCCGCATTCCGCCGCTATCGATCATCGACCTCTGCGTCGGCCCGCCCCGCCGTATCCAAAGCGACCGAGGTGCTGCAGAGCCTCCTTGACCGCCTATCTTCGACCCTGCGATCCCCGACCAGCAATGGATTTCCCGATCTAGAGGCTCTGGTGGATGAGTCCCGCAGGATACACCAACACATTTCTGCCACAAGGCCACCCTGCCCGCCCCAGGATGACTTCCGATACCTGCGTGGCTTCCAGCTTCTGCTGGATGTGCTTCGATCCTTCTCCGGCTTCTATAACCCGCAAAAGAGGACCACCTCGGAGAAGAAATCCTTCTTCGAACTTCTCCATATCGTCCTCGCCATCCTCTCTGAGGCGTTCCGGGCGCATAGCGGGAACAGGCGGTACTTCCAACACAGAGTCGAGGGAGGTGGATGGGAGGCATTGGAGCAGATAATTGCCAGTATTGGCCTAGGTGGAAGCGACTCTGATCTTTGGACCAACTGCCAGTTGTTTGGGAAGCTGCTGTCATTCTCCCTCGACGATCAGCGGATTGACGAAGTCTGCCAGTCGGTTGCCTCGGACGCAGCAAGACAGGAGGATGCCGCGGGAGAGACAGGAGGGTTGGCCCAAGATGAACCTAGCAACGGGGGCGAGACCAGAACCGGTGCACTTGATGTGCACCGTGCCGAGGAAAGACTACGCGAGATTATCGTGCCCGGGATAGTTATCCAGACGCCGGAGATCATTCGTACTGTTGTCGGTTTTTGGGAATCGATCCCTCGAGATCGAGAAGGAGCCGTCAACCCAGCGTCGCTGATAGTCCTCACAACCCTGTCCTCTGCCGCGTCCGTCTCCTTTGCCAACCTGACTGGCCTCCATGGAACCGGGGTACTGTCGAGATTTTTGCGGCTGGCCTTCTCTCCAGACTCAAATCTTGCCGTGGCGGAGATTGATAACGTGGTGCCCCTGTGCAGGTCGTTGATGTCTCTCGGGATCAACAAACTGGCAGATGCCCAGTTTCTCCTGTCGCTCCAGGACTCGGCAGCCTCAGAATTCTGCTTGAGCATGGCTCAAAAGTACAATGGACCAACCTTCATCCAATTTGACTTGTCTCTGCATGGTCACTCGTCCATTGAGCTACCCAGCCTGGGAAGGCCATTCCCCCCTCAGTCTTCGGCTGGCTATTCCTTTACTGCTTGGATCCGTATCGACAGTTTCGATCCCGCCTCACACACCACCATCTTCGGGGTGTTTGACTCGACCCAGACTTGCTTCCTGTTGGCTTATCTGGAGAGAGATACACGTAACTTCATTCTCCAGACGTCAATGAAATCACAGAGACCGAGCGTCAGGTTCAGGTCCGTCAGGTTCAAGGAAAAGCAATGGTACCACATCGGCATTGTACATCGAAGGCCGAAAGCGATTTCTGCGAGCAAGGCATCGCTCTACGTCAATGGGGAATTCGCCGAGCAGGTCAAGTCGTCATATCCTACTCCGCCCCCCTTGTCAAATGGGAGCACCGAGAGCTTTGCCTCGTTCACATCCAATAAGGCGAACCCCGTGCAAGCCTTTATTGGGACCCCTCGGGACCTGTCTGCAAGCATAGGACCCGGCCTTGTGTCCTCCAAGTGGTCTCTTGCCTCGGCCCATCTATTCGAAGACGTGCTCAGCGATGATCTCCTTGCCGTCTACTTTCGGCTAGGACCACGTTACCAGGGGAACTTTCAGGACTGTCTTGGTGGCTTCCAGACTTATGAGGCATCTGCTGCGTTGGCGTTACGGAATGACCTGCTTCACCCGGGAAAGGAGCATTCGGATATCCTGATGGCTATTCAGGCGAAGGCCAGCTCGATCATTCCTGAAAACAAGGTGTTGATGAGCACGCTGCCAAGGGCCACCTTCCGTAGCGATGGACACTTCCTTGATACCGTCTTGTTCCGGTCGCTATCTCGAACCTCAGCCGGCAATCTTCTCCAGCTGACCACCAAAACCGGCACATCGATTGCGATCAATGCGGCTGTGCCCTGCGTCAATGACGCCCTGATCAGGTCCAATGGCGTCTCGATCACGACTGGTGACCCCGTTCTTGCAATCCCGTATCATTTCGATGACAACCTCTGGCGCCTCGGTGGCTTTACCCCCGTTGCGCTCAAACTTGTTGAAAGGGCATCCTCTGCAGACGATCTCTTGCGGTCTGTGGAACTGATGTTACACTGCATCGGCAACAGCTGGAGGAATAGCGAGGCGATGGAAAGGGATAACGGATACGCGGTCCTTAGTATGCTGCTGCGTGCGAAGATGGGATATGGGCTTTCGGCTTCCGATAATCCTCCCTTGCGCCTCCCTCTCACTAATGATGCTAGGGATAAGTTGGGCCTGCGGCTCCTGAGTCTAGTTCTCGGCTTTGTTGGCTACAACCATGCCCACCCCATCGACTCCTTTATCGTGAACCCCCTGGCATACCGCATCTTGCTGATCGACCATGAAACATGGAGGAAATCAGCACCAATAACCCAGGAGCTGTATTACAAGCAATTCGTCACCTTTGCTGTGTTCAGCAAGCACCATGAGTTTAACAGCCACAGATTGGGTAGAATGCGTAAGTGCCTGACCTGTATCCTTTCAAACTCGTGGTTGGGTTCTTTATCTTGACAGTTCTCTATTCAGGGATCATCAAGAGACTGCTAGACGCTCTGAAAGGAGAGACCATCTCCGAAGACATTCTGCCGCACTTCATGCACTCTTTCGAAAGCCTGGTCAAGTCCAACTTCAGCGCAGAGGTTCATCGATCTCTTGCTCTCTTCGTCACCTACGCCTTCCATATAACTTGGGGTTCGCAGCCTCGCACTCCAAGGCCAATGTTGCCACCAAGCAGATCGAGCACGCCCGGCATCACTCGACGCCCCGCTCTCGATCCCGCAGCCTCGGCCTCGGCCTCGGCTGCCGCCACATCCAAGTTTCTTAGGAGGAAACAACTCGGTGTCAACATTCTCGAGATGTACACGCGGATGCTCTGTGAGAAGGGGAACTTGGCCAATATACGGAAGTTTGCCAAAACCGTGACCAACAAGGTGACCCGCCGCGACGAACCGGACAAGAAGGCCTACGAGCTAACGGCGGTCCAGTGGCTCCTCTATCTCCTCGCTGAAGATGACCCGGAGATCGTGGTATACGGTACTAAGATCCTCGCGAGGCTCCTCGTCACCCAACCACCGGGTTACACGTCCAAGTTCTCAAGCAAGACCGGTGGGTTCTGGATCATGGCGCACCGGCTCAAGCAGTGGTGGGACATTCCCACACTATGGTCGATTCTCTTCGGCATCATGTTCGGTGTTGATGTCGCTGGGATCGACTTCGACCGGCCATTCGAGTTCTTTAGCCTGCTGGAGATCTTTGGTGACTGTCGTGTTGTGTTCCCCGATGTTCTACCTGTCATAACAGCCATGCTGCAGCACGGACTTCGGGACATTCTCAAGTATCAAGATGACCCCGATTCTCCTGCCTTTGACCACGGTGCAACAGAAAATCCGCAACAACAGACTTCCGAGGCAAGCAATAGTCGACTGCCGTCGAGATCGATGGAATTGGCGAAAGAACTCGAGTCGCGACGTAAGTTCTCTCCGTGGGAGGTGACCGGCATGTGCTAACCGAGAGACCAGAAACGCCCTTGCCCGACAGGGAGAGAGTCGCAAGCCATGCCAATATCCTCCAGAGTGTTGTCCGGTTCCTGGCGGATATGCATTCCCGTTCGGCCAGCTTCAGGGACTTTGCCTTGTCTTCCGACTATGTCCAGCTCCTGCTCGCGGCTCTCTATCCCATCATTGTCAGCGCTGACCCCGTCACGCCAGAGACGGAGCTTGACTCGAAAGACTCATCGCTCACCTTCGAGGGCGGCGATGTCATCATTCGCCCAGTACCAGGATCGTCATCGACGGCAACCCCCATCGTCCGCACTACGAATGTCGCTTCGTCTTCGGAACCATATCCGCCATCATCACCATCTCTCGCGCGTGGGACCCCTCTTCGCAGGCCGTCGTCCTTCATCCTTGTGACCTCACAGAAGTCCCCTCATACTCCGAGCCCAGCACGCTTGTCGCATGTAATGTCTCCCAAGAAAAAGGTTGCGACGCAGCAGATTAGCAACGGCGTCTTGGATGGCCTCATGGAGCTGGTTATCGGCGTCTTTACGGACCAGATCTTGGTGCGCAAGGAGTTCCCCGGCTTCGGGCTGTTTCTGAAAGTACCCCCTGGGTTCCAAGAACACCAAGCCTACTTTGAGTCCTACATCTTGCGCAACACCATCGCCCACCTTGGAAGTGCTGTCCAGTTGAACAACAGGCTTCTTCTGGAGCCTAAGATTCTGCAGAACATGGCTCGCTTCAACCTCCACATGGTGGAAGCCATCTTCGAAGGCTGGTTCATCAACGGGGCAGAGGCCATGGTGGATTTCACAGGCATGCTGCTGGAATACCTGCAGCGGACCGAGGTGGCATCGATGAAGGTTGTTCGCCTCTGCAGTTCAGCAGTGTCCACGATCCGTATCTCTTTCCTTAAACTAGTCCTCCTCAAGCTCTCGGATATGGACGACCCCCAAACGACAGATGTCGACGCCATTGCGATAATGGGGAAGATGATGTACTGGCAAACGGTTCTCCTCGGTTGCCTGTCGACGGATGACGATTATATGAAACTGCTTTGGTATCAACTCTACAACAAGCTGATCGACTCTCGGGATCCCATCAGGCTTGCTGCCTCAAATCTATGGCGGATAATGCTGGTGCAGAGGCCCGAAGAGTCGACGATACTCCTGCGGCAGTGCATGGCGCCGGATCGGCAGCAACTGACGAATGGCTTTCGCCAGCTAACAGAGCTGGATGATGCCACCTTTGTGGAATGGGTGGACCAGAATAGGCCGTCCCTCGACGTTTCCTTCTTCGGTGGCATGTCGAAGACCTGGGAGGAGTTTGTCGCCGCTGAGAACCAGCGCACTGCCGACACTGCCAGGTCGCGCTTGAAGAATCGAAAAGACAAATTGAGACAGTGGCATGCGGAACGTGTCGGCCGCGAAAGCATACTCCTTAGGCACGAGATGGCGAATGGTGCCTGGATGAAGAGCATATACTGCTCCGAGCACTCCAAGCACCAGAGGCTACTGCAAGACCAGCAAGATGATAACATATTTTTGGGCTCAGCCTTTGCCAAGATGGACCGGGACTTGCGTCGCCCCGGCGGCGTCTTCAGCGAGCCAATGTCAATCAAGTGGAAGCTCGATCGGACAGAGGGCCGGAACCGCATGCGGCTCAGAATGCTCCCGGAGTACCCGTCCCAACAGCAAGAATACCTGCCAAAACAAGACTATCAACCGAAGCGGAGGGCCACAGAGCCAACACCGCCTGCATCCTTTTTGAAACCGAACACGACCGTTGGCCAGCCCTCCCCAAGCCAGGGGCTGGTGAAAACAGCAGCTTCCTCGTCCCGCGTCAGCATTGGGGTGGATGCGAGCAAGGATAACACAACCCTATCTGCGGAGCCGGAAGGCCCGGCACATGCATCTGAATCGCAAAGTGTAGCTCCGGAGGACGACTTCGAGCTCGTGGACGATCCCAATGATCCGGACGCTGACGACGCTTTCGAGGACAAGAACCGAAAGGTGAGGAGGCGACTTGAACACGACGATTCCATTCAGCAGGTCTACAACATCTCTCGCATCATCGGTCTCGAGGCCTGCGAAGGGATCCTAATCATCGGGAAAGGGGCACTCTATATCATGGACAACTTGTTCAGGAACGCGGATGCAGAGATTATAGACGTGTGGCAAGCGCCGGACGAAGAACGCGACCCATTCTCCATTATCATCCAGGGTTCCGGAGACAAGAACGCGCAAGGGCGGAAGCAGAGTTCCAGTATCAGCGAACAGGAGTCGCGTAGTTGGCGATTCCACGATGTTCTCGGCATCTCAAAGAGACGCTTCCTGTTCCGGGATGTGGCGATCGAACTCTTCTTCACAGACGGTCGCAGCTATCTCCTCACCGCGATGAACGCCACTGTCAGGGATGAGATCTACGTGAGGTTGATGGCCAAGACGCGCCACACCAGCGGGCCCAACTCGCTGCCCAACCCGGAGGATGCCTGGCGCCTGGAGGCCCTGAAGTTCAACGAGGATGGGCCCCAAACCCTGGGGTCCAAGTTTGGCAGCATCTTCAACGCATCCCCCTGGAACCCCATGATGCGGCGTTGGCAGAAGGGGGAAATGTCAAACTTCCACTACCTCATGCTCATCAACACACTGGCGGGCCGGACCTTCAATGACCTCACCCAGTACCCGGTGTTCCCCTGGGTATTGGCCGACTACACCAGCGAGGAGCTCGATCTCGAGGACCCGGCCACCTTCAGGGATCTCTCGAAGCCCATGGGCGCGCAGTCCGCGACACGGCAAGCGGACTACACGGTGCGATACGACAGCCTGAAGGAGATAGGCGAGGTGCCGTTCCATTATGGCACGCACTACTCATCCGCCATGATCGTCTCATCGTATCTGATCCGACTGCCGCCGTTTGTGAAGTCGTACATCCTGCTGCAGGGCGGCCATTTCGACCACCCGGATAGGCTCTTCTTCTCAATCGCCGCCACGTGGACTTCGGCGTCCAAGGACAATGGGGCCGATGTGCGCGAGCTGATTCCCGAGTTCTTCTACTTGCCCGAGTTCCTCACCAATCTGAACGGGTACGATTTCGGCGTGCGCCAGGGGAAGGGCGGCAGAGTGGACAACGTCGTCCTCCCACCGTGGGCAAAGGGAGACCCCAAGATCTTCATTGCGAAACACCGCGAGGCGCTGGAGAGCCCTTATGTCAGTCAGCACCTCCACGAGTGGATTGACCTGGTCTTTGGCTTCAAGCAGCGGGGAGAGGCAGCTGTCGAGAACTTGAACGTGTTCCATCACCTCTCATACAGGGGCGCCCGGGATCTGGACAACATCACCGACCCCGAGGAGAGGAGAATCATAACCGGCATTATCCACAACTTTGGCCAGACGCCTCACCAGCTGTTTACCCGCCCTCACCCGGCGAGGGAACATAATCGATGCCCCATCAAGCGGCTCGACTCGTCCGTCCCTGAGCTCACGAAACTGCCGCACCCGCTCTTGGAGAGCCACGAGCGAGTTGCATCCCTCGTCTACGTGCCGAAACTCGACCGCCTGCTCTGCGCGTCACCTTTCCGCCTAAATCTCCCGCCCCAGTATGACAAGTTCCTGGAATGGGGATACGCCGACAACAGCGTTCGATTCTACTTCAGCGACAACAGGAAGCCCGCGGGCCTCTTTGAGAACCTGCACATCGGGCAGATATCGGCCCTCAATTTTGCCGATTCCAAGACCCTCGTCACGGCCGGAGAAGACTGCGTCGTGTCCGTCTACAGGGTGCACTCGACGCCGGGGAAGGCCGTCGAGCTCGTACCCCGGTCGTCGCTCTTCGGGCATAAGATGCCCGTCACCACGATCGCGGTGTCCAAGTCCCTCAGCACCTTCGTCACGGTGTCCCAGGACGGGATCGCCTTCGTCTGGGACCTCAACCGGCTCGAGTTCATCCGGAGGCTGCCGCTAGCCCGCCCCGTCGAGTGCGCCAGGATCCACGATGTCACGGGGGAGATCATGCTGTGCAGCGGGCCCAATGTGCTGCTGTACTCGCTCAACGGCGACCAGATCCTCGACCAGAACGTGTGTGGCGCCGAGGGCCCCGACGACTTCGTGCACTCGTGCGCCTTCTACGAGGGCGCCGGCAACGAGTGGCTCGAGGACTTCCTCGTCTTCACGGGCCACAAGCGGGGCCGTGTCAACGTCTGGAGGAAGACGGCCGGGGGAAATGGGCGCTGGGTCCTGGAGTTCTTGAGGAGGCTGGACCATGTCGACCCGAAGAGCGAGTCGGGCGCCAACTTTGACGCCCCCATCACTTGCATCACGCCGATGCCCCAGATGGTCTACACGGGAGATGACGATGGTCGGGTGGTAAGTCTTACTTAAAGTCGGGGCTGGTGACCTGACTGGTGAAAAACAGCTGCTGACGAGAGACATGCATAGTACGAGTGGAACTTGATACAGAGAGAACGGTAGGGCCGCTCCTTCGACAGGAAGTTCGCCTGCCTCCGGACGGGCGACGCTTCAAGCGGCTGGCAGGACCTGATGCCCAATCCTCGGGCGTTGTGGGGCATTCGTAGATAGCTTTGGAAACCATCGAAGCGGCATGGCAAATGGTAAAAAGGATAGGACAACTGGCAAATGGGCGTGGGAATCCCTTCATTTTCCTTTTTTGGTTGTTTTTGCGCAGTTAAAGAGGGGGGTTCGCCCAGTGGATATCTAGACCATCAGCAGACAAGAAAAAGCGTAGAATCAAAAAGCATCCCTTCCACAGAGACTCGCTCCCATCTCCGGCTCGCAACGAATCGTAGCCTGTCGTTAGGACTCGGCTTGCCGCAGCGCAACCCCTGAAGGTGGGTTGGCAATCATGGGTAGGTAGTAGGTAACTTTGTGCAATTTACACACCAGGGGCAGGCAGCGCCATTGACGGTATTCGCAATGCTTTTTCAACCTGCCAATCGCACCCACCCCCCCGCAACGCCAACCCTATGTACAGTTTGGTACAGCTCTTTCTACCCCTTTCTCGCGGCCCCTCAATCATCGCACCTCCGCTCGCTATTCCTCGCCGTCGTCGTAGCCCGTCAACATTTTTCTCGGGCCGGAGGGGACTATTTGACGCAAAAGAGAACGAGTCAGCATCGCGTACAGAACAAACCAATTTACCTCCTCTTCCATAACAGTGGAGCTCCCGGACGGGCCCGGGGGGGGGGGGGGGGGGACGGAATGGTCTCCTTACTGGGATAGGTCATGGGGATCGGGGCGGCGTCGTGGTCGCCGATGGCCCGGCGGATGGGCGGCACGGTGGCCAGGCTGAGCGGGCCCGCGGCGCCGATCACGATGGACCAGAAGTAGGCCGGCTTTTCGCGCGCTGCCCACCGGCAGTACCGGATCGGGCCGGCCCAGAAGCGTGGGAGGGCGGTAGACATATTGTATTGTGTGGTTCTGGTGAGGCGGGGGAGGACGGCCGGGGAGGAAGAATCGCTGCCGGGAGAAGGGGGTTTTAGCTTTGATCGAGAACCTGGGGTTGGGGAGGGCTCACGTCGATTGGCTGAGTGCCCGGTTGGAGGATTGGCTGGCCTGGAGCGGCGGAATGTCCTCTATACGGGGGTTTGTCTTGGGCTGTGCAGTCAGTGATGCGATGGAGAGCTTCATCAATTGTCGGCAGGAACTCGGGAATTAATCCGAGGGCCCCCACTGACAATTGATCCATATTAGGTAGCCCGGAAAAACAATCCCTGTCAAAAAGGTACGGACCACCTTAGGTAGGCCAAGTCTTGGCAAAGGGCTACGTATGCTGAAAGCTCCAGAAGGCTGAGAGCTCTCACTGTTTGCACGCGTGGCATGAACTAACTACGGTGTCGCGGATGTCGATTTCTTCCCACCTCTGACTTTCCAATTGGGTTTTCTCTGTTTTCGCCCGCAAATCTAAGGAGAGACAGAGGAGAGCCGCCACACATTTTTTGCGCATCCTCCATCCTCCGACAATGAAGTCACTCCTTTGTTTTTTCGCCCTCTTGCTGGCCTCGCTGGTCTCCGCCATAAGCTCGACCGGCGACCGGCTGTTGGCCATTTTCGACGATATTGAAGAGAAGGCCAGCTATTCCAAGTTTCTGGGAGATTTGGAAAGTCAGTTTTCCCACTTTGCTTATATCCTATGGAACCCGCGACTCACCAATTGAACACAGGCAGGGGATTCAAGATCACATTCGAGACACCCAAGAGCGAGTCCGTGTCCCTCTTCCACCTCGGAGAGCGGTCTTACGACCATGTTATCTTCTTCCCGACTAGGTCAAAGGGTATATATGCCGTCCTGCCATGGCCGTATCTCCACGGCAGTATAGGCGAAAGAGCACAGCCGGGCTAACCAGAACCGCCGTCCCCTAGGTCTTGGGCCTAACTTGACCCCGAATCTCCTCCTCCAATTCATCAATGCAAAAGGCAACATCCTCCTGGCCCTCTCCTCAAGCAACCCAACCCCAACCAGCCTGGTCTCCCTCCTCGCCGAGCTCGACATCCAGCTCCCCGCCGACCGCACCGGCCTCGTGGTCGACCACTTCAACTACGACTCCGCCAGCGCCTCGGACCTCCACGACGTGCTCGTCCTGCCTCCCCCGGGCCCCATCCGGCCGGACGTCAAGGACTTCTTCGGCGGCGCCTCCGCCTCCTCGGGCGCCCTGCTGGCCTTCCCGCGCGGCGTGGGCGCGACGCTGGGCTCGGGCCCGCTGCTGACGCCCGTCGTGCGCGCCCCGGCCACGGCCTACAGCTACAACCCCAAGGAGCAGGGCGAGGCGCTGGACGAGGTCTTCGCCGCCGGCGAGCAGCTGAGCCTGGTGTCGGCGGTGCAGGCGCGCAACTCGGCCCGCCTCGCCCTCGTCGGCTCGGCTGAGATGCTGCAGGACAAGTGGTTCGACGCAAAGGTGCGCAGGGCCGGCGACAAGGCCGACAGCCCAACCGGCAACCGCGAGTTCGCCAAGACGGTCGCCGGCTGGGCGTTCAAGGAGATCGGCGTGCTGAAGGTCAACTGGGTTGAGCACCGCCTCGACGAAGACGCGGCCGAGACGAACCCCAAGATCTACCGGATCAAGAACGATGTGGTAAGTGGCTACATTTCTTTACCTGCACCCCCGCTTATTTTTTGACAATGACATGAATCGTCTGGCTAAACACAAACTACCCGTCTCAAGACCTACACCATCTCCCTCTCCGAGTGGTCCTGGGACAAGTGGACCGCCTTCAACGTCCCCGCCCACGACGCCCTCCAGCTCGAGTTCTCCATGCTCTCGCCCTTCCACCGCGTGCCGCTCGTCGCCGACGCGTCCCGCTCGGACCCCAAGGCCGGGGCGGCCGCCTACTCGGCGTCGCTCCGGCTGCCGGACCAGCACGGCATCTTCAACTTCGTCGTCAACTACAAGCGGCCCTTCCTCACAGCCGTCGAGGAGAAGCACACCGTCTCGGTCCGCCACATGGCCCACGACGAGTGGCCGCGCAGCTACGCCATCAGCGGCGCGTGGCCCTGGCTCGCGGGCATCGGCGCCACCGTCGCCGGCTGGCTGGCGTTTGTGGCCGTGTGGATGTTCAGCAAGCCCGTGGCGGGGCAGAGGGGTAGCAAGAAGACGCAGTGAAAGGAGGGAGGGGGAAGAATGAGTGTGGAGGCGATCGAGGTAGGTAGCTCTACACAGTTTAGGTGGTAGGCTACTTTGTACAATGTGGATACACATCACCCAAGATACACTGGAAGGGCCATAGAGCCTGGGTCTCTAAAACGGCGAGGGGGGGAATGTGTTATGGTTTTGATTTGAAATAGATGCAATACTGCGGTCCTGCTGCTATGATTTCCCTGTCTCCGAGTCGTCCTGCTTGATGCGCATCCTCTCATAATCAGGACCCTTCGTATCTGCGAACCTCCATCACCCATCTCACCTTATTCAGATCTTCAAAGTACAAGCAACAAGGGGAAGGTAGGTGCAGGGTAGGAAGGGATATGAATATCAGGGGGAAAGTGACCAGGCCCTCAGATTAGCTCTCTTGTGTTCTCACTGACAACCGGAAGCGATGGGGAGGCGAACGGGTTCGCGACCATCGTCCACGCTTTGCAGCGGGACGGACAGCAGCAATCCCGCAGACTCCCCAAGCTCGGCTGTCTGCAAATTTGGCTTTTTGGTCCGTTGGTCATCATAGGGCGTAATGTCATCCTGTCCAGGATAGTTACACGAGTAAACAAGAGAAACATCAAAACGGGTCCGTCTTCCCACACCCGCCGAACTCGGCAGGCCGGTGAACCCGATGCTCGTCCAGCACCGCGCCGCGTCCGATTGAAAACTATTTGTTGCGATCATGGGGCGCAGCTCAAAGCAATCGTCTCTCGCCTGGGGCGGAAAGGGTCCGACGATGCTGGCGCGCCCTCGGCGGTTTCAGATGTCGTCATTGCGGCGATGGTGCTGATGAACGCTCGGTGGCTTTGCCGAGAGGGGCGGGTGAGAAAGACGGACCAGTTTTAGTGAACTCTGCTTGTAGGGAACTACCCAGAGGGGAGACGGGGTCTGCTCAGATCTCTGTTCTTGAATTGCTCTCATATCCGCCAAGCTGACAGACTGCCAAGCTGGGGTCAAGCGGGGGACTGGGTTCAGTCCCTAGGTATCTTCACCGCAGGCATTGGGATGAGGACGGTAACGAGCTAGAGGGAGTGTTTTCGTTGGACAGGTGCTGAAATTTGGAACAAGCAACAGAGGTATTGGGAGGATGAGGTAGCAGCGTGGAAATGCAGTGCTCTGCTGTGCAGATACTGGTATTTCGAGCCAGTGAGAGTGGAAATGGAAAACCGAAATGTGATGGATCCCCGAAGATGTGGGTTGGTAGAAGTTGGGCCAGGGCGAGAGGTGATAATGACATGAAATTCCATGCGCAACAAGGCCCGGATATCTGTCCTGGGTCCTAAGATTGCATATCGACGCCCTGACCCAACGAGGAAAAGGAAGAGTGCAAATATGGGCAGACGTGGGAGATGGCCCATATCAGTGTGAAAAAGCAGAAGCCCGCGAGTCGGGTTGGTTGCTCGTGGAAATTTTGGTGGCTGTAGCAGGTGAATGAGAAAGCGAGAAGGAAACGCGCGATGGAAGTTAGGTGGTGAAGACGTGGACGTGACGGGCTAAAACAGGTACCTAGGTACCTAGGCAGCTTGGAGGCTGTGGCAAACGTCGCATTGATTGGCTAGGGAAAGGTGCAAGCCACAGCCGCCACACGTCTGAATTTCGCAAGGCTGAGAATTCAAGACTACCTACATACTTTGAGAAGGCCCAACAAGCTACTCCAACTTCCGCTACTCTCGCCCGACCCTCCCTCCTGACTCTCACCACCCCGAATATCTCAAGATGGTAAGTCCAAGCCTTCTCCCTGGCCGGCACGGCAGTGTCGGGCGCATAGCTAACCCTTGCCCCCCTGCGTAGGCCCGTAACTCTGAAAAAGCGCAGTCGATGCTCTTCCGGTTCCGCGAGGCGCAAGCCGCGGACCTGGGGATCATCGACGCCGGGCGGTCGCGGCGGCCGCGCAGCATCACGGATCAGGACAACGTACCGGCGTGCGAAAAATGGCGGGGCCAGGTGCTGAAGGAGGTGTCGCGCAAGGTGTCCAAGATCCAGGACCCGGCGCTCAGCGACTACCAGGTCCGGGACCTGAACGACGAGATCAACAAGCTGATGCGCGAGAAGCACATGTGGGAGGTACAGATACGGAACCTCGGCGGGCCGAACTACATGCGCGGCGGCGGCGGCGGCAAGATGTACGACGAGACGGGCCGCGAGATTCCGGGCGTCGGTGGGAAGGGGTACAAGTACTTTGGCCGCGCGAGGGACCTGCCAGGCGTGAAGGAACTGTTCGACGCCGCGAGGGCGCGCGCCACCGATTCGGAGAAGCCGCTCGAGGCGAGGGACGACCTGAGGAAGCAGGTCGACGCCGCGTACTACGGCTACGCGCCCGGCGAGGAGGATGAGAACCTGCTGGCATACGAGGCGTCGAGGGAGATGGAGGCATTTGAGCACCTTGCCAAGACGGGCGCCAAGGAGCCGCCCGCGGGCTGGGAACCCTTGCCGGGGGATTCCGGCGACGGGCAGGCCTGGGAACTGCCGACGTTGGAGGAGGTTCAGGAGGAGCTGGTCAACCGGCGGAGACAGAGGCTACTGGATCAATTATAGGGCTCCGGAAGGTGTGATGCCTATGACTCTCTCTTTCATGGCTGCGGTGTGCCCCGGATCGTGTGTTGTGCTTCCGGCCACGGCTCTCCACCGCGCGACCTCTCATGACCTTTTAGGAGTTGGGGTTCTAAAGACCCGGCCAGGCGTTAGGATTTCATATGGGAAATTTTGGTACTCATTCTATGTACACGTTGAAAGTGCATCTGTATTGGTACAAGGTGCTCGGGGTTTAACTATGTTAGGAAATGACGACGTAGCAGACAAACTAGGGGGTGACGAGCATCTCATCGATATTGCGCTTGATGTCTTGCCGTTGGAGGCACTGCTCATGGTTCCCCGGGTCTGCTTAATCCTACTTTCATTGAACAGGTTATTTGCAACAAGTAAGCTCACTACTGATGGCAAGGAACCATGCCGTGTGTGTATGTGCGTGTGTAATATAAAGCCACTTAATTTAACCAACATTGGTTATAGCTTAAGCTAATCAGGGAGACCTGTCGTCTCCCTTCGCCGTCATCTCCTTTCGCCGTCACATCTTCGCCTTCCTTTTACTTTCTCCCAACCCCGAGCTCTTTGCCAAGCTGTCGCCTCCAGCTGAGTTGTTGTCTGGCAAGATGGAAAGACCAAGCGACCACTGGCAGGGTTTTGCCACTCTGACTCCAGATTCCGACAAATATAAGCGAATCCGGCTCCTCCTCTCCTCGGCAAACTTCGAATATCTGAAGACACGCGGGACAGAGTCGCGGAGGGGACATCAGCCGGACTTGGCCCCGCATGTCACTTGCAGCGTCAATCTGACACATCTTGCATGTGGTTTCAACAATCTGGTCCTGGAACTCGCATTTTCCGACAATGTGTGCTGGATCGCTCGAATCCCGCATCAAGCCTTCGACGACGGCGATAGAACCTCGATGCTCAGCGAGATTGCTACCATGAGGATAATCCAACAACAAACCACCATCCCGATCCCTCGGGTTTTTGACTTTGACACGTTTGCAGACCAACCATTTGGCTACCCGTACGTTTTCATCGAGTACTTGGGTGGCCGACCCTTCCGAGTGGGCTGGCGACAACCATACCTCACCAATACCATAGCAAAGTCGCCAAGCAGCTTGCAAACGTCTTCTCCGAACTCCAGAATCTGACCTTCAGCCGCATTGGGCGCCTTTGGTGTGGAGAAAATGCCGATCAGCCCGTCGAGATCGTGCCCATGGCCTGGCACTCTTCGCCTGGGCCCCTGGAAACTTCGCTTGAATATTTCTACAACCAGAGACAGGGGTAAAAATCGGGAAATAATCGCTATGCATCCAGATGACCCAGGCTGGCTGACGGCATGTTGGGTGCTGAAAACGGCTCTAACCCACATTATCATTGAGGATAGAGTCCGAGGCCCCTTTCCCCTGTGTCATCTCGACCTGCATCTCGGCAACATGCTCTTTGACAGCGAGTACAACCTGACGGGAATCATCGATTGGAGCAGTGCCCAGGCTGCCCCTCTCGAGCAGTTGTCGGTCTTCCCAGAATTTGTCACCTTCCCAGGCTTATCAGACGACGAGAATCGACCCATCGTTGAGCTGAAGAATCTCGTCGTCGAGTCTATAAGGGAAAGGGAACGAGATCAAGAAAAGAGACCGCCGCTGGATGATCTAGGGGTGGACACTGCACTGCACCCGAATCTTATTTCCCTTTCCACCTACATGGCTTCTGAGAGTGCCGAGGTCACTTATCGTCAGTACATGGCTTCGCCAAGAGGAAGACTCTGGGCCGGCAAGATGGTTGCGAAGCTCATCTACGGAAAGAGTGTTACTTGGGAACAGCTGAGGGAGGTATACGGCACTATGCCGCTTTTCTAGACACGAATAGCCCCTTCTCTTATTTAGTCTGTAAAATATTATCGCTCAGTATAGACCATATTTGACGTACTGCTTCTTAATGTCGGTTTTCCTAGAGCAAGCCACAACAAGACAATCTCTCGGGGAGCCAACCTCAGAACTTGGCGATATTAGACTACACTAGCTGTCACACTCCCTAACGCCGACCCATGATTCAACTATGCTCGTCCGGATGTAGACCATAGTCCCATTACTAGAACAAGCAGAAATAGGCTTTGAAGAAGCAAACGCCACCAACCAAGCCAAGGCCCTACCCACTACCTCTTACATATCAGCAGTGAACTTTCCAGTTCTCTTTGATCCACCCCGCCATCAGATCCGTAAAGGTTCCATTGGTATAGAGGCCGATGTCTCTCTCGGCAAAGTCTCCTCCACTAAACTTCAAGGCCAAGAGGACCCAAGGTTGGATGAAGTCGAAAAACACAAGATCAACAGTCTCTGGCGTGCCATCAGCCGGGAAGTCAATTTCGGCTTGAATGCAGTTCGGGACAGTATAGAAGTTTATTGGAGAATGAACAGCGTCGTCACCGTCACTGCCAATATCATCCTTGGTGGTATATCCGGGGATAAGATTGGGCTTTCTTTCGGAGTCATCGCCGAGTGGCTTCTGGCCACCCGCTTCCATACCAAAGTCATCGGGTGGGGTTTGCTGAACATCATGGACAATGGATTCCTTGATCACGAGCTGCTCGGGAATTGACATAAACCTCGAGTCGAGGAGACCCGGGGTATCGAGGATGGTCCCGCCGTTGTTCAGGATCTTGATGACTTTCATGGCCACCTCGTACGGGACGTCCGGGACAAATTTCAGCACGCTCAGGAAAGGGGAAATGATATACGTTGTATCCTTCGTAAAACCGCCTTTGAAGATGTCGAACCGGATGGCGCCAGTGTTCATGATGGCGAGTCGTGGGGTATTCTTTCGGTCCTCGTTGACAATAACGTCCGGGAGGACCTCGTCCTGCAGCCAGCTATAAATGCTATCGGGACCTGGGTAGGGTGTTCTCGTCATCCAGAGGTCCCGTGGTGCACAGCCAAATGTGTGGTCCAGATTGAGAGCTTTCCTGGCGTTCGCAATCATGCTGGTAACATTGCGCCCATGTTCCGTTGGGAACGTCGATTCGTTCAAGCCAGTATGATGATATAGACCCAACAGGTTATTGTCGATGTATCTGCGGTGGAAAGTTACAGACGTTGTTGACACGTCTTTAGCCGCCTTGGAGATGCCGTCGATAGACATCCAGCCGATGGTTTCAAAGTACCTCCCGCTCCCCAAAGCGAAGGATTTTGCATCATAGCTTACTGCGTCTCTCACATGAACGTGGCCGCAGAAAAATGCGATCGGGGTGAACCAATTCTGCTTCCGTATCGCCGTATAGATATCCTTGAACTCCTGCATCCGGGCCCCTACATGGCCAATCACAACAAATACGTCCGGATTTTCCCTGATGGCCTGCTGGAACCACTTCTCCTGTATCGTCTCTCGCACTGGTTGAACAATAGTGTTGTTTGCATTCCCGGTGAAGTCGAAAAGGAAGCCGAAGGCGACAATATCGAGCCCCTGGTTCTTTGTCTTGAACTTCCTATATCGCTGTGCCATAGGAATTCTCTCGCCCGACTCGGGATGGATGTAATCGAGATTCGAGGCGACGTAATTGTCCTTGAAGTTCGGCACCGTGTGCTCGTGTTCTCCATCAGCACTGGAGGCTTGGTAGAGTTCGTGGTTCCCGGTGCAGATGATATCAATATCCTGCTCCTTGAATATATCGTAGTAGTATTCGCCTTTGGGATCCGACGCATCGTAGAGACCATTGCCCTCTACTCGGTCTCCGGTGTCAACGAGGAGGAGATCCCGCCCTTCCTCGTCGGCTCTCCTTCTTAGGTGCTCCGCGAAGGAGACATAGTCGCCCCAGTCGGCGGAATACTGCGATTCTTGGAGATGGCCGCCGTGCCAGCCGTGCGTGTCGGTCGTGTGAAGGAAGTTCAGTTGACCCCATTGCAGATCTCGCATGGGCGCTTCAACAGGGCCCACGGCGCCTGGCTGTGCTGCCCTCGCAACGGAGACGAGGACTCCACCAATAAGGGTGGCTGCAAGAGCCATGATCTCTGCAATGGATGGCTCGACTGAATATTATGGTTCGTGCCCTTGGAAAGGAAGAAGGTAAGACGCGAGAGGTGATGGTTATTGGGATGACGCACTCAGGCGAAGCACAGTAACGGGCTATCAAGGTCCCAAGCACAGGCCTCATTTCTGAGATAGTTATTCAAGTCCCTTCCTCTAAACGTAACCTACCTCACCCATAAGCACACAGCTGCAAGAAAAGTGTCCATATAGGCCAGTCGAAGCTAAAAGGGCACCTCGCGTAGCCCTAAATCATCAATTAGACAAGCTTTAAGGGCGGTCTTGCGTTCCTCAATGTTAAAATTCCTAATATTTGGAGCTCATTTCTCTGGAGGCTGGTACTTCTGACCCTAACAGTTTCTATCCCATGCCATTGCATTTGGTCAGTGCGATGGCGGACCTTGATAGCCAGAGACCCGTGGTTCACCGCCTTTACAGGGGTTAGCCGCTGTTACTCACGCTAGTGGGCAGATTCTGCCGGTATTCAGGGCGGTGAGATCGCCCTTTACTACGTAGGGCCTCGACGCGGGCGGTTATATCCTTGTTCTCAAGTTTATGAGGCTCTTCGGAATGCCACTTTACCCAAAGAGAACCTTCGTCTCACCCTGGTCCTTGCCACAATAAAAGAAGCGAGCTTCAAGTGGAAATCTCAATATCGCATCGTAGTCACGAAACCTCCCTGTAGATGGCTGCAAACATGCGGCAGCCAGCCAGCACTCGACAGAGTTGGCAGCAATGTGCATCGACAGGAACGCTAAGCTGCAGAGAAGCATCTTCCGATATATCGTGCGACGCCAGTTCCCCGACAAGGTATCCGACAAGCATGCTCCATGGCGTGCGTTTCTGAAACCACCAAGTTAGAGTCTGGCACCCGGCTCTGGATGCCGCCTCGTCTTGTTAATCCCTCGACCCCGAGTATGGCGAGCCCCGGGGGCCTCTTTCTGGTTCCGTCCTGTCCTGTCACCTTCGATATCCGTAAGGACTCGTTGACCGTATCGGTCAGTTGCTTCAACACTATCCATTCTTAACGCACCCGCCAGCCGTCAGCAACGTTGATGGGATAATCAACGGGGTAACTTGTAGGTGCCAGAGAAAGTAAAAACCCTCCCAATCCTGCTTAGGTTGAACATAACCTTTGTGAAATCGCGAAGGGACGATGTTTATGAGATCCTCAGCGGAGTTTGAGTTGTCAGTAGCTTGCCGCGGTGAAACTCTCAACGCACACTGACCAAGTCGGGGTTCTGGAAAGAAAATCCGTGCGTGACGAGTAAGAGATCTGCACGACCTTCCCAAGAGCAGGCTTTGCATTGACTTTCAAAAGAGTATGCGTATTCTACCAACACCTTGGTTTAGCCTGGATACTGGGCAGTTGAGGTGGCGAACAGAAACTTGTTGAAAGCTGCAGCTGCTTAGGCCTTCAGTTTCGCAGGTTATCTGGTGGGTCGGTGACATTTTGTATTATACACAGTATCCATTTTCGCCGTTAGGGTTGAGTCGATGATGTACGGATTGCTGCGGATGGATTAGGTGCAGTTGTGAAAGCAGTTGTGAAAACCAGCCAATGACCATTTCATCTGTTGTATGTAGGTACATACTGCACTTTGTACGTGCCCCATATCGCAATTATGCTCGGCAAGGCAGGAGCTGTGAGCCTGTGAGTTTTCATAATGATGGCTTGGTTGAACTCGACTTCACATACATAAGGCGATGTTGCTGTGCCGTGGCACCACTAACATGGGGATTGGATGGAAACTCCATGCCGCCGCGGAACCTAGTGTGGATCACCCCTCTTCCGTTATCGCTCTATCAGGACTCCGCGGTAATGCGTTCCTTTGTTCCATGTACTCAGCATACGCTCATATAGCCCTATCAAAAGTCCGACAAACTCGGGTTACGGATACCACCCAGAAGTGCGTCATTAGGTACCCAGGTACGTCTGTAGCTGCAGCAGGACCCCGCCCCTGAGAGCAACTCGAAAGTTAGCGCCCCGCATCCCCCCTCTCTAGCCATCACGATCACGTAGGTAGGTATGGGGTGCAGCTCGCTGGCCAGGCTCCCTCCCTTTGCTGCGGCGCAATCCGTTTCCCAGGAAGGAAGCTGAACAAGTCTACCTACATCTGGCTGCGCTGAATCCCTCACGTGTCACCGCCATTGTTCTCAAAACTTACCGAAACCAGAGTGCGGGGTGAAGCTTCCTATAAGTGCCTGCTGTTTGCTTTCGTGCCTCGTGATACTTGTCGCACAGGGTGGCTGGTTCGCTTTGGTTCTGTCCGTACGGGATTTCCTTATATTTTCAACTCAGGCGCGGCATCCTCCCTTTTTTGTGCTGCCACGGCCTTGCCTTGATTTTGCTATCGTCTCTAAACGAGTTGTTCCGTACAGCCCGGCGTTTCCGCCTTTTTTTTTACTTGCTTCTAGCCGATCCCATTACAGGCCTAGTCACGCGATCATGGCAACAGAGGTCGCTCGCTCCTCCACTGCGTCAGCTCGTGGGAGACCGAGTGCTGAGGACTTTGAGACGGCTTCCATCCGCTCTGCTGCGCCTTCATACAGTATGTGCCTCCCGTCATCGATCGGACAGCAGTCTTGGACGACGACATGATATCCCTCACGGCTGCCACCATAAGCTGACATATATACAGCCTCCGATGCACCTTCCTACCACTCGGTTGCTCCCCACCCCGAGCCGGTCCCGCCATACTCACCACCGGCCTCGCGTTCTGCCAGCGGCTCAACCTCAGCCCCGCCCGCGGCCTCGAGCTCCAACTCCAACTCCAACACCAACGCCCACTCGCGGGTAAACTCGGGCACCTCGGCCCACCCGAGCCGCGCGGCCCCGGGCCTGCCCCGCATCCCGTCGGGTCTGCCGCGGCGCCAGGCGGCGCGGCTGCCCTCGCTCGACGAGTTCCGCATCCCGACGTGGTCGTCGGTCAGCGCGAGCCCGAACGCGCGGCACTACCACAGCGTGGCGCAGCGGCGCGTCGCGGCCGCCAACACGGCGTCCGACCCGCTCCAGTGCGCCAGGCGCATGCTGCTGGAGCGCGTCGACGAGGAGTGGCGCCGGAACCGCGTCCGCCCGCTCGAGGACCCGTACCTCGTCGGCGAGGAGGCCGCCGCGCGCGCCCGCGCGGAGCGCCTCGCCCGCGAGAACACGGCCGACGTGCTCGTGCTCGACGACAAGAGGTGGGATTGGTTCCTGGGTGAGTCGTGTTCCCATATATCTCCCCCCCCCCCGCAGTCGTTAAACTGCCCCTTGCCGTGCTGCCCCCGGGAAAGAGACCATTCGTCGACTAATGTCTTTCTGCGTCGCAAAACCGTAGCCCAGACGAAAGAGTTTCGACGCGGGGTCAGGAATGGATCCCAGGGAAAGCTGGCTCGCCGTATCGGAGCGCTCTGAGTCAATGCGCTTAAGAGAAGAGACGGAGCCGTTGACTGCGTCCGAGGGCTTTCTTTATATTTAGTCTGCGACGCCTTAGCATTCTCTCCGTTCCTTACCAGTGCTGCCTTTATATGGCCCCGCTACTGCATTAGTCGGAGTCCTGGGTCTTGTTGGTGCTCTTCCCACCATTCGGCATGGTCTCATCTCTGTGTTCATTTCTGTCAATGCGTCAATGCGACATGATTGTTATGAAACTTGATTCATGGGCATTGTCGAGATGATGTGGTGACAACATCAGAAGTGAAGACTCTCGGCTTGTTAGCTAGGAACCCAACTGAACAATGTCAATCACTCAAAACCCAGAACCCCATGGAAGCTTCAGAGGGCTGGAGCACAATCAACTTTGGTGACTGAGTGACGTTGTCCAACAGGTAAAATTGTCGGTCCAAACCAGACAGATGCTATAGATGGTCTCCAGCTCCCAGTTAAGCCCCGGCCCCTTTCTACCAGGTACGGTGCAGTAATCTACACATCCGTCAAACGCCAGGCCGAATGCAGTCAGAGCCCCCACGAACCGAAGGGGCACTTATGGAGATATTTGTACAAGAGGTTTGCCGTAGACGAGGATGGAGATGCTTAACCCTTGCTCTTGGTGTTGAGGATGAGAGCCACGATAAGGCTACAGCGCGAAATTAGCCTCTCTATCAATTAGCGGATAAACGGTATGTCGAACTCACCCGTAGAGACCGAGGACCTCTCCGAAGATAAGGATGAGGACCATCCCGACATAAACGCGGGACTGGGACATATATGCCCTGACTCCCTTGTCTCCCACAACCCCGATGCAGTACCCAGCTGCAAGTCCTGTCAACCCAACCGACAGCCCAGAGGCAAGGTGCATGAACCCGCTAGCCTCCGCGTTAGCAATGATGGAGACCCGGCATCCCGCAGGAAAACGCGGCTATAGGGAATGTAGGCGTACTTAAACAAGCTGTAGCTCCCCTGCGACGGTGGCTGGAGATCCTGCGCAATCAAAACGGAGATAACGAGCGCATAGACGGCGATAATTCCCGACATGACCACGGGGATGAGGCACTTGAGCAATCGTCAGCTCCCAGTTTTCGCGGCAGTCTCATGACCAATAGTATCCATTTTTGTGTAGCCCACCTTCATAATCAGATCTGGCCTAAACGTTCCCACGCCCGCGATGCCAATGCCAGACTTGGAGGTGCCGTATGCCGCCCCCATGCCTAAGACGTGTCAGCTCGGAACCGGATTGCCGGCGATGCACAGCGACGACGAAAAGAGGACGATGCCGTGGTAGGTTATGGTAAGACGTACAGCCGAATATCATGGCGCTCGCAATGCCGGCCTGTCGAGAGAAGGCGTTAGCAAGGCTGTCCAAGAGCAGCACCGGGGGGCATCTCCGAGCTTACCATGCCGAAGAACGGCGCGAATTTCGGGCTCAGCTCTGACTCGGACATCTTGCTAGGCTGTAGCTGAGTATAACGGCCACGAGAAAGGGAAGTCGTCTGGACGCAGGATTGTTGCGACCCAAGCTTGAAGACCAAAGTTTAATGGAAGGCAGGCGTGGAGAGAGCATCGACGGTCCTCATGGTCGTAGCGTCCATAGCTTAGCTTACGCAAAGGTGCGGATAATCACGTGATTTGATTTCACGTGATTATCCGTCGATAACCAATGAGACCTTGGGTCCGTCTTGGCGGCCCTAGTAAAGTCTAAAATCGGTGAGGGTCGCGCGCTGACGTCTGTCCTGCACAGTCTTGACAGTGTGCAGGTAATAGCCCAGTGTAGTGGATGATAGATGGTACCTTCAACATGAGCTTCTCCCCAGCGACAATCTGCCGGCTCAAACTTTGTTTGGGAGTATTTGCATATGATCAAATGGCTGATTGACTTTTGCCATCTGTAGATACGTCTCTTTCCAGCAAATTGGTGTGTCTCTGATGGGGGATGCCACGTTATCTTCAGGGGGATATCGCTCCTAAACAACAGGTGATAAGGACAAGGGAGGTGATGTGGGCCGCAGAAAAGCCGCCAGTGGATTTAGCTTCTGGCCTTGAATCCCGACCGGACGTGGATTTTGGATGCATCCAAACCGAGAAATAATCCAAACGTTGCTGTGATTTATCTTCCATCTTTCTATTCGTGTTGCCCTTTTTTTCTTTCTCTTTACCGATATCCCGTCACGGTCCTCCTCGTAGGCGGCCTTGTATGCCTGCGTTTCCAATGCCCCGACTATAACAAGTACCTGATCGGAGATTGCGTTCTGAGCGCCCGCACTTCCCGGCATCCGCTCATTTTGCCAAAGTTGGTGCCGTCCTAGCGAAAGCATCAACCAACCCATCCTGCAGCAACGGTGGAAAGGAGGCAAAAGTGGCAGCAGCAGCAGGAGACGAGTAAACCATATGCGATAGCTGGTGCAGCTCTGAACCTTATCGTCAGCGCTCCCCAGATTTGTCGACCTTCCCGAGCTTCACAAGCGACATATCCTCCTGGTCGGCGGCCGTCGGGCGGTAGCACGAGTAAGTTCATTATAACATCATGCCTCCACTTTCCGTTGCTGCAGCGCCGGCCCCGTTGGTTCTCGTGGGCGCCTTGAAATAGGAGGAGGACGTGGTGGATAACATGCTTTCTCTAGGACTTGTGTGCAATAGGCATGGCCGACTACCGTCCAGATCGTATGCCTCCGCCGAGGTCGAACCAGTACGGCCATTCATCCAACTACCAGCGAGATGCCGCCTTCTCCAACATCTTTGGCGCCGCGCCGCCTCCCGGCCGGTCTCAAACCCTGACCTCCGCTGTCCAGCCGCCCCAGATGGATGGACGAACGCAGACAATGTCGTCGGGCACATCTGACATGCAGCGGCAACCTCCTCCGAGAGGCCCGCCCAGAGGCTATGGGGATCCGATGTCCCCTCGAAGCCGTCCCGCTGATGGTCCCACGGCAAACGAGTACTATCCCGGACCGCGTTCCGTCTCCGGGGCCCAACATGTTCCGTCCCCTCAGGCTCAGTTTTCCCAGCAGCAGCAAGCCCGCCGGCCCTATCCTGGCCCTCCGCCGCCAGGACATCCGCAGGGGCAGCCACGACTCGATTCAATGAGGAGGCCACCCCCTCAAGCTCAAGGGTACTACAATAATGCGCCGCCGCGAACTCCCGCTCAGAGGTTTTACCAAGGAGGCCAAGGAGGCCCTGGGCCGGCGATGAACTCGGATCCCTATCGATCGCAATCCCTGGCCAGCGTGTCAAGACCGGCAGTATATCATCCTCCTCCACAATCGTACCAACAAGCGCCGGCCCACGCTTTCCGGCATGCACCGTATAACAATCAGAACTCCGCCCGGACTACAGCCCAGGGGCGCGTTGTTCCTGATAGGCACATGGATGACCGTTCCATGTCCATGACGGGATACAATTCGCATGATCGAGATTCGCATCAGACCATGAGCGGGAGGGTCATACCTAACAGGAGGCCCCCGGGGGCTTCTCCCACGCAAGAGCCCCCTCAACAGGCCAATGGTTATGCAGGACCCGGCTATCCAATAGGCTACACTCCAGCTCCTGGTGCCCAGACGAGAACCACAAGCATGGCATCCTCGATCGGCAATGAGAGTGGTAGGTCTATGTCGATGGCATCGACGATAGCACCGTCGGTGGTACCTTCGGAGAGGACAGAAACCCAGACCCTTGTTCATCGGCCGTCCATAAGCGGCAGCTCGATTAGCGGCGACCGACCACCGACGGCAAAGATCCGGCCCCCAATTGTCTATCCTGCGCTGCTTTCGCGAGTCGCAGAATGCTTCCGGCAGAAGATCATAACTGGCGACCGGACGAAGAACGAACTCACTTACAAGAATGCCTTCAGTGGTGCCGAAGCAGTGGATGTGCTGTCCTACATCATCCGGACGACGGATAGGAATTTGGCTCTCTTGCTAGGACGAGCATTGGACGCCCAGAAGTTCTTCCACGACGTGACGTACGAGCACCGACTTCGAGACTCGGCGTTGGAAATGTACCAGTTTAGGGAGACTTTGACGGAAGAGCCCGAGGATAAGCCAGCCGTCAACGGCGTTTTCGTCCTCCTCTCGGAGTGCTATTCTCCGACGTGTACGAGGGACCAGCTCTGCTATTCCATAGCATGCCCCCGGCGATTGGAACAGGTGTCTAGGCTGGATCTCAAGACGGCCGGGCCGGGCTTAAAGAAGGAAGGTGACGCCGGCGTGGGTGACGATGATGTCGACCAGACGGACGAACAGAAACTCTGGATCAACACTGTTCCGAGGGAAATCGCCAACAGTGTCGACGAAAGGGAGAAGAAGCGGCAGGAGGTCATCTCGGAAATCTGCTATACAGAGCGGGACTTTGTCAAGGACTTGGAGTACTTGAGAGACTACTGGATAATCCCATTACGTGGGAATAGTTCGCCACTTGCGCCGCCTCGCAAGGAGAAGGTTGTGCGGACAATATTCAGCAACATCATCGACCACCCAAGCATTCACATGGTCAGCTCTCGGTTTGCTAAGTCCCTGACGGACCGCCAGCAAAAGAACCCGGTTGTCAATAATGTCGGCGACATCTTCCTGGAATTTGTTCCCCAATTCGAGCCCTTCATCCTGTATGGATCAAAGCAGCTGGAAGCGAAGTTCGAGTTCGAGAACGAGAGGTCTGTCAACCCCATGTTCTCCAGGTTTGTCGACACGACCGAGCGTTACAAGGAGTCGAGAAAGTTGGAGCTCAACGGTTACCTGACCAAGCCTACGACGAGGTTGGCGAGGTATCCTCTTCTGCTGGAGAACGTGTTGAAGTATACCGAGGACGGCAATCCCGACAAGGTTGATATCCCCAAGGTCCTAACCTCGATCCGAGACCTCTTGAGCAGAGTAAATGCCGAGTCTGGAAAAGCGGAAAACCGCTTCAACCTTCGTCGTCTCCACGAGCAGCTGAGGTTCCGGCCAAACGAGAGGGTAGACCTTAAACTCACCGAGGACGGTCGCGAGTTGGTCTACAAGAGCCAGTTCAAGAAATCACCAACGGAGCAGCCTGACATTACCGCCTTCTTGTTCGATCATGCGGTCCTCCTGGTACGGATCAAGCAAGTGGGGAAAGGCGAGGAAACCAAGGCGTACCGACGGGTAAGGAAGGATACCAGAACTCATTCCGCAGTGCATAAACCGCAAATATTCGTGTGTGCTGACATGGCCAACTAGCCTATTCCGCTCGAACTACTGTCTATCAAGGAGATGGACGAGGTCATACCCCAAGGCGCCGTCAAGCGGTCATCGTCGAGTCTGCTTCCCGCGTTGCGGACCAATGCGGGCGACGCGAAGAAGGGGGAAGGCTGGCCAATTACTTTCCGCCATCTGGGCAAGGCGGGATACGAACTGACCCTCTACGCTTCCAACCAAGTTGCGAGACAAAAGTGGCTGGAATTTATCGATGCCGCTCAGCAGAAGCTAAGGGCTCGTGCCGAGTTTTTGAATACCACCGTGATCTCGAGCAACTTCTTTACCACAACAAACAAGGTCAATTGTGTTGCGCCGTTTGGTATGTTCTCACCATCTAACTGCCTGAACCACCTCTAACCATGGAATCAGATGGCGGTAAGAAGCTCATCTATGGGACGGACAACGGGATCTACACCTCGGATCGCAGGTCCAAGGATAGAGCACAGCCTCCAAAGCGGGTGCTCGACCTGCAGACTGTGACTCAGATCGATGTGCTGGAGGAGTACCAGCTGTTGCTGGTACTTTCCAATAGGTCGCTCTTTTCATTACCATTGGCAGCGCTCGATCCCAACGAGCCCGCGCTGACGAGGAGGCCCAAGAAGATACAGAGCCACTGCAACTTCTTCAAGACGGGCATTTGCCTGAGTCGGCACCTGGTCTGCTGCGTCAAGAGCAGCGCGCTCTCGACGACGATCAAGGTGTACGAGCCGAACGACGCCATGTCCAAGGCCAAGAAGCAGAAGGGCCTTAGCAAGATGTTCAACAGCGGACAGGACGAGCTGAAGCCTTTCAAGGAGTTCTATATTCCTACCGAGTCGAGCTCGGTGCACTTCCTCAAGTCCAAGCTCTGCGTTGCCTGTGCCCGCGGCTTCGAGGTTGTCAGCCTGGAGACCCTGGAGACCCAGTCGCTGCTGGATCAAGCAGACACGTCGCTCGACTTTGTGGCGCGGAGAGAGGGCGTCAAGCCGATCCACATCGAGCGGCTGAACGGAGAATTTTTGTTGAACTATAGCGAGTTCTCGTTCTTCGTCAACCGCAACGGGTGGCGGGCAAGACCGGAGTGGCGGATCGACTGGGAAGGGTCGCCCCAGAGTTTCGCGCTCAGCTATCCCTGGATTCTAGCATTCGAACCCAACTTCATCGAGCTGCGGAATATCGAGTCTGGTGCCGTGCACATTGTGCCGCACAAGAACATCCGGATGTTGCATAGCAGTACACATGAGGTGAGCTTTCCCCTCTCCCGCCCATCGGGAATGCCGAGTAGTGCCGTGTCAGCTGACTGACTCCGTTACAGATCCTCTTTGCCTACGAAGATGAACGAGGCGAGGACGTCATCGAGGCCATGGACTTCTGGAAGAGCCAGCGGCGATCTGAAATTCCCAATGTGGCGGCAGGATCATTATGAGACAAGTCGACCTTCATAAGCTCTGACGGCTGCCATCCCACACACTAGTGGACGGCGATGAAAGATCTAGTCCCTGGGGCTCGCCGAGGCTCTTCTGTTGTCTGCACAACGACAATATCCAGTGTGCTGGTCACGCAGGGCGTGCTCAATAGCCTTTAGTTGGGCACTGGACATGGCAGAGAATGACAGTCGTCCGGTCACCACAACACTGGGGACGACGGCCTGGCGCGGCGTTCTCAGCTGTCGTACGTACAGCATATCTCAAAAGGGGTTGACCTGGCCATTCAACTACAGGTTAGCGAGTCTCACAACCATCACGCCGTTATTGCCATATGGCAGACAGTCCAGCAGTATACAACAGGTGCTGGGCATGCTGGGCATATTCTACGGAAATTTGGGATATTGTCGCGGCTTCCAACTTTATCCATGACTGGGCGGCGGACTCACATCTTCCTTCTCCTTCTCTTCTCTTCGTCGGTCTGTAGTTTAGCAAAAGAGATTTGTGATTGGGAGAGGGTTGCCATCTGGGAATGACGGGCTATTTCCATACAGACTGCCGTCAGACCCTTTGCGATTGGGGAATTGGCGATGCATTAGCAGCAACACATTAATTAGCATTTTGTATCCGATCTGAATTTGAGCTCAACTTAGAGGGCGAGGCAGGAGGAGGAGCACTTCAACATACGTTGTAGGCCCACTCACTTGCTGGTGACTCCACTTCCCGTTCCCGTGTGCTTCAGCGGGTGGGGAGACGACTTGGAGAGCTCTGGTTCGCCTTCCCTGATCATGCATCTTACGCGTACACATACCTGATAGGCAAGGTCAAGGAGATATCCAAGCCGCATGTATGTAACTGCCATAACACCGGCATTGCCGACATGACACTTCCCATAATAGATATGGCTGCCATATCAGGTAATTTTCTAGACCAGCCAAACCCTGCTCATCGGCCCAGGTCAAGGCATGGAGGCATGGAGGAAACGGTTCCTGTCGCAGGTTGATCATGGTGGTATCCACCAGCGCTCAGACAGCACAGTGCCGCAGCCGTTTCTTGCCACCCGGTACTTGCGTCTTGGTACATTACATACATGCATCCATCCTTCGATCCCCAAAGGCACTACTGCAAGCTTGTACAGCCAGTCACAGAGCCGAGATTCAAGCCTGGGCCGGAGTTATGGCACACCCAGATTGTTCTAGGCGTCCTAATTACTACCTGCATACCGCAGTAGTGAAAACATGGGCAGCGTCGGGTGTTTGCAACACGAGAGGGCGCGCGCGCGCCGTACATACACTAGGCCGGGCGCGCCCCACTCAGATCATGTTACACCACTACGTTATCCCAGTCGATTGGGTCCGGAGTTTGCTCCCCAGATTTCCATTGTCCCAATAACGCTTGGGTGCTAATGCCTGTTTACTCACTCGGATGGCACGCTAGGATTGGGATGCCTGGGGGAATTCTGGGAATAGCCTGATGAGGCAAGGTCCCAACCGTTGGACAGCGTCCATGGTTCTCGTTGCGGGGAGGGCCTTGGCCTGAGGGGGCCCGACGTGGAGACTATTGGGCGACGCTGTGCAGCATGTCAGGGATGGCCCTATGGTGAGGGCTCTTTGTTAGTCTGGACCAGGGAATTTATGGACTCGGGTCGGCTCATGGATGGTCGGGGAAGCTCCTGGTGCAGCTTCGAGGCCTTCACCGGATGGGTCTCTGCGTTTACTTGTGTCTGTATTATATCTGCTCGAGCTGCCCGCTCCCCGATGCCCGCGCTCTCTATGCTTTTTCACTATACATTCTTTTTCTTCAGCCGGAATAACCCTCCACCACATCTGATCCGTCAAGCTATTGGCCTCGTCAGCTGAACTATACTTATATATATCTACATATACTCATCCCGTCTTCCAGTTCAACCACTGCCACTGCCTCTGCCACTGCCTTTGCTCCTGCTACAGCGTTGTGCGATCCATCTTCATCCTTCATACCCAAGACTCTACTTGGATTCAATCCTCCCCCGATCACAATCACAATGCCGAATTGCTACTGCGCCAATTACTACGTGGGCAGCCCACCCCTTTTCACCCCTGTCTCTCCCCCCTCGTCCCACGGCCAAATTGCTAACGAGCCAGCTCCAGGGCTCCGTCCACTGCCGCAACATGGTGTCCAAGTTCGGCGACAGGTGTAAGCTCTGTCTGGTACGTCCGCCACAGCCCCTTTCCCCAAACAAGCACAGGAACACCGATCCTGACCCGGTCTCCCCGCAGGCACTGAAGAGCGGCGCATCCTTGAGCGAGGGCCTCCTCCCCCAGGACGAGCTGTGGATGGTGTCTCCCAGGCCGATGGCGAAGAGCAAGGATAGCTCCCGAAGCAGCAGCGGCACGACGAGGTCGTCGAGGATACCGAATCACTGAGTTGGACCTCAGGGTGGTGGGAAAATGGGCAAGATTTTGAAGAGGGGGCCCCCAACGGCAGACGAAGGTTTACAGAGAGGATTCGGGTGTATAAGAGGTTCCGGCACTTAGACAAAAGCCGCCAAACCGGGGTCGTGGAAAACTGGGGGATGGATTGCGGTTTTTGAGCGTTGAACGGTCTCGGCGGTGTTTATGAATTGGGTTGGGTCAGGTTGTAACTTCATAGCGTAGCGTGTAAAACCAAGAAGCATCATCAGTCATATACATGGCACCCTCCCTTTTTAGACGACGCGTGGTTTCCCCCCGGCGACATGACCAGCGGAACAGCGTCCTGAACAAGATGCAAAACGCCAACCCAACCAGCAAATATCCTCCCCCCATCGTTGCCTTGCCCAGATTCTACCAGTCCAGCCCCCCCGGAGCCCCTGACGTATATCCCATAAAACAAACAATGCAGAAACAAGAAAACCCTCCCCGCCCAAGCAAGACGAATCACCACAGCCGCCGCTGGTAATACGCAGGAGTGTTCCCCTCAGTCATCACCCGCAGCTCCTCCTTGATCCGCCTCCGCCTCTCGGCCCTACTGACCGGCTTCTGCTTCGGCCTCTTCTCCCCCCCGACCGACCCGCCGGCCCCCTTCTCCTTCTCCTTCTCCACCCCCTTCCTCTCCCCCTCCCCAGACGTCACCCCCTCCTCCTCCGGCACCGAAGGCCGCACCTCCACCACAGGCCCGCTCTTTCCGTTGCTGTTGTTGTTGTTGTCGACGGCGATGACGACGGTCCCGTCCGCGAGCTCCGTCACGTCCTGCTTGAAGCGGTCAGGCAGGAAGATCCCCGTGCCCGGCGAGGGGCGCGGGGCGGGCTTGATTGCTGCGCGGAGGTCGCGGAGGGTGCGCTGCTGGATTGCGAAGCCGCTTAGGAAGAGGGCGGCTGTGAAGAAGAGGACTGTGGGACGGGGGGTTGTTAGTTTTGTTGGTTTGGTTTGGGGGGGTGGAATGGGTGTGTGTGTGTGTGTGTGTGGTATGGAATGGAGTGTCGACTGGTAGGTGGGTGAGTGTGGTGTGGTTGGTGTCTTACCGATGCTGGATGATGCGGCGATCGAGACCTGGGAGTGTGTGAGTAACATTATTCCCCAGAGTCAGATGGAAGGTGGACTGTAGAGATATCTGTATGTTTGTATGTGTTTGTGTGTGTGATTGTGTGCGTGGGCGTCTGTTTCTTCGAGGCCCTTATACGTATATCTGGGTTTCCAGATGTCGCAATCCTGCCTTGATTTCCATCAAGGCCAGTCTCCAAGTAGGCAACTAAACAAGAGGCTGCGTTGGCGGGGAGACCACTGCTTATCGCTTATCGATAAGGGAACCTACCTGTTTTGAGGCGGTCGCACGTGAAAATATTTGGAGCAATCAGAAATCGGACAAGCTTCCCAATTTCGAAAAGTCCAAATCTCTACAAACGCCACACCAGGATAGATAATCCCCGCCGAAAGCCGCGAAAATGGGCAAGTCCGAGTTCCACCAGGCCGACGAGCGGCGGTTCGTGGACCAGCGTGGCAGCAGCGCGACGCTGGCGCCGAACGGGCTGAACCCGGCGACGATCATGGAGAAGGCGGTTCGGGAGCGCATCGTGGACAGCTACTTCTACATGGAGCAGTGCTTCGGGGTGAACGAGGCGGACATTGTCGACCGCGTAGTCGAGCACGTCTCCTTCATCGGCGGCGTCAGCGGCACCGTCCAGAAGCCCACCCCGTTCCTCTGCCTCGCCTTCAAGCTCCTCCAGCTGGCGCCCTCGGACGCCGTCCTGCGGGAGTACCTCGCCTTCGGCGGCGAGAAGTTCAAGTACCTCCGCGCCCTGGCGCTGTTTTACATCCGCCTCACACGCCCGGCCAAGGAGGTCTACACCATGCTGGAGCCATACCTCGAGGACGGCAGGAAGCTGAGGCGCAAGGGGAGGGCGGGGACCAGCCTGACGTTTGTGGACGTGTTCGTCGACGACCTGTTGACCAAGGACCGCGTGTGCGCCACGAGCCTGTGGAAGATGCCCAAGAGGGACGTCCTGGAGGACCTGGAGGTCTTGGAGCCGAGGGTCAGCCCGCTGGGGGACATTGAGGACCTGTTGGAGGAGGATGAGGAGGAGGAGGGTGGGCAGAACGGGGAGGGGGCCGGGGACGGGAACGCCAGTGAACGGTCGTCGAGGTTCGAGTCGCCCATGGAAGCCTCGGATCGTGATGTTATGGACGTGGACAGTGATGAGAGGCGGTTGAGCAAGACGCGCAGCCGCAGTCCGTGATGGGTGCGTACGCGGGACGACTATCAGGACAGCTGGACATTGGAGACTTTATCGAGGAGTCCGAATGAGGAATCCAGGGTGACCACCTAAACTACATGCTGCACAGCTCGAGAAGGCACGAGCAGCAGAAAGTCTCAGCCAGCGGAAATCTGGTCTCTGAGTGGGTGGGCTTTCTGGTAGGTCACAGCTGATTCGATTTGAGCCGACTGGCCAGTTTGGAGTGGGTTCTAACGTTCAGCTATATACAGGACATATTTACAGGTTGCCACAGTTGGCAGGATGGAACACATCGCTGTTCGGGGCAATTCACGCCGAAAATCAAGCTCAGGCAGGCATGGAACAGCGGGTGCAGACATGGAGCGGGGCCGATCTAGAGCAGAGAGTGGCCAGCTAGAGGTGGCCACCCTCTGCTCGGCATTGCCTCAAACTCCATCGTGAAGAGTTATCGGAGGCCACCACTAGCCGGCGTAATCCTCATCTTCGCGCCCGCCTATTTAAGCCCGGTATCCTGGGGACATGTCCCATACTCTTTGTTGGATACGATCATGTTGCATGGACAAGGAGCGGAGTTTGCTTCTCTGAATGGGCCAGGGGGGAGGACCACCATATCATGTTGCCAGTTAGCCTCCAAATAAACCGCCGATCGCATGCCACTAGGTAGTTCCCTCTGCCATCGTATCCATGATCGCGCAGCCGGGTTCGAGGATTCAAGACCGCGGAATGAATATACACCAGCAGTTGCGGGTGGTCATTGCGAACATAGGGGTGGTCCTTTGTCACGATCTCTCACCCAGCATAGCCACGGCTTGAGTCGTGGCGCGGTAGATGTATCACGTATCGCTCCCGGAAAAGGTTCAGGCCACGGCAGTGTCCAAAACGGCCTCAGCCACGGCAAGTAACCGAGCATCGTCCCAGTACTGGCCGATGAGCTGCAACCCAGCGTAGCTCGGGCGGCCCTCTTCGGCGGCCTCTGTGCTCGAAGTAATGGGGACCGGGATACTGATGGCAGGCAACCCGGCGAGGCTTGCAGGGACGGTGAAGACGTCGTTCATGTAGGCGTCGACGGGGGTCTGCTTCATGACGTCCCCCAGCTTGGGCGGCAGCGTCGGCGCAGTGGGGCACAGCAGGAAGTCCACCTCGGCGGGGCCGAGCTTGTCCTCGAGCACCACGTCTTCCCCGAGATCGCTGAGGTCGAACGTCTCGGGCTCGAGCAAGGGGTTGTGCAGCGCGAACACGCGGTCGAAGTCGCGCCTCACCAGCCGGCGCACCCGCTGCGCCTGGATGAAGTAGTTGTCCATGGCCTCCGAGCTCAGCGTGTACGAGCCCAGGAGGATGCGGCGCCTGACCTCGTCGCCGAACCCGCGGCCGCGCGTCCGCGAGTACAGGACCCCGCCGTCGCCGGCGGCGTCACTCTCGGTGGCGCCGTCGTCGTCGTTCCTCCTGCCGTACCGCACGCCGTCGTACTTGGCGAGGTTGGAGGACGCCTCGGCCGGCGCGATCACGTAGTAGGCCGACAGCGCGTGGCGGGTCGACGGCAGGGAGACGGGGACGACGCGCGCGCCCAGGCCCTGCAGCGCCTTCGCCGTGCGCGACCACGCGTCCCGGATGCAGGGCTCCAGCTCTTCGATGTTGTACTCCAGCGGCAGGCCGAACTTGACGCCGGCGAGGGACCGTCGCGCCTTCTCGCCGACGCAGTAGCCCTCCCTGGCAGCGGCACATCTCTTCCGGGCGGCCGCTGAAAGCGAAGTCGGGTCCCTGGGATCGTGTTCCGCACACAACCCTCCACCGACGACCAGGTCCGCAATGGTCCGCACCTCCCTGGCCAGCAAGCCCACGGTGTCGAGCGAGTTCGCGTAGGGCACGATGCCGTGGCGCGAGACCATGCCGTACGACGGCTTGAAGCCCACGACGCCGACGTACGCGGCCGGCAGCCTGACCGAGCCGCCCGTGTCTGTGCCCAGCGCGACGTCCGCCTCGCCCTGCGCCACGGCCACGGCGCTGCCCCCCGAGCTGCCCCCCGCCGACCACGGACCGCTGCCGACGCCGACGGGCCCCGCCGCCGAGTTCGTCGAGTGGCTGCCCATGCCGAACTCGTCGAGGTTGGTCTTGCCGACCAGGACGGCGCCGCGGGCGCGCAGCTGGGTCACCACCGTCGCCTCGAAGGGGCTACGGTGGCCCGCGAGGATGGCGGACGCGCATGTCGTCGGGAGGGCCGGGTCGGTGGTGGCGATGTTGTCTTTGACGGCTAGGGTGAATCGGGGCGGGTGCGGGGCATTCTCGGGGGAGGGAGCTGAGGGGATTGCAGTGTCAGCTGTGGCGGTTCCGCGGCTGCTTGAATGCCCGGCTGAGGTCTCACCTCTCGAGATGAAATGGTTCAGCAGCCGTCGCTGTGTCCCATCTTTGCAAAGCTGCCCACGGCGAGGCTGCAGGCGGGACAGCCTGGCAGCTCCGAACATGTAGCGTTGGCGACGGGATGTATGGGGCTCAATTGGAGTTGGTACACGTCGGGGATGTGCTAGACTTGTCCATTAATAGTCCTGGTGTTGGAAGAAATTTGGAGCTTCAAGCTTGAGCTTTGGTAGACCAGATTCTTACTTTCGACCCCAACCCTAACCCTCGGGTTGGTGCGGAATCCACCCTAAGCCACGCAATCACTATGCAGCGTCCAGAGCATACAAACATCGCTGTGGGAATGTGGTATAGACTCTTGTCGAGTTCATGACTACACAAACTACATGCATTCTATACAGATGATCATGCTGAAACCCCACTCGAGGTTCAGGCCGGGTACTCGATGACATTGCTCGTAGCGAGCAAAGAGAATAACATTACAAGCCTATCTGAATGAGCCCAAGATTATACGATACACTAGCCCTTGACCAGCTGATTTATACACAGGATTTATATATGTTCCCGAAAATCTTACGCCTGGTGCCTGTCATCTCTGGATCCCTTACACAGTCCCCGGTCCCTGACCCGTTCACCATGCCCTCTCATTTCAAGTGCCACCCGAAGACCTTCTCAAACACTTCTTTCCCATGACCTTCAATAGAGTCTCCATGGCAGGGAATGATGGTCGTGAAGTCCCAACCATGGATCCTCTGGACACTGTCGTTGAAACCGGAACGATCCGACCGACTCAACGCATGCCAGATAAACCGCTTTTGGCCCTTGGCCGCGCCCTCGGTCGACTGGAAGCTGGAGAACAACTTCCCCAGCGCGCCGTCCTTCCTCCCCTCCTCCGGGACACGCGAATACTGCTCCGTGGGCGGCAAGTTGAACATCAGGTCCGCCTCGATGAGGACCCTGTCCGGCTTGTAGAAGAAGACGAGCTCCTTGTTCGGGTGGGCGTCGACGTACTCGTACTCAAAATCCCGGTCAAACTCCTTCGTGATCCTGGTCTCGCGCTTCGTCTTGGCCTCAAAGACGGCGAAGAACTTCTCCTTGCCAATCTTGGGGTCCTGGGCCTTGAGCCGCTTCTCGGGCAGGCCCTCGGGCCCGATGATCTTGGCCTCGGGGAACTCCCTTGCCCAGTCCGAGATGAAGATATGGTGCTCCGCGTCGGTGGCTACGATGAACTGCAGGTTGCCGCCCAGGTCGGCCAACGTGGCCTTAACCTCGGGGGTCAGGGCTACAGGCGAGAAGACGGCCAATGCGCCCGAGGTAAGTTTGACTGTTGAGCGTGTCAGCTGACTGTTCCTGCCTGCTCGCAATGGGTTGGTTTAGACTCACCGATCGTCCCCCGGCCGCCAATCTTCAGCCTCCCGAACCGCAGGAAGGGTACTGATAGGGTGACGACATTCGGCGTGATATGACGAATGACCATCACATCCGAGGGGTTGTCCGGGATGAGCTTTGACGACATTGCGTCCGTGCTGTGTTCTCCGTTGATTGAATGAGATGCGAGTGCAGTCAATACTATGCTTGCTGTGATGAAAACGGCTAGCCTCTTCGACAAAGACCTGGATTCAGGGTTGGCGACTGAAGCTTGAAGGGTGGTAGAGCGTCGCGGGGCTGAGTGGGCAACTAAAGGCCTCAGATGGTGAAGCTGTTGGGTGCCTCTCTGTCGTGTAAGTCCAAGTGATGGTCTCAGGCGTGTTTTAACGGCCTGATCAACAGATCGCTTTCCAGGATTGTTAGCTTGTGATCCAAGCCCGGATGAATGGCAACTCAAATGCCATACTGGATCGCTGACGGACCTTCATTATCTACCCAAATTTCCGAACGGCATCGTCGGCATGTGCTCTTCGTTCGCCTTCGCCTTTGGTGAGCATGCGATTCCTCCATTCGCCCCATGGACCCACAGTCTCCTCCAATCAGAAGCTTCCTTCTAGGACCTATTTGGTTCCTCGACTTGAAGCTTACTAAGTATTTTGCCCCACCTAACTACCTACCTACCTAGTTATATAGGTTGGCAGAATTCGAAAGTTATCGCGGTGCCTAGGGACCTACATTCCCGATTACTTGACTTATGCTAACAGCGCCAGCGTTTAGATGCCATTCTTCGGGGGTTTTCGCCGTAAGATCCCAAACGAGGATGTGGCCGAAAAGGAATCCAGCATATTCGCGTTGTCCGTCTAGCTTGAGGATGTCCTTGGAGTCCGACAGCTGCAAGGGATGTCTTCTTTTACAACCTTAATGACCCTTTCTTCACCATACTTGGTGGTCTAGTTCTGACTGCAGGCATCACCAATACCAATTTCTACCTTATGGTCGGAATTGTCATCAAGATCGAGCCCGAAGGTCCCTTCTCCCTCCAGAACGACAACGGCGAGACACTTGCGCGATATTCGCAGCCTCTGCTCCTGGAAATTATTTTGTTGTCGCTTACGAACACCAATGGCACGAGAATGATTGGGGTCGTTGCATCACCCTTCCGCCAACGATTGGAGGGACGATCAATTCAGTTCCGAATGGCCTGCTCCTCCAAGCTACCCCTCCATATACTGTTGTGAACGTGTGAGTTCGAGCTTCGCTTTGGTTGGCGCTCTAATCTGAAATGGGCAGGGGCATTTAACTGTTAAGGTAGGGGCATTTGGCTAGCCGTCGCTGTCACTATTGCCAAGTCGGGCTCTCTTGCTGTCGCCGTCTCTGTTGCTGTTGCCGTCGCCGTTGCCGTTGCCGTCGCTTGTTCAGTGGCTGGCAGCTGGTCTTCTTCATGCTCCAACTGTCCCAATAATTTTGGCGGCCCGGAACCCCTGCCCAGCTTAGACCCCCTGCCTGAATACCTAGCCAAATGCCCCCCTGCCCACGGAGACAATCTATTTAAACTTGATAATTGTATTTTTTTTTTTCGTTCCTTCTTGAGGTAATCCGTCTCCTCCTCGACTAAACCAAAGACACATACTACACAAAACTACATTTACTGTGTAGCGAGCTTCCCATCGCTGCCCAAAGCTGTCATCTGTGCCGCTGTATCTTCGCATTAGACCAATGGAAAGGGTGGAACATGGCGATGAGAAGCCGAAGCAAACCACGCCCGGGGCGGACAGAGCACAGAATATGGGGGTCGTCGATGGGATACGATTCTGATGAGGTAGAACTATGAAACTCGGTAGAAGATGAAAAAGTTTCTATTGAGCCTACGTAGGGGCTGTTTCAAGAAGATTTCGCTCTGTTTTAGCGTTTAGCGACTTAGTGGGAAGTTTCGCGAAACATACTTCTAGGTCTTATGCATCTTTTAGTTATTGACTTGAAGACTGCAGCTTAACATACTTGTGGTGCAGCTTAGTTTTAGATTGAGACATAACATATGTTTGTCAAGAAATACCCTGCATTAAAGCCACATAGCAGGCGCTCTCACCTCAAGCAAATAGGTTCTGTCAATGCTGTTACATACTCTCTCGGCTTGTCACTAAGGCACTAACTATCTAAGGACAGAGAGTGAACTTAGGAAACTTGGCATGTGTGGCCCAGGCTTTGAAGAAGGCTGTTGCTATTTCGAAGGGGCCGCTAATATCAGGAAAAGGACCAATGATATAACTGTCGTCTTTGCCTCTAACGATGCAAAGGAGGTATCGACTAAACACTGTAAAGGCAATGTAGGTTGGTCATAACATTGAAGAAACCCCGTCTGTCTACGGAGACGTCCAACTAGCCTAGTAACTACTAAACTCCTACTCCACAAATCCTCCTCCCCTTCAAATCCATCCATATATACACATCCCTGAAAACAACATTAAAGTTTCTCAATCCCTCAACCATATCAATACCCCAGTATCGGCGGGCAAGGCACTTGAGGTTGTCGAAGAGACGCATATGCCGTGACGCCGTATCACCGTAGTCCCACTAGGGCAAACTTGTGCTCTAGTCCGACGATGGGAGAGTGTCACAGGCCTGAGCACCGCAGTGTCTAGTAGTATTCGTGGTCGCTGTTCGGTGGTCCTCTAGAAAAGAGCCCGGATTCTCGCAAGGCTCTTTTCTAGATCCCTTGCAGCTGTAGTAGTCTGTATAGATAATGCACATCTTCCAGCTGCGCAAAACCTAACCCACAATAATTGGTTGGAGGGGTTGAGGGATGATGATCTTGTGTGTCTTGCTGGGAAACAATACGTATATTACCTTGTCACATCGCGTGGAACAGGTAAACAGAGAGGCAGTGAAAGAGATTTCGATAGTGCTGCGTCGAGAGGATCTCAGAAAATATCCTCGATGCTTCCCGATTGTCCGCTCAGCCAGTGTACGAATCCGAGGTACGGCAAGTAGGCGACCCGCAATCAACCTTCTTCGATGTGGTGGTAATCTCGACCTGGCCGTTTGGCTTGGTCACCACCTTGGTAGTGTTTGTTGTGGTGCACCTGGAATAGTAAAACATGAGCCATGATCCAGATTAAGATCGAATAATATGACTTGCATTGTTTTTTGATGAGGACAACGTTTACTGGGCTGGATTGTGTACTCGGCCTTGCGAGTTATTCTGTCTCTTGGAGTTGAAATACAGCTCAAGACGAAGGTACCAGGATGTAATGCTTCAAGCTCTTGGCAAGATTGTCCAGGAGGAATGGAAGGGGGTTCAGGTGTGCGAAAATGTAATACTTATTGTTCTCAAGCTCGATGCCTAGGTATGTACCTATCTTCGAATTTTGGCCACTCAAACGACTTGCAGAGTAATTATAAGTGTCGAGAGTTGGTCGCCTGATCCGTCGAACCGCAGTTTCCGCAACCACCTGCGCACTTTGGCGTTATCATGATATGTCCGGGCTTAGGTCGGTATCTATGAGGGAAGTGCAGGTGGGTCTGAACGAGGTACATTCTGCAGATGTGCCTTGGAGGCTTCGGAAATCGAAGGCTTGCGCGCAACGCTAGGTATGTTCCCTAATCCTATTGGTTCAATATAGCGGTGTGTTCGCACAACATACGTACGTATTATAAGACTCCTCGAATGGACACCCTTTCTCTCCTTATGCTTATCAAGGACAGGTGCCTCAACGTCTTGGAGAGCACGATTTTTGATTCCGTCTGGACTCCTTCCTGCCGCCTTCCTGAAACCATGTCCTCCCCAAAATCGACCAGCGCTGAGGAAGGGACCGCTTCCAGCAAAACGCCCCCGATCGTGACGTCCCTCCAGGACTTAACCATAATCGAAGCATGGGACTCAGAGAGAAACACGTCCAAATACATAACTTTTTACGTGGTTACCCCAGATGAAGAAGTCTACTTCGGCCAGTCGCCGAAGAAGAAGAAGGACATGACTCTTGCGGAGTACAGTGCAGCGCTACAGCGGGTCGATGACGATGAGATCTACCCAGTGTGTCCCGGGGACACTGATTTGACGATTGCACCAGATAACATCAACAGCCCTTGCGTCTATATCAAGCGGCCCGGCCTAAACAATTACGAGACACTGAAGGAGTCCAACCTCATCCCCAAGGCCCTTCTGGACGAGACCGTCATCATGGAGCAGATTTCCAAGTCACCTCACCCGAACATCATCAAATACCACGGCTGCCGCGTGAGACGCGGACGGATCACAGCGATACTCCTAGAAAAACTCGACTCAACTCTGAAGCAATATGCCTCGACACCCGATTTTCAACGCCTCGATAAGGCCAGTTTTTTCGAGGCTCTCAAGTCGGCTGTCGACTTTCTCCACTCCCTGGGTTTAGCCCACAACGATATCAACCCGGACAACATCATGGTCAAGGATGGGACGGCCGTGCTTATAGATTTCGGTTCTTGCCAGCCCTTTGGGAAGCGCTTACAGTCACTCGGCACGGCGGGATGGTACGAGGAGCTGTTCTTCACTTCCGAGAAGAAGCATGACGACTATTCTCTTGGAAAGCTACAGCAGTGGCTTCAGAATCCAGAATGTGTCGCTGTCGGCGCCTTGACCTCCTAATTCGCCATTCACTTTGGCCATCACGGGCCTAATTAAATTTCATTGGAGCGGGGTGGATAACGAGGTACCTATTTAACTTGCATATAATTATGTGTGGCGTGTAGGGGAAAATGTGGTTCCCCTCAACGGTCTGTCTTCTTCCCCTAGAATTCCGATATTTTTCGGGCTGCCGTCGCCGGCATGGAATCGAACCGGATCTGGCATGACCCTGTGGTAGAGATCTTCAGCAACCTCGTCACCCCTGGGGTTTGCTGCTCCGCTGAGGCGTATGACCTGGCCAATCGCCGGTGGTACCGCCTCGAAGTCGACGCGGAAGTTCTAGATGAAGACTGGCTGTCTTCAACGGTCGCCAAGCATGTCAGGGAGTCCTACGCCGCCAACAAAGAAGTGCCGCCTTGGAACACCATCAAGACTACAGCCCGCGGCAGCCCCGTCACGTTTGAGACCAAACCCGATGACCGCGTTGATAGGCTAATCACAAAGTCGCTGTCCTACGGCTCGGAAGCGACGAACAAGCTGCCAACCACCACCTTTGACCAGCTTGAGAGCTTGACCTATATCAGTAGGTCAGCAGACCGATGCACCTGGCATGGCAAGGACTGTGTCTTCAAGCGCATCGAATTTAACGTCGACATTAAGCCCATCATGAAAGAGATCCGCATTCGGGAGACCCTGATCGACGCCATAGGGCCGGTCGGCATCGCGGACGTCAACGCCGAGATTACCAGGCGCTTCCTGGTCGTCCCGGTGCTCGCCGTCGTCATCGGAAACTTGAAGCCGTGGAAGCCTGGCACCGTCGCGGGGGTCCTTATGCTCTTTGCCGGCCCGGACCTTGAGATCTTGGCCAGGGACGCCGATGTCGCCCTTCCCATCACCGAACGTCAGCTCCGGGACTTAGTCCGCGGTGTACGGGACCTTGGAAAGTGCGGCGTCGAGCACGGTGACATCAAGTACTGGAACACGGTGCTCCAGCCGGCGGAGGAAGACGACGCGGCGGCGGCGGCGAAGCTGCTGCTGATCGATCTTGGGTCCGTGGCTCCCGAGTACGACGGGGATGCGAAGGCCCTGGGCGCATTGCTGCTTTGGTGCCTGGAGCGCGCGCCAACGCTGAAGGAGAACGAGGCGGCGAGAGCGAGAGTAGACGCTGCGGCGGCGGCTCTCGCCGAAGAGGACTTCGATGCTGCGCTGGAGTCTTTGTCTCCTGGAGATGCTTAAAGGTGGCAACTGAGTTTAACTAGAACGTTATTTGATGCTCTTCATAGGAATCGCCCCGGAACTTGTGTGACTGGAGAATAGAGAGAATGGCCCCGGATCCCCAGATCTAAACCGCTAAGGATCTATGCGATTCTGCCTAGTCTCATAGAGTCTCCAAATAGTCGGCCATCTCCGTATGCCCCCTGTCTCGTGCACGCTGTGCGGCTGTATGCCCATGCGCGCCTCGCACATCTCTCTCTGCTCCGTGCCTGAGCAGTAAATCGACCATATTGGCGTCCCCGCGCCCGGCCGCCTTGATCAGGCACGTGTCCTGCAGCTGCTCCTCCGTCCTGCCGACCATTGGTCCCCAGCCGTAGTCGGCGATCTTGCCGTCGACAACCAGTCCTTGCTCCAGGAGCATCTCCATGACGACCAGCCTGTCCGGGTTGTCAGTCGGCCACTGCGTGATGGGCAGCGCCAGCTCGGCCGAATCACCGCCGGGGTAGTCGTCCGACAGCGAATGCTCAAGCGGGAAGCAGTCCAGCATGGTACGGGCCGGCGCAGCGCCGACGGGGACGAACGGCCCGCCCTTGGCAAAGTTGAGGCTGGTGCCCTCGGTGACGGACAGGAAGCGTGAAATGGTGACCGCGCCGAGGACCACACCCCGTGCGCTCAGCGCGTTCAGGTATTCGGTAAACGCCGGGGAGGCGCGGAGCTGATGATCCTTCGCCCAGTAGTCTGCCAGCCAGTGCAGGCCGTGATACAAGCCTGCCGGCAGACCGGCGGCGTCCTTGGTCTCCGGCAGGGGGTAGTGAAGCCAGGCGCCGGGTTCGGCGTTCAGCAGGGCTGCCCACAGCCGCCACTCCAGCTCGCGGTTGTGTGGGGTGTTGGGCGAGTGCTGAAATATGATGCTGGGGCCCTGCCGGCTGGACAGGATCGCCGCGCCGATGAGGTCGAAGCTGGTCTTGGCTCTCGTTGAAGATGCCCTGTGGTGCTTGACCAGGTGCTCGAGGACGTCCACATGCCGGCGTGCGTAGGCAATAATGCCCAGGATGTCGACGATCCATGGCGGGAGCGAGGCTAATCTCACTCCGATGTCGAGCTCGACGCGACGTTGCAGCCTGGCAACTTCGGCCTCGCGGTAAAAAAGGAGACACAAGGCCTTGAGCTGCTCGCCGTCTAAAAATAGCACAATTGAATCTCAGAATTGACACGCTATACGCTATACGACATGGAAGTAGATCCATTAGCTGATTCGCGGGCCTCACCTGCATGCGATAATCTCCCCAGATTGCGCTTTAGCATTCTAGATTTAAACGCTCCGGCGATCAGGTCTGCCTGCAGGGCATGGGCGATATTAGAGTTGGACTTGTCCCAGGCATGGCGGGCCCCGCCCTCCCGGATGTGATCGATCAGGCGGTCGAAATACTCCTCGAGCGTGATGTCTCCGAGCGCGTGTCTGGCCGTGGTCCAGCCGAAGCACTCCTCGTCCGCCTGCTCCAGCTCTTCCTGGATCTCGACCAGGTTCGGGAAGACGCTGAGGTGGGGAGCGTGAGGATCATCAGGCAGAGGAGCTCCGCCACCCTCTTCTCTGGGGCAGACGAACATCTTGCTGGTCAAAAGGGGAGCTATTAAAGCCTTTTAGAAAATTGACACTCTCAGGTATATGGCCATGAAGATTAAGGAGGGTCGATGGTAATACAGGCGCATCAAGTCGAGTTTTTTGGTAGCTAATGTTGGGGCTTTAGAAATGCCCTGTTGGCATCGTACGGAATTCATGGAAGAGATGCCGTTTATTGGTACCAACATGCATGCAGATAGGTGTCAGCGTCTGCCCAAGCCCTGAAAATGTCAGGTTTGGGGGCCAATCGTGCCCATACATGCCCACTTCGGGAATACCGTTCGAAATTTGATAGCTACCGGAAGATCAGATGCTCGTTTTCTGGGATGGCTTTATAGTACCTTACATCCGTTGCTATCGTTGTACAGATCTAACCGACTCTGTCGAAGGGAAAAGTGAAAAGGGGTTCCGTTCCCCGTAGATCACCGTAAATCCGTACAACAAGTCAGCTTTGTCAACGGGAACACAAGGCATGCGCGCCGGAAGAAGAGAATGGGCCAGTAGCCTTCTAAATACCTTACATCGCTGGTATTCCTCCAGGGCGGAGATTGGCTGCGGAAACAAAACAACGAAAGACTCAAGCCGTAACAAGGAGTCAAGAAATCAACAAGCATGCGCCATCCTTCCATCCTTCCATTCTTCCATCCTGCAAATGAACTCCAGCGCTCCCTTCAAGCCAAAGCTCCCATTTCCCTCCCCTTCACACAGTTGCAATACCCCCGCATCCCCTCCCCCTCTCATCACATTCCCGATTCCGACGATCTCACACACTCACCACAGCCTAGAATACCTCTCCGGGAAGAACACCCGATTCAGCCCCCTCCCGATCCACCCGACCGTCAGCAGCCGGAAATCCACCTCGACAGGCGACCAGGCCGGGTACGGCCTCCGCTCCACTATGTCGGCCACGTACGCCATGCGCCACCCGCCATTCTCCTCCACCCAGATGCCCCTCTCGAACGCGACGGCCACCAGCGCGAGCCACGCAAACACCGCCGCCAGCGTCGTCGCCGCGCCCACCATCGCCGCCGCTGACGGGAGTGTCGGCCTCTCCGGCTTCCGGCGCAGGCGGACGATGTGGTACAGGGCTAGCTTGGCCAGGTACCACGGCAGGCCGGCGTAGCCCGTGACGGAGACGAGGAGCCGCCACAGGTTGTAGGGCTGCATGAGGATCAGGAGCGTGAGCCAGACCAGGGCCGTGAGGGCCTGGCAGAGGAGGCGCGCCGCGCCGCCGAAGGGGTCGCTGCCGTGGCCGTGGCCGGGGGGCGGGTGGCAGATGTGGTAGGTGTGGGTGCGGTCGGGGTCGTGTGCTTGGTGTTCTTCGTCTTCGGCGCTGTCGTGTGTAGGGTTGGGAGGTGGGGTGTGGGTTTCCTCCTGTGGGTCGGCCTCTGAAGCTGTGCCCTGGGTATGTTGGCCTTCTTCTGACTGCGGGGATGCTGGTGGTCCTGCCTCCGCCTGCCCTGAAGTCAGTGGTAGTAATTTTCGCTGGGCGCTGTCTTCAACCCCTTTCCGGTCTCGTCTCGTGATGCGCGGGCGGCAAGCACAGGAGTTCTGAGGGAAAAGGAAGCGGTAAAGTCGAATATCGGGGATGAAGTAGAGTAGAAGGGTGCAAAAGCACACTTCGCTGTGGCAGCCCGGATATACGGCTTTTGTGCTTTGGTGAGGTGATATCTGACTCTGATCTGGATACTTGAGTCTGCGGCGTAGATCTTGGAGCTGTCTCGTTTGCTCTTCGTAAACAGCCGACACGATATCCATCTTGCTTCGCATGTCGACAAGGGCACCCGCCGCATCCTGCTGATCTTCGTGGAGCTTGGCGACTCTTTGACGGAGGCTCTCCATCTTAAAATCATCCGCATCCGGCTGAGCTCTCACTGCAGCTCGTAGCTCGCTTTCCGCCGTTGCTAGCTGTTCAACGATAGACTGGTATAGTTGTTGGTTGAAGTCGATGCCTCCCCCAAGCTTCGTTATCTCGTCATGATTCGTGTTGCTGAAACTTTCGAGCTCTCGTATATGCCCATCGACTGCCTCGAGCTGGGCTTGCCTCTCTTGAGACTGCTTTCTCTCCTTTACCAGCTGCTCTTCGATCTGACCCTGCGATTGTCCTCCCTGTTTTGCCAATTGCTTCTCAAGCTCAGTCTGTGTTTTCTGTGATAGTTTTCTTTCTTTTGCCAGCTGCTCCTCAAGCTGAGCCTGCGATTGCTCTCTCAGTTTATCCAGCTGCTCCTCGAGCCGAGCCTGCAATTGCTCTCTCTGCTTCGCCAGCTGGTCCTCGAACCGAGTCTGTGCTTCTAGTGACTGTTTTCTCTCCTTTGCCAGCTGCTCCTCAAGCCAAGCCAGTGTTTCGTCTGATCGTTTCTTTTCCTCTCTTTCGTTTGCCAACTGCTCTTCGAGCTGAGCCTGCGATTGCTCTCTCTGTTTGGCCAGCTGCTCCTCGAGTCGAGTATGCACCTCTTGCGAACGCTCTCTCTCCCTTGCCAGTCGCTCTTCGAGTTGACCCTGCCTCTTTTGCAATTCCTCCCTCTGCGTTGCTAGTTGCTCCTCAAGCTGGGCCTGTGTGTTTTGTGAATCCTTCCTCTCATTTGCCAGCTTTTCCTTGAGCTGAGTCTGCATATTTTGCAATTGCTCCCTCTTCCCCGTTAGCTGCTCCTCGAGTTGAATCTGCGCCTCTTGTAACTGCTTCTTCTCCCTTGCCAGCTGCTCTTCGAGTCGAGTTTGCATCTCTTGTGACCGCTCCCTTTCTCTTGCCGCCAGCCCCTCGAGCCGAGTCTGCGGCTGTTGTGACTGCTCTCTCTCACTTTCCAACTGCTTCTCAAGGCCTGCGATTATCCGTGAAAGCCCGTCGCGCACCTCGTTTGCCCTGTCCTTCTCGTCCTCAACACTTGTCTTTAGGGCGCTGAGGAGTTCTTCCTTCTCTTCCAGCTGATCTTTGAGTTGGCCGTTTTCGTCAAGCCCCTGACGTCCCGCGTCCTCTAGTGATGCGATGGTCTGGTCAAGCTCGACGGATCGATTTTCCAGCTCCGATACTTTCTTCCCCAGGCCGTCGATACGCTGCTGTTTTGCGTCGGCCTCCTGCGCCATCTTCGCCTTGTATTCCTCCAACAGGTGGCTTATCCTCTCCAATTCTCGATCTCTCTGCGAGATGATGTTGGTTAGATTTCCATTTTCCGATCGTATTTTCACGGAGCTCTCCATCCATTCCAATTTCTGCTGCTCTGCTGAGTCGAACTGCGCTTTCAGCTCATTGAGCTTCTGTTCCGCGATCGCGTCCCGTTCCTTGAGCATGTCTTCGTCCACCGAGGCCCGACTCTGCTCACTGGTTAATTGCTGTACCTCCGCTTCCAGGTCTTTGATGTGGTCCATGTACATGTCCACATCGGCCTGCACGGCCTGGCGAGACTCCTCGAGCTTAGCAACCTTCTGCGTCTGGAAAGCCAACTCTTTCTGCAGCTTGGCGATCGCCTTCGAGTTCTCCTCGAGCTGTTCTTCCTTGGCGACCATAGCCTCCTCGAGAAAGTTGATGTGGATTTCGCTTTCCGACTCGGCTTCTTCCCCCTGGGTCTTCGAAGCGAATTGTACGGCCTTCAATTTGTTCTCCTTCTCGTCCACTATCCGTCGGAAATCCTGCCTCTGCCTCTCCAATTCGTCTCTTGTGTTTTGCTCATTGAGATGCATCTCGTACAGCTGCCGGTCGAGCTCGTTCTTCTCGTCTCGAAGCTGTATGATATCCATCTGGACTCTCTCCAGTTCCTTCTCGCGGGGCAGAGAAATGCGCAGACGCTTGTTGGCTCGTAGGATGGACTCTTCGTTATCCTTGAGAGCATTCGAGAGTCGGTCGTAGACCGCCAATAGGTGTCCGTATTTCTGCTCTTCTGGCAGGTCCCGAATCGATGCCCAGAGCATCTTGCTCGGCTCGCGATTCTCCCAGTCAATCGCGGCTCTTTTCGCCTCGTCCTCCTCCTCGAGGGGCGGTACATATGAGGGCAGGCCATCTTCGGCCAACTCGTGCGTAAAACTGGGGACGGTGACTGAGGGACTGGCTGCTGATGGAAATAGCACCTCGTCCTCGTACCAGGGCGACCTTCTCGGGGTTCGACGGCGAGAACTGCCGGGGGTGCGGAGGCCACTTCCAACTACTTCGGTTGCTTCTTCGGGTAGGGGGTTTGTCGTTGAGATAGGCGGAGGGCGGAGAATCCTCAACGAGGATGGATGTTGAGAAGGGGTAGGAGAATCATCGCCCTCCTCCACCATGTGGTGATCCTCGTCTTTCTTAGACGGTCCGCTCTGGTCAGACGACATCTTTCGTCACTGGCTTGGGGCGATGGACGGAGCTGTTAATAAACGCGGGAAAGGGATGGAATCTGGAATCGGGAAGAAAGGACGGGCTCAGTGATCACTGATAAATGGAACGGTCGAGGATCGATGACAAAGGGTGAGTTGGGGATCAGTATATTCAAACAAGCGATGGGCAATTGCTTCACCCCCGAGTTCCCCTGATGAGGAAATAATAACTCTCCCACCAAGGAGGATCTAGTTCTCTTCCTTCGGGGCCGCTTCGGAAGCTTATGAACCACTCCTCGAAGGTCGATCCGTCGGCTTCCGCGTCACTGGACGAACCCCGGGAGGTCGTGATGGTATCGTGCGTTGGTGAGTAGGGATAGGAGTGTTGGTTAAGGTCGGAGGATCAGAATCCTCAGATCGTAGAGGCTGCAGCGTCGACGACTGAGCGCTCTCCTTTGCAACTACCTACTCCTGGGACGTCTGACACTCGTTCAGGAGAGGTTGGGGGAAAGGAGGGAGATCAACGAGGCCTGCGCACCGCTGCCGGAGAACCTGATGGCCAGGGCTCTAGGTTGTTGAACCTGTCAGCTGTCTAGCTCTCCAAGACCAGGCCTGGTCTTGTCTCTGCAGATGCGACGGTCCTGTCAACTTCCTGAACAGAGTCTGCTTTCTCGTCTGCGATGAAGCCGCCAGGCCAGTAAACCGGGTACGAAGAACAGTGAAAACCCGAGGATGAAAAAGGAACAGCGGGGAGATAAATGGAAAGGATAAAAAGGAGCAAGAAATGTTTCCTCGTTGCCGGAAACGGCCGTTCAAGAGCAACCAGACAAAGGCAGTTTGACGGACAGCGAAAGATGCAGCCCCAAAAGGGTTGCCGGAAATGGAATGCAACCACAGTGAGAAAGGAATCTGCTTCCCACCCTTCTTCTTTAATCCCACTTCGAGGAGGCACATGTCCACCTTCGGCACCTTGGCTCTGGTGATGCGCAAGGGCGGCAAAGTAGAGAGTGGTTGGAATGGTAGGGGATCGATCGAGAATAATAGGATCAAGAAGGTCGATGATATTTCGCAACTTGTTCTCTGTCTCGAGTTCTGTGAAGTATATGGGTTGTAAAGTAGGTGCACCCTGTGACCTGATTACTGTTGTATTGTATAAGACATAACTTGTCATGAATAGAGTCCATATAGAAGACCACTTCGCTGTAGCCGCGGGTCTGGCGAACGGTACGGGACCTAGTAGACGCACAAGAGCTAAACGCAAGTCCGGGATGTGCTTGCAGCGCTAACTATACCAGCCCCTTGCCCCTGGGCCAGACTCTGTGTGCTCTCGTCGATGCTCGATCATGGGCTCTCTGATATCAAAAGCATCGACAATATCACGCCATGTCGTCATATCAATGGACATAACAGCCTGGTGTCTCATGGCTCCATGTCTTGGGTTTCCGGCTTCTGACTCGTCCTTCTCAATGTATTCTAGGGGTTTATAGTTAGCAGTGCACCAATAGCACGACGATCGAGATTCTGGCGTACCAAGGGCGGGGAGACCGTTCTTGTCAAAGTCTACCTTGACATAGCCATCTCGAATGAGAAAGCTGACGTAGAACATGTTCTCCACGGTCTGGCCGAATGAATGGGGATTTACAACGAATCTCATGAGATCAACGCCGCCGGTATCCCGAAGGGAGTGCTGGTCCATCAACTTCCGAGTCTCCTCCTCCGTCATGTCGTCATCAACGGCGTCTTCTACCGCATCCTGTGCTTCTTCTTGCACCGTCTGCAGCCGTTTCCGGATTTTTCTGCAGATTGCCGTGAGGTCGTTCTTCTCTGACTTGGCGAGATCTTCCGCGTTCAGCACCTCCGGCCTAACCTCCTTAAGACTATTGATCTTGAGCAGCGGCATTCTCTGGGTGACTTTGCGGGTCTTCTTCTCGACCGACAAGGGCCCGAGCAGGAAGCCGGGGACGGCTGGGCGCCGCACGCTAGGTATTGCGGCGTAACGGCCCAGGTGCTCCCAGTTCAGCATGTCGCCATCGTCACCAATGCCATCCTCATCATCACTCCCCAACGCACCTCGGTTTGGCTGTCTTCGTTGCCGCTGGGTGCTGGAAAGTTCTGGCGCATTGTCATCCCCAATACCACGGCCCTGGAGCATGTAGGTTATGCACTTGGACACGAACTCATCCACGTCGATGCCATTGAGGACGTTTCCTGACGTCAACCGCTGTACCCTGCGCGCAGAAAGGTCGGCAGCTATGAGAAGCCCTCGCGAGTCGATTGCGGCCTCACTCGTCTGCTTGACGCCCTCGAGAAGCTGTTCCGACTTTTCGAAGTAGTCCAGCAGCGCTTTCGGATCCGCCTGAAGGTACTCGTCCGGGTTTTCCTGCAGGTCCCGCTGTAGGTCGCGGAGTCCTCGCTGAATGCGCCTCCGCTCCTCCATCGGCTGGTCCGGATCGAAAGCCTTCTCTTCTTCACTCTCCTCCTCATCTTCGTCGTCAGAAGGCTCCCTGGTACGGCGCCTGCTCGTCGATGGCTCCCCCCCAATGTCATTGCCCCGTTTCCGCTTCGGCCTGCCTGCGGCTGCCTTTCCCTTGTTGCGCACGGCGAGGGTTCGCTGGTTCTCATTTTCAGATAACTCTGAGGGAGATGGTGTCGGCGATGTTGCGACAGAGTCGTCGTCCGCCATGGTGTCGCTCTGTCAAGGCACCGTCACCAAGCTCAACGGGTCCTAGCTTGGCGGGAAGGAAATGATCCAATAGCTGTCCGATTACCGTATGATACAAGAGAATGCGAGAAAATAGCCGAATAAGACTGCGATCAACATGAGGGTTTTCAGGAGTGGCTCGTGGTCAGTCCAAAGGAGGCGGATTGCCAGCTTGGATTATTCGACGCATCGCGTTCTTGCGGTTCAAGACGCGACGAACCACCTAGTAAAGTGGGTACAGATTTAGAGTGGGGCCTCAATTTGGTGGGGGCTGCTAATTAAGCCTTACAGGTACGAGCCAAGACCATGCAAATATGGCGTCTTCTTTGTCTTCTTTGGCGCTGTGGAAAGTGCATTGCCCGGAAGCAGCCTGTTGATACCTATGACTGCAATTAGGAGAACATTCTGTATTGATGGCAAGGGTGCTTTTAGACGGAACATAATAGAATTCCGAGTACATCCGTACAAGGTTTCTAGACATACCTACCTAGCTAGGTAGGCGTGGTAGGTAACTATATGCACACCCAGTGGTATTTATAGCATACTCGATGCCCCACCCATAATCAACCTCCACTAGTTAGGCATACCATCAGCGACAGACAGACTTTCCAAGGCATCGAGCTTAGCCATTGCGTGTTTTCCCTTCGTTGATTGCTCCTCGTGGCCACAAAACTGTCACTATTCTATCCGCGGGGTTGAGAAGTATGGATTTAGAACGTTAATACGACGAAATCTGGCCAAGATGGAGCCGTTTTCTTTCGCCAGTTCCGAGTCGCTTGAATACCCAGTGAGCATTCGGATGTGAGTCGTGATATTCAGTGACGAAGGAGCAGCGCGGCATGACATGGGCGATGCTGATGAACACTGCTAGCACCAACCTCGAAGGCGATGAAGTCCCCTACCTCTACTCGACCCTCCTGGACCGCCCAGACCTTCGGTATATTGGCTCCAATCAGAGGTACGTCGTGAGGCTGGCTCCCACTGGTGCTTCTCCGGGGTAGTCGAGGTTACTTGGGCTAATGGCGTCGCTGCCAGCTCCCACTCGGATCTCTTTGTGACCGTCCAGGTCTGGGCAGGTTCGAAGCCCTTGACCGTTCCCGTGCAAACCGCCTACAAGGCATTTCGGTCGGAAAGGAAGTGGAACGAATGGCTGACGCTGCCGATCGACTACTCGTCCCTTCCCATTAATTCGCGCCTGGCCATAACCATCTGGGATCTGTCCCCGACCGGAGGGAAAGAGGCGCAGGGTCACGCCATTCCGTTTGGCGGTACAACATTGCCTCTGTTTGATAAGGACAACCAGTTGCACAAGGGCCGCCAGAAGTGTCACGTTCACCGGCATAAGAAGGCTGACGGTAACGATGACTCGATGACTCCTGCTTTTGTCGCCAAGAAGAAGACTAGCTCTAAGAAGAACGAGGCCGAAGTGGTCGACAAGGATGCCGAGGAGCTTGACCGTATGGAGAAACTATTCAAGAAACATGAAATGGGAGAGATTCCCCGGGTGGACTGGCTTGATCAACTGGTTTTCCGGGGATTTGAGAGGAGAGGCCTCCAGTCTGCCAAGTCGTCCTTGAAGAACATCCAGAGGCAACGGGTTATTGATGGCGCGAGCGCAAATACCGACATCTTGAAGAAAGATGCCGCACAAGACAAGGGTCGAGAGGCCCATACCGTTGACCAGAGCCCTGGCCCTTCGATGTTCATTCTGAATGTCGAGCTGCCCAGGTTTGATTTTCCGGTCGTGTTTGCCGACCACGAGTATCCTCCACCCCCAGTTTCGTCCCTCCAGCATCTCTCGTCCTCTCAGTCAAACATAGTCCTGAAGCCACCGCCCGAGGTCCAGTTTGGACCCGGAATTGGCGGAGTAGGCGACACCGATGCCGGCTATGGGAGCCGTTTAATCCGAGTCTACGACCCTGAGGTTGGGGCGAGGGACAATCCGGCAGAAAGCAAGCATCGGCGCCTTGTTCGAAGCCAGCACCGGCATGGGATCCTGGATAAGGACTTGAAACCCAACGCCAAGGTTCGGGACGAGTTGAATGTTATAACGTCATACTCTCCAACTCATATCCTGACGCCAGAAGAGAAGGATCTCATTTGGAAATTCCGCTATCACCTCACGCGGGATAAGCGAGCCCTGACAAAGTTTGTAAAGTCGGTCAACTGGCAGGACTTGGCGGAATCGAGGCAAGCCGTCCAGGTCCTTGGACGGTGGACTGACATAGACGTCGACGATGCCCTCGAACTTCTCGGGCCGACCTTTGACAACACTTCAGTCCGAGCATTTGCAGTAAAACGACTCCGGAAAGCGGATGACAATGAGTTACTTCTATACCTGCTGCAACTGGTCCAGGCTCTGAAATATGAGCACATCTCAACCGATGCAAATCACGAGGTGACCCAGGACTCTTCCTTGGCCAAGTTTCTCATCTCGCGTGCGGTCAACAACTTTGTGCTTGGCAACCACTTCTACTGGTACCTGATGGTGGAGTGCGACGACTCCAGCCAAGATCAGGGCCTCGACAACCAGACCATGTATCGAAAGGTCGCCTTCGACTTCATGACGGAACTCGTCAAGCTTCCAGATGGGAAGGAGACGCGGAAGAGGCTCCTGCGGCAGGCTGAGTGGATAGCCATCCTCTCCAAGATCTCCAGCGAGATCAAGGAATCGAACGAGTCTATCGCTCGGAGGACTGAACGTGTCAAACACTTCTTGGCCGACCCCAAGAACGAGCTTGTCACCATCGATCCGCCTCTCCCCCTACCGCTGGATCCGTCCATACAACTAACAGGTGTTGCCCCCGAAGACACCATAGTATTTAAATCATCGCTACATCCCATTAAAGTCGTCTTCAAGACCGACACGGGGCGGAAATATCCCATCCTTTTCAAGACGGGAGATGATTTGCGACAAGACCAACTTGTCATCCAGATCATCACTCTCATGGACAAACTCCTCCTGAAGGAAAACCTAGACCTCAAGCTTTCGCCCTACAAGATCCTCGCTACAAGCACCACTGCCGGGCTGTCGCAATTTGTCCCCTCAGCCAGCTTCCAGGGCATCTCGTCCAAGTACCGCAACAATCCGGCGTTGGCTTATCTCCGACAGAACAACCCTGACACACACGGCCCCATGGGCCTGCGGAAGGAGACTCTAGATACCTTCGTCAAGTCCTGTGCCGGGTACTGCGTGATAACGTACATACTCGGCGTTGGCGACCGGCACCTGGACAACTTGCTCCTATCCCCAGACGGGCATTTCTTCCATGCCGACTTCGGCTTCATCCTTGGCCGCGACCCAAAGCCGTTTGCGCCCGCGATGAAGCTGTCCAAGGAGATGGTGGACTGCATGGGCGGGTCGAGCTCTGAGCACTACCGCCAGTTCAAGCAGTACTGCTTCCTCGCGTACAGCGCGCTCCGCAAGAACAGCAACCTGATCCTCAACCTGTTCAGCCTGATGGTGGATGCCAACATCCCCGACATCAAGCTCGAGCCCGACAAGGCCGTGCTGAAGGTGAAGGACCGGTTCCACCTCGAACTGAATGAGGAGGACGCCATTCGACACCTCGAGAGGATAATCGACGACAACCTGAATGCTTTGGTCCCTGTCGTCATCGATAAGCTCCATGAGCTCGTCCAAGCGTTCAGGGCGTGATGCCAGGAAGATTGCCTACGACGTAGCGCTCTTGGGAGGACTAATGCTTTCTTTTGTCTGGCTTGGGAAGGCGTTATGGTAACTTCATGTATGAAGTAGCGGTATGCTAGTAGGATTCTGAATTCCTGATATCACTTTTGGAGCCAGATGATCATGGACGCGTCGACATGGTTATGATGAATAAAGCACTTGGCCGTCTTAATGCCTCAGAATCCCAATTTTAATCCCTCGAGCGTTGCGAAGTACAGTACAATAATGTACATTGCTAATAACTTACACGCCATATTGCCGCCATCAGGATCTCTTTACTTCTTTTATATTATTTCTCATGTATCGCCAAACATGAAAACCCCCTTTCCGGCCCTGAAACCCTCCAGCGTGCCCTGCACGGCCTCCTTCAGCACCTTCTCATCGGTGCCCCAGTCCCACCTGATCTCCTGGGAGGGGACGTCGCTGAACTTGCCCTCCCTGATGAGGCCCAGTATCTCGTCGACGGTCCTCTTCTTGGCCTCCCTATCAGCATCAGCCCAACGACTCAGCCAGAAGCCCCTAAACCGCAAGTCGCGGAAGATGAGCAACCCCGTCGGCAGCGCCACGGGCTGCTTGGACATGGCGCCGTACGTCACCACAGTCCCGCCGTCGGACACGCACCTCGCCAGCGCCGTGGCCGACTTGCCGCCGACGCAGTTGAGACCCAACATGACGGGGTCCCTGCCCCCGCGGGTCCACTCCTCCTTCACCCGGGCCGCGAACCCGCGGTCCAGCAGCTCCCGCTCCGTGATCACCACGGTCGCGCCGAGGCGCCGGAGCTCGTCCTTCAGCGCGTCCGTCTCGGCCGGCGTGGGCCGCTCGCGCACCACGTTGATGCTGCGCAGGCCCCAGTGGCGGCCCAGCTGGATGGCCGCGCGCCCGACGCCGCTGTTGGCGCCGTTCTGGAGGAACCACGCGCCGCCGCTGGCCGGGTCGCCGGACGAGTAGCTCCGCACGCTGAGGCCGATCAGGTCGACGAAGTCGCGCAGCAGGCGGTATGCGGAGCACGGGTTGACCGAGACGGTGGCGGCCTGCAGCGGCGTGATGTCTCCGGCGTCGGCGTCGGCGTCGGCGTCGCGGACCTTGAGCAGGCTCGCCTCGGCGCGCTCGACGAGCGCGTGGGTCCGCCAGGTGCCGAAGCCCGTCCGCGCCGGTATGACCCAGTCGCCGCGGCGGAGGGACGCGACGCCCGAGCCGCGCGCGACGACCTCGAAGCAGGCCTCGTTGCCGGGCACGGCGGACGGGTCGGCTGTGCCGATCAGGTTCGTGAAGGTCGGCTTGGCGCCGTAGGTGCCCTGCACCGTGTTGACGTCCGCTGGGTTGATGGGCGCCGCGAGGGTGCGGAGGAGGACGGCGCCGTCGGGGAGGGTGGGCGAGATGGAGTGCGTGTGGAGCCTTGAGGTGAAGGGTTGTGTTAGTGTCTTCTCTTTTTTCCGCTTCTCTTTCTGGCAAGTCGTACGGGAAGAGGCATGAGAGGAATAGTGGCAGGTAGATTGGTAGACTAGCAGACTTACTTCAGAACATCGCTGGGCTCCCCGTATTTGGAGAAGACGAGTGCCTTCGCCTGGGTGTAGCCGTACGGTCCAGACTTGTGCCGGACCGCCGTCACCGGCTGCAGTGCTTTGTGCCGAGCGCCGAACGACCTGGCGATGCGCGGCGGGCTGCGGATCAGGCCTGAAGCGGCCAATCGAGCTGCCGGGGGCTGTAATGTCGCCATAGTGGGTTAATTACACTCGATTTCCTGCAGAATTGGTGTTGAGTTGCCCCGAACAAGAGGAGATCCGAGGTCTAGCGTTTTCGGCCATGAGGAAAAGCAATGACGTTAACAGCTGGGGAGCTTTGATCGAAATAACCAATCATGGGGCGGTAGGGGTGGATCTTGAGGCCCCTGCGTCCAACCTACCTAGGTAGACCCCTGCCCCTGGGGGCCGACGTTGTTCCTCCGCCAGAGATAGGAGGTTCCATTTCACGTACCTGCTCCTCGATCCACGATGTCAACTGTTCTTGATAAATACCAGCTTGCCGTGACCTTTCAGGACCATCTTTCATCATGTCCCTGACCAAGGTTCTCGAGGCCCACCGGCCCGAACTCTCGTCCTACGAGAAGTTGTACAAACACTTCCACTCAAATCCAGAATTATCCAATCAAGAAGTAGAAACTGCTTCCACCGTCGTCAACCATCTACGCAAAATCTCGCCAGACTTTGATATCCGCTCAAATATCGGAGGTCATGGTGTTGCCGCCATCCTTCGCAACGGTCCCGGGCCCACTGTGCTCTCCCGCGCCGACATGGATGCCCTTCCTATTGAAGAACGAACCGGCCTTGCCTACGCCAGCACGAAGCGAGTCGTTGACCTTCACGGTGGAGAGCAACCGGTGATGCACGCATGTGGCCACGACATGCACATCACCTGTCTCCTGGCGTATGCCGAACTCATGGTTTCTGCTAGAAACCAATGGCGCGGTACCATTGTCCTTGTCTTCCAACCTGCTGAGGAGCGTGGTACCGGTGCGCAGAGCATGGTGGACGACGGGCTGTACGATCCCAATCGCCACAATGTTCCTATCCCCGATGTAGTTTTCAGCGGGCACGTCGTTCCCGCGCGTGCTGGCGTCATCGGCGTCCGCCCCGGTACGATGGCCAGCTCTTGCGATAATCTGCGCGTCACCTTCCACGGTCGTGGTGGGCATGCGTCCATGCCGGAGCGTCTTGTGGATCCCATCGTCATGGCGTCCAGCGCCGTTCTGAGGCTTCAGACTCTTGTTTCCCGTGAAATCCATCCTAGTGAGCACGCAGTGGTTACCTGTGCAAGCTTCATTTCTGGGACTTCTGCGGAAAACGTTGTCAGTGACGATGCGACGATCACCATTGACATTCGTGCCAACAACCAGACTACGAGGCAGAAGTTATACGATGGGGTCCTGAGAATCGTGCAAGCCGAAAGCGCTGCGTCCAACGCGGTCGCCGTACCCACGGTTGTCCGAACCCGTTCCTTTCCCGTGACCATCAACGACGCCATGGTTACTGCACGGGTGGGGGAGGCTTTCCGCGATCATTTTGGCCCTGGTGATCACAGTTATGTCGCAGACTACCCCCGGCTCAGTTTCAGCGAAGACTTTTGTATTCTTGCGTCCGCTGTTGAAAAGCCGTCCCTACTATTCGCCTATGGCTGTACCGCACCCGACAAAGTTGATCAAGCGCAAAAAGAAGGTATATTGGAGAGCATACCAGGCAATCATAGTTCTCTCTTTGCCCCGCAGATTTTTCCTACGATGCAAATAGGCATAGACGCGTACGCTGTGAGCGCCCTTGCTTGGTTATCAGAAACTCAGGTAAATGAGTTAGGTAGGTAGGTAGGGGAGCCCGTTATGAAATACACGACAGAGATCATGCCAAGTCCGTACCTGCCCTCTTTATCACCACCAAAATTGAGATGGCCCGTGACTTCTACGTTGAACACCAACGGGCAAGTGTAACTGTAACGGTGGGGTCTTGCCATTCCGTCCCGCTTCGCATATATATCTCCTCACACTTCCCGCTGCGGCCCTGCGCCATATTGGCTGCAGTACCTCCGTACAACTGCCACCTGACAATTGGCCGTGTGTCGCTCGGCTCCCATTAAAGGGTCAAAGCGCTCTGCCACCAATGATGACATCTAAGTCCGGACCCCTCTCCTCACTTTTGCGGTTCATGGCCCAACTGAAGCCGTCTTATATTAAGAGTGTCACGAAAAAAAAAGGCGGGGCAGGGAGTGGTGACAGTCTTATGACAATTCCTGAGGGAATCGGTATTGCAAGAAGCGTGACCCCCTTCCACTTAGGTAGGTAGGTACCTAGGTATTGATCATATCTTCTAAAGACCAAGGTGCCTCCCTAGGCAGTACAGACAAAAGAGACTCGATACATGGCAGGACACGGGAAATTCCTTTTCTACTCCCACAATTATGATAAGCCAAGACCCGAGAAGCGTCACCCATATGGCTCCTCCCGGGAACCGTTGCCTGTCGCAAGGTGGTGCCAAAAGGAGATGCTCCCCCCCATTCCATCCTCTAGCAGACCTGGGAGATTTTTTTGAATGCATGTACCATGAAATGATGTTGAGAAGCCGTGCGTGAAGTCCGTCCTCGTGCTCCAACGAGCAAACGGGGCCGGAAGATGAATGCCTAACAGGCGAGGGGGAGGTCGAGGTGTAGAGCTCGTCAAAGAACAGCGCGGAAAGGGCAGCTGCTCTGGAATACACACAGAATGAATAGAAAAACAATTAAAAGGAAAACTTCGTGGGCAAATGAATGAGCTCGCGAAGGGCGAGCTGGGTATCTCGGTCCACATATCTCACTATCCACATCCCGTCCCCGAGGCGGCGACGACTCCTTCGAAATGCCGGGGGCCCAATTCGACTTGGCTCGGGAGGAAGGATCGTCTCTTCCAGAAGTCTCGGATGGCAACGCAACAATTGCGTCAAAAATGGGCCAATCTCGTCCCGTGCGCTCCCCCGTGTGCAAGAAGACGGTTCCAGAACTCTGGGAAATATTAAATAAAAGCTCTCGACCACGAACAGGGCGCCTAGCCAACTTTTGCCGTTTGCCCTGGTCATTTTATATCCTTGAACAGGTCGCTCCCCAGGCACCCGCCGTTGTTGAAGTCCAACGACGACTTCAACTCGCTAAGCTCTGGGATCATCGGCGGTGGCGGCCCTGTCGGTTTCTTCTCATTGGGTACCACAATGACGCTTGCCCTCTTGTTGCCGGCGTTGTCGTTACTCCTTAACCGGCTGAACCAGCCGCTCGACCTCTTGGCCTTCTTTGAATCCACAAAGCTGGCCGAAGTCCGGCTCACCGGCCGTTTGACATCACCCTCTGCCGGATCCTCGCCCTCTGCGTACGCTGTATTCAAGAGATTCTTGCTGAACAGGCGCCGGATGCTACCCTGGCGTGTCGAAAAGGTGGGTGACGCCGGGTTGTCGTCGGCGGGGCGTTTGGTGCCTCCAATGGTGGTCGTTGTGGCATTTGACTGGGGCGATGTGGAGGTGAGGCTGCCGTTCACCTTGCCTGTCTTTTGCCCCTCCTCTTTGGCTGGCGTCTTGGGTGGTGTCACAACCTCCTCTCTGATAGGGGACGGCGGCGGCGGCGGGATATCGGTGCCTTCGGTCAGGGACGAGAAGTTAAACTCGAGGGCGGGGAGCTCGAAGCGCTTAGCTGGCGCCGCGGCCACCGGGCTGGCTGTGGTGCCATCCGTTCTTGCCGGCATGATTTAATTTTTGGTCTGTTGTTCGACGCCAATTCGGGGGGATAGCTGGGCAGAGCTGTCACACGAGCGGCAGGCGTTTGATCGAGTTGACCGGCGCAGATGGACCTCCTGGATGAAGCAACGTACAGCCGACTTCCAGGAAGGGAGATAAGAGCTTAGGCAGGTGAATTGAGCGCCCAAGGTGTAAATCGTGCGCCTAGTTGAGCTCGACGTGGTTGAGATTATGCGCGTGTGTGCAAGACTTAAGCTGCAGGCTAAACGATGTCCAGGCTAAACGATGTCAAAGCGCGGTGACCGGGGAAGTTGGCTGCTGTCGACAGTTTGTTGGTTTCAAGAAGCCTTCTTTTGGTAGAAGGTTTAGTGTAGAAGTGGGCAAGGAAAGATGGAGGAGGACAAGAGGTCTGAGCGAAATGAGGTGCAGGTGAAGGAGCAGGTAGGTGGCTTGGGGGCTGGCAGTTGGAAGGGTGGCAGTCGCGTTGCACCCCAACCTCAAAAACGTGCAGTCTTATCTCGATTGGGAAGGAACGTCAAACCACAAATCAGCAAGAGCAAGAGCCGTTGGAAGCTGTGGGCAGATTCGGCGGAATTGCGGTTGCGATGGAAGGGGGCTGGTCGGGAAGAAAGGGGGTGGAGAAAACGGAAGATGGGGTGTCCCAGGAAAGGGAAATCTGGGTCCGCAGGATGGCGCAAAGCCCACGCCAGGTTCTGCGCTAGCGTAGGTAGTGTAGATGGATGTACCTATTATATTCTCTCTAGGTGTGGATGGAACCTGGAAGCCATCACCGTCTTCCTCCCGTACCAAGTTATTATGCGTAAACGTTCCTTGATAGCTTCACACTCCTAGTTCCAGTGTCTTCAATTAGATTGGGGATGCTAGCGATCATGCCGTCACAATGCAGGCGAACAGCTGCCAGTTGCCAGCTGCCAACCGGTATCATTTGCCTTGTTTTGTCCAAGGTAAGCAAGCAGAGCTCCAAGCTAACAAACGGAGGCGATCGCCCTAGCTAAAAAGAGAAACATTGCCCCTCGGCAGTGCAACCAGAAAAAAGGTTTGGCCGCTCCGTCCATCCTGCTGACCCCGGGCCTGGAAGCCGCGCATGCTTGGATAAACCAGGAAGTCTGCTTGATCGCTGTTTGTCCCGATGGCCGGCTCCCGACAGCACTCGGGGCTACTTCATGGGTAAGTTCATGCCAACAGGGAGTCAGTCTCTACTATGGTAGACAAATATTTGGTTCGGGACCATGTCAGACAGCCCGTCTGACGGAGATCCATGCCAACATTGGAGAAAACCAGGCTTGATAAGTCAGCAAATTCCCGATGAACCTTAGAAGCCACATCCCTGGGTCCCTGCCTGGAGCGTCCCGCGAGCGGCCCGGTCATTGGTGTCCCCGGTTTTGGCATGCATGTCTCGCCGTGGCGGTGGCATATACTTTTATTAGGTAGTTCCCGTCGGTATCCCCCAGTCTATACCCACACTCCCACCAAAATATACTTTGCAGAATAACTCGGCGACTCGAAACTCCTGAACCATGCCTGCATAACCTTTGCTAGGATCTGCACAGAACACATAGAATGCCGAATGATAAGAGGTTTGACTTGGGCAGAGATAAAGAAAGGACAAGTATCCCCTGAAGGGGACTTCCTCAGAACTGCGGAGGACAACTTCACTTCTTACCACCAGCCATTGATAACCCGGGTCAACAGGCTACGGAAGGCGGTGATTCCGAATGGCGGAAGGTGGAAGAACGAAGATGCAGGGCTGTATTCTCGGATGAAGGAAATCCTCCGCAAAGGCCGGAAGGACCCGAAGGTGGCGGATATACAGTATACCTCAATATAATAGGGCGCGGCAGGCCTCTTCTGGACTGTGGCTCATGGCCCTGGTTTCGCATCGCTTTCCATCTTGTGACCATCTCCTTGCCAGACCGGAACCTGTTCAGCTGCTCTTCAGATACCCAAGTTGATGGATCTCGTTCCGAGTCACCCAGAACTGCCCCAACTCGGACCGTCACAGGCGGAGGCACATCGACCGGCTTGAATGCGGATTGCGCGCCACTCCATCGATCGGGGGCGCGCGGGTCACCCTTCAAGGTGCGGCTGTCAACCCACGGCTATACAGTCGAGTCTAGCCGTGTCATTCGCGATGGGATCATGTTGATGGACCAAGTGGAAACCGAACTTCGATGTGCGCGTAACCGGTAGATTGGGAGCCTACCCATTGGGCATCTTTTGTCTCGTATCGTTCCAGTACATTCATGTAAAATCCCAACTTCCCCAGGTTTAACGTAGGCTCTTACTGCATAAGCCAGATTCTAGACGTTCTGGTCCGTAAGGGTTTCTGAGAGCTTAGCATCAGTCTGTTGGGCGGTTTCAACCCGTGCCACCATCCGCGCGTATTCCCTTCTCTCCTGCCATCGTAGTATCGTGCTTTCATCCAACGGCTGTCCGTTTTCATCATAGTTCCATGGTGCATCCATTGGAACTGGCACCGTCTCCAGGAAGAGTGGAAAGTCGACTAACTCCCAGGGCAACGTACACGCGCCCTCCCAATCGATGATGCCGATTATGTTATATCGCTTGTCAATGACAATGTTGCTGTGAAAGAAATCTCGATGCGTAACCGGAAACGGCCCACGATCTGTGGAGGACAGCCGGTCGGCCATTGCACAAACCGCGAATGGGAAGTCTTCGATGGACTTGAGAACTTCTTCCACCGGTCCGCCATTCATGCTTTTCCGGACCATGTCCATTGGCATTGGGAATTTAGCGTACGTCGCCCAGGCTTTGAAGAAGGCTGTTGCTGTCTCGAGAGGTCCGCCAATGTCAGGGAAAGGACCAATGTCATCAGTGCCGTCGTTGCCGCGCACTATTCGCCCAATCTTAGAGAAACGCAGCGATGTCATCTGTACCTGCCGATTCAATTAGCCAAGAGTAGTAAAGCTATGAGCTGGCAGCTTACTTGGATCTGGGCTACCGAGTTATAGAAGCTCTGCCGGTGTTCGTCAGGAATTTGCCCTTTGTTTGTTGCATACCGCCATTAGCATCAATAATCACATTTCCAGGAAAGAACTCCATCAGCATGAAGGCGACGCCTATGGGATTGTTGCCATTGACTTTATATCCAAACAGTCTAGGCACAGGTACATTTGTTCGGTCGCCGAGTAGTCTCATGGAGTCAATTTCGTTCTGTAGCTTCGTAGCCGATTTCTTCGTTGGCCTAGCCATTTGAATTCGTACAACCCATCGAGTTTTGTTCTCGAATTCGAGCAGGCGAACCAGGTGATGTAGGCCATTCGTGATGTCTGGACGCAAGTCACAGCGGAGGCCATGATTGAGCTTTGAGGCGTACAAACAGAACTCGTGCCAATCAGTTCTCTCAATGCAATCGCGCACCATACGTCACGAGGGCGAATCCTTCGGGTAGAAATCAGCGCCTTTCCAGTTCTGCCCGGAAAATGCCATGAGGACTAACTGCCACGCATTGGGGAGGGCAAAGGTGAAGGTGCAATGAGAGCGGGAACGTCGCCTGGGCGATGGGTGGAAGCCAGACGAACCTAGATAGGGTGCTACACTCATTGATACGCGTGTTGAGCCAGTTTTGTATCTGCCTCACATGGAGGGCCACTAAAAATTGCCAATCAACAGCCTAGTTGCGTGGGCCTGGCTTGTGAATTTGGTCTTGGCATGCCGCAGCCAAAGACAATAGTTTCTCCTTTTGATTTTGAAACTCCCAGTTGACACTTCAGGAACAATAAGGCTCAAACACGTCGTGGTTAGTCCATAACTCATAACTCCCGTCTCGAACTGAGCACCCCATGCTTTCTGCTGGAAGGCTATGTATCCTACCTGCCTAGCCTAACATCGTCATGCTAGACTGACCCCCAGTTGCATTTGCTATCCTTCAAACCCATCCACAGGAACCTTATGTCGCCAGCCCAAAGAGGCAACGACATAAGCAATCCTCCAGCCTCCTACTTTGGGACAGCATACTTCTGTGTCCATTCTCTTGCCGTCGCGATGGCGGCCTGCTCGTCCTCCTTCCAGCTCTTGGCCACGTCCGGGGCCAACGGATCATCGGGGTTGGGGGCCCCAAGAAGAGCCTGGATGGACAGCAGAATTGTACGGATTTGCAGTGCCGGGGACCAGTTATCTAGGGCACGTGTTAGCCCCAAAGACGGTGCAGTAAAGGAATATTTCTTATAAGAAGCCCTACTCTTGAGCACATCCAAGCAGATCCGGCCAAGCTTGTCGACGTTCGGGTGGAAGATCTTGGTAAGGAATCGGATCTTTGGGGGGGTCATCGGGTAGTCGTCGGGGAGAAAGAGTTCAAGTTTGAACACGCCACCTGTATGTATCGTAGTGTTAGAGATGGTCACTGCATTACAAGTACAACTCGCGCAAAAGGAGAGGGGAAGATGCGAAGATGCGAACCTTCGTAGGGCGACTGCGAGGGACCGTGGATCTCCACATCGAAGTAGCGGAGATTGTCTTCATGTGGAATAGCGCTGATTCCAGGGACACTGTCGCAGGCCATGTTAAATCGAGGTCGGGGAATACGAGTGCCATGTTGGTACGCACGGCTCGGCCATGAGCCGTTCTGTCTCCTTGACGATTCTCTTTGGTAGAGCCATTCTCGGCGCACTGCCAGGACCCTGAAAGCAGAAGATCTGCACCGAAGCTCTGCCCAGAGACGATTGTCTTCCAAAAAACGGCGCGGCAGAGGATTTGGGGTGTCCGTATGCGAGCTCCTAAACTCGAGATGCTATGAGACAAGACCCTGTGCGGACTCGAGGCTGACGGCGGGGTCTTGTTAGGCGGCAAGGGCGGTGGGGAGAGGGGCGCAAGTTGGCTGGGAATAGGCGCAAGCACACTGTGGTTGTTGAATGTAATAATCCCAAAAGCTGACAGAGTTCTGATGATGTATTTAAGAGTGCCTTGTGTATCGGTGGGTCTGGTTTATCAGTGTATGAGGCCGAAGGGGAGAGAACTTAGTGGTTTGTCAAGTCGTCGAGGCGAGCCTTGTGAAAGAACCGGCAGTAAATGGAAGTGGGCTGGCCGATTATTCCCTTTCCCGGCCAGGCCCAGACCCCCACTTCAGTGACTTGTATCCTCGCGCCAAAATTAGGTGCAAAGTACTTGCATCCAGACATTCCCATCCAGCCAGTTGGTAGCTCGCTGGTCTCCAACTGATTGATTGGTTCCTACCCTGCTTCTGCAACTACAGCTCAATCAAGCACATACGCATATTGGTCTCGCATCGGGGACTCATGCCAACCCAAACGCTTACGGCAGAGCGTAGCAATTACGGAAGAGCGCAATCAAGGAGCTGCTAAGGCAGTGATGCTTGGCAGAGCACGTCCGGCATTACTGTCATGATGAACACCAAGCAATGCTATAGGTGATCGCATTGGCCCCATCGCCCCATCGCCCCATCGCGACCAGGAGGCTCTCTTCACCATGCCTTCCGCTTTCGACCAGCTCTCAGACCCGCCAAAGAAGGGCAAGGCGATCAAGTCGGCCTTCGACAGTGACAGCTTCGATGCCGACGGTACCATTCACGTCAATGGCCTCGTAGGCTCTGCAACCATCTCGCCCTCGGGCCGGGATGTAGCCCTTGCCTCGTGAGTCCTGCGTCCCAACCACAAGGCGCCCATGCCCACGGTGATGCTGATCAGAGCTCAAATAGCCCCGAGGGTCTTGCTATCATTGATCTGGACTCTCCGTACAGTGCTCCTAGGAGACTGAGTAGCCATGGGCTACCGTGGCTCGTTGTCGACGTCCAGTGGTCTCCATTTGCGGCCAGGGACTACTGGGTTGCGTCGACTGCCAACCATCGATGCTTGGTTTGGAACCTAAACCTGCGGGATGATTCGCCCTCTGGTGCCATCGAGCACTCCTTGAAAGGCCACAGCAGGGCCATCACTGACATCAACTTCTCTGCCCACCACCCTGACTTCCTCGCCACCTGTGCTGTGGATGGCTACGTGCACTGCTGGGATCTGCGCCGGCCCAGGCAGCCTGCCCTCACCTTTTGTGACTGGTTCGCGGGCGCAACCCAGGTAAAGTACAACCGCCAAGACGACCACATTCTCGCCTCCTCTCATGACCGTTGGTTGCACATATGGGACGACCGCAAGGCTGTCGAACCTCTGAAGACTATAAGTGCCCACACGTCCAAGATCTACGGACTAGACTGGAACCGCACGCGGGCCACGGGCGTCGTCACTTGCTCCTTGGACAAGAGCATCAAGTTCTGGGATTATGGGAAAGAGGATGACGTTGCGGAAAGAGTCATCCGGACAGACTTTCCGGTCTGGCGAGCTCGCCATACGCCCTTCGGCTGGGGCCTTCTCGCCATGCCCCAGAATGAGCCGGGTAATCTATATCTCTACGACCGGCGTGCATCTCCGGACGACCCCGTGGATGGCCCTACTGACCCGGTTGCCACCTTCACCGGACACGGGAACCATAAAGTAAAGGAGTTCTTGTGGCGGAGCCGAGGCGGTATTACCGAGGACGGCATGGACACTCGCGATTTTCAACTGGTATCCTGGGGCGAGGACAACGAATTGAGGCTTCAAAAGATGGAGCCAAGACTCCTCGAGTCCGTGGGGTTTTACAGAGGGCTTCCCGCGAGGAAGAACCTAAACATCACCCGGAGGGGCGCCGTTTACAAGACCTTCCGAACGGTGGATGACAGCGTCCACCGAGACCGGCGGAGCGCCACGATGAGTGATCCTCGTCCCGGAAGCGGTGGCGCAATCGGTCGCCGAAGCGCACTCACCTTGAGCATGCATGCCCCTCACCAACGGGTTGGCCCAAACTGGAGAGGGCCTTCGATGAAGGGCAAAATGCCTTCGCACAAAGATACCGACCGAAGCGAGCTCCAAATCGGCTGGATGAAGGGCATCACACTTGCCAGGAGGAAGGCAAGCCCGGGCACCCCGGCCCGTTCTGGATCCAAAGATTCGACCATGTTCGGCTCCAATTATCACGACAATGAGTGGGCTGAGCCCGAGACGGTCCAGGAAGAATTCGTCCGTATCAGCAATCAACTGCCGAATGTGAAATGGGAGAACATCGACATGGATGCACTTACCCTGAGAGCCTCTTTGAAAGGACCCTGGGGTGCGGATGGCGAGACAGTCTTCATCAAGGTGAAGGTGGATATCCCAACCAGCTATCCCAAGTCGAAGGCACCCAAGTTCATGATCGAGAAGACTCTGTTCGTTTCAGAGGAGACGCACGACAGGATTGAGCGGGGGGTCAACCACATTGCGAGCCAGTTCCTGAAGAGGAATGAGAACTGTCTCGAGGTTGCCTTCTCATACCTGCTCGGCGAGGTCGACCTCGAGACCAGCACGACGCTCTTCAAGAACGTACGGGACCTGGACGATGACTTGGACGGCCTAGCGGCGGACGAGAGCTCCAGCGAGGAGGATGACAATGACATTCCCCCGGGGGGGTCTGCCTCGATGTCGCAAGAGCTTACAGCGAGCACCGAACTAGATCCTGCAGCTACACTCGCGCCGACACAGCGTATTATAGTCCCGCCCCCTCCCAGGCTCTGCAGTGCGCGCTTTTCAAACGATGGCAGGCTTGTATGTGTCTTCCCGACCAAGGACCAGAAAGCCAAGGCGCTGTTCTCTCTTACGTCGACGGATAATTACCGAGACCACTCCAAAGGTGAACCAAACTTTGCGGGATTCGGCCGCCTTACCCTGGATTCCCCTCCGCCCAAGCCAAGATACGCGAATGACGAGACTTCCGCGACGGACGACCAGTCGGGCGAGTCGGACGAGTCGGACAGCTCAACCTCTTCGAGTGATTCAGAGTTGACGGCTAAGCATAGGATAAGTCTGTGGTACCAGCCGGGTCTAAGATTTCGAAAAACGTGGAGCACGAATGAATCCGCCCGGTCAAGTGGGGGAGGTACCGGCGCGGGGACAGGCACCGGGACCGGAACGAGCAGAAAACGGCCGGGGAAACCGAAGAACATCTTGTCAATCTACGACTTCAGGGGTTACCTGCCCTCGAAGAAGCAATTTGCTGAAGAGTACGCCATCTTCGGCGGCGGGTCGGATGTATGCGAGCACAACGCCGAAGTGGCGAGGAAGTATGGGCACACAGATCTTGTCGATATCTGGAAGTATGCAGCGCTTCTGCTGAGGAAGGGTATTCCCTTGGAGTTGCACGAGCAACGTAACCAAAACGAGTCGGTGCTGGTCATCGCCAGAGACGCCGTGTCACGCTCTCAAGACGAGGGCGAGGAGACAGGGCTCTCCGCCGGGGCTGGCCACACCAGCCTCTCGGGCCGGGTCAAATGGGGCCACCATCCACTGGCACTGGAGTTCATCAACGACCTTTTCGACTATTTCGACAAGATAGCAGACATTCAGATGCTGGCCATGCTTTCATGCATATTCGGCGACTCGTCCACTGAGGACAGCGTGGCTTACGCAGAATCCCACCTGACCCAGCCGGAGACACCGCTACCCATGAAAGCACCGTCGTTCTCGCTGGAGTACTTCCCGACAGATCCCGCCTTATGGAACAACAACTACAAGAGCCAAGCCAGCTCTGCCATCACCACGCCCAGGACGGCACACACCCCAGCCATGTACTCGGGCTCGCAGGGTTCGGAGGACATCACTTGGCTGGGTGAGCCGACATCGCACTCGTACTCGTGTGGAGAGACACCGCCGAAATCGATAAAGCATCCCTTCCGCGACATAGGCCAGGTGCACAGCTTATCGAGCTCCCCCGATAACCGCCTGTTCCGCAGGCAAAACCCGGCCATTACGGCGGCCCTCACCGCGAGTCTGCCACGTGCTTTGGCAGGTATGGTCTCCGGGTCGCCTCCGGATCCGTCATCAAGAAAACGGCCGAGCCCTGCCGAGACGGTATTGAGCAACTTGGTGCCCAGCAACGTAACCTGGGGCGGCTCGACGGTCATGGGGGCGACAAGCGAGCCCTCGGGGACGGCGAGGACGTCGACGTCTGACGACGACTATCGGCGGGACGAATTGATATCCATGATTCCCGTGGCCATTTCTTGCGTCCCCGAGAACCAAGGTCTCTTCGACGACGACGGATGGATGTCAGCACCGCTCCTCGCGCCGAGCCGCCACCCCATGTGCGCCAACTACCGCTACGCATATGCGGAAATGCTGCAGATGTGGGGCCAGCCACTTGCCCGCCTCGAGATCATGAAGTTCAACGTTCTCAAAGAAGACTTCGGTGGGGCCTCGAGCGCGTATGGCGGAACGGCGGATGGCAGCTACCACGAATCCCACACGGGGCCGGATGCGAACGGTCACACAACCCACGGCACCGGCACCACGTCGCCCGCGATCCCCTTTGGCGGTCGCAAAGAACAGCTACAGGCACTCCTCGCCTCGGGCCGCGGCCTGGACGTCACGGGCATCTGCCGCGTGCACGAAACCCAGCTCGACCCTCTCGAGTACTCGCGCTCGACAGACGGCCTCGTGGGCGGTGCCGTCGGCACCTGCCAGCGCTGCCACCGGGGGACGGTCCCGCAGACGCAGCTGCGCTGCGTCTACTGCACCGAGCCCATCGACGCCCTCTACCCGGCCTGCCTGGGCTGCGGCTGCGCCAGCCACGAGGACTGCCTCGCGGAATGGCACGCCGCCGGCGAGACGGGATGCCCCGCCGGCGACGAGTGCGAGTGCGTCGACGAGGCCAGCAACGGCCACGTCGAAAGCTGGCCCGCCCTCCAGGCCGCCGTCTCCATGGCGCGGATGCGCACCGAGAAGCCCAGCTCCCTGGGCAGCACCCTCGGGCGGACCAGGCGGACGTCGGTGCCGGCGAGGTTGGGCCCGGGCGCGCACCTCGCGCTGCTCGGGGACGACAAGCACGACGACGGCCCGTCCCACGGCGGCGGCGGCGGCGGCCACGGGCGGGCTCGTTCCCAATGGGCAGTCGGCGGCGGCGGCAGCAGGAGCGGCACGCCGCGCCGCGCGGGGAACGACGACGAGGAGGAGGGCGGCGACAGGGAGGACTGGGAGAGCGTGGGGTCCAGCCAGGGGATCCCGTCGGTGGGCGCTGGGCTGGGGGGCAAGCCGGTGCCGCACGGGGACGAGCCCGTGTCGGCGGCGCGGCTCAGCCTCGGCCACCGGCTGAAGAAGTCCCTGGGCGAGTCGGCGAGGCCCGCGGCGCTGAGGAGGAAGTCCGGGGGCGTGGCGACGTGGAGGAGGACGGCGGGGCTGGGGTGAAGGCTGGGTGAGCTGTATGTTAGGTGTGACTGACGAGAGAACTTGTCTCGCTGGCCTAGTATAGGTACAATACCTAGGTAGGCATGCATGAGGGTCGGGCACTGGGGCGGCGCTGTACACCTACTGTTTCTACACCAGGGTTTGATTATCTGCATTGAAAGACGAGAGATTTGACGTTTGGTTGAGCAGCTGAAACCATGAAAATGGTGATTATTCTGGTCAGCAAAGCGTCAAGGGGAACTAGGTCGACAACAGCCCGTATCATCGACTCCTCAGGGCCTGTGGCAGAAGTCAAAGAGCCCGCACAGGCAAGGTCATGATGCGTTTGATTAATTTGACTTTCCAAAATTGCACTCGGCCTGCGGTACATGCTTTAAATCAGATCAAACCACCCAAACCAAAAAAGGGGAGAGAACAAAAAAAAAAAAAAAAAGGCCTCTAATTATCCCAGCTGTTTGCCCTGGCTGCAGTACTTCTCCCTGTGCCGCTTCAAGTTATCCTTCCTACCCTTGAAGGTCTTGCCACAGCCCGGGCAGTTGATCGTCTCGCCCATGTGAACTGTCTTCTCGTGCCGCTGGGCGTCCCTCCTCGACCCGAACGTCTTCCTGCACGGGACACAGCTGTGGAGCGCAGTCGCCAGGTCTCTGTCGATTGTCAGCTTGGCACACACTCAAGGCCTGTTGGGGGGTGGTTGGGGTTTACAGTGCCCCGTGGAGCCGGGTCCGTCTTACCTTGGCTTGCGGCCGCTCCTGTCCTGCTGCTGCTGCTGCTGCTGCTGCGCAACCGGACCCGTCCCGCCGTGTCCGCCGCCGCCACCGCCGCCCGCCGGCTGCATCCAGTCCCCCCCCAGCGTCGGCGTCGGAGACGGCGTCGGGAACGCGGCGGCGACGGCGTCGTGTGGGGAATAGTGGCAATAACCGCCGCCGCCGCTGCCGCCTTCCGCAGTGTCCGCCGCTGTCGCCCCGCGGGGTTGGTATTGTTGCTGTTGTTGATACTCCCCGGGGAGGCCGGGGAGCCAAGGGACGGGAGGGAGCGCCGGCCCGGTGGGGAGATATCCCCACGTCATGTTGGGCTTGGGGACGCAGAGCACGCACCCGCGCTCGCACCCGCCCCCGCCGCCGAGGTGGATCTCCTGTGGCGCCTGGATGCTGCGAGCCGCCGTGCTGTTGGTGGTGGTCGTCGTCGTGGCGTTGTTAGTGTACCCCGGTTGGAGATCTAGGGCTTGCGTCTCGACGGTGTCCAGGGGGACATCTTCCCCAACCTCGCCAAGGGAGCGAGTAAAGTCGTAAAATCTGGAGTCCTGGCTCATGTCGTCGAGATCATGGTTGATGTTCATCAAGTCCTGGTATATCGGCGTGCCGAGGCCGCGAGGTTGGTCTGAGGATACTGCTGCTGCTGCTCCTGCTCCTCCAAACACCGGGATGGAAGAGGCGCTCCAGTGGTGCTGGTTGGGCCCGGGGTCATACCAGTTGCTGGGATTTGTTCGATGCATGTTGATCCAAGGACGCGGACAAGGAGAGAGGTGTGGTTTTGGTGTTGACCTCCCTGCTCGAGGTATCTGGTCTGGGTATTGAGTTTGTTCGTCTTGTATCTTGGTTTTGGGAGCCAGAGCCGACCTTTGGGTGAGCTGCGTGAGTAAGGAGGGATAGATTTGCGGATGGTAGCCTGGGCAGTGCTTGGGCACTTAACACACGATGAGGCTCGGCGGTTCAAGGGACTGATTTTGTGATGGTGATAGGAGTTGTGAGTTATGAGTTTCTCTAGGTCACTGAGGGATGGATGGCCCGCAGATCTACGACAGCGACGGCAGCTATTAATACTTTTACCTCTCCCCATTATTCTCTAACCTTCTGCATTGTAGTCATCTTGCAATACTGCGTTCTGAGGCTCGCCTGCCACAGGGAGGTGGCAAGTTACACCACCGAGGCATACCATGGAGACGCAACGATCCCGTCCTGGGCGAGGGAGAACCAGCACTAGGTGAGAATGGGAAACAACACTGTTAGGATAGGAGCATCACCCAAGGACGGCGCCGTAACACTTTGGAGAACGGCATTCGTGAGGCCCCCTATCGACACTACCTGGATTCCAGGCCTTTCCCGTTCCAGCTTGCCTTGTCCTACACCTGTGGAGAACTGGGGATTTCATACTTTCATTTCCATACCTTCAGATTACACCAAATCCAGGGCCACGATGCCTATTGGCCCACTAACACAGCCCTCCCCGCATCCCACCACTTGCCGTCACACCTGCCAGTGAATCCCTTCCAGTTCTCGCCAGTGAATCACTTCCAATTCTTCCCAAAGAATTCCAGCAGCGTCCTGTACCCCCTCGCGTACTCCTCCTTGACCCTGCTGTCCGACAGGTCCGCCCGCGCGGCCATGAAGCCGTGGACCTGGTCGGAAAAGGTCTCGACGTGCTTAGGCCCCTTGAGGTTCTCCTCGAACTTCTTGATCACGTCGGCCGGCTCCTCCTTGGACGCCAGCAGCGCCATCGGCACCTTGACGCCCTCGGCCTCCTTGGGGTCGACCATTGCCGGGTGGATCTGCGCCGCCACGCTGAATGGGTTCGAGTCCGCCGTCACCGTGAGGGAGACAACTTTCCCTCCCCAGCAGTACTGCGCGTCGTCATGTCTCGTCAGCGGGTGGTTTTGACTTGGCGTCGGGGCGGGTAAGGGGGAAGCAACCGAGGGGGGGGAGGGAATGGGGTGTCCGCCAACTTACGCCGATGATGGCCCATGACTTGATCGAGGGGTTCTTCGCCTGGAGAGCCTTCACGAAGGCGGGGACCTTGCCCGCGATCTTGGGGGGCGGGAACTTCTGGAAGAAGGCACCGAGATTCTTTTTCTTCTCTTCGGTGTTGGGAGGGTACCTGTGCCAGGGGGATTAGTGGGACGGCACCGTCGCGATGGGGTGTTCGGGAAACTGGCTGTCAACGTACCAGTCGATTGGGCAGGGGCTGCCCTTGAACCAGTCCGGTATGAACACCTTGTACTTGGTGTGATCGTCGCTGGTCGCCAGAATATCGGCGCCCTGAAGGGTCTGTTCGAAGTAGCCGAAGATGTCATAGATGGCCACGATGCCCTTTGTGGCGTCAGAGGGTCCGGTTACGTCTTGGTTAAGTCGTCGTTAGTTGGGATCGAGAGCCGGCACTTCCACCGCAATGAAGTGCATAATAGGATGACCATACAAGTCTTGTAACCTCCAAGCTCTTGGTAGGAGCCTTTGGCATGATACCCCTTCGAGACAACTGGAGGGATGTTGCAACAGGCCTCATTGTGACCGTGGGTAGCTGGCATGGTAGACATCTTAGCTGCTTGATTGATGTTTGATTTGCCGATGAAGTTGCTCGTGAAGGTCTGGTGATGATTTTCTGATGGTGTGCAGTGAAAGCTTCTAGACGGAGGGGGCGTCGAAAGGGAGTTGAGAGGACGGGCAGGCTTATGGCTGCCGGGAAGATGTTGCAAATATGTACTCTGAGGGGCTAGTGAGGTAGGACTTGCAGACACGGGAACTTGGAGGGTTGATGGAAGACGGAGGGGTTTCGGTGGAGGCATTGAACCTCACTCAGTCTTTTACTTGTTGGATCTGATAGATACGGGTATGTCTAGGCTCACTTCGGGCCGATTTTGATCGGGAATGAGTCCTCTTGATGCCTTCCAGGTGTCAAAATTCCAAACTCGACAGCTCAAGTTATTGCTTCTTCCTCACTACCGTACTTGATATTTCTGAACCATGGTTCCATCCATGCACATAAGGAGGGGTAGCTTCTTTGATTGTTGGGCTTGGGACGTTGAAGGCGGGGTAGCTCCCTCCTCCCCTGCCATTGATGTCACTGCTTACCCCACAAGCGACTACAGTCAGCGGTACCTACGTCAGAGCTGAGGAATCGAGAAGTTAGCCTATCTGATTGGATTAATTCGTTCTCTGATCCTCGACTATGTGTAAAGTTGTCGGTATCTGCCATTGAGCATTGTCGTAATCATGACACTTGACACTCAGGAATGCGCAGTGAGACCAGGTATCGAGGGCTGTGGCTAAAAATGGTATGTGTGGAGGTACTTGCAGCTGACAACTTGTTTTGTCATCCTATCCCACCTGTTAGCACTTGTCTCTCTTGTCTCTCTTGTACAGGACCTCCCTCTCTGTTCAAAGCCAACCAACAACCAATTTATATACCTAGTATCCCCTACCAGTCGACCTGTGTTGGTCCCGGCGAGGGCACCAAGGAGGGTCTCATACAGTAGTATATCGAAGGCTTTCCAGTGAATCGACACGAACCTCCTATATCTTCAAGGGGAATATGTCACACGTATGGCTTGTAGGCATTAATGTCTAAGTTTCCACCTTGTGCATCGATTTGCTTGGCGAAGGAGACAGCCAGTACGAAATCATTCATAAATTAGGATCTGGAGGCTTTTCAGCCGTCTGGCTTGTTCAAGTAACTTTTTTGGACTGAAGGAGCCTCCTCAGCGTCTCTCCACCAATGGCGTTTTGTCTCACCCATGGATATCTGGACCTCCCCGCTGTAGAACAAGTGCGAAAGACACTCAAGGGTTCTACTACTCTTCCCCTCAACGCCGTCCCTCCAGGCTCGAGCAGGTTCGTTCGTCGATGCTCTATTGTGTTCTATAATACCTATCCTCGCTCGCCATACACCTGTATTAATGGTCATACCAATCCCACTTGCTCAACGCCCAGCGCCCAACCAGCAAATTGAAGCCACACTCGACCCGACGTCCACATCCCGTGCGCCCTCTCAGCTCATCCCGCCATCTGATAGCCCGACCGCCTCGCATCCTCCAACGCCTTCCGGACGATATCCGCCTCGGCCCTGAACCGCAGCAACGTGGCCGCCTCGGCCGCCGGCGCCCAGACCTCCTTCAGCTTCTTCCGATCCCGGGGCGTCCCGGCGCCCCGCGGCACCGCCGAGTCCGCGATGGCCGCATAGTAGAAGACGACCTTGTCCGCCGGCGTCGACGACTGCGGGTCCGGATACCGGCAGCAGCCGATGAACTCGGTGCTGAGCCGGCCCTCGGTCACCTCCCGGGTGGGCCTCAACCCGACATCGCCGCCGTTGCCGCCCTCGTCCTCGTCCTTGTCGGATGGCGGGGTGGCTCGGGTGGCTATCTTCAGCCGTAAGGGGGTTGCGTGAACGCCCGTCTCCTCGTATGTTTCCCGCAGCGCCGCCGAGAGCATGTCCTCGCCAATGTTCTTGCGGCCCTTGGGCAGTTGGTAGATGTTGAGGTGGCGGTTCCAGATGAGGAGCACCTTGCACGCGGCCGGGTCTATCGTCACGGTGCCGCAGGATACCACGCAGGCTTCGGATGGGTGGAAGGTCATGCTTCTGTCGATCTCCTCGAGGTCCAGGTCCATCTTGACCCCCGTTTGTTGAGACTATGTGATGTGACTGACGGTGTCGGAACTTTCCGGTTGTTGTTGTTATTGTTGTCCGATGTTTAGAGATGTGCAGACGAAAAGGGGCTCTTCATGTGGTTCTAGCGACCGGCCAGTGTCGACGGTAAGGTTTGCTGTATTCGAGTTGGATGGTCAGATGCCGGGAGATCGTTGCAAATCTTCACCAGTCCGGCGGCATCCTTCCTTCCCCTTTTAAAGAGGGAAGGATCGATCCGAATCTTTTATCTGCCACGCGAGGTTCCCCTGGTTCGGTGGGATGAACAGAGCGAATCATATCCGAGGAGGCGGTCGTACGAACAGACGACAATGGTCCTGCGAGACTGAAAAAGTGAAAAGTGAGTATGCGTATACGGGTGGGTAGGGAGCAGCGTAGATAAGCACAGGCTCAAGTCCTGGACGGGACAGGGTGCGAATCTCAGCCTGCTTTGCCTTTTCTCTCCTTGCTCAGGGAAGGCCTCCGCTTGCTGGGGGTTTCTATTCCTTGGAGCGTGTTGAGGGATTGACCGGACAGCGAATTGGCGGTGTCACCGCTCTGCAAGTTCGACGGCATCTTCCCTTGGGTACATAGACTCAATTACGATAGCTGGGACCCGAATGCCAGGTTCAGGTTCTTTCCGATCCGCTTGCGTCCCGAGTCCCTTGGAAGGCTGCCAGGGTCTGAGACGCCACGGAACCAAGCTAATCTCGGTCTCACTCAGTCCCTCCTTTTTCCTGACCTGTCATTTTTTTGCCCGCCACCAATGTGTCTCACTTTTCACTTCAGAAGAGAAAAAAAAAAAGTCTGGAATGAAAGTGGCGGCAAAGTTATTTTTTCCCATCAAGTAGGACGAGGTTGGTAGGGTGAGATTCAAAGGGCAGGTTCGACTCGGGAAATGCTTCGCCATCAGCCGCATCCGGCAATCTCGACGAATCATTGTTCCCCTGACTCCGGGTACCTGCAGACAGTATGTTTATTAATAGAAGGCTACCTGGGTATGAATTCTGAGATTTATCTGAGGACATACTAATAATAGCTACATGCTTGTGACAGGTGCCTTGTCTAATGCAGTCCTGGCCTCAACTTCAGATTCTGAAGTTCGAATGATACCCCTTATCGTTCTTCTAAGCCTCTGTCTCCAACTTGTTTCCATGTGCCTGCGTGTTATGAGAGACAGTATTGGCGTGTTCAACCTGTTCTCTAAGGGATAGCTAGAGGACATGATATCAAGGACCTCGCAGACGGTAGATCCGCTCTGCTTGACACGTATGTGTGCCAGTAATAGAGTCTCCGTCGTTGATCATGCCGAGAAATGCGCGTACTCCTTGTTGAACGCCCTCCCAATCACCATCCGCCTGATCTCCGACGTCCCGGCTCCGATCTCGTAGAGCTTCGCATCCCGGAGTATCCTGGACGCTGGCATCTCCTCGACGTAGCCCATGCCTCCGAGGACCTGGATGCAGTCCAAGGCACACTCGGTTGCTCTCTCCGCCGCGTATAGGATGGCTCCCGCGCAGTCCTGAGTCCTGATGGTGCCCTCCTCATCCACCGTCTTGGCCGTCGTGTATGTGTAAGCCCGCGAGGCCTGGAGCTTGGTGTACATGTCCGCCAGCTTCCCCTGCATGAACTGGAACTGTCCGATGGGCGTCCCGAACTGCTTCCGCGTGTGTGCGTACGGCAGCGCGACGTCCAGCGCGGCCTGCATCAGCCCCAGCGGACCCGCGCTGAGCACCAGCCTCTCCAGGTCGAGCCCTTCCATCAGGACGCGCACGCCGCCGTTGACCTTGCCCAGGATGTTCTCGGCCGGAACGAACACGTTCTCGAAGACGAGCTCGCCCGTGTTGCTCCCGCGCATGCCCATCTTGTCGAGCTTCCGCGCGCAGCTGAAGCCCTCCGACTTGGTCTCCACCAGGAATGCCGTGATGCCCTTTGACCCGGCGTCGCGGTCCGTCTTGGCGTAGACCACTACAACGTCCGCGTCCGGCCCGTTGGTGATCCACATCTTGGTCCCGTTCAGGACGTAACCCCCATCGACCTCCCTCGCCCAGGTGCGCATGCTGACAACGTCGCTTCCGGAGCCAGACTCAGACATGGCCAGCGCGCCGACCTTTTCGCCCGCGATCAGGCCTGGGAGGTACCTGCGCTTCTGGTCTGCGGACCCGTTGAGCTGCAGCTGGTTGACGCACAGCTGCGAGTGGGCGGCGTAGCTGAGGGCGACGGACCCGCTCGCGCGCGACAGCTCCTCCATGACGACGCAGTGCGCCTGGTAGCCCATCGCCAGGCCGCCGACTTCCTCGTCCGCCGTGATGCCCAGGAGCCCGGCCTCGCCAAGCCGCGCCCACATCCCTTCCGGGAAGGCATTGCTGCGGTCCGTCGCCGCCGCCGTCTCGGCCGTCAGTTCGCGGCGCGTAAACTCCTGCACGCGCTCGCGGAGCTCGTCGAGGTCGGCCTGCGAGGGCGCCGTGAAGCCTTTGGGGTGCTTGGAGGTCGACGCCTGTCGCTTTTGCTGGTGGCGGGTTGTGAGGGGTGTTGATGACGCGGGGCGGAGCCATTGCTGGGCAATTGGGTTGGGGGATGACCTCGCCGAGCGAGCCAACCGGCTGGATATTCTGAGACTGGCCATGTTTGTATTGGGATGAAGAATTGAATGGGAATACGGGTCAAATTCGCAGAGATACTCGAGGAGTCCAAGTCATTACTTGCCATGTGCCAAGGCAGGTTGCTCGGCTTCCATCGGCGGCTTGCAGCGGCTTACTTCGGGCCGCAGCAACCCACCCTCCTCCCCCAGACGTCAGCGGGCATGCCAACTTCTCTTCGACCAACATTCTCGAGTCGTTGAGAGTTTCGCAAGCCAGCTGCTACGCCCGGGGCAGCAATTATCGGCTTCATACAGTTTCGCCAAAATGATCTCAAGAAGATCTACCAGAGAAGTCTTGCTTCTCTCCAAGCAATTGGGCCGCCAATGCCGTCGAACACCGTTATCGAGCAGCGTCGGCACGTCCCCGATCCTCCCCCTGCGGAGTTGTCCTCGACGCGGCGTCGCGACATTCACCCCGCCCTACCAAGCCGGCGCAATTTCCGTGATAAAGAGCAATGTCGACGAGAGCTCCGACGAGTTCAAGGAGAATGAGAGGCTGATGGGCGAGGCGATGACCCGCCTGGAGGAGCTGACCAGGAGGGTCCACCAGGGCGGCTCTGCGAAGGCGCGGGAGAAACACCTTGCCAGGAAGAAGATGCTCCCCAGGGATAGAGTCACGGCTCTTGTCGACCCGGGAACAAGTTTCCTTGAGCTCTCTCCTCTGGCTGGCCACGAATTGTACCCGGAAGCCGACGTCCCCGCCGGAGGCATCATCACCGGCGTGGGCGTGGTTGAGGGAGTCACTTGCATGATTGTCGCCAACGACAGCACGGTAAAAGGAGGGACATATTATCCTATCACTGTCAAGAAGCATCTTAGGGCGCAGGCCGTCGCTCAAGAAAATAACCTGCCGTAAGCTGTTTCGAGGCGTGGAACTGGGGAGACTGTGAGCTAACATCGATGGTTCTAAGGTGCATCTATCTGGTCGACTCCGGCGGCGCGAATCTTCCCCATCAGTCAGACGTCTTCCCAGACCGTGACCACTTCGGCCGCATCTTCTTCAACCAGGCGCGAATGTCTTCAGCCGGCATTCCGCAGATTTCCGTTGTTATGGGCCCTTGTACGGCCGGAGGGGCCTATGTACCAGCGATGAGCGACGAGAGCATCATAGTGCAGGAGCAGGGCCACATCTTCCTCGCCGGGCCACCCTTAGTGAAGGCGGCCACGGGCGAGGTGGTCAGCCCCGAGGACCTGGGAGGCGGCAAGATGCACTCGTCCGTCTCGGGAGTCACCGATTACCTAGCTGTGGACGATGCGCACGCCATCGTACTTGCCAGGCGGTGCATCAGCAACCTCAACTGGCCCAGCAAGCAGCCGGCGACTCCAGCCGAGTACTCGGAGCCCCTCTATCCCCCGAGCGAGCTCCTCGGCATCGCGTCCACTAACCTCCGCAAGCCGCTCCCCATCCACGAGGTCATCGCCCGCATCGTCGATGGCTCCTCGTTCTCCGAGTTCAAGCGCGACTACGGCACGACGCTCGTGACGGGGTTCGCGAGCATCTACGGGCAGCAGGTGGGCATCGTGGCCAACAACGGGATCCTGTTCAGCAGCTCGTCGGTCAAGGGGGCGCACTTCATCGAGCTGTGCGCGCAGCGCGGCATCCCGCTCGTCTTCCTGCAGAACATCAGCGGGTTCATGGTCGGGGCCGACGCCGAGCGGGAGGGCATCGCCAAGAACGGCGCCAAGCTCGTCACCGCCGTGGCGTGCGCCGACGTGCCAAAGTTCACCGTCGTCGTGGGCGGCAGCTACGGCGCGGGCAACTACGGCATGTGCGGGAGGGCGTACGGCCCGCGCTTCCTGTGGATGTGGCCTAACGCGAGGATAGGCGTCATGGGCGGCGAGCAGCTGGCCGCCGTCATGGAGACGGTGGGCCAGAAGGCCGACCCGGCGTTGAAGGAGAGGATCGAGAGGGAGAGCGATGCCGTCTACTCTTCGGCGAGGTTATGGGTGAGTTTCTCCAAGTCGGATGCGGCAACTCGCAACGCATGCACTTTGGTTGTCTTTTTCACTGACTGATTCAATTTTTCTTCCAGGATGATGGTGTCATTCCTCCGGCACAAACCAGGAGGTATCTCGGCTTGGGCCTTAGGGCAGCATTGGGAGGACGCAACGTAGTGGAGCCTGGAAAGACGAAGTTTGGGGTGTTCAGGATGTGAGAGGGATGTGCCAATCAATTGAAGCTTTGAAGCTGTCGAGTCGAGACGAGGGAACATAGAATATTGGATATCCGACGTCGTCTACGCCGTACACTATCGCGACGCGTAATCGGATAATACTTCAGTGAATATTAGATGATCAAAGTGTGAGGGACCGCAACCGGCGTGCATGGCATCCCTGACTTCATTGGAGCCATGTTCCTGTCTGCCAAGGCTCAAGAGCCGCTAGATTGATCTCGACTCATGGGCCGCAGCCCCCGTACCGGCGCTACAGCACCGGGAAACCCGCCGGGCCCCACATAAGACAACAATCCGTGTCAGCAGACCATCTAAATTTGGGGTAAAAAGTGGAGAGGTCCAGCAACCGCATTCGTATGGAATCAGTTTCTTGACCGACATCTCCATCCGGAGAATTCTAGATTCCAGCAGATGCAGATAATTCAGCCGACGAGAAAATGTTTTCCACAGCCCAGGCACAGAATATCCCCCCACCTACACGTAGATAGGCCTGGGGCTTACCAGACATGGATGAGCTCTCAGTCATGGGACCCTATGTCTCGAGTTTTCTCGCGTCGGTGGTGTCGGGTCGGCTGTCGGGTCGGGAGGACTCATGAAAAGGAGCTTGATAGTCATTGATTTTTGACGACAGGTTTTCAGAATTCTAGCATTTCTAGCATTTCCATTTTCAGCAGATCCTGAGCAGATCCTGAGCAGATCCTGCCAAGAAAGTGTTCAGAAAAGCGCCTTCATCTCACCGTACCTACCCCGCCCTGAAGTCATCGGTATCTCCAAATTTCGCACCCCCTCCAAAGCCCTGGACAGCAAGAGGAGCTTTCTCCCATCATTGAAGCCATAGTGTGGTCTTCCTCCAGCCCATAGCCCGACGACGAAACCTAGAGCAATAGAAGACTCCCCGACAATGCTCTTCCATCAAACCGCCCGTGCCGGCCTTCGCGCCGCACGGCTCAGCTCCGTCGCAGCCCTCGCCCGCCGCCCGGCTCCCCAACCCGCCCTCGCCGTCCGCGCAGACGCAGCCGCAGGCGCCCGCAGCGGCTTCCATTCTTCACCGGCAGTCCGGGAGTCCGAGAAGAAGGGCGGCAATGACGCCACCCCGTCGGCCGGCAGCTATGCGCGGACCGACGAGTCCATCACCGTCGAGTACCCGCCGGACAACGAGCTGCCCAGCAGCGTGCCTGTCGAGGGCGCCGGCCGGGCCGGCGTGAACGTGCTGCCGACTCTGGCGGCGTTCTCGCTCGAGGGCACTGTCAGTGTTGTCACCGGCGGCGCGAGAGGATTGGGTCTGGTCATGGGTCAGGGGATAGTCATCAGCGGTGGTGAGCTTGCGATCGTGGACTTGAACAGTAGGTTTTGCTGACGTCTGCCTCGCTTTTTTCCCTCGCCCTGGCTGACCGTTTGCCCCTTTTGCTTCTCTGTAGAGGAGGAAGCTACCAAGCAAGCGCAGTCCATTCTCGAGACGTTCAAGAGGGACTACCCCAAGGCGAAGAAGTGAGTTCGCCCCTGTCCTTGTCTCTGGGCCCGGGATCTCCTGTCTCAACGGGCCCCGGAGCTTCCCCGACTTGAATCCCCCCCTTCTAACCTTTCTCTCAGGTTCCCCAAAGTGACGGCACACTACGCAGACGTCTCGGACCAGGCATCAGTTGAAGCCTGCATCGCCGAGGTCATCGCGGAGCACGGCAAGATCGACAACCTGGTGACCTCGGCCGGCTTCACCGAGAACTTCGAGGCCACAGCCTACCCCATCGACCGCATGCGCAAGCTGTGGGCCGTCAACGTCGACGGCACGTACCTGTTCGCCACGGCGGTGGCCCGCCACGTGATGGAGCGCAAGGCCAAGAAGTCTTCCATGGTCTTCATCGGCAGCATGAGCGGGAGCATTGTCAATGTCCCGCAGCCGCAGGCGTGAGTTACTCCTCCGCCCCAATTTCACCCTCCCAGGACCACCCCCCCAGCGTTTCCATCCCACGTCTTCTTCAGCAGACTGGAGTACTGACGGATCGATGGACAAAACAGGCCATACAACAGCGCCAAGGCAGCGGTCCGGCACCTCGCGGCGTCGCTGGCCGTTGAGTGGGCGCACGCCGGGATCCGTGTCAACTGCATCTCGCCCGGCTACATGCTTACCGCGCTGTAAGTCCCCGTCTTCCAGCCTTTTTGCCATCAATCCTGGCCTCTCCCCCTCCGGATTCGAGACCCTTACTAACCCCCCGCAGAACGCAAAAGATCCTCGACGACAACCCGGACCTGAAGCAGCAGTGGACGTCCCTGATCCCGCAGGGCCAGATGGGCCACCCGGAGGACCTGATGGGCCCCGTGGCGTTCCTCCTGTCGGACGCGTCGAGATACGTCACCGGCGCCGACCTGAGGGTCGACGGAGGCTACACCGTTACGTGAGCGCCGGCCCCCGGCTGACGCTGACTTCAGAATCCCCCACCGGCCCCCTCCGTGGCGGGTCGGGGGGCCAAAGAGGGGGACACATATACCTTATATGGGGATCGGAAAATTCTGGGAGACGGCGCGGGGAGTAGCTGTGCGTGGGAAGCGCGTAGATGGCTCGGTATATATGCAATTGCGAGACGCGCCGTCTCCTGATTACGACGTGGCGTTGGATGGGAGTAGGCGACGGCGACGGCGCGGCGGCGTGAAGGACGTACATAGGGCGATACACTTTGTAATGTAATAATAATGGGCGCTTTGTGTAACCCGCCGCACACACAACACACACATACAACTGGTCTGCGCAATTGCGAGGAACCCGATTCGCTCTAACCCATCTCCCTTAAAAAGGGGGGGATGGCTAATCCCGAGGTGACACAAGCCGCTTCTCGGTCAGCCGCAGGCAGGTACACGTTATCTCTCTCGTCTGCGGTGACGCTCTCCCTTCCAAATGGAAAGGACAGTAGGTTCGGAAAGAAAATCCCGACCCCTCCGAAACGCCACTTAACCAACGTCCAGCCCACGCTAAATGGGGGAAGCGCCGTTGAGATCGGGAGATGATGATGGTTTGACATCGAACTCGTGCCGCTTGGGAGGAAACCTTACCTTGGTGCGGAAAGGGGTCGAAAGTGGGGACCTGTTGGGCTGTGTGTATGTTGGTTGTTAGTCCCAGCCAGGACGGCCCGCCATCAGCCCATAATTGGGGATCGATGATCAAGGGTCCAATATCAGCATCCGGTTTTGGCAGGAGAGGCAAGCAGGGAACTGACGGAGCGACAGAGGAGGCTTCCAGTTGGCCCCCAAGGGAACCTACCCGGGCATGTGCTCACCGAGGGAGAGGCGCGCGGGACCGGTCGGGCTTTAATGGTCCGCGTTATAGGGCCGTTTTTGCAACCTCGGCTTGTTATTGCTGATGGGAGGATTCTAACCGCGTTGGTATCGCAGGGATCGAATGCTGGCCAGAGACTGTCGAAAACCGGTTACTTTGGTTAGCCATGGCCCCAGCGTCCGTCTACCTTCCAGTGTATGGCGCCAAGTTGATACAAACAAGGCAGCCTTGTTTGCTTTAATCCATAACCACATTGGTCATGGAGAGTCGCTTGTTCTAGACCTTTTGGGACGCGATATATGCTCAGGCTCTGGCTACCTATTCCATCATCCTAAGGATGTGATCTTACCGCCAGTACTTGGCTATCCTGGGCGTTCTTACCTTGTAAGGATTGTCCTCGACAGACCTGGACTTACAGGTGTACGCATGTAGTATATGGCGCAGTGTATTCCGAGGAGAAGCACGCAAGCTGGACCCTTGTAACTGACCCCATCTCGGTCAGACTCGACATGATTGCAGCTCATGCTCACTCTGATGACCGGCGGGCCTTCTCTCGGCAAATTTTGCCCTTGCCAGTCCTCCAAGGTTTTGTGCGCGGGGAGATGCAAGGCTTGCAGGGGCAAGGATGCGGAGAAAACGTCCGCATCCTGGGGTAGTGTATCGTGGGGATGGTTCGAAAAGCTGGCGGACTGGGTACCTGCCTATTAGGAAGCCAGTCCCGACACCGTGGAACCCGGTGTGACCCAGCTCTCCACGATACGTCAGCAACCGGCGATCGTTGACCCCCCGACTTGTCAGCTTCCATTGCCAACCGGAGACAATATTGTCGTGCTTCGCCAGGCGGGGAAATCTCGGAGAGGGAAGGGCTTGGGTGGTCAGGGAATCTGGCCTGAAACCGTGCGCTCGACAAGAATGAGCTCTCTTCCTCAGCGACTGGACAGACGGACAGGTTGTCCTCGGTTCTGTTCCCCAGCGTTGGTTGTTGTTCCTCCAATCTCCCACGCCGCCAACATTCTCAACAATGATCTGGGCCAATAGTATATGGGCGCATCCGGCCTTTCGGAGTCACACGACTTCCTTTATCTTCGGGGCGGGGGCACAAGAGCACAAGACAGGCAGGCGAAACTTCACCTCCCAGTAAGCCGAAGAAGGGTAAATTTTTCTTGATCAAGAGTTACGTATCGAAAACTGTCCTAGGAAGAGACAAAAGGAATGTATGTTCGACACGTCTTCGACATGGAAACTAGTATCAGCACGGGCTGAAGCTGACTGCCCTAAGAGGTTCTCAAGAGCGGTGAAGGGCTGAGGGCAACAAAGCAGAGCTGAACGGGGGTGAAGCTACGACCAAAAAGGCTTGGGTTGATGGACCCTTGAACCCGGTCGCGTGGCAGTAATGCGGAAGGACTGGTGGTGCGTTCCTTCCCTCCTTGCCACGGCTAGACATGGAGATGTACTGCGCAGCAGTAGTGTAGACTGCAAGATCAACAATGCATTTAGGCCCGAGTGGGAGCGAGCCCGACGGATGAGCCTCGAAAGCGAAGAGGGGTAGCTCTCGGCACCGGTGCTTAACCGATGCAGCGGCGGAAGATGTTCTCGAAGGTGCCAGGGGCCGGGGGTGGTGGTGAGTCGTGCATTAGCAAGATTTAAATGAGTATCGCAACCTAGAAAGTCCCCGTGACGCATCAAAAATGTTAGCGCATGTGCCTCGGGGACCTTTCATTTCAATCTCAGAGATTCAACGCCGGCCAGAGGCGGCACTCGAGTTCCGCTATAATGAGCTACGGAACGAAACAAAGAACCAGCAGCGAACAACTCTATTACTCGGAAGGAATTACGAATATACTGCATAGTACCTCGTTCCCTAACGCTCAGTCTCCTGGAAACCCGATGGGTTGAGACGAGACTGACCGACTGACCTGCTACCTACCTAAACAAGTGCATACCCCCCGACCGTAATAAGCCCTACCACCTGCCTGCTCCTAGAGTCCCACCTGAGTCCCACGTGTCTCCCTTGAATGGTGGCACCGGAAAGCTGAGGCTTATCGAGGCATGGCGTGCGTAGGTAGCTGTTCTTGGTGGACGAGCGGGAGAGACAGAACAAACAACGCAATGGCCAAGTGGCATGTGCACTCGGTGAGCGCGAGCTGGCAGGCTTCCAACCTTTGGCTTTGGACTTTTGGTTGGGGAGAATAGCCGCCACTCCTGCTCGTGTTCTCCTCTTTTTTTTAACTTCCAGACGGCCCAGTGGAGAGAGGAATGAGCAGGTATCGCCCTCGTAGTCCCATGATGGCAATTTACCACCAAGGTTCCAGGTTGGTAGGTCGCGTCTTACCTAACTGGCGACGGGGGGACCTTGAACATTTCGGTTTACAGGTACGCACGTACGTATGCGCATCACCTGGAACCGCAAAGTTATTAAGGGCGTGACCCGGTGCGGAAGCTAGAGCTCTGATGGTCTCATTAGCGGTCTGTTAGTGCCGTCGAGGTGGGAACTGGGGGCGGGATAATGGTAAGTCCCTGACTGTCCGTGAGGCGAAAGACTGGCCCAGAGCTTGACCTGACAAGCAAGCCACCTCCATGGTCAACATGGGCAATTTTCTTTTTTGTCCTCTCCCTGTTCCGCCCTTCGCATTCCTTTCCTTTTACCTCTCGACCCTCTCTCTCTTTGAAGGGCCATAGTGCCAGACGCCTATTGTATTGTACGGTACAGTATGTACTTCGTGCATATCGATACTTTTCCCACCCACTGGACCCTCCCGAGTCCCAGCCCACAAAGTCAATCTTTTTGAGACTCGACGCCACGTCGATTCGCTCTTCGGGGTTATAGCCCACTTCTGGACTTCTGGACCCAGTTCACTTAAGTTGAAGGTTGCGTGTTCATTCCCCATGTGTGAAGAAGTACTACTCTCATGCTCATTCAAGCTGTGAGCCGACTTCTATGTGTCTATGACCCAGACGCAAGCAACTAAATAAACGCTACCACGACCCACCAAAGCAGCGGCCCCCTGTTGCTTCGACTGCCCTTAATAGTTCATGGCGTCCTAGAGCCTCAACATCCATTAAAGCAACCCAAGGGCTCTCTCACACGAGAAGCGGACGCCCAAACGTCTTGCACTGCCACTTCTCAAGTGAACCTAATCGTGCCTTAACGGAATCCGTCAACCTTCGGCATACGAACTGCTGAATCCGGGAACACCGAGGAGTTCAGCTGGCTCTGCATCTCGCTCGCCTCCGACTCACCACAGTTCCAACTTGTGCCGTGTTTTCTGTCCGCCATTGGTCTACAGCGGCCGCTATGACTGCGACAGTTTGACCCCCGGAAGAGCCACCGCGTGCGTATCCCTGCAACAACATCAGCAACGAACGACGGGCCTGTTCTGGCTAGGCTATGAACTTGCTGGAGTGCTTCTTTGCCCGGCGAGATCGTAACACTCTTCGGTTCACTACTCGGCTGCCTGGTTCGCAATGGAGCCACCACTGCCGATGATCTTGCCCAAGGGCATCGTCAGAAACACAGACGCGATTTATGCCGCCCTGGCGAGTTTCTCTGTTGTCCCCCCCGAGATACTATGGGGATGTTGGCATGGTATGTAGCCCATGGCTCCAAAATGACTGAATCGGACCTCCGTTATACTGACATGGGCTGTGTAGTCTACACATACACTTCCCGAAGGCTCAACGATCCCACGGCCCACCGCCTCGAGAACTTCTGGTGGCATGTCTTGGGGAGCGACAGGCGGCACCTGAGTGGGAAAGCTCTCGCCAAGATATACGAAGAAATCTCCAACGGCCCGACCTTCGTACCACTCAAGGGACCAGTGAACCGATATGAAGGCCCGCCGGTAGTGTTACCCAGCAACCATCCCTGCGCCCCTGTCAACTAATGTATGTCCCTAGGTACCTAGATTTAGTCAGCATGAGCTCGATAAAATGCTATCGGGCCCGGATCTGGGCCCAAGGCAAAGTCGAGCCCAGGGACAGGGCCGTAACACAGGTTCTCCGACGAAGGTGGGCGCGAAAGAACCGACTTCTTCGTCAACGAGACCTCCACCCCTGCACCCAATCCTGAAGAGCACGAGAGGACCCTCATCGTCAGGTCCTCGCCCGACAGCGCGATTCGTCTCACCGCCCGATTCAGGCGAGGAAAGTGGTGGAGAGGAGGAAGACGTCTCCTCGGGTAGCACGGCAGCGTTGGAAATGCGCCCGCAGCTACCGCCACCCGCCGCGAGGACGGAGAAGAAAGCGACACAGGCCACCAAGAAGTTTGTCGCAACGACCTCGGCTCACAAGCGGAGGCCTGTGTTACCGCGCCGACCCAGTTCTCAATCATCTACTGCTTCCGAGCCGGGGTCCAAAGAGGGAGCCTCCGGTTCCTCGACAAAACACGTCTCCACCAGTCGATTATCGCCCAGCATTGCGGAACAATCAGCTAAAATCCCGGACCGCAGTCCGGGATCTTCAACACTCGCTGTGCCTCCCGTGTTGAGTGCAAAGGCAGCTGGTAAGCAACCCGCAAAGGCAGTCTCTGGGAAGGAAACTTCTCGCGACAGACCCTCCCATAAGGTTGGGCAGGGAAGAATTGTCATAGAGCAGCAGCAGGCAACGATGGCCCAGGAGAGGCCTGCAAGTGGCAGCAGCGATTCTACGGAGTACGAGACGGCCAGAGCAAGGGACGGGCCGAGACGACCATCACCCGTTCCGATTACGTCGGAAAAGATGGTGCGCTCCCACTCCAATCAGTCGCAACAGTCGAGTGCGGGCCGACAACCGCCAAGCGGCCTGGCGGCATCCAGCGTCTCTGCCACGTCGACCGTTGCCGTTCAGGGGCAGTTTGACTTTGATTCTCCCTCCCCGGCCGCGGCGAGTCTGGAACCCAGGGACATCCCGGACCAGGTTGCACGGCGATCATCGAAGCCGCTCTTCACGCCGACGCAGCCGAGCCCAACCCCCGACGTCCCTCTTGCGCGATCAAAGAGCCAGCTGGCCGTCCTCCTGGAGCTTGACAAGGACCGGAGCCGATCACGGAGCCATCAGGGGCAGAATGGGAGCAATGGGAAGCAGAAGGTGGAAGGCGAGAAGGAGCAGGGGAAAGGGAAGCCTCATTGATGGTACTAAACTACAATGTTCACCTACCTCCATCACAATAATTATTGCTGCCTCTACACGCTTCACCTCGGAAGATATTCGGAAGCCAAAAAGAGAAAAGGAAAAGACAGGAGTATTGGCGAAGCGGCGTCTTCCGTCCAGTATACCTTTCACCAAAGGGGCCATGGTTATAGCCGGTGCTTCGGCGGGTTTATTGCATTCAAGATGGTCCCATTGGAGGCTGCATTTGGCGGGCGTTACGAAGAGATTCAGAGCGGATGCTCTGCAGGCGCGATATGATTGATGGCTAGTACGTGTTTTCCAGTATCTGGCGAGGAGTGTATCTGGCCAGATCACGACCTGGAGATGCCTCTATAACTTCAAGGGGGAAGGCTGTCTAGAGCTCTCCCGGAAGGGACTACTCGCGAGTATTATTGACTTGGGCTACCTGATGCTGCTCATTGCACAGAATACGACGCTTATCCCGAGAGGCATTCAAGGCCCTCCACAGTCCCCTCCTCTGGTTCTCTCTGTGATACTATCTTTGCCCCTCTCTGTGCTCTGCCTCGTTGGCCACCATCCCCCCCCCCTCTCGGCCACCCGAGCTACCCCTATCCGTCAGAATCGCGGCGACAGCCGTCGGGGACACGGAGCCTCGGAAGAAGAGGGGTTGTGACCCCGTGTGCCAGACTCCAATCGGTTGGAACAGGGGTTCGTGTCGGTCTGCCACTCGCACAATCCTATTCCTCTTTTTCTTCCTCCCTCCCCTTCCCGTTGTGCGACAAGACTAGTCGGGTTCTCACCTCCATTTCCTGATCACGTTGACAATTCCTAGGCGCGGAACGGGGGGAACAGGTGTCAGGGAATTTGCTTTTTCCCCTCGCGAATCCATCCGAAACCAAGCGACCTGGTCCCCCCCAAAGAAAAAATTAAAAAGAGGGGGTTGAAAAGTATATTCCACTTACGAGAAAGAAATTGCAACATCAGTGGGAAGACGAGACGAGCCGCGATATGTGCGTAGGGCTCAGGGCGCCCTAGCACGTCTTACCTACACTACTGCCTTGCCGCATCTTGCCTGGAACGTTTGGCTTGCCTTGCCCCAGCAAACCCCCACACGTCCCCGGCCTGGACCGATAGGGTTGCACAGGCGTACCTCCTCCCCTCCACGCCCCCCCCACGGTTTTGGGGGGGACCCCTTCATCGCCGGCTCCGTTCGGGCCCATGTGATCGCCGAGGGTGCGGGGCTGAGAAAAGAAAGGAAAAGGGCTGTTTGTCCCACAGGATCGGCATGCTTCCCAGCCAGCCCGCCCGCCCGCTTTTGCTCGAACCGCACGGGTCGGGTATTAAGGCCCAATGAGCATATGCCAACCCACAGGTACGGATGATCACCTGGGCAGGGTCGCTGTCTGGTGACCTTGGTGATCAAACTTGCGTGCTCCGAAGGGCCGGGTAGCACATCGAGGGCCTCTTGTGTCTGTTTGGCGGCCATTGGGAATTGGAGCTTGGAGTGCATAGGCTGTCAGACATGGTAGCAGATCTTGCCTGCACTGCTACATCTTCACCCCACCCATCTGCAGTCAATCAATCACTCACTCGTTCGCATCCTACGACGAAGCGGCTTGGCGAAGCCTAGACTGAATCTCAATCATTTTCCATGTTTGCTAGGTTGCTTGCTATATCTCCGACACTAGCGGATGCGGCTCGAGGCCCCCCCCGCCACCAACGTGCGAATACCGCCAACGCGGAAGAGATAGGTAACCCTCCCCGGAACCCAACCGCCACATTACCAAGGGCAAGAAAGTGTGTACCCCCTTTGCCGCAGCCCATCCCTTGCTCCCTTGCGTATGTATGTATGCATTACTTTTGTCCGGCCCATGAATTAAGACCACACAACACACACCCCTAGAATCCGAACATAACAACCAGAACAGTCGATAGTAACAGACGGCAAGAAAAAAAGAAAAAGAAAAGAAAGTCGGTTCGATGTGTTTTCGTTGCCGTTGGATATCTCCAATTCCCGCTTATGCATGTCCTATGCCTTTTGCCAAGTCCTTATGGTGGGAAAGAAGTAGGTCGTAGGTAGGTAGGTAGATCCAACCTCCAGACCTGGCTCGCGATGATGATTAGGTTGTTGTTGCCCCCAATCCCCATTTCCAAACAAGACCTATTAGAAAAAAGAAAAAGAAAAAAAAACATTAAAAAGAAATGAAAATAGGGAAAGGAAAGATGGAAGAGAGTGTGTTATCCATCATCTCGGGGGGTGGGGGGACCACGCAAGTCCCCAGAGAGGGCCTCAGCACCAACTCTATTCAGGCAGGCCGAACATCCTCCTCAGCACCCCAAACTTCTTCTTCTTCACCTCCCCCCCGGTGCCCGCCGCGCCCGCGCCGTCCATCTCGAACAGGCCCGACGACGCGGTCCGCCTCGGCAACACCGTCGACCCGCTCAGCGTCCTCGTGCCCAGGTTCCCCGACCCGGCCCCGGCAAACTCCTCCTCCCTATCCCCCTCGGCCCCCATCGGCAGCGGCCACGTCGCCCCGGAGCCGCGGCGCGCGCTCAGAGTCGTGTTCAGGCTCGCGGCCGTCCTCTTCTGCAGCCGCGGACTCCGCGGCCTCTCCTCCCCCTGGAACTCGCCCTCGCCCTCACCCTCGTCGTCGTCGCCGGTGCCCGCGGCCCTGATGCCCCTCAGCTCGTCGGCCCCGCGCTCGAGCGGCGTGTCCCTGCGTGCCGCGGCGTCCTCCCCCTCGGCGCGCCGCTGGATGCCGCCGCCCGTGTTGTGCCTCCTGCGGCGCAGCACGTCCATCAGGCTGCTGCGCTTCTTTCTGGTGCTGCCGCCACCGCCGGTGATGGTGGTGGTGGTGGTGGCCGCGGCAGTCGGGGTCGTCGGGGACCCCATGAGCTCGCCGCGGCCCGAGCGCGAGCGCCGGAGGCCGCTGTCGGCGGACGGTTGGGCGCGGGCGGCGGCGGGGCGGGATTGAGGGGCGTTGCCGAGGAGGACCATCCGCTTCTCCTCATCCTCCTCCTCCTCCTCCTCCGGCAAGGGGGGGCTGGCCTTGCTGTCGGCCCCCACCGCGGTCGCCGGCCAGGCCTTGCCGCGGCTGCCGGGCCGCATCGACTTCGCCATAGACAAAGGCCGGGGGTCCCGGGGCTTGATGCTACCACCGCCGCCGCCGTCGTCGTCGCTGCTCGAACCGTCGAAGCGGCTGCGGAATCGCGAGCCCAGGGCCGAGGCTCCGCCCTCGTCCTCGTCGGTCGAGTCGCCGAAGCGGCTTGACGACTTCGAGCCTCCGAACTTGGACCTCGCGTGCTGCTGCTTCTTGTTCTTCCTCCCGAACAGTCCCGTCCCGGTCCGGGCCTCCTGCGGGGCCGTCTGGCGTAGGGTTTGTCGCAACCCCGTGTTGCTCGCGGGCATCGAGGAGCGGCTGAAGGCCGTGCCGGTGGGGGACAGGGAGCGGAGCGAGAACCTCCTGCCGGCGGCTTCGCTGCCGGGCGGGGACGACGGCCTCATAGTCTTCCGGAACCCGAACCCTTCTGTTTGCCTGGGCTGAGACCTCCTGAAGCTGCTCTCGCTGCTGCTCGACCCACGACGGCGGAGGGACGTCGGAAGGATGGCCGACCTCGCCCCACCGATGGAAGCTGTGGATGAGCTGAGCTCGGATGTCTGCCTGGCGTGCCCTTTGGTAGCCCGTGGGCCTGGGCCCGAGAACGTTATACCCGTTGTCTTCCCTTCAGCAGTCGCGTGCCCATACCGATCGGTCCCAGAGGGCTTCAGGATAGATCCCTCTTTACGCATCGACTTCCGCAGGGCTGACGAGTCGTGTGTGCGCGGGGTGGACCCGTCATCGTTGACCTTAGTACCAGGCTTGATCATGTAGGTCCGCTCCGCTCTGTCCGTATAATCGGTGCGCTGGTCCTGGTCCTGCTGTTTGGCCATCATCTGCTGAGCCATGTGCACTGCGAGAGCCTTCCGCTCCGAGTTTCTGCGGTCCAGAGACTTCTTCTTCTTCGGCTTATGTGGTGCTATATGAGTGCCCTCGAGGTCACCCTCAGCACCGGCATCCTCCTTGGCTTCCATCTCCAACTGGGCTCGCTTTTCAGCCGTCAGGCTTCTCCAGAATGTCTTGGCCTTTTCCCAATCATCCTCGGGCGCCCCCTGAGGCTGGAAATCGACGACCGTAGTCTCGGAAGAGAGTTGAGGGGCCAGCTCAGGAGGGGATGATCTGCGTCGGTTGGCTGTAGCCTCAGAAGAGAGATGAGGGACCGGCTGCAGAGGGGATGATCTGCTAGGGTCAGCCTCTGGATTCGCAACTCTCTGTGCTTGTTCTGGGGCCGGGTATGATGGCTGCCGTGGACGGCCGATGGGACTCTCAACCACCGCATCGAGCGACAGGAAGCCATCACCCTCAATGTCTGTGTCTAAGAAGTCTTCGTTCGCATCACTGTATATGCTGCTTCCAGTGTCATCCGTATCCTCATCATTTGTGGACGCAATGGTAGCTAGAGTGTGTGAAGGCTGTCTGGCGGCCTCTCTCTGGGCTACTGGCTCGAGAACCTCTTCGCGTGCAGGTTCGACGGGGATCGAGCTTGAATGTCTTTGGTCTGCCCCACGCGTAGATGCCTCCGATGACTCGTCTTCAGGGAACCCACCGGGAATGTCGAAGAAAGACGCCTCGCGCGTGGTCTTAACCGTCGGTGGGGTTGGCCGAGAAAGCGTAATAACTGGTAAACCGTCCTCCGCGTCCTTACTTTCGGTCTTGGCCGCGGTCGGGACCGGGGTCCAATAATGGTCAGACTCGGGGCCCAATGTAAACCCATTAAGCGGCTTGTCGTCAAGAGTGCTGGCGTCGGCCACTGGGCCTTCGTGGATCACGGCCGAACTTTCGACAGCCTGAGCCGAGTCCTTCTCCATCTCTTTCTCCGACTCGGTTGAGCTATCGCTCATATAACCGCCCCCCTCAACCGACGTCACTATTGGGGGAAGAGGTTCCCTAAACCTCGAGATATTCGCTGCATTCCTCGACACCTGATCTGCCTCCTGATACAGAAGCCCTCCGATTGCAGAGTCCGTACTCGCCTCAATGGGTGCATTTGGCGCGGTTTCGGGCTTCGGTTCGTATGGTCTGACGAGGGGACGTCCCTCCTCGCCAGGACTGGACTCCCTCGGTTTCTTGCCCCTCACACTGCCGAAGCTAGGCAGCGCCGGGCGCGGCTTCATGAGCTCGTCGTCATCGAGCGGAACAATGTCCTTTTTCTTCGTTCGCGCTATGCTGGCGTACCATGGGCGGCGAGCTTCGTCGTTCTGCGAAATAGGAGTGCCTGTGGACTCGACCTGGTCTGGCGACGCAGACTGGCCAACCACCACGTTGTTCGAATCATCAAAACTGACTCTCACCGACCTCCTACGAGGAACAGATAGTTCGTCGCCGAGGTAGACATTGCTAGAGGTTTCCGAGGCGCCACCGTCGGGCGACAGCTCGCGGGATGACGGACCACGCTGCTTCAGCGCCGGCTTGCGTGGCGAGATGGACCGGGGAGGAGGCGAGTGCTTGATAGATGGGCCCTCCTGAACAGTCCCAAAGTGTGCCGTTCTCGCGGGGCTATTAGAGTGTGTCCTGTCCCTGGTTATACGACTCGTAGCCTGTGGTTCGTAGAGGACTGGTTTATCATGGTCTGCCGTCGCCACGTCCCGGGAGGTCACCGCTTCGCCGGGAAGTTCAGCAAACTGGCGAGGCGGCGGTGACCTCACATTACTCTGTCTCAGACCTGTGGGATCTGGCTGTGTTGGCTCTTCCGCGGTCGCACGCATATCCTGTTTCGTGCGTACTGAATCCAGGGCGTCAGTCACCGACTGTTGACTGCCGAGTTCTGCTTCGTCATCTTCTAGCTCCGGCTGCTCCCGTACAATCGACGGCTGTCTTCTTATCGACGGTCCAACGCGGCCGGTATCGCTTGGTAGAGATATCGCATTGCCATCAGCCTCCGACAAGCTCGACACAACAGGCACCGCTTGAGCGCGCTGGTGCTCGAGCTTCTTCGCAGCAAGCCTTGGCGATTTTATGATCGCTTTGACAGCGGGCTCTTCATGCTCATAATCTGGCTCCCGCGTGGCTTCTGCTTCGCTTGTGTTTATGTTCGATCCAGATCTTGCAGAAGCGACTTGAGCAGCGCGTCCCACCGTTCCCTGAGCAAGACGTGTCCCTCCTTTGGCGGGCGGTGCCTTATGTTTCTTGTTCGCCTTTTCTGACGTGGTTCGGCCACCCAGATCCTCGGGAGCACCGTCATAGCGCGGGACCATCCTCCTCGAGTTGGGATCGTAGACCAAAGACTGAGCGGCATCGGTTGACACGGGTCGGCTTCTCGTGGACGAAGACATGGAAGAAGCTCGTTTGGGCTGTGGTGGCAGCTCGAGAACGCGTCTTTCGATCGGAGACGATGGGGGCGGCGACGCGACTCTGACACGAGCCGGGTACGAGAAATTGATCGAAGACGCCCTGCTGCTGGGTCTGTTTTCATCCAGGTCTAGCTTCGAAGGGCTGGCGATTGCGGCATCCGATGTCCTAATGTTATTCATATCTCCAACCAGCGCCCCGCCAAACCAGGATGGTGAACCCTCCCTCCCTAGCTTCTGGGACGCAAGGCGCACAGGCGTACTCGCCAGCCCGAGGCTATTTGCCTTGCGATGTTGCTGCCGCGCAGGGCCGCCCGTCCCATTACTACGTGTCTCGAAATTCTCCGGTAGCGCCGGAACGGGGGGAGCATCCTGCCCGGCGGGGGACGTTGTCTTGGCCGCTGGCCTATGCGGACTCGGGGTTCTGAAGGTCTTCTCAGATAGGGAGGCACTGCTACCACTTCTGTGCAACGATGGGTTCCGACGAGCATCGGGCGCGGTCCCCGAGGAGGACATGGATGCGCTACGGCGCATGGTCCGCTTGGTCTGGACTTCGGAGACATTGGTCGGCGTCGTTGGGCGAGCGCGGAGGGCGGCGGCGGCGGCGGCGGACGACAAGGACTGCTGCGACCCGTGACGGTTGAAGACGGCTGCAGCAGCCATGGCGGCATCGGGATTTGCCGTCAAAGCAGTTAATGGCTGACGGGAAGAAGACAATCGTCAGCTTGGGTCAGTGTACGAGCCAGCCCGAGGTGGTCGCAGCGCGATTCGCTCTGGGACAGAGGGACCAACGAATAGGAAGGAACAGAGTTTAGGAAACAGGGTGGAATCTCTTCCGCGTCCCGGGAGAAGCAAAGAAACCTGTGCTCCAGTTTCCGTCTTGAGACAATTTGATATATTATGAGCAATGACGACATACCGGATTAGGAGGCCTTCGCCTCCGTGAGCCCAACATCTGATAATAATTTCGCCGGACTTAGTTAAAGCGCTACCACGATGGTCGAGCCATAGGCGCACGGGAGACGCCGGGGCAAATGATACGCATGTAGCCAGCTGCAAGGCCGGAGAGGAGGGATTTGTGGTGATGTCAAGATGGAAGGAACGGGCGGCCCGCTTTGGTAGCTGGAAGCTTTTGTCTTCGTCTCGCTCGAGTAAAAGCTGCTGGTAGTGTGATTATCCTGTAGATTGCGCGCCCGAGAAATTGGGATTGGGCTCTGGGGGCCTCAGCCTCCAAGGGAGGCCCACCCACTTCTCTGACGTAGTGCATTGGGGCCCGCGGCGGTGCAGCCGGGCAAGGACCTACATTATACTTGGGTACTTAGGTACTTGCACATATTTTGGTACCGCTATCTCCAAACATGCTCCATGTGAGACAAGTAGACCCCGGAACAGCTGACAGATACGCGAGACGTCACTGTACAGCTCATCCGACATGGTGCAGATGCAAGGACAGACGGGATCTCCCCGCTTTTTACGCCTTACCATAAGAGTACCGTACGTTCAGAGACGTATGTAGGGACTCTCATGAGTCTCATCACTCAAGGCCAAGTCATCATCGCATCCAGCCCGGTTAGGTGCTGTGCCGAAATTAGCTGCCATGGAAAGCCTCGGCTATTATGAACCTACTAAAAGCATTGATTGAGCTACCTATCCATGAATGTTGACAACCAGGTCGTCGGGCTTGCCAGGTAATACGTGGCACAGCTCAACCAGGCAAAACACATTGGACGCCAAGGTAGGTATCGTGAATTCGCCTGCATAGTAGCTAAGGTACCTACTTTGCTTTACGGTGAGAACCTCCCGCTATGCCAAATAGGAACCCATCTCTCTCCGTGGTCTACCTAGTCATGGGTATGGGGAGGGGGATCTATGTGACACGATGCCGAATAAACAGGCAGCCCCGACTCATATCCCACCACAGCTCGCGAGGCAAAAGCAAACGAGAGCCGTCCGGGCCGTTCCGGGAGGTGTGGGCTTCCCGTTCTGTATGTTTCTGTTTGAGGGGAGTTGAAAGCCAAATGCAGCTGATCCAGGAGGGGGAGGGGATATATCCACAACGAACAGAGAATGCCTGACAGACAAGACGGTCCTCAATCCCGCCGACCGTGAACCATACAAAATGCAGTCCCGACAAACTGCGACTCGCGCAATGCCATGTTCAGGGGAAGAAGAAACACTGTGCCTCCTCCTGGACTTTGCCCTACTGCTTAGCGGGTAGCAACATGTCGCCGCTGGGTTAGCCAGACGAGGCAAGCAAGCCCATACCATCTGGTAGATCCAGCATGACCAGCACGTTTCGGGGAAGCCTGAGGACCAGCACCCAACCGACCATTACATCTTCAACAGGCCCCGCCTAATTGCCCGCTATACCCCCAACAAGCGGAGGCTTATAGTGCAATACATGAGGCTCATCCCTCAATGATGGCTGTTCCTCGGGACCGTATCCCTCCTCGTCATCGTACTCGTCCTCGTCGCCGTACTCCTCGCTATGCGTCTCCTGGCTGTTGTTGCTGTTCATGTGGGCTATTTGGTTTCCTCCCTGTGGTGGATTGCGATCTTGCGACGAGTTGTTGCTCTTAGCGGGCGCCTTACTCCCCTTCTTTCCCTTGCGGGACCGCATCTTCGCCTTTTCCAGGAGCCGACGGCGCTCTTCCTCCTGTTGCCGGAGCTTTCGGTCCTTGATTTCGTACTGGCGAACTAGCGCCTCCGGAGGGCGGCCAAATATCGCCTCGTACTCGCAGAACTCGCAGATCCAGATGTCCTCAGCTCTGGGCGGATTATGGGCGTTCTGGTTCTCCGTTTGTCTGCGCCTGGCCTTCGCGGCCAGGAGCAACTCCTTAGCATCTCGTCTCCGAGACTTCTTCTGCGACGGTTTCGCCTGATTCTGAACAGCCTTCGACATCTTGGCGGAGTTGTCCTGAGCGGTTGCATCTACCGCATGGCCGTTAACCGCGGTCGACGGGACGTTGCTGGTCTGGGTTTCTTGCGAGCTCCTTCGCCGGCTCTCTCCCTTGGGGACATGAAGCATAGGCGTACTGGCGTTGCGATCGGAGCCTGGCCAACTGAGCGTGCCGGGGACCTGGGAATCGCAGGTAAATGTAAACTGGGTGGAAGCCGGGCTGGCCTTTGTTGACAGTTGCTGATGAAGAAGACTCCTATTTTCTTGGCCTTGCTGCGAGGTCATCTTCTCTGCGTTGGCAATGGCATTAGAAATAATTCCAGTGTTTTCACCTTTCGGCCAAAGGATATTAGCATGCAGGGGCCAAGGTAGAAAGCAAAGGAGTGAAAGGAGTCAAGGCAATGTAGCGACGTAACGGTGATGGCCCATAGTTTGGAGCCGGCAAATTTCCAGAAGAGCAAGAGCAAGAGCAAGAAAGAGGGCAAGGGCAAGGGCAACTTACTAGTCTGCAATGGCAACTGCGAGGGACGCAGCTTTCCGTTTCGCCCAGCCCAGTTATTGGTTGAGTCTGACAAGGCCCGCAGGGGGCTCCGGCCATTCCTGACCCGACCATATCTACCTCTTCCGGGACCGGACACGTTCTGCGCCCCAGATGCAAAGCTACCGCATCCATAGTATGGAGTCGATGTCGCGGGGGAGGACTCGCCCTGGCCTTCAATCGACTGAACTGGCGTCGCCGATGGGTCCGCGCCGAGGACAACGTCATGGATACCATGGCTACCATTCAGTGCCGTGTCCCCTGCCGTGGGAATCTTGCGTTTCTTGTTGTTGTTGGTCATTTCGAAAGGGTCGTAATAGCCATCGGCCGAGGACGCGGCGGAGAGGGGCGGCTGCGAATTCGAGTGCCTTCCATTATCTTGTCTCAGCGGCAGACGTTGAGGATACCCGGAGGAGTCCGCCCCCGGCCGTCCAGGAGCATTCCTTCTCGTGCCGAAATCGTCCTCGTCACTCTCTGCTCCGCCACCAGTCCTCCGCCCCTGGCTTGTTCCCCGGTCGGAAAACCTCTCACGGCCATGAGAACTGAGAGGTTCCGTCTCGTCGTCTCTGGTACTGTAGCTGTAGTAGAACAGCGGGGTCGTGTTCTGTGGTGCAGGGGGGTATTGGATAGAATCGGCCACTTCTGGCGAAAGCCTTTCCCGCAGTCGACGTTTTGGCAATGGTCGAATCGGCCGATCCGGATGCGATGACGAGACCGTATCTGCAGACATTCTTGACGCGTGGTCTCCTGTGAGTCGGGCACAACAGTTGCGAATTAGCCTCGGTGCAATAAAGAGGAAAAACAAAGCAGATGCCGATCCCAGCAGGAGTGCAATCGGGCCATGTGGAAAGAAGTGAGCCGCGCTGTGAGAGGCAAGTTCTTGCCGGCCAAGTCCAACCATTGTTCCCACCTCCTCCCCAAGTACGTGCATCCCATGCCGAGGAATTCTGTGCCGAGGAAGGAAATCGTGGAGTGGAAGGAGCCAGAGGGCAGTTGACGCGGTGGGGAATTTTTGTTCGGGTTTTCTCAGAGTCGGAGGTATCTTTTAGAAGTGGAAGGTGCAGAGGTGACATACCCATCACATATGGTAAGGTAGGTAACCAAAAAGTGAGGAAAAAATTCCTCGTGTGATGTCCAACAATCCCAACAACCAACTACGCCCAACGTGATTTCCAGGGACACACGCAAGTAGGTACTGAAAGGAATGCCTAGCTCGAGCCAAATTGGTAGCAATAGTCGCAGCAAGGCAGAGTTTGGCTGGCGATGAACAGATTTTCAAAGGTGTTGAAGCTCTCCCCTTTCTGCCCAAGTCAGGAGTCAGACACAAATTCACCAAAATGTGGGGGGTTTATTACAAGCAAAGGTCCCAATGCAATCCCAAGGGTCAAAGAGCCGGTGCTCCTAGAATCTCTCAAGTGAATTCCAAGCGACAGTGTAGGTTCTCTAGGGCAGCAACGAAGCCCGGCTAGGTCAAGCTAGGGATGGCGATGGTAAGGGATGACCGGGAGGGGAGGCAGGTATCGGGGGATATCGATAGCTGGCACGCTGACTGCAACCCAGCTAAACTTTTAGTCCATATGCGGGAGCTGAGCCAGGTTACTGATCATCAAAGACAACAGTTATGATGGACTCTTCGATGGATCTAACAAAGGGCAAAAGCAAGCTGAGGTGCAGGGGCAGTGTCGTCGACAAACAGTGTACAGGAGTGATTGCTAATTAATGAGCCTCTGGAGGAAGAGACTGTGTTCAGTGCTTTGGCCAAAGACTTAGGTGCCTACCCAAACCAAAACCTTACTAAGCATCCGATGCTGCCAGCATGGAATCTGCATAGGCACAAATGCCCCTTGCAATTACCGATCTGCACCAATCATGGTCCTAGCTGCCTAATACGTATTTGTGCAAAGCATTCCGTGCTGCTTGCACTGTAGTAGATACATTTGCGAGAGGTCTACACTTGTATTTGGGAATGGTAAAACCAAGGGATAAACTTAGAGAGGTAGGTATTTGAATCGGAGGGTAATCGTGGAATTGCCTGGACAGTCAGCATCAGAAGCCGAGGGTCCTATTCAAGACTTTATTATTTTAATGGATTGGGATTGGAGAGAATGGCGTTGAACCTAAGCTACCACAGCAAGTTGAGAGGTACTTGGCCCCGCATGGAAGTAGCTAAAGTTTCGGAGAAAAAGACGTGTGGAGGTGCAGAGCAAGTTCCGCCGCCCTCCTCAACCCTCCCTCCTCATCCTCACCATCACACCTTTGCCTTCTGCGCAAACCCGTCACTGGCTCCCCTCGTGGCCTAACCTAGGTATTTACTTCATCGAGGGTCGGCACATTGGTCCTATCTCGGGGCAACAGCTCAATCTGCGGCGATTGAATCCCATTGAATCCCGTTGAATCGCCGAACTCGACTGAATCCGCATACATCAAGCGCGCAACGCGAACAATTGGCCACCTTAGACCCACGAACCCTCCAATTCGACCTTTAGCTGCGGCGATTGCTGCGATTGCCGCGCTTGCTGCGATTGCTGTGAGCAATGGCAGGCATCGATCCACGGCGGTCTTCACGCGCCCGAACCACGCAGCCACAGTCAGGGTCACAGCACTCGTCTACCCCCTCGAGTACCTCTGGCCGTCCCGAGCGAAACACCAGGTCCTTCAGCAAGGCAGGGTCGCCTCAGAAGTCGACTCCAAGCGGTTCACTCTCCTCGGAGCCCCTCGAGGACACCATCACTGCCGAAGATCCCCTCGCCACGCGCCGCCGTACTCGCGGTAACGGAGATGAGCGCGACAAGGCACCACCTACAAAGCTAGAATCCGTCGAGATGCCGAATGACGACGACGATATTCAGGAGGAGGACGAGGCAGTCCGATGCATATGCGGCTTCGACGACTACCCCGGCCCCCCTCCGCTCGAAGATGACTCGAAACCCAGCAGCGTGAAGGATGCAACGGTCGTCGACCCCATATTCACAACCGACCTTACCGACGATACCGCCGGGTTTTTCGTGCAATGTGACATCTGCAAGGTGTGGCAGCATGGCGCCTGCGTGGGCATCATGACCGAAGAATCCAGCCCCGACGAGTACTTTTGCGAGCAATGCCGCAAGGACCTACACAAGATCTTCGCTGCTAAGAATGGGTAATTCTCACTGTCTTGGCTGTTTTGGAGCGTTTTTTTTATACCTGTTTCTGTTGAGAGTTCAGCGTTTCAACCCTGGAAAATAGGTGGTGCACTGCCGATCATGTCTCATGGTGTGGTCGCACTGCGCATTCTCCAGCAGTTAGCGTTCAATGTTCTGCCTTGCAAGCCCACGCGAGGTTGCCTCAGTTTGGTCACTTTCAGCATGCTGACATGATGGTTCGCAGGCAACGATACTCGCACTACCTTCCCCTCAAACGGCAGTCGAGGAACACCTCTCGAGCTGCGTCGCTAATCAAAGAAGGAACGAGATCGCCGAGGGGGGAGAAAGAGAAAGATACCAAGGAGCCAAAAGAAACACGAAATGGACGGAACTCGTCGGCAACCCACTCAGCATCAAAGCGGAGATCGACAATGAACAGTCGAGAGGCGGCCTATGACGAGGCCGAGGCCATACGCCGTGCTATTGAGGCCAGTAAAGAAGACGCTCAGCCAGATCAACCCGATGGCAGTGTGAGGAGAGCAAAGCGCGGCCGGAGTGATAGCGAAGAGTGAGTCTCAAGCCCCCATAACGGCACATTGGCCGAAGCTCACTCCGTTACAGGAAGCCAGAGAGTGCGAAAAGACAGCGGACGAGCTCGCGATCCCTCTCCCCTCCGCCGGACGGGTCGGGCGACGATTCAGACGACGCACTGTCGAATTCCAAGACGGGTTCGTCCAAGTCGAGGCCTCGCAACGGTGCGGCAACAAGGAATCAACGCCCCGAGAAACCAGTCGAGAGGGATGAGCGGGATCGCCAGCCGCCCGAACCAGCGAACAAACGGAAAGGGAGGTCCGAACGTCGTCAAGCTGATGGTACCGCCTCAACCCCCAACAGCACCATTCAAGTGAAGGCATCCGAAACTCACGCGGACACAGACTCAGATCCTTCGGAAGAAATGCCGCTGGCAGCTCGCACGACCGGGACCCGGACAGCCATGGCAAATTCAAACGCTACAAATCCTGGTCCGGAACCCTCACCCCCCCAGTCAGCGGAACCGCCGCCACCACTCCCGCCTCCACCTCCGGCGCAAGCTGCTGCTGCTCCCGATACACCCCCAGCGAACCCACCGCCGTCAAGGGTTGACAGGAAGAGGTCTCACAAGAAGAAGGGCCGGAACCAGTATACACGGGATAGAGATGGACACGATGAAGATTCGCCTGCCAGATCCCAGTCGAGGGATATTCAGAGAGAGGATAATGGTGGAGGAGGTGCTAGTGCTGCTGCTACTGCTACTGCTGCTGCAGCGGTAAAATCCACAGGTGGAGATGGCGGTAGCAAGTCGGGGACGAAGAATAAAGGGGGGATGAGCGGCAAAATCACCATGACCGACCTGAAGAGAAGAGCAACAGCGCTGCTAGACTTCATATCGCGGACCCAGGTCGAGCTGGCCGGCGAAACACTATCCGGGAGCGAGGACGCCGCCGGGGACAAGGCCGACGGCGAGTCGGCGTCGCCAAGCGACAAGAGGCAGCCTGACGTGGTTGGCGACAGACCAGCGCCGGACCTCAACGGAGAGGCAGGCCAGGCCAAGGACTTCAAGGACCTGAACTGCATGGAGATGATGGACAGCCTGACGCGCCGCCTGGTCAAGTGGCAGCAGGAATACGCTGCGTGAGAGACCTTGACGAGCGAGTTATCTGGGATCGAATTACACGAGCTGGGCGTTTGATGGCAGAGCGGGCAGGCGCTTCTCTCGAGTGGTCAATGAGTTAACGATGGTGGATTATTATTAGCTGCAGGGCGTTTGGTTGTGGGTTTTGGTTTTGGTTTGGGTCTGGGCTGTAAGCGTAATGCACACATGTATCGTTCTTTTCCCGGGTATCCACCAGGTGAGCCCTGCTGGAGCAGGGAAATTTATTCTGGGATATCTTCTTCTCATGTCTCCTGTCTTGATACCCGAGATGAACCGGGGGCGCCATATGCCGGAGTGTATGCGTTGGGGGTCGAGCATGAGAAGCTTGTGTACCAACAAAACGAGACGTTTAATGTAAATCGGCTGAGCTGGAGGGGGTATATATATCTATGATCTTAGATCTGCCGTACTTATACATGTATGTACTGTACAATGATGTTTTCGTCTCCATCACATAGCCCATGATCACGGCACGGCACACCGATTCTTCCTTTTCCACCTCGGTAGCAGGGCCGTTGTGGTCCGCTCTCGTAGTCTAGGAGGGGTATTATATGCCTTCGCCAGGAACGGGCCAGAGGCTGTTGGTCTCAGCAAAGGACCATCCAGCAACCTCGACGAGCGCTGGCACCCATCCGCCATATCCTTCATTGCTTTGCGGGGCCTGAAGGGGGGGGGGGGGGGGTTCCATATAGCCAACCAGAAGAACCCCGGCTACGGAAACCTGAGTCCATCGTTCCCAAGGCCTATCCGCAAAGCCTCTCCATCTCCTACTCTCTCACGCGCCAGCCTGCCCGGCAGGGGCTCCGCCACCCAGCCTCCTCGCGTCGATCTTCGCCTTGCGGGCCTCCTTGTCCTTCTTGCGGGCCTGGTTCATGCTCAGCACCGGGGCGCGTGCGGACGCGACTACAGCGTCGAGAGTCTGCGGCGAGACCTCATCGAGGACGAACCTGCCGAGGTCGCCGCGGCGCCACTCCTGGACGATCCAGTCGGCGGCGCCGTCGATGCTGGGCGCGCCCCCGCGCAGCAGCTTCCCCGTTCGGCGGGCGACGGCGGCGAGGAACTCGTCGACGTCGTTAGTGGGCGGGGCGTAGCGCGCGTACAGCGCCGGGTCGACGCGGTTGAGGTGGAAGAGCAGGTAGTCGGCGACGGCGACGTGGGGCACCAGGCCGTCCTTGACGCAGCCGACGAGGGCGAGCTTGAGCATGCTCTCTGCGTCGGACACGTGCGGCACGAACACGCCGGGCGTGTCCAGCACGAACACGCCCTCGCCCCCCCTACCTCCCGGACCGCCGCAGTCCTCGCCCCGCACGATCCGCACCGCCGTGCCCATCTTGCGCGTCACGCCCGGCTGCGCCCCCGTCCGCGCCGCCTTGGCTAGGCCAGGGCCCATGCCGCGCGCCCGCAGCCGGTTCAGCAGCGTCGACTTGCCCGCGTTCGGCATCCCCACCACCATGACCTGCAGGCCCGTGAGAACGTCGGCTTCGCGGGCCACCCGCTTCACGGCCGAGAGCAGCACCCGGTCGTCGTCGAAGCCGAAGCCGCCGCCTCCTCCTTCTCCACGGCCGCCGCCCCCCCGGCCACCGGTCCCCTGCCCGAGGAACACCACCGCGGCGGCGTGCCCGCGCTCGCGGTGGAAGCGGGTCAGTTCCCGGACGATATCGGAGCCGTTCTGCTGTTGGCCCCGCTGCTGCGGCCCGGCGCCGTCGCCGGGCGGCGGTCCGAGGTCGCGCTTGGTGTAGACGATGATGCGGGCGCGGTCGGCGGCGGGCGAGGCGGAGGCGGCGAGGCTGCGCTCGAGGAGCGGGTTCCACGAGGTCAGCGGGACGCGGAAGTCGCGGCACTCGATGATGAGGCCAACGTTGGAGAGGGTGCTGCGCATGCGCGACAGGGCCGCCTGGTGGTGGCCCAGGAAGTAGCTGCGCGTGATGTCCGGGGAGGCCTCGAAGATTAGGCGTGGCTGGAAGGCGGCCGGGGCGGCGGCGGCTAGGGCCGTTGCGGCCTTGGAGATGGACGCTGCTGCTGCGGCGGGGAGATTGGTGGTGGCCATGGCGAGGATGGGAGACGAGGTGGTGGATGGAGGATGCGATGGTGATGCCTAGGGTTGGTTGCTGTTATACCGTCGTCAAGGAGGGATATGCTCGTGGGTGAAGTGTGTCATTGTTCAAAGCCGTGTGCCATTGCCACCCTGCGATCCCGAAATGTGAAGTCGTCGTTGCAGTTGAGGTGAGCTTCAAGCTGTCTGCGATATGACGGTGATAAGAAATTTGATAGTCGCTTATATGCATTTCAAGTTGTTAAAGCGACGATATGCTTAAAGTGGGATAATGGGTATGTAAGTATCCCTCCTGGGTCCTCTCCCTTGGTATCGATACCTAAGGGCAGACATCGACCTGGTACTTCTGGTTTCTGCATTGAAATATGTTCGTAAATTTTGGAATGTTTCTTAGGAAGCAGAGTTGAAACAGAGTTCGTCAACTCTCTTCAGATTGCAGTTCTTTGTTTTGTGAAGAGCTACAAAAAAGCCGCCACCTACGTAATCGCCTCGGGACTTTTCCTTAGACCCCTGGCGAATTTCTTGGACGAGTCGCCGGAGGTTGAAGCGGTGGATGGGAAGCTATTAGGCGTCGATTTGTGCATGGCGATTGCTTGTGTCAACTTGCCAACTCAACGACTTGGCATTCTTCGACATGTGGCCCAATTCGCTTCTCTGACAGGCGCTCTCAGCTCGTCCTGCATCTTGGCTCTCCTTGTTTGACAACGAGCTGTTGACCTATGACTTGGCGGTTGAAACCAGATGGTCAACTCTCCGACTGTAGGAGAATATCAAGGGAATTTGAACCGTGATCAATAGGGTCAAGCCTTATCCTTTTATTCGGTAGATTAAATTTACCAGCAGCCTTCAGAATCACCTCCCGTGGCCGATCAGTTCATGAACGGAAGGGAGGCCCGGGCACCGGCACCAGCACCGGCAGCGCCACACGACCTACCCGATAACCTCCAGGGGGACGCTTCCTCTAGGCCAGAACGGCAACCATGGTCAGGGCCGAGAAGATTTCGGGCTCTGTTCAAGAAGGATGGAAACCTTGAGCCCTTCCGGCTGTTGAGGCAAGACTTGCGCAATGTTCGGCAGAGATATCTCTCAGACTGGACAGTTTTCAACCAGCTTGTCTTGGCAAGTGCTGTCTATGTATTCTTCACCAACATTCTTCCGGGCATTACTTTTGCTAGCGACCTATATGTCCTTACGGGGAAATCATGGGGCACCATAGAGGTTGTTCTTAGCACCGGTCTCTGTGGTATAATCTTCGCTCTGTTTGTATCCCTCTCCAATTTCTCCCCCATTCAGGCTGCAGTTTACTAACTTGCGGAAGCTTCTCGGTTCAACCGTTGACAATCCTTGGTGTAACTGGGCCTTTCTCTGTCCTGGCCGAGAATATATACTCGTTATGTGTCAACTCTTTCCACGTAAGTGCGCCGGCATTCTAAATTCGGTGTGATAGCTGACGTGAGTAGGTCGACTTCCTTCCCGTCATGGCGTGGTCCTTGATCCACGCGGGATGGATGCACTATCTGTTGGCCGTGTTCAATGCCCATGACTGGACCATGCGATATGTGACGACGTTTAGCGCAGACATCTTCTCGCTGCTCAACAGCGTCATATACTTCTACAAGGCGGGCCTTGAGTTACAGCGGAATCACGACCATGTTTCATTCGCGGCGTTCCTCTACTCAGTTATCGGAGCTCTTGGAACCTGCTTACTCGCCGTATTTTTATCGACCGCTCTGAGGTGGAAACCTCTCTTCGGCCGAATAATCCGCATGGGGCTTTCAGAGTATGCCGCTGCCATCTCCATCGTCTTATTCATCGGTATCCCGCATATGGGAGAGCTGGCAGACTTGAAGCATGAGCGGCTGGTGGTCCAGACGACGTTCAGGCCCTCAGATCCGGAGCGAAGCACATTCTTTGTCGAGTTCTGGAAGCTTCCGGTCAGGTGGGTGTTCATCTCCATCATACCGGGGGCAATAATCACGGTCCTGTTCTACTTCGATCACGAGATCAGCAGCATTATCTGCACGTTGAAGCGATACGGCGTCCAGAAGCCGGGAGGTTACGCTTGGGACATCGCCCTCCTTGGGACGACAACAGCACTCTGCGGTATTCTCGGCATCCCGCCAGCGAATGGGCTTCTACCACAGGCCCCCCTTCATTCGGAATCGCTCCGGTACTTGGTCGTGGAAGAAGGCGCGTCCGATTCCGACGCGACAGAGATGCCATCGCCGACAAACCTCGTCCCCCGAGTCTACGAACAACGCTACTCGCCATTCATCCAGGCAGCTATGATTATGGTTTTTGCAAGTCCACCGTTGCAGAAACTACTTGGTCTGACACCAACCTCGGTCCTCGCGGGACTATTCATGTTTATGGGATATCAGTCCTTGTCGGTGAATCCGATTCTGCCCAGGATCTTTCACATGCTCACTCCGCCATCCGAGCTCCCCGAACTACCCCCGCGGGTTCGATGGCTACCCATACACGCCTACACGCTCTCCCAGGTCATTCTCACAGGCGTTATTTTCGGCGTGACTTTGACCGTGGCGGCACCGGCCTTCCCAGTCATCATCGTCATCCTCGTCCCTGTACGGCTTCTGGTGATGAATCATATCTGGAACCGGGAGACACTCAGGTGGGTGGATGGCTGGGCTTGTCGTGAAGGGAAGCCGGAAGACGAAATCGAGATTCAGCGTTCACCGGCTGCTGAAGACATCGAGAGCGGCCCTATAAGGGAGAAAGAGGCGTAAAGCTCGTGATGAGATACCGCCCTTGGTCATGCCTATTCACTTCTGCAAAAAGCTCAACGTCACCACCGCTATCAAATATCGAATGTCCAATCTCGATTTCACACCTTCAACCCCTCAGTCCTGAGCTTCTCATACAAATCCTTCTGCATCTGCTCATACCCAGACACCATCAGCCCCCGGCCCGAAGGCACCACATTCCCATAAAGCGGCACGACCCGGGTCGCGCCCTGTAGCACCTCGAGGATAGTCCCATCGCCATACTCCTCATTCTCGCACAACTCCAGCATCGCCTCGGCAATCTCCTCGGGCTCGATCGCCACATCCCCCTCCCCCTCGCGCACCATGCCCTTCTTATCCGGATCCTCGCCCCACATCGGCGTCCTCACCGTGCCGGGCGCCACCGCCGACACGCGGATCCCAAGCTCATCCCTCAGCCCGCCCAGGCTCCGCACGAACCCATGCAAGCCATGCTTACTCGCAAAGTACAGCGGCGTCCCGATCCCGACCATGTGTCCCGCGCAGCTGCTGACGTGCACCAGCGTGCCCCTCTCCCCGCGCTCCGTCCACCGCCCGATGGCCAGCTGCGACAGCCGGATCGGGTGCGTCAGGTTGACGGCGATCGTGGCGTACGAGCCCGGCTCGGCATCCGCCGGGTCCCTGCTCCTCGGGGTTCCCGGCGCGTCCCAGAAGCTGCTGGCCGCGGGCTCGAAGATGCCCGCGCCGGGCACGACGATGTCGACGCGCGGGAAGGCCGAGGAGGCGCGCGCCATCAGCGCCGAGAGCTGCGGCCACGAGGTCACGTCGGTGCGCTGGAAGAGCGCCGTCGGCTTGTTGTTGGCGCTCGGGGTGGGGCTGGATGTTGTTGCTGCTGGGGGGTACTCGGATAGGAGCTGTTCGGCCTCCGGGCGCAGCGCGAGGTCGCCGATCAGGACGGAGCAGCCGCGCTGGAGGAGGAGGCGGGCGAAGGCGAGGTTGATGCCTTTGGGGGGTCGGTGAGCTTGGTTCGTGTGTGGGGACGGGGGGGACGGAGGGTACCTGAGCCTGCCCCTGTGATGACGGCGTACTTGCCGGCGACGGAGAGGGACATTGTTGGCGGTGATGGGGTTGGTTTATATATGAAAGTCTTGGTGTTCAGGGGTGTGGGTTTGGTTGATACGGCCAAGGGAAAACAACTTCAACCATACGACAGATGAATTGGGCAATCGCAATTATAGACAAGACTGAGGATCCAAACGAAGTTTATAAATGCTCGCTCACATAGGATGGGAGTCTCCATGAAGCTTCTCCGCACCAGCCTTACTCCCACGCGGCTAACGAAAGCCGTGTATTTCCAGTATTGCTCTTTTCAGACGTCCGCCGACCCCTCTACGTGCACCCCGCAATATTACCGGCTGGCCCGGAGACACACAACCGACCGATCCATTTGCGATTTGCAATCTCCAGTATCACAGCTTGACTCCTGCTTGAACACTCATATGCAAACAGATGTGATTTCGAAAAAAAAAAAGTAGCTATATAGGCCTATACACGCGGACTGCTCCCAAAACGGAGACACGGGCAGCCAAGCGAGGAACAAACAATCCACTGTGGGTATGGAAAAAAAAAAAGAATCATTTCCCTTTCCATCTGTGTTCCTGAACGCCATGCGAGTCGAAATCAAGTCATTCCAAGGGAAGCCATGGGCCCATAAACATCTCGAAGGTTGGCCGAGTCCTTCCCAATAGACAACCCCTCCAAACCCGCTTCCCTCCGGTCCCCTAGTTTTCTTGTTGCAACCGATTCGTTACCGGATATCCTATTAGAGATCAAAGGCGGCATCCCTCCATCACATATTCTTATCCGCCCTGCTCTGCTCCTCCCGGTGCCCGTCATTCAGTAGCATCTCCAGGACGATCTGGCCGCCGGTCACCTCGGGGTGGCTCATGCAGATCTTGACGGTGCCCCTGGACTCCTGGCCCGACGGCATCTGGCCCGCCCCGGCCCCCGCGGGGCCCCTGAACCCGTAGTCGAGGCAGCGCACGTCCCTGCCCGCGATGATCTGCCGCAGCCGCCCGTTCTCGGCGTTGCGCACCTCGACGTAGTCCTCGTTGAAGAGCACCAGGTACTGCCCGAACATGGTCGCCCCCTTGGCCTTCTTCTGCCTGCCAGAGTACTCCATGATCAGCGTCCGGCTCACCTCGCCGTGCTTGTCCACGTAGACGGCGCAGTCCTCGTACGTCAGGAGGAACTCCTGGTCGTTGAGCTTGAACATGCCCAGCGGCCGCTGGTCGCGGATCCGCGACGCGATGTTGGCGATGGCCGGCGCCGTGATGTCGCGCGGTATCGACTGCGGAATCTTCTTGTCCAGCGTCAGCAGCTCGAAGCCCTTGGCCGACGCCACCGCGATGTAGGTCTGGAACAGGTTCAGCGAGAAGCACTCGGTCGGCAGGTAGAACTCGTCAAAGTCGCGGAACGACTCGGTGTTGCCCGACCCGGCCCTGCGCCCGCCAAAGATGCGCGGCCGCTTCTCCGTCGCCTTCTGGAAGACGGGCTCGAGGACCTTGAACGTGTTGTGCATGCCCTCCTTGCGCTTGTAGAAGAGCAGCATCCGCTCCTTCATGCGCGCCGTCGCGAAGAAGGCGACGTCCTTTGCGAGCCTCTGCGGCGCCCGCCTGGGGTTGTCGTGGACGGGCGCCGGGAAGTTGGACACGGGCGCGACCACGTCGAGCGGGTACGAGATGAGCGACTTGTCCGCGATGACGAGGCACACCGAGAACTCCTCCAGGACCGCGATCTGCGCCACCCTGTTGACCTGCACCGACCTTGTCCAGCCCCGCGGGTTCGACGCCTCGGAAATGAAGATGCCGAAGTCGGTGCCGATGGCGATGAGGGATTTGCCGTACGCGTTGAAAGCAGTCGCGCAGTTGACCTGGGCGCGGCAGACGGGCGGCGGGCCGCGTCCGGGTCCGTAGACCTTCTCCATCTCCCGGATGGCCCGATCGAGCGGCGTCCCCCTTATGGACACCCCTGGCTGCTTGCCGAGTGCCGATATCTGGTCATAGGCAAAGGCCCCGTCCGAGATGACACGGAGGCGGAAAGGCTCGGCATTCTGCGCATGGAGGGCGCGTGCGTGCCTCGTCTTTGCCTCGATTATCGCGTTGCACCAGGCCTCCCGGTCTTGCTGTGAAGACGCGTAGAGCGTGTACACCTCGTGGCCCAGGTGCTTGATTCGAAAGGGGTAGATGATCTTGCCTTCAGGATCTGCGGCCGACGGCGTCGCCAGGCGAGTCACGGTAGACAGGGATCCCAGTGACGAGCCCGTCGTCGTATGCTCCAGCCCGGGACGGTCGGCACCGTTCGAATTCACCTTGTTCAGCTGGGTGCCAGAACCAGTCGCGGCGCTCGTACGAGCTAGCGGGGCCGTCAGGCCCTTCTGCTTCGAGACGGGATCGTCATTCATGCTCTCCAAGAACAGCAGAGGCATTGGAATCGGCTGGTGGAAGGTTGGATCAGGTTAGCTGGGGCCATTACAACGAAAGCGGATATTACTTGATGATGGAAGCGTTTACCTCTTTGGACACGTCATATTTCTTTGCGCCCTTGTCGTCCTTCAAATTAACTGCCTTCGATAGGATGAAGTAGTGGTCGAAGAGGAGCGCATGCGTGTCAACCCAGCGAACGCCCTTCGAACCTTGCCTCTGGAGGTCGCCTTGCTTAATCAACTCCCTCCCAAGGTGGTCGAGGTTCAGCACCGAGTGGAAACCGGGTCGGAGGACGAGCATAGTCTGCAGTTCGAGCAATGCGACCTTCTTTGTCATCTCATCCACCTTCTCGTCGCACTCGTGGGTGACGGCTTTGATCTCGTCCAATGCCCTAGTGAGGTTCGTCTTCTCCTCGCTATCCACTTTCATGGTCTTCTTCAGGGTCTCCAGTAGCAAACCGTACCGCTGGAGGCGGGTGATGGGCGCCTTGACGAAGGTCGTCCACTCCAGCCGCTTCGAGCGCTTATGGTCACGCACAACGCCCAAGAAGTGGCGGAACAGCAGGTTCCTGTCCGCTTCCTTGCGGATCAGGAATGACGCGTTGGGGAAAGCCGACGAGTATGCGATGTAGACGGGCCGTGCTTTCCGGATCCATTCTCGGAAGAGGTCGCTGACGCCCAGAATCCACGGCCCCTGCTCCTTTTGCCGATACTTGAGCTGCGCGAGCAGGTGTTCCTTATTGATCTGCTGGACAGCCTCGACCTTTCCGAAGACTGCGTCGATGAACTTGTCCAGCTTGTTGGCCGCGATGATCGGAGGCTGGCAGGCGCGCAGATGGTCCTTGTAGAGGAGGCGGAGGACGTCGAGCTGGTTCATGTACCCCTCCTCGCCCGTGATGATCTCGTGCAGGATGTTTTGTCGCTCGACTTCCTTCTTGCCCCTTCTCTCCATCTCCGCCGGCGTCACTCCGTAGAACTCTGCCCAGTCCACGGCCTTGTCCTCCTCCTCGGACATCATATGATCCAAGTTGGCCTTCTTCAAGGTGCGGCCGCAGTGGTGTGAGTAACACCTGACTGGGATGCTCTTGTCGTGCAACCTGGAGGCTTGAGATTCATTCTCGTGCAGCTTCGGCGCATAGCAGCCAGATCCGGTGAGCTGCCACAGCACGCCGGACATGGAGCCCGGCCCGAATTTGACCCATTCCTCCTCTGGTAGGAGGATGCCCGCTGCAAACATGGAATCCACCACCATGGAACTGAGGACTTCGGCGTCGGCCACGTTCATGGTCGGGACCTTGGCGCAGAAGAGCTTGACGAGGCCTTCCTCGATAGTCTTCCTCTTGACCTCGGGGTCGCCCTCGGCCATCTCACGAACCCAAGCGGTCACCGCACTCAGGGCCCAAGGCTCCGCACAGCGCTTGATGTCGGCAGGAGTGAGCTTCGATGGACTGAATTTCCGCTTACGACCAGTCGGCAGGGTGATCATATCATAGGCCGCGAGGGATGGTGGCGTACCCGTATCGTAGCCCTCGTATGCGACACCTTGCTGTGCCGCTAGCTGCTGTTGCTGTTGCTGGGTCATGTGCCTCGTTGCCTTCCTACGCTCTTCGGCGGCATCGGTTCTGGATCTTGCCGGGGTCTGGATCTGAGGGGTGTGGCTATGGCTAGATAGGGAGATAGAACGCTCAAATTGCTGTTGGTTCATGTTCTGGCCAAGATAGGCTTCCGGCGCCTCGGCAGGGTATAAGTGCCTCGAGTCAGCAGAGAGCGAATAACCGTGTTGGTACGGCGGGCGATTCGACGTTTGAACGGACAGCAACGAACTGCTATCTGAGCCGGGGGGGATTGCAGGGAGCGGCCTGTTCGAGAGCCCCGGGTGATAGAACATGTCGGGATAATCCTCCTTGAGGGGCGACTCGCTGCCGCTCAGACGCGAATGGACAGAGACCTGCTCGTCTCCTTCATCAAAGCTGAGGCGGTGCCTCTGAGGCGCCAAGAGACCCCCGGTGCCACCGTAATCCATCGACACCGCCGAGAAGGCCGGATAGGATTCGCTGCCACGTCCCTGCAGCGTCGGCAACGGGCGAGACCCGTCGTGGGTCGATGCCGTGGCTGGCGGCGAGCCGAGCTCATTGCCGTAGTGGAGAGTCCCAGCGTAGCCGCCCCCGTACAGGCCGAGATCCATCCCCCCCCCAAAGTCGCTATCCGTGCTCTCCTGTTCTTCGGGTGGCGGGGGTAGGGGAGGAGCCTGAGCCCGCTCCACGTATGGGAAGGTCGGAAGGCTGCTGAACCTCTGCTCATCCATGGCGGCCTCTTGCATGGCCAACAAGCCCGCAACTGCCTCAGGGTCGCTCTCGTCGTCGTCCCAATCGTACGATGCCCGCTGGTCATTTCTGGCCGCGGTCGACGCGTTTGAGGAGAATCTGGTAACGCCGGAGCCGCCAGAGCCATCTGCGGCGGTATTTATGGTCGACGCGGCTGAGTCATAGCGACGCAGTATTTCCATGTCGCCATCGGTCACGACCCCATTGGCGGGCCGAGGGTGTTGCGAGTTCGGCGACACTCCCAGATCGGAGACTATGTCCTGGATGAGGCTGTCTTGGGTATAATATTCTTGGGCGACATCGTCGCCTCCTGGTTGACCATTCGTTACCCAGTCCGGCTCCTCCGGGACATCTTCCATCGGCCGGCTAGGCAGTGGGGCGTTGGTGGGATGCCTCTGGAGACCAGGGGAAGATTGAGAATGGCCCGACGGCGAAGGGGATTCCACCGAATTCGACCGCGAGCTCCTACTCATGAAGGAGTTGGGGTCTGCCACTGAGTAGTTGGGGCCAACGGGTATCTGCGTGTAGGCCGGGTACGGGGGTTGGGGCGGTGTGACATTAGAGTAGGACGAGGTTGGGGCGGGGTTGACACCGTTCGGCGAATGTGACCCAAAATATTGGCCTGAGTAGGCAGGGGAGTATGACTGATCGTAGCGAGGGGAGGGAGCCGACGCTCCCGCCGAGGACGGGGGATATTGCGGGCTGGGTATGGATGGATCATAGCCTGGTTGTGCCGGCGGAGGCGGTGCGTGGCTCACCTGGGAAGTGCTGTATGCCCTGGCCGGTGGCTGCTGCCCAAAGGTGGGAACTTGTGGAACAGCGGGAGAGCTGTAGCTAGCGGGAGAGTTGTAGCCATAGCCGTAGTTTGTAAATCCCGAGACAGTCGCGTTCCTCTGCGGGACGTTCGTGTTCGCGTAGGCGGCCGGGTTATAGGTCTGATGAGGAGAATAACTCGCCGGGTTAGGAGAAGCCACTGCCGGTGCCGATGCCGGTTGATGCGGGGGAGCCGGTGCTGATGGTGCCGGGGCTGACCCATATGTCGGACTCGCTGGGTTAGAGTATCCCGAGACCGGGTGGGGATGGTAGGGGAGCGAGGCTGACTGCGTGCGAGCAAAATGCTGGGGGTTGTATGTTGGTTGTGTCGCGCTCGACGGAGCTTGGCCCTGGAATTGATGCTGATAGCCTGCCATGGCAGGGCTCGGGGCCGAGTAACCCTGCCGCATGCTCTGCGGGGATTGGGACTCGGTTGGCGTGCTCAAGAAGAGTTCTTCGTTCCCTCTTCCAGCACCGCTCGGATAACCTTGTTGCGTGTTGCTAGGGCTGGCGTCGAAGAAGGAGGACTCGTCGCCATTGCTGAAGCTCGGCCGTCTCGGGACGTGGTTAGTCTGGTCTTGCGGCTGGCCTGGGACAGGATACTGGGCCGGGGGGACGTGGCCGTAACGGCGCGAGTCATCCCGAAACGACATGTTGGCGACGACGATCCCCGTGTAAGGGGTTGCTCCCCGTGTAAAGGGTTGCTGGGCGCGGCGTGTCCTAAACTGACGGGGCTGATGCCCGACCGGATCGCTCAATGCTCACAAACAAGCAATTGCCGGACGGGTCGCATTGAGCAGCACCAAAGTGTGGCAATGCGGCGGGGTGAATATTAATCGCATCCCCGTCGGCTGAGTTTCCCGTCGTGGTTTTGTCGCATGCGCTCACGAGTTTGTGGTTCGAAGCGCGCCGTCTTTTTTGAGTTCGGCTGACAGGCTGACAGGTCCTCGTTCGAGTGAATAGATTTGATAGCGCAGCGCACAAGCGGGCCCCGGAATGGTCGGGGAGGACGCTAAATGTCAACCAAAGAAGCCCGACACGGCAGACGATTCAGAAATGGCTCGGAACGTCAGGCTGACTGGTGTTAGGAAACAAGGCTCGTGGCCTGGTGGGAGATGCGTACAAGCCTAGTGCATGCGAGGGGGAGGTTGATGCAAGATGTGAAGATCCAAGCCACAGCAGCTGGGGAACTTGAGTGGATCGGGGGAGGCTGAGGCAGATGCGAAGCGATAGGTTCAGGTTTCCAGCCTACGATTCGCGCCCATAACCAGTGAAATTGAAATTGCAACGGTCCCCACCGCGTTTCTTTTGCTCCCTACAAGGCTACAACCTCCAGTCACCAGTCAAGGCTGGCTGAGAGGCAGGCTCTTATCTTTGACACAGCCGTGGCACCGTTTTAGACAAACCCCGTCTTACGTGGTATAATTTTATCACGACTCTGCCCGAGCATGTACGGAAGTACTCTAACTCTAATGTGGAATGTGCCATCCTTTCCATAGCGGATTCGAAAGCTGAAGCAGCTGCTGGCTTGGCTGTCAGGTTTTACGACTTGGCAAGCCAATCAACGGTTTAACTCATAGGCCGCTTTGGTGGTGTCTTCTCCCATTACCTGCAATTCCAGGTTCTTTAAGGAGGTCAGTCACTTTATCCTTCGCAGCTGGAATGCCTACTACGTAGTATTTCGCTATATCGAGTTACGTATCTTTTCCAGGTCGGACTCTCGATTGGCAGTGTTTACGACTTGCAGTGTTATTATCCTTCATGAGCCCAACTTCCTGCAACCCCAATTCAAATGGTACTGCGGCCGCTCGGCATACCCGAAATCTGACGTACTTATTAAGTACATCCGTTGTGGGCCCTCGCTCTATGTCGACGACACATTCATGGGGCCATAAGAAACACAAATAGAAGACAGATTGAGGTAGTAACAGCACATCAGAGGAACCGCTGCGCTCGCTGCTGCTGGTTGCGGAACTTACTTACCTACTGTGCTAGTCAGTGACAGGCTGACTGATACGCGCTGACTGATACATGCCGCAGCCCCAACGCACGGGCCTTGGTGATGCATGAAACAGAACTGAAGCGAGACAGGCCTTCCCATTCTCGTGTTGTGCTGTACTGTACGTGCCTAGATAGGTAATCATGACGGATTATAGATGTCAACAAATCAACGGTAGGTCTAGGCTTTCTAGAACATGGTTGACACTCTGCTCTTGCAGATGAATGCTCTAGCAGGCAAACACTAGAGCAGATTAACTCGAGAGACAAGATGGAAGTCGGCAACTATTCCGGCTACTCGAACGTAAGGGGCCGGAAGTTGCCATTAGATGATGCTCCTATTCAGGAACAGAAACAGTCACAAACCTAACCCTCCCAGGGCGAAGCATATTGGATGCGAACATCGGCCTCTGAATTGGGACACTGCTCCACATCAGGCCCTCAATTGGACCTACCACACGATATGTACCCATCCAACATAATCAACATAGCTGGTGACGACAGGCTTAGCCCATCTCCCGCGCGACATGACGACAGCGGAACCCCACTGCCAGAGGTGCGGGGCACTCGAAGCTCCTCGGAACTCCGATCCCCCCTCTTCTGCCACCAGCTTTAAGGTACAGGTCGGCACCTCATCAGAAATTTCTGGAATCAATACTCTCGCAAGTGAAGCACATCAACTGCTCCGATATCAAATTTACAAACTTTGTAGGCAAAAACTCGTCAAAATGGTCAAAGCAGGTACGCTATAGTTCATCTTTCCTATCAAAGTATCCTTCTACCCCACTAGGAGCTCCTTCGGGTGAGACCTGACTCGTCGAGGGGGGGAAGAGGGGGTGGCCGACCTCCGCGTCGAGCTCGATTGAGCGGGTTTCTGTGCAGCACCCCTATACAAAGGGGCAACCTTGATGGCCTCCCGCGGCAGCCCAACGGTGCTCCCAGCGATCCGGGTACCTGCAGGGATCCCAAGGGGAAGATGCATGGAGCCTCAGAGTACACAGCCAAAGTATTTCCCAGATTGATGGCTAACATTGGTCGCGAATTCCCCAGTTGCCGTCGTCCGGGGTGACTCCAAGGTCAGTGGCTCCGTCATCTTCGAGCAGGAGTCCGAGTCGGCTCCCACCAAGATCGTCTGGGATATCACCGGCAACGACCCCAACGCCAAGCGTGGCATGCACATCCACACCTTCGGTGACAACACCAACGGCTGCACCTCTGCCGGCCCGCATTGTAAGTTGACACCTTCTCCGGGCAGCCCTAGGCGGGCGCGGGTTGCTCTCGGACTCGAGGCTCTGATGACTTACACGTGAACTTGTGAATCTCCAGTCAACCCGCACGGCAAGACCCACGGCAGCCCGTCCGACGACAACCGCCACGTCGGTGACCTTGGCAACATTGAGACCGACGGCCAGGGCAACTCCAAGGGCTCTGTCACAGACAAGCTCATCAAGCTCATCGGGCCCGAGAGCATCATTGGCGTATGTGACCGACACTCCCCGTTCCCTCGGCACCTACAATCTCCGTAGCTCACACTAACACGCACGCACGCACGCATGCAGCGCACCGTCGTCGTCCATGCCGGAACCGATGATCTCGGCAAGGGTGGAAACGAGGAGTCCCTGAAGACCGGCAATGCCGGCGCCCGTCCCGCCTGCGGTGAGTGTTGATAACCAAGATCGTACCAAGGAGGACTTCCAGCTGACCTTGATCTCAGGCGTTATCGGCATCTCCCAGTAAGCGTGCGGTCGATACCCGCCGGGTCGAGCCGTGACCTACCTAGGTACACCAAGGCAGATTACTACTTTGCCCCGGTCTTACAATCTCGTGGGGTAGACATTTTGGAACTGCTCCCCATACAAGACGGAATTCAACTGGGAAATCATATAAATTCCACTGTTTCTAAAATGGAAAACCTACGTAGGTAGAAATTTACCACGGAATCCCAAAATTAGCTTCAGCCACCAGGCTCGCCAAAATATATACATATATGAGGTGCATAATGCTTCTCGTAGTTTTACGGCCCATGAAATGGTGTTCATCCCTTGATTCTATCCTCAAGCCGCCCGCCCACATTTTACCCCGCCATTGTTAGCACGTCACATCATGGCAGTTATCAGGTATATTTATGTACTGGTATTACTTGGTGTCGAGGTACCTGATGGTCCGAGAATACTGCATAGAGTTCAGAGACAGGCGTTACCCACGAGTACCTAACGAGTGAGACACAATCGATTACATCCCGAGAGTTAATTCTCGTCATAGCTATTAGAAGTAGCCCAAGTGAGGTGTTGTTTTCCAGACTCTTTTCAAGTTAGCTTCTATTTTCTAGCCCAGGGGAATCACGCGATCGGGACTCATGTACGGATACGGAGTACCTTAACGGCAAGTCCAGACGACGGGACCCCTGTCGAGACCAAGTCCCTTGGTGCAATTTCCCCACAGTTCGGTTTCTGAGCTGGAGGAAAGCTGTCCACAAGTGTGCCTCCCCCTTCAACCTGCAACAGTTCACACTTTTGGGTTATCTTGAATTGATATACGAATTGTCTGCTTCCAGCTTCTCTAACTGGGGAACTCTTTTGGTTTTCTATATATTTGTTTGCTTGTGCTCCAACTGTTCTCTCTGAGGTACGTTGCAAGTCCTACCTTCTCCCGTTGTTGCTACCCCTCTTCACCGTTGGTCAACCGTCACCGCTACATGTTCTCTTCACCTTTTCTCCTTCAGCGGCAGCAATTGAAGGGGCCTTGAGCTTCTTCCACCAGGACGTGTCTGACTGCGTTTCCCTGTTTGTATCCGCTCTCTATATTGTCTTTTCTTGATGTGCTGTGCTTCCGATTCAAGGCACCCTTACCCCTCCCCAGTCAGGGCAACCAGGGCTTCGAATGGGACAAGATTCTGCCAATGCTTCTTCAACAAAGCTTGATTCGTGGCACTTAGATTTAACTACCTGATTGCTCTACCTCGCTCCAATGCTGGTATGGAAATGCATATTAACAGCTTCGTAAATCCAGAGGTGGCCTCACGTTCGACTTCCTGATCTCTATCTCTACCTCCACCTCGATACCTTCCACCTATTATCACGATGGCGAAGAGCTTCATGGCGAATGTCAAGTCGGTGTTGAGCGGGGATACACTGATTTTGACAAGCACCAACAACCCCTCGCTGGAGCGCACCTTTTCGCTTGCCTTTGTCTCCGCTCCCCGCTTGAGCAAGGATGGTGATGAGGCGTTCGCCTTCCAGTCCCGGGAATACTTGCGGAATTTGACCGTCGGCAAGCCGATCAAGTGCTCCGTCCTCTACGCGGTGCCCGGCTCCGGGAGAGAGTACGGAACAGCCTCGCTGCAGGACGGGACTGAGCTCCCCGACTCCGCCGTCAAGGCGGGGTGGCTGAAGGTCCGCGAAGACGCCGGTAGGAAAGAGGAGTCGGAAGACGTCCTCGAACGGCTCGAAAAGTTGCGGAACTTGGAAGCCCAGGCGAAGACCGAGAACAAGGGGCTCCACGCCGGTACTGGCGGTGTCATCGAAGTCCAAAATGATCTCGGCGGTCCTGAATTCTTGAGGGAGTGGAAGGGAAAGACCGTGGAGGGCGTGATCGAACGAGTATTCGCCGGCGATCGTTTGCTTGTTCGTCTGCTTCTCTCAGACAAGAAGCACCTTCAGGTCTTGACCCTTGTTGCCGGCATCCGGACGCCTGCAACCGAGCGGCCCAACCAGTCAAATGGAACCACCCAGCCGGCGGAGGAGTACGGAAACGAGGCCCGGTCATTCGTCGAGCAGCGGCTCCTTCAGCGCCTGGTCAAGATCAAGATTGTCGGTACCGGTCCTCAAGGTCAGCTCATTGCTGCCGTCCTCCACCCCCGAGGAAATATTGCCGAGTTCCTTCTCCAAGACGGCCTGGCCCGATGCAATGATTTCCACTCGACGCTCCTCGGGAATGACATGGCTGCCCTCCGTGCTGCCGAGAATAAGGCCCAGAGTGCCCGCCTCCGCCTCCATAAGAATCACGTCGCCAAATCAACCGACGGAAAGGACCTCGAAATGTCCGTGACAAAGGTTATCGGAGCTGATACCATTATTGTCCGGAATAGGGCTGGCGTGGAGAAGAGAGTCAGCTTGAGCAGCGTCCGAGGTCCCCGTGCCGGCGAAGCTGCGGAGGCGCCATTCAGGGACGAGGCCAAGGAATTCGTGAGGAAAAGGCTCATCGGCAAGAACGTCCGCATCAGCATCGACGGCTCCAAGGCCGCGACAGAGGGCTTTGAGGCTCGCGATGTTGCAACTGTCATCCAAAACGGAAAGAATGTCGGTCTCCAGCTTGTGCAAGAGGGATATGCATCCGTCATCAGGCATCGCAAGGACGATACCGACCGCGCATCCAACTATGATGAGCTCCTCGCAGCCCAGGAGACAGCCAAGGATGAGAAGAAGGGGATGTGGTCTGGCAAGCCCCCGAGGACGAAGCAGCTCTCCGATGCTTCCGAGTCTGTCCAGAAAGCCAAGGTCAACCTATCTACCCTCGCGAGGCAACGCAAGGTGCCCGGCGTTGTCGACTTCTGCAAGTCTGGATCCCGTTTCACAATCTTGGTTCCCCGAGAAGGCGTCAAGCTTACGCTCGTCCTTGCCGGCATCCGCGCTCCCCGTGCGGGAAGGAACCCCCAGGACAAGGGCGAGCCTTTCGGCCAGGAAGCCCTAGAGCTGGCAAACAAGCGTTGCGGTCAAAGAGACTGCGAGATTGACGTCCGCGACGTTGACAAAGTGGGAGGCTTCATTGGCGATCTCTACGTCAACCGTGAGAGCTTTGCCAAGATATTGGTCGAGGAAGGCCTCGCCTCCGTACACGTGTATTCCGCCGAGAAGGCTGGAAACGCTGCCGAGCTGCTGGCTGCCGAGAAGCGTGCCAAGGAGGCAAGGAAGGGACTGTGGCATTCCTGGGACCCGTCGCAAGACGAGGATGAGGAGGAGCAAAATGGAGCAGCCGATACAGCAGCCGAGTCATCGGCGACTATCGAGAAGAAGCCTGAGGATTACCGAGACATTGTCATCACCAACATTGACTCCAATGGCAGGCTCAAGATCCAGGAGGTAGGCAAGGGTACGGCCGCCCTGGAGACATTGATGTCCGAGTTCAAGAAGTTCCATCTCGATTCCAAGAACAACATCTCCATCAAGGATAACCCCAAGACTGGAGACTACGTCGCGGCGAAGTTCTCGGCCGACGGACAGTGGTACCGTGCCCGGATTAGGTCCAACGACCGGGCCGCCAAGGTTGCCGAGGTCGTCTATGTCGACTATGGCAACAGCGAGAAGGTTCCGTGGTCGCAGCTCCGGCCCTTGGACCAGCCTCAGTTCACCACTCAGCGGCTAAAGTCTCAAGCCATTGACGCAGCCTTGTCCTTCGTCCAGCTCCCTGCATCGCCGGATTACCTCAACGATGCCATCGGCTTCATCTACGACATCACGGAGGGCAAGCGGCTCGTGGGCAGCTTCGACTTCGTGGATTCCAAGGAGGGGCTGAGCTACATCACCATCTTCGACCCCAAGGCGGAGGGCTCGGACAAGGTGACCGAGTCGGTCAACCGCGAGGTGGTCCTCAACGGGCACGGCATGGTCCCCCGCAAGCTCAAGGGTTGGGAGAGGAGCAAGGCTTTCGAGCCGATTCTGAAGAACCTGAAGGAGGCCGAGTCTAAGGCTAAGGATGACCGGCTGGGCATGTGGGAGTATGGTGACATTACCGAGGATTAGAGGGCGTCTGCATGCCTCCCTTTTGCAAGATGATCATTAAATACGAACCTTGGGGCCAGGATATTTGGTCGGACTGACGCACTGAAGAAGTAGAGGGGTGGTTGCGGGAAAAGGGGGCTTGGAAAACAGCATCGCTAAAAGGGGGGAAGGTAAAAAAAATAGCAGGCCAAACAGAGACATGCACTGATGCACATGGCTTCATGCTTCAGTAAGAAATTGGTTACTGTTTAGGCAGTATTGCTATTAGACGGTATCCATTACATTGACCCATCATGGCAAGCCCGACTTCGGCCAGAATGTCTCGCACAGTTCTCCGTTCACCGCAGCAAAAACTGGCCTTTCTCCGGTTTGTTGGGAACCAACCGGCATCCACATGTATCATGTGCCCTGGAAAATAATGGGCTCTTGGCGGGCCTCCCCGGTTTCAGTGCCTACTGCCTAGCGCATTTGAGGCCACCGTGAAGCAACTTTTGTTAGATTAAGCGTGGATCAAACCCTACCTAGGTCTCTACGAAGACAGCGACTCGGGGATTTGGGTTGAGGAATTGGCTTGATCGTGGATGGATGAGCTTGCATCTACGGGTAGGCAAACCTCATGATGATGGCCTGGAAGGAGTCCGAAGGCGAATAGTGTGCAATATAATACCTACGTCGTCCGACAGAGTAAAATATTCAAGCCAATCTCATGATCCGTAAATCGGGAGGGGCGAAAAGACATGACGCTTGCCTAGGAGGGGTTTTGTGGGCTGCGGCTTTGACTGGCGATGCCCCCGCTAATAGGTGATTTTTATTAGTTACGTATCGAGTGAGAGGGCGCTCAATACCTCATAAACAAGCGTCATACCATCCACTTTTTCACCAGACAACACATACCGACCTTTAACTTTGCCTCTCCTGAATAACATCTATCCAGCTGGTGCTGTGAATAACTATCAATACAAGCACTCCTACCAACTATTCTACTACTACCATATCCAAGATCACAATGTCCAACTCTCTTGATCAATTGAAGGCCACTGGCACTGTAAGTCAATACCCCGCCAAACCCCTCATCGCTCATCGCAGAGCTTTGCCACACTACCAGCTCCACCAACACTCAAAGAGCCTCACCCAGTCGTGCGGTATTTCTATGTGTCGGCAGCTGCTAACATAAAGTGCTTGCGAATAGGTGGTCGTTTGCGACTCTGGTGAGTTCAATATGCCATATTCACAGGAAAGAGCATTCAACTAACAGATCGCGTTCCCAGGTGACTTTGCGAGTCAGTCTGCCCACCTCCCCCAACAAAGCGTAGTAGTCCTCCATGAATAGCTGCTCACAGTCAATTACCACAGCAATTGGCAAATACAAGCCTCAAGATGCCACCACCAACCCGTCCCTCATCCTGGCTGCGTCCAAGAAAGCCGAATACGCCAAGTTGATGGACGTGGCGATCGCGTACGCGAAGAAGCACGGTGGCTCGATCGACGACCAGGTAGAGGCCGCCCTCGACCGTCTCCTCGTTGAGTTCGGCAAGGAGATCCTCAAGATCATCCCCGGAAAGGTCTCGACCGAGGTCGATGCCCGCTACTCCTTCGACACCAAGGCTTCGGTTGACAAGGCTCTTCACATTATTGAGGTATATATTGCAACTCCCCCTTTGTGGAAGCGAAGCTGGAGACATGAACATGACGATTGACATGTGTTTTCTCTTCTTTTCAAATAGCTCTACAAGAAGGAGGGCATCAGCAAGGACCGTATCCTCATCAAGGTTGCCTCGACATGGGAGGGCATCAAGGCGGCCGAGATCCTCCAGCGTGACCACGACATCAACTGCAACCTGACCCTCATGTTCTCCCTCGTCCAGGCCATCGCCGCCGCCGAGGCCGGTGCTTTCCTGATCTCGCCCTTCGTCGGCCGCATCCTCGACTGGTACAAGGCCGCCCACAAGAAGGAGTACACCAAGGAGGAGGACCCCGGCGTCGCTAGCGTCCGGAGCATCTTCGACTACTACAAGAAGTTCGGCTACAAGACCATCGTCATGGGTGCCTCGTTCCGGAACACGGGCGAGATCACCGAGCTCGCCGGCTGCGATTACTTGACCATCTCGGTATGTATCTCTCGAGCAGCAGCTGTCCGGACTTTGGACGAAGTTCCGAGTGGCTGAACGCTGTTTTTACCTCGCCCAATTCCAAACCTGAATCGTGTGCTAACCGATCACCCCGAACAGCCCAACCTCCTCGAGGAGCTCCTGAACTCCGATACTCCCGTCCCCAAGAAGCTCGACGCCAGTGGGGCCGCCGCCCTGAACATCGAGAAGAAGTCGTACATTAACGACGAGGCCCTCTTCCGCTTCTACTTCAACGAGGAGCAGATGGCCGTCGAGAAGCTTCGGGAGGGCATCTCCAAGTTCGCCGCCGACGCCGTCACCCTGAAGGAGATAATCAAGTCTAAGATCTCCGCATAAATAGATCAGGCCTCTGCGATCCGGCTGTGTGTCATAAAAATGGAAGGACGGTAAAGGGAAATACACTTCGTGTTTTCAACACGCCCACAGACACACAATATTGGGAGGATAAGGAGGGGACAGGCTTAGATAGATTATCCCCACGCTCTCTTAAAGGACCCGGGACAGAATGGGGTGGACTTAACTATTAGGCGGGTGGTGGTAGAAAACGTTGCAAGGGGACAAGAGCAAATTGAACCACGTTGAGTCACCACGCGCGACAACAACTCGCTGATCGTCACATTCATTGCCCTTTCCCCTGAGATCGACAGTCATTGAAAAAGTAAATCCCGGCCCGATAGGGTGGGACCCTTGCATGCCTTGATATCTGAAGCGTGCTCTGTAAACAAGGCAATTATATGGAGATATAGTCCTGCATAGTAGCTCTCGCCGTATCCACGACGAGCCTGGACGCAGACCCATTGCTTCTGCTGTCACACGAATCGCTCCGCCCCGATCGCCTGCTCGTAACATGCGATATAAGATTCCCCAATTCCCGTGTTCTAGCACAGGGCGTCTTGTCTGTCTCTAAAGATTGAACTTCGAAGAATTCTCCTGTTGGTATTCTCGAGTTGGGACATTATGGATGTTCCTCCTGATCACCGACACCTTGGTCGGTACAAAGCCACTGCTCGTACAGGTGTGTCCAACTATCTTAATGCTGACATGAAAGATATCAAAGTTTCCAGCAATCACCGATAAAAACGCCAGAAGTATGGACATCCAGCCTCGTCCCGACAAATGTGTGCTGGTCGGACAGGGAGGTATATATATATACACATAAAACGGATCGAACCCTCCCCCGCTACCTCATCCCTTCACAGTCGGGAGAGTCAGACCAACCAACCCCAAATGCGTCCAATGTCATACAAGCCCCCCTCCACCGATGCAAGGGGATGTGCGGAGGAGGGTTCCATGACACGCGGACTCCGCCCCGCCAACCCCCCTCCCAATCAGTCGGAGTCCTTCGCCTCCGATTTCTCGCAGTCGACCTGGACGACCGAGTGCCCGACGTTCCCCTCCACCACCTCGACGACGAGCGCCGACAGCTGCCGGCCGTACACGCACCCCGAGTCGAGGCCGAAGGCGTACCTCGCGCGGTCGCCGTCGACGGGGTCGACCTTGAGCCCGGCCCTGGCGTCGTGGCCGTACACGACGACGGTCCTGTCGCGGGGGTCCTCCGCTGCGGACTGGTGGGCGTTCCAGGCGTCGGACCAGGGGTCGCCGTCGCGGCCCTCGGCGGGCACGCTGACGGCGCGGTCCGGGTCCTCGAGGACACCGTCGCGGAGGCGGCGCTCGCGCATGCGCTCGAGCGCGGCGTCGACGTGGGCGTTTGTCACGTCCGACTTCTTCTTGGCCTTCTTCTCGAGCGCCTCGCGCACCTTCTTGCGCCGCAGCTGCACCGCCGGGTACACGAGGCTGCGCATGTTCATGGCCGCCCACGGGTCCTGCGCCTGCAGCGGGAGGCCCGGCATCAGGCCCGCGTGCGCCACCACCACGGCGCCCGAGTCCCAGGGCGCCGACTTGGCGCCGACGAGCTTGCCCACCTGGAGGATCACGGGGAGCGAGGCTAGCCAGGTGTGTTGCTCCGGAGAGAGCGATTCCGCCGTGGCCCGGTCGCTCTGGTCGCCGTGCGAGAAGGGGTCTTGCTCGAGGTTGTCCAGCGTTGCCGGCCCGGAGTCACGGCGAACCATCCGGGCGCTGGCCGCTGTGTTGTCGTCGTCGTCGGTCGAGTTCGCCTGGCGCACGTCGATGGCCGCCGCTGCGAGGGTTGCGGGGGGGGACTTCATGGCGGCGTTGGCGAGCACCACGCGGTCCTCGTTGTTGCCGCGGACGGCGCTCGCGCCGAGGTCCATGGCGAGCTGGACCACGCCGGGGCTGTCGGGCCCCTTGTTGACCATGTCGCCGGTCAGGATCAGGTGGTCGCCCTTTGTCCTGTCGAAGTCGAGTTTCGCCAGCAGGGCCTCGAGGGCCGAGAGCTGTCCGTGGACGTCGCCCACGAAGATCAATCTCCTCCCCTTGGGGGACTGCGGGTCGTCGTCTGATGCGTCCGGGGTGGCGAGCAAGAATTCCGGCGGCATGTAGCCAATGATCTGCTTCATGTCCTTGAATGCCGGGCGCGACGCTGTACCGTAGACCATTGGCCCGAACGGTTTTTGCAGCTCATCTTCAACGGACGGTTTATTTTTCAGCTGGTCTTTCGCCTTGTCTTTGACTTGTGGGGTTTCTTTGACTTCTGGGGCTTCTTTGACTTCTGGGGCTTCTTTGACTTCTGGGGCTTCTTTGACTGCTGGGGCTTCTGGGGCTTCTGGGGCTTCTGGGGCTTCTGGGGCTTCTGGGGTGACTTGGGTGTCTGGGTTCGGAGGGGTCGAAGAAAAGGGTTCTGTTGCTAACTGACCCATGGTTGAGAGGCCGACACGCTTCGAAACCACGACGAAGGTCATGAATATTATGACGCCACTGAATAGCAGGAAAGTGCGGCGGCGAAGCCGCGACATGACGGGGTATATCATCGGGGGCCAAGGGAGCGGGCGGGCGCACTCGGACTGGTGGACAGTAAAATCCCAGAAGAAGAAAAAAGAAATGGGGGCGGCGCGCAGAGTTCAGAGTCCCTCCTCTTCTATCCTTGCTCTCCCGTCAATTTAATTGACCTCCAAATGCTATCCTACACAGTGAAATGCAGGATGCGGTCGACGTTGCCTTGATGCTTTTGAAAGGGGATAACATATGGGATGGAGATGTCGGAAGGCGAGGTTTTACATGGTTTCATGAATAGGAGATAGGAGAAGCAAGCAGACAGCCGGGCGCATGGGAAATAAGACACAAGGGTACCAGGTTTGTTAGGCTAGTTCCCCACGAATGGAAGGTGGGCGCGTGCCAAGACCCTTGATTTGCCTGAGGTGGCACAACGCATGCTAAACGCCCCCTACTCAGCCGTATGACCCGACGACCAAGTCCATGATTCCGGGAAAGCATCCATTCCTACCTTCCTAGGTAGTAGGTAGGTATCCGCCCGTAGGCGGATTGGTCAGACCTAGGTAGGTTCCATCCCAGCCACTTTGGTGCAGTATCTACTTGACACACAACCTGTATGTACTGTACGGCATAGGTAGTCCACTGGCACCTGGGTCACTCACTGCAAAATACAATACATACTGAGCAGGTGCTTTTATAATTATAATTACAGGTAGCTTATTCATAATGCGTAGATCCCTCCGGCACAGACGGATCGCAGCTGCGGTGCTGTACTCGTATTCCGCATCCCTGAACTTTTCCTTTCGTTTTTACGGGGGTTATCCTGCTTCGGCCCTAGCTGCCTTTCGTTTCCAGCGATCTTACTGGAGGAGGTAGCCCAATGCACGGCACCGCCTGAAGTAAACTTCCGCAGCGTAGACCAGCCTTGTACATACCATAGTACAAATGCGGGCATGATTATCATTCATGTAATGAGGTAATGCTGTGACCTTATCTGCGCATGGCAGTCACCCCTTTTCTCCCTCCCCACGCACCCACGTGATTAACAGCTGGCAGCTTGCGATGCTGACTTCACGGCAAATATCACGAGTAATAAGTGCAAGTCGCCGTCACCCAGACTGCTCCCCACTGGCATTAGTTCAGTAACCTGCAAAGTCCTAATTTATTCAACAGAATAAAAAGCAGTAAAAATAGGCCCACGGCTCTTAATGATCCCCTGGCCGGCACTACTGGCCTGAGAATCGTACAGCGCCTGAGGCAGCAACTTCCACTGTGTCCGCTGCCCATATCATAGCATCACAGCACTAGGTACTTGCCTGCAATGCGTCAGGCTAACTACGATCTCGACAGGTCCATCGCCGCATTCTTTTCAAGCTCAGGAACGTCTGCGACGAGGGAGCAATGCGACGAATTTGCAAGACGCAAGTGGGGGGGGGGGCCGGTCCATCCTGTTCCGCTCCAGGGCATGGCCAGCTATACTGTGAGGGCAGGGTCTAACAAAGTTGTCCAGTTCCGAGAGCAAAGCAACTCACTGAATGAGGGGATGGTGGCGCTGGCCAGAGCAGCTCATCCCGATGTCGTGGCCAGCTGTACCTTTCATGGGCTTATTGGTGGATCGCCGTCAGATCCCCAAGCAAAGGCAAATGCACTCGCAATATACTCAATAACTAACCTCCTGGGAAACAACTATATGTACATACGCAGCTCTTTGGCGGAGAGTTTGCCACTCCAGCAAGCTACTGTGAAAAGTCTGGTGAGGTTGTTGATGCCGTCTACTTCTTCGCTTCAAGCCAGCTAAGGGTGACAAACAGGTTCTTTGCGCAGTCTTGGTTGAGCGGAAGGCCAATAGATCCCGCCCAAGCTTCTACCACTGTTGACGAATGCGCCTCCATGTTCCAAGCCTTCCGTCGCTCAAATACAGGGCATTCTTCCAATGCTCTGTTCCGGGGAGTATCCAGTAGTCCTCACCCACGGCGACCTCAACGAGATGAACATCCTGGTCGACCCTGCGAGCGGCAAAATCACGGGAGTTGTTGACTGGGCTGAGGCAAGCTTCCAGCCGTTTGGTTTTGCGCTTTACGCGCTAGATAATGCTCTCGGCAGCATGGGCCCTCAGGTGTGGGAAGATTTTGATAACGCCGACTCTCTGAGGGACGAATTCTGGAGCACCTTTAGCAGGCTGGTTGGGGGGCTGTCTGAGTCTATGATGGAGTCTATTCGGCTGGCGAGAGTGGCTGGATTGCTTATCCGGTACAGTACCGCCTCGACAGGGGATTTGGGAGAACGGTAGGGGTCCGGGATCCGTCGGGTGCTTCTCTTCGATATCTCGACGCGCTTCTTTTGGGCTAAGGGGCCCAGCCAACACCCGCACATTGGGGCCCTTCCCCAATGGAAGGGCTGTTACTCCGGTGGCATCGTGCGCGAGGATTGGTGGTGCGATCAAAGTGGCAAGATGGCTCGGCCCAAGATGCCATTTGAGACTCTTGAAGCCAAGATTGACAGCCTCCGGCCTGAGTTCAGCCGGATTGAGCGAGAACATGCTATATCCATCATGTACAGGGGATTTTGTTATGTACCAGAGGGTAGAATCACTGCCGCGCAGTTGTTGGAGGATCCTTCATAATGCTCTCATAGCTGTTTATCGAGTTGATGGGTCAAGTGAGAGAGACACTGCTTAATCTGAATAAGCACGCACTTAATACCAATTCGAGTCTCCTTCTGGGCCTATGTCACTCCGCTGGCTCAACATGCAAAAATGCGTAAGCCTTGAAGTCCCATAAGGATGTGTTGGGTGAGATGTCAATTTCAACTTTCCGGTTACAGCAATGAGATAGCTCATTGGATAGAAGAGATGAATTGCTACGAGTTAATTATAAACGTATTAGAGACACCAGCAGAAGCCTTAGAGGTCAAAGACTGTTGCTACTCAGCGTCGTTTTAGTTCCTCTTCACATAGCTCTCTCTTGACCACCTTATCTTAAATAATAACGCAGCTTACGTTATGAAAGTTTTCTTGGATGTAGTCATTCCCTCTGTTTTGCTCTATGCTTTGACCGATATAAGATGTTGTGGTGCCAGAGGCTTAAAGGTATTGGTGGAGAAACCAATTTTTATCCGCACTCACCATCTGTTAATTCATGCTTCTGACAGGCCTCGGTGATGCTAGAAAGAACCAGAATGTGATCCAAAAACATACAGTCTGTCTCTATAAACCGGCTCCTTTTGTATTCTACGTAGACAACTGCCTATCTAAGTAAAGGAACCTCAGTTGATTACGTCCTTGTCACACTTAATCCTCGTCATCATTAAAGGTCGGATTATCCAGCTAGACCCGCATTTTCTCTAGAGCAAATATGTCATGTTCCTTCTTAGAGGTGGTGTAGTCTTCGATCTGGCCGTCGATCCAACCAGTCGTGCCTCGGAACGTCCCTAGCAGCCTGCCGATCTCACGGGCCGAGTCAAAGTCGATCAGGACTGGCATTCCACCGCCGGACTCTGAGTCGTTGACCAACACGTTCGTCGGGTTGAGGTCGTTGTGTGCCCAGCCGAGTGAATGTAGGTGATGGATAGCGGACTCGAGCGCGTCTATAAACGCTTTCTTGTCAATTATCCGGCTACGTTCTTCAGATAGTCCTTCAGGTCGTACGAGTGGCAGTCCTGCACAATTCCGGTCAGGTAGCCCCTCCGGGAACAGCAGCCGTGGTACCGGATGATATTAGGATGCGGGTGTTTGGACAGAAATTCCATAGTGTATGCCTCTTCCAACAAGCTTTGGGCAAGGAGGTGTACGACTTTGTACCGTTTGAACACGTCGTACTGGGAAAGGTTGGGTCGCTTGATGAAGATGCGAACGTTGGTGGGGGGGAACAGCGGAGCCTGAGTGAGTTGTTTGGCGCCAGAACTGTCAGACAATGGCCATTCTGGAAACATCTCGCTGTCGGGGATTGGTTTGAGCGTGGCCATGACTTGCTGGAGAGAGATCTCAGGTGTAGTAGATGACATCGTCTGCGTCGACGACAGCAAACATGGTGTATTGAAATTCACGAGTCGCCGATTTGAATTCCTCAGATACGTGTGCGAAGTCAGACCATCTCGTGATCTGTGGTGTCATCATGAAGATGACGATGATGACAATAGTGGTTTGGTGGTGGTGGTGGTGGTAGTGAACGCGAAGAGTCATTGCATGTGAGATCCCTCTGTTGCTGTAGGCTTCTGCCTAATTTTGGTTCCATTTCGTTGGGAGCGGGTATTATTGACTTCCAAACCAACTCATCCTTTTCCATGAATGTGATCACAACCCGCAGAAAGCGCCATGATCCATTCTATTTTGGTCTGCCGGGCGTAACGAAAATGCCTCGGCCATCAGCGCTTCAGTCCCCCACCAAGTGTCACCTTCACTGCATCATCGCCAAATCTGGACTTCCACCCCCGTTAAGCAAAGAATGTTGCCATTGGCTCATTACGTGATTTTGCCCAGTTTGGCTCCATTCTGTTGGAGCGAAAACAGTATTCTCGCGAATGAGAACAAAGCGAAAGCTGGAGTCCCATACAGCCTCGAGGTTATGTGAGGCTCTGGCTTTCATCGGCGCTTCGTGGACAGGATCCCACCTGAGGGTGCCAGAAAAGTATAAAAAGCCATGAAGATCCTGCCCTGGGTGTAATATGGATCACCAAGGTGCTCCTTGAACTCTAGTGAATAGGCATAGGATACTCACACTCTCGCCGTAAGCCATCAGAGAACGATATTTTGGCTGACTCAACTGTAGTCTTTTCCTCTTGGCGCGCTTCTACCCAGTGCGCGCGTTTGGGGCTAAGCCAAACAAGCCTGCATCCAGCTACAGCCATTCCGGAGTCCCGCGGAGTTAAATGTTTACACTGCCCACTGCCATTTGACTAGCAGCCTTGCGAAAGCACCGGGCCGTCATCCAGTCGAGACTCTCAGATCTCAACAGGATCCGGCTCCGGCTCCATCGACCAGTCTCGTGAGCTATGACAACCCCACCCTTGCCGCGAAGTCTTCGACCCTCTCGCCCCTCAGCCAAGGATGGAAGTAGGCTTGCAGTGCAGGGAGACGTTCCTCGGGGAGCCAGTTGAGAAAGCACTCAACGAGACTGATGAAATTTTCCTTGTCTTCTCCCTCCAATGCTTTGACAAGAGACTCGAATTCCTTCTTGGGAGGCAAAGGGACAGGGCCTTGCCACTGGCCTACACAACGACAATATCAGTTAGGGCGACTTGGACGGGTGTGGTTTCCGCATCTCTTGTGTGGAGTGGCACCTACCATCCGCATTCCAATACTTGTTTGTTTCCTGGCTTCTCGAAAGAAATTCGGGCGGAGGGGGACCGAGCAGGGCCGTCATGGCTCCAAGATGATGCGCAACGTTCTGCTCCTCAGATTCCTGGTCATAGACGCGAAAGAGGCTCTCGGGTTCCAGGAGATTCCAAGCCTGGCATGGAGGGGAAACTGAATGGTCAGAATGCAGAGCCATGAGAGAGAAAGGGAGATATTCCGCACCAAGAGCCCTACACTCCACATATCTACAGCGTTTCCCCACGGCATATTGATAAGAACCTCAGGTGCTCGATATGGTACCGGCATGGCGCTGCCGGTATGTTGGCTCCCAATACGTGCTTGTCCGAAGTCACAGATAACAAGGGGCCCAGGGCCTCCTAGCATATACTGAGAGACATGTATGATAACATCGCCGACCTGCTTCCTTGCTGACGGCTCCTTAATCTCGTTCTCTTCCACAGTTGCAAGAATCGCGTCGTTGGTAAGGGCTATCAGCAAGTTGTCCGAATGAAGGTCTTCGCATTCCTGGTTAGATAGATACCTGACCTCTTCTTCCTTGAGAAGGTGATGGGTAAATACTCACCGGTGTGGACTACGCCAGCCTCATGAAGGAAGACGAGCCCCAGAAGCACCTGGTCGAGAGCTCCAGTGACAAACTGTTGCGGGAAGATACCACTTTTCTGCGTCTGTTGCAGAGTCCTCAAACTCATCTCCAGCGGCGTCATGACGAAAACGTCATCTTCACCATTGGGCCCCTCCAGCTTGAATGAATCCTCGAGCCGTCGGACATTGTCGCGACCAAGGGCCTCCTCGATGGCCTCCTCGGTGGCAGCGATGCTGGCCAGTTGCCGATAAATCAGAAGCTCTTCATTATGTTTCAGGGTATTGATATGGACCTTGAGTGTCCAGTATTTCCCATCTCTGTCAAGTAGCAGCCGAAGGTCATTGGTCATTTGGTCAATGTGACTCGCCATTAGAGTGGGAAGCAAATAAAAAGTACCTGAGATCACGGGACAGCCACACCGTCGAGGTGACGCCGTAGCCCAGCGTGGCGACTACCTGGTAACGACCCTGAATGATCTCACCAATCCGCATAGGATAGTACTCACCCGATTATAGCATGGCAGTCGCTCCTATTCCACCATTTGAGAGGGATCAATCACTTCGAAACCAGTAGTCGGAAACTCGCGAGGTCGGAGGCGAGTTGTCAGACTGTGTGTCGCCATTGCAGACCGTGGTTTTAATGCAGGTGTAACAAAGGATAGTCGAGACCGTGGAGCAAACGAAAACAAACGAAGGTGACGTCCTGCGAACATAATAACTTTGGAAAGAGCTTTTGCAAGAGTCGGCCACGTTTGTGTATCAGCTGGAAGAAAGCCGACTGGGCGCAATGTGTTTGTAGGGGGCATGAACCTCTACTACCTACTCTGGGACTACAAGGGCCGCACCTCCCATAGGGCAGACGCACTACTGGAACTGGCAGAGCAGTGGACGGCGGCAGCATCAACTCGGGATTTAAGGATTGCAAGCCGCCGCTGGCAAGGTCCCGTGACTAGGCCCGTGACAGATAGCGGTCTGGTTCCGGGGGTGTCGCATCCGTCTTCCGGCGCCCAGGCTGTGGTACTTGAGTGAGTATTCATTTGTAAGGAAGAGCGAATGTTGAACATTGGACGCAGCTGGCCCCATCCCCATCGTGAGTGTTATGTAATGACCTGTGGAGGGGAAAACGAGAATCGATGCGAAAGTTTACTGGGGGGTAATCGGTATTGCCGCGTAGTGTAATACCCTTGACCGCCTTCCAACTGCCCCTCCCGAAAGTCGGAGTCAGCGGCAGAATTTTATGTTGTGACTCTCAATTGGCAGTTGACGTCCCATTCCTCACTTCTTTCACATTGATATCTGATATCGATACCCTCACAACCGACACGATGGTCGAGCTCCCCGATCCCACGGCCGACCTTGACTGGAGCGGCTATGTCGGCGCAATCCACGAGACATTCCACAGGAACGCCCTGGCCCATCCCGACAGGCCTTGCGTGACCGAGACCAAGACTTATACGTGAGACACCCCGGATCGACCGTGATACGCCCGGTCAAGCTGCTGACGTTTGGACAAGGTCGCCAACCAGGACATTCACTTACCGCCAGATCGACGAGGCGTCCAACACCATTGCCAACTACCTGCACGAGGCTGGCATCACCAATGGAGACGTTGTCATGATCTTTGCTCACCGCTCGGTCGAGCTGGTCTGTGCCTTCATGGGGACTCTGGTGCGGCTTACTACATCCACCCCCAATGTCAAGTACGACTGACCGAGATGTTCAGGCTTCTGGAGCTACAGTAACAGTGCTTGATCCTCTTTACCCGCCGCAGAGGCAGCAGAGCGCGTACTATCCTATCCCCTCTCGCCCAAGCAGTTTGACTAACTGGAGTAGTCTATCTCGAAGTCTCCCAGCCCAAGGCCCTGATTTCCATCGGCAAGGCCATAGACGAGAATGGGTAGGTACAAATACTTGTCGTACTGGAGGCTCTCCTTGACGGGACATTGAACCCTTTATGACGTTTTCTTTACTGACAAGGGGCTACATCCAGTCCCCTTGCTCCTTTGGTACAGAAGTACATCGACGAAGAGCTATCCATCAAGACCCAGATCCCGGAGCTCCGCCTCAGCGACGCCGGCGTGCTGTCTGGTGGCGAGAAGGAAGGCGGAGATATTTTTGCCAGCGTACGAGGCAAGGCTTCGTCACCTCCCGACGTCCTTGTTGGCCCAGACTCCAATCCCACCCTCAGCTTCACCTCCGGATCTGAAGGAAAACCGAAAGGGGTGCTAGGACGTCATTATGGCCTGACAAGGTACTTCCCCTGGATGGCGAAGCGTTTTAACCTCTCGTCCGAGAGTGTGTTCGCCTGTCTCTCTGGCATCGCCCATGACCCCATCCAGCGAGGTGAGAGATGGCTTCTATCATCGTCTTACTGCCCAGTCTAACCTCGGAGGCCAGACATCATGACGCCCCTGTGGCTCGGCGCTCAGCTGCTCATCCCGGCCAAGGAAGACATCCAGCACGAGAGGCTGAGCGAATGGATGAACCTGTGGTCCCCGTCCACGGCTCACCTCACTCCTGCGATGGGACAAATCCTTGTCGGTGGCGCAACCGCCAAGTTCCCCTCCCTGCGGCACGTCTTCTTCGTCGGCGACGTTCTCACCACCCGCGACTGCAAGGCACTTCGCCAATTAGGGACTTCATGCTCTATAGTAAACATGTACGGCACCACCGAGACCAGCCGGGCAGTGTCCTACTTCGAAATTCCCTCGGCCGCAGAAGACCCGACAGCCCTCGACTCGCTCGGGGACACCGTTCCCGCAGGTTGGGGGATGCAAGATGTCCAAGTCCTCGTCGTTTCTCAAGAGGATCACACCAAGATGTGCGGCGTTGGCGAGGTCGGCGAGCTATATATCAGAGCGGCTGGCTTGGCTGAAGGTTACCTCGGCGATCCCGAGAAGAACAAGGAGAAGTTCATCGACAACTGGTTCGTCGATAACGCTAAGTGGGTGGAAGCCGATAAGGCCAACGACAAGGGCGAACCGTGGCGCCGTTTTTATAAGGCGCCCCGTGACAGATTATATCGCACAGGAGACCTTGGCCAGTATCTCCCTTCGGGAGCCGTGCGTGTGTCTGGCCGCATCGACTCTCAGGTCAAGATCCGTGGTTTCCGGATCGAGCTCAACGAAATCGATGCCAACCTGAGCGGCAGCCCCCTGATTCGAGACTGCAAGACTCTCGTTCGGAGAGATCGTAACGAGGAGCTGACGCTTGTTAGCTACATTGTTCCTGAGATTGCCGAGTGGAAGCGCTGGCTGGAGGCCCAGAATTACGAGGATGTCGAAGATGAGGGTATTGAGATGGGATCGAGTGTGGTCTACCCTAAGAGGTTCCGCCGTATGCAGGCCGAGGTGCGAGACCACCTCAAGACCCGCCTGCCGGCTTACTCGGTGCCTTCCGTCTATATTATGCTACAGAAGCTTCCTCTTAACCCGAACGGCAAGGTCGACGTCCCAAATCTGCCCTTCCCTGATGCTGCTCAGATAATAGAGGACGCCTCAGAAGAGGATCTAAAGATCTGGGAGGCCTTGTCTGAGACGGAGAAGACCATTGCCTCGCAGTGGTCGACTCTAATCCCGGGCCTCAACACCAAGACTGTCAAGTAATTATGTGGACTCAGAGCTATGCTTTACAGATCAAAGCTGACCAAAAGCCTAGGCCCGAATCGAATTTCTTCGACTGCGGTGGACACAGTCTTCTGGCCCAGCAGCTCCTCCTCAACATCCGCAAGGATTTGGGCGCTGACATCACCATCGGTGTCCTTTACGCGAACCCCACTCTCAGTGGGTTGAGCACCCAGGTGGACCGTCTGCGCAGTGGTCAGGCTGTCACAGTCGACAAGGCCGCCGAAACCGCCTACGCCAAGTCATTTGACGAGCTGGTTAACACACTGGACGCCAAGTACCAGAGCGCGGATCCAGATGCCCTGAGCCCATCGAGTGGTGCCACATTCTTCCTCACTGGTGCCACAGGTTTCTTGGGCGCCTACTTGGTCAAGGACATCCTGGACAGGGAGAACACCAAGCTCATCGCGCACATCCGTGGAGCCAAGGACCTTACTTTTGCTAAGGATCGTCTCACGAGGTCACTCAGAGGCTATGGTTTGTGGCAGGACTCATGGGCCGATAGGATTTCCTATGTCCTTGGTGACTTGTCCAAGCCCCGTCTTGGTCTTGACGATGCCAGCTGGAGGCACGTCGCCGAGACAGCGGATGTTTTCGTCCATAATGCGGCGTATGTTCATTGGATTGCTCGCTATGAGCAGATGATGCGTAGCAACGTCCTGTCTACCATCGACGCAATGAAGCTCTGCAACGAGGGAAAGCCCAAGCTATTCTCTTTCGTGTCGTCGACTTCGACTCTGGACACTGACCACTACGTTAACCTTTCTGACGAGCAAACCGCAACTGGGCGCGGAGCGGTGCTTGAGGCCGACGATATGCAGGGCAGCCGTGTTGGCCTTGGCACTGGTTATGGCCAAACCAAATGGGTATGTCGACTCATCTCATTATACAGAGTGGGGTCCCATGAAGCTAACCATTCCAAGGTATCTGAGCAGCTCATCCGGGAAGCTGGCAAGCGCGGGCTCCGGGGCGCCATTGTCCGTCCCGGATACATTCTTGGTAGCCGCCACGGCGGCGTCTCGAATACCGATGATTTCCTGATCAGGTTTTGTAAAGGCTGTGTCCAGTTGGGGGCAAGGCCATTCATCGTCAACTCGGTGAATGCCGTCCCTGTGGACCACGTCTCCAGGGTTGTCGTTGCCTCGGCCCTTAATCCCCTCCCCGGCGTCAACGTCGTCCACGTCACGGCACACCCGAGACTCCGTATGAACGAGTTCCTCTCGGCATTGAGTTACTATGGCTACAACGTCCCCGAGGTCGACTACGAGGAGTGGAAGACGCAGCTCGAGAAGTTCGTATCGGCCGGGTCCATTGAGAAGGATCAGGAGCAGAGCGCACTCATGCCGCTGTTCCATATGGTAATGTCGGATCTGCCTTCGACGACGCGTGCCCCTGAGCTTGACGACAGAAACGCCGTGGCCGTGCTCAAGGCCGACGCCGACCGCTGGACCGGCGTCGACGACAGCGCGGGCGAGGGCATTACCCGCGAGGATATCGGAAGGTATCTGCGCTTCCTGGCCGAGATCAAGTTCATGCCATGGCCGACCGGCCGGGGACGCGAGCTGCCGCCTATTGCGGCCGATATTGTCCAAGCTCAGGCACAGTGGGCAGTGGGTGGTCGTGGCGGTGTGGCTTAGAATGACATTTTTGGATCGGGGAACCATCGAATTGGTGATTCAATATGTTGGATTTCGAAAAGCTGGATATAGGGACGCACGCGCGAAAAGTACATCGGAATTGATTCATCTATTGAGACTAATTAGAGAAGATTTAGAAACGTCTCTCAAGGCTAACGGCGAAACAACCTTACATACCTAGCAAAGAATCTTGTAGCCCAAGGAGGAACTCTAAACGCCGTCTATATTTCGATCCTGGGTCCTGTTAATACGAAGCAGGCGACTAAGCTCGACGGCTACCAGGTAGTACGTAGTGCCTACTATTACTGGTCTCGATTACGTGATAATTACCTGATGGCAATTATGCCCATCTCTAAAAAGGACATTGTTTGCATGCTTCATACTGCAACATACGAAGACAAGGCGGGAACCAGTACTGGCGTTTGCTCAGGGAAAGTTGCACTAGAGTTCTAGCTATGTAGGTCCGGGAAATGCTGGCTTCCTTGTGTAGGTATTGGTGTGGTAAAACTTCTGGTACGAGGATAGTAGGAAAAAGTTGCCAATAGATACCTATTAGTTTAGTTTGGTTAATATCTGTCTGCGGTTTCTCAGAGTCCTAGCGCTTCCCATACATAAGGGGACTTGTTGGGAAATCAGGAGGCGGATAATTATATGTGCTACGTACAGCATATGTCTTTCCTTGTCTAACCTGATCGTTAAGTCGCAATACGTGTAATTAGTATTCAGACCAGGCAAGCTGCAATGTGAACGTACAGGGTATACTCTCGACTCGCCTTGGGTTTGGAAGCCCTGGTGGTCTCTTGCTTCTTAATATGGTACAGTCGGCATTCTTACAAACCTGTCTCAAGCCCTGTTAAATACGCATATCAGTGGTCACCCCGTCAAACCCTCTCAAAGTCACGAAAAGGGAACGAACAGCGCTTAACAAAGTCTCTACTTTGCAGCCTCTTATCTTTTTATATCTACTTAATTGCCGCTAGACGCCGGGATCATTTTCTCAATAAGCTCTTCTTAATAAGCTCTCCCCCAGCAGGCATCCAAGCTTGTCATATAACCCAATGCCTCTCCACAGAGGTCGCTTCCATAGCAGCCGTGTTCGGCGCAATCGAGGTACACAATGGAAACCAACTGCCCTACGTCATTGAGGAAGAGACGGTACCGGTAGATACGGGAGCCCCTGAAGTATCTGGAACTGGTTGGCAAGTGTCTGGTTGGGAACTGATCCCTATTTCAGTATTTCGATGGAGGGGCACACGCCGATTCGTCGAGGCAGGCAGGGCAGACGGCGCGACCCGAGGGAATGGTGACGATATTTGGTCACGTAATAGTTCCCACTTGTAATTATTCTCCATGTGTCCGTCTCACAAGATGCCGGTCTAAGCGCTCTCACAAGGGCAAGCCTGGTATGGTAATTCTTGTCAATCGACGTCGGCGAAAGGGTTGGAAGAAAAAAAAAAGGAAGAAGAAATCATGCAGACAAACACTTACCAAGTCTACTCGTGCTCATCACAAACATGCCACAGATACGCCTCATAGTTGGGATGTTGTTCTGCGGCAGGTTGAGCCTTTCCTCGAGGGGACCGCAGACTTGATGGCGTTGTATCAGGGCATACGACATAAAACACAGGGGCAAGAAGCTAGCTTGCTCAAAGTCGATGACGTAGATATCGCCCGCGTCGGTGAACATGAAGTTGCCCTCGTACAGGTCTGCGAAGACAAAGTGCAGGTCCGGCTCAAGCCTGACTGTAGGTGTGGCCTTCCGAATGATAGTTGCGACCTGTTCTACTCGTCAACAGACACACCCCTAAAAGCTACCACCAATAAGCAGGTAGGCTTGTGTCGTACCTTGTTTAGATGCTTCTCTAGCATGTCGACCGAGTCGTATTGGATAGGCGCTTTGTAGTCGTTAAACAGCGGGTGTCGAATGATGCCGCCTCCGTACGGTCCTGGGGCGGCGCCTTCCGAGACATAAAAAGAGAGAAACAGCCTTATAGCCTTCTCCACCATGGTATAGCAGTACTCAGACACTTCCCGAAATGACCGCCAGTCTGCCATAAGCTCTCGGAACGTCTTCCCAGAGACGTACTCCATGAGATTGTAGGTTCACTCTTCGAGTTTGACTACGCGATAGATCTCGGGAATGTGGATGCCTTGCCGGTCGCTCAGAGGCACTTTCTGTAGAGCCTCATAGGCAAACTGCTGAGTTCGGGCTCCGAATCCCTCAGCTTCATACTGTTGTGGCCGTGCTTGATGTAGATCACGGGCCGGTGTGGGGGGTACGCGAATCCGGTCACAAACCAGCCTCTCGAGTCGCAGTGCGGTTGCTGTTTAGCTAGCTCCACGATGTCGTCTTCGGTCAGGCTCTGCGCAACCTGGCGAGGCGACAGACTTGTGGACGGCTCCATCAGTATGCATCAAAACGTTGAAATCTTGTCGGCTGAACGGAGAGTAGAGCAGAATGTTTGTGATGCCCCTATAAGAGTGCCCAAAACAAAAGGAAAAACTCCAATATTTAGCTCCACTACAGGGCTGTGACCACTGAACAAGTCAGTTCAGCACTGTCCACTGCGACGGCAACAGCAACACACACTTGCGAGAGCTGACGAACAACATGTCTAGAAGCTAATGCTAGCGGATGTGCCTGACGACACAAGAGATGTGGCGGCATGGCGAGACTAAATGTCTTTTTCGCTTCTCTGTCCTGTCCCTTGGCTTCCTGACTGCCCGACCCGGATCCCGGCTTCATTTTCTGATACTGGTTGCGATTGGGACTGTACCGCACCATGCTGTGATAGTAAGGTCTATTGGGACGACGCATCCGACGACAAATCGTATTCTCGTCAGTTTTGATGCCGCCCCAACTTCGGGCTCTTAGTCTCTCTTCTATTATCCTCGGGGAGACAGGCATCAGAGCTTGAGAGACAGGCCCGTCCCGCTCCGTCACTCAACGTCAACATCAGGGGCTGATAGGGGGGTAGAGTCTCATTCTAGTTCCACTAGACCTTGCCCAATGACAGTCCCGAACTATTAAACCGTTAACGCCTCCCAATGCTTTGCTGAAGACTTGTTGTACAGGGTAAATGTAGAATGCCAGGGACAACGTTGCAGTGAGCTGGTCTCGCCCGGAGGGCCTTCATTCTCGCTTCCCCCTTCCTCCCGGTCTCCTGTTCTCGGCCTACTATGACTTTGTTCCTTTCTGGGCAGCCTCCAACTGTTTCCGGTATTTCTCGTTCTCCGCCTCTCGCCAATCCACGGGCTCCTTTTCGTTGCCGTCGGTCTCTCGCGTCGACCCCGCAAAGGCCGCCTTTCCGGCATACAGCTGGTAGCCGTCGCCGGAGCCCTCGGTCTGTTCCAGTTGCTTGAACGTGACGGGCTGGTTCCCGCGGAAGCGCTTGCGCATGTCGACCATGCCGCGCCTACACTCGCCGAAGCCCTTCTTCAGCTGCTGGCACTTCGTAGGTAGCGTTTCGGACAGGGGGCTGCGTAGACACTCGGCCGCCGTGTGACGCTGGACCATGACGCATTCGGACTCTTGGAGGCATTGCGCGAGGGCCTCTCCTTAGTAACGGGGGGAATCACGTTAGCCGCATCGTGGGGGGGAAAGGCTTTTTTTGGAGGGTGGAAGAACCCGGTGGATGGATCCTACTTACTTATTTCTTTGCATGAGCTGGGCATGTTTGACAGAGGTCCACCGTATGCATGGGATTGGCAATAGCAGCAAGACAATGATTGCTTCGTGAAGCTGCACCCTTGCCGTCGCAGTTACTTCTTCAAGTGCAGAAAGGATAATCGCTGAGCAGGCCCAAGCGTCTTATAGCGTCAATGTGATGACTCAGCAGCACTTCGAAAGAGATGGAGCTTGGCCTCAGATGCAGGGGCAACAGGGTCTTCGTTGGCTTCTGTTGGACCAGTTCTCGGCCGATCAAGCGATAAGACTATACATATTTGTCTTTTCTGTGCCTGAGAGCTGTCCTGAAGCTTATCGGGCCCATCGGACCCTGTTCTGCCACTATCTCTGGCTTGCCGAACCTTAAGGTGGAGGCTTGGCGGCCGAAGTTCACATGTGACGCACCTACATCCTTGCTTGGGATCATCGAAATGACGCCAATTGCTCCCCTCCCGACTCGTCCTGCGATGAGGCCCTATAGGCTATAGTTCTATCCTTTGGTTATACTCTTTCGACTCGACCTAAGATGAACCTGCCTTCTCCTATTGTTCGTTGACCTCATGAGGAGATATAGAGTCATCACAAAGTCGCGAAAATGCCCGTCCCTTTCCTTGGGCGGTTGAACGGGTGAGTTATCTTCAGGAGCCCACCGACTGCCCAGCTCGCTCCTTGAGGCTCTGCTGACTCTCTTTTCCTGCAGTTCCGAGTATGTCGCATTGGTCGGCTCCTTCTTCCTCGTCGGCTTCGAAGCCATCATCCGCGTCCTGACTCTCGCCCTACGTATGGCACCCCTGCCTGCCTCGAGGGAGGCTATCCCTCGGTCTTTGAACTCGCTGACTGGTGCTCTAGCTGATTCGCTTTTATCACTCTTCTACCGGGCGTCTAGGAGACTTTTCAATAGAATAGCATCACCTGCGGAGAAACGAGCCGAGGAGAGGAGTAAGCGTGCGTTTGGCAGTCCTACGAAACCCTCGACCCTAAACCCCGCTAACATCTCTGCTAGCGATATCCACCTCGATCCGCGAAACCTCCGACTTCGTCGACCTCTGCGCGTTGTACGGCTATACCGCCGAAGAGCATGTGCTTCAAACTAAGGATGGCTATCTGCTTGGCTTACATCGACTTGCCTGGAGGAAAGGGGAAGAGGACAAGAGGGTCAATTCCGGCCCTAAGAGCCTGAAGAAACGAGTCGTCTATCTCCACCATGGGCTTCTTATGAATAGCGAGGTCTGGGTGTGCCTTACTGATGCGCAGAGGGCACTGCCCTTTGTCCTTGTGAACCGCGGCTTCGATGTTTGGGTGAGTGCTCGTCGTTCGAAGGTCGAGGTCGAGTTTGTAGGAGGCTGACAGACCCCTTTTACTTTAGCTGGGCAACAACCGTGGGAATAAATACTGCAAAAAGTCGGTCCACCACTCGCCGACAAGCATTAAGTTTTGGAACTTCTCGATGGATGAATTCGCCTTCCACGACATCCCTGACAGCATAGCATATGTCCTCGATACCACGGGTCAGAAGTCGCTCTCCTACATCGGCTTCTCCCAGGGCACAGCGCAAGCCTTCGCCAGCCTCGCAGTTCATCCCAAGCTCAACGATGAGGTCAATGTGTTCATCGCCCTTGCGCCAGCCATGTCTCCGGCCGGACTGCATAACGGAATTGTCGACGCGCTCGTCAAGGCCTCACCCCAGGTCATCTTCCTCCTCTTCGGGCGACGATCCATTCTCAGCTCGGCTACCATGTGGCAATCGATCCTCTATCCGCCCCTATTCTCCAAAGTCATCGATCTGGGCCTGGGCTTCCTCTTCAACTGGAAGACGGAGAACATCAGCGCGTCCCAGAAACTCGCGGCATACCCTCACCTCTACTCCTTTACCAGCACCAAATCTGTCGTGCATTGGTTCCAGATCATTCGTAACAAGACGTTCCACATGTTTGACGATGACGTCCAACCCCCGCTGTCTCTCTCGAGTAAGTACACCAAGGTGGCCAAATACCCGACCCGCAACATCAGGACTCCCATTGTGCTGGTATATGGAGGGAGTGACTCGTTGGTGGACATCAAGGTCATGCTCCGGGAGCTGCCGAGGAAGACAGTTGCCACGGAAATCCCCCATTACGAGCACTTGGACTTCCTGTGGGCTAGGGATGTCGACTCCCAGGTGTTTCCGCACGTCTTCGACGCATTGGAAAGCTTCACCGGGGCGGAGCACACGAAGGAGGAGTACGAGCGATACCGGAGCGCGAGACACACGAGCCTCAGCGCGAGCAGCAGCTTCCGGCGATATGAGCACCGCGGCAGCGACATAGTGGAAAGCGACATCGGCTCCGCGAATACTCCCAGCAGTAGCGAACAGGCGGACGGAGATGGCATCGATATCGGTCAGAAGGGTGTCAACGGATATTCGACCAAGGGCCTAGCCCACCACGCCCGCGAAGATGAGGCCTGAGGCCCTGCAAGACGCCTCCTCGGTGAAGGGAAGGGAATGGGATCTTCCCTTGGTGCGAGTGAGCACTGCGCAGAGGCGGGGCTGAGGGTCTGTTGTTTTGGAAGGAAGGCGAAAGCCATTCCAACAGCCCCAACCTTGCAATGCCCTGGGCTGTGTCTTCCGGCGCATCGGCGCGGCGGGGGGCGAAGAATTGAACGCCGGAGCGGGGGTATTGTCTACTGTACAGCACCAATCGAGAGTCGATCTTGTATTATCATCACTACCAAATCTTGTCCCTGAATTCACACCATGGTGATCAGAAGGGGAATATATGAAATTCACAGACCGTATCCCCTGTCGGGCGCCTACTTGTGGGGATCGGATAAATGAGACTGCCATTTCGCGACATGCGTCCAGATACGGAAGAGGAAAATGCACTACGGAAGCGGCTCTGCGATTTAGTTCATCCGGCTCCTGGGCCACGTCAAATGAGAGAGACGTAGCGCAGCCAATTGCGGCTGTCACTGCTGCCAGAGAACCGGGACTTGGACCCGTAACCGAAACTCGGAGTCGGCCGATATTCTCGACCGACTTCAGACTACTGATCCTGCGGGCAGCACGCTAATACATCCATCCACTTGTTATGAGCCGCAATCGCCAGGGAATCCCCCCTGCTCTGTTTCTTGTTCTTATTCCGGTCACGCTCGGTGGCTTGAGGGAGGAGCCCGCAGCCTTCAGGGCCTGCAGTGCGACCCTGAAGCTGACCTTCCAACCTACACCCTTGTCTGAAGTTGCGTGGCCTTCCTTCCCGCGGCTCCACTGGTTGCCCCAATTGGTATCATAGGGCGAGTTGCTGGGTTGAAGGGGAAACCGTTTCCTGCATTACTGCAAGTCAAGGTCCACTCATCACATTCTTCTGCGCTCAGCCACCCTACTACGCGCAAGGAATTCATCGCTGCGCGCGGGTCTGGACCCAGTCTTAGAAGAAATTTTTACACTAAATGGGATATCTATCATACGGCGTAAATGATGCGAACCGTGAACACGAGCCATCCCTTTCAAGTTAATGCCCAGGCAGCCGCTTGTCTGGTTTCAGCTCCCCTGCGGCGTCGTCAACCTTCCTTCCACCCCAGTGACTGCTAGCTATTGATATAACGCCCTGTTCGTCCACTTGTCTTGACATTTGTAACTTCGTGTCTTTGTTCTTCAATCTTTCCTTCAGCTACCGTCGACGAGTGCTTTCATTCACCGATGTTGATATACCCTCCTATATAAAGATCTCTCGTTCCGTTCGCCCCCTTCTTCAACTTACGTAGTTCATCCCATCCTATCAGGAAACAGAGTCGTCTCGGTCATACCAGTAGGGCAGCCTCGATTTACGCACCAACCGCCATACGATAAATACCCCAAGTACGACTAGAGAACCTTCAAAACCCCCAAGACAAGTAGCACGAGTCCCGGGAAATCCGGACATCGACGCAGCCCAACATGTCGAACACCACGGCGGGCGGCAACGAGACCATCCCCTGGGGGTGGATCTGCAGCCAGCAACCCAACCTGGCGGAATGCGCAGATGTCCAAAGCTACTACCCATATCGCATATCCCTCTCCGCCAACGCAGCTTTCCTCGCCCTGTTCGCCGTCCTCCTGATCGCCTACCTGGCCACCTATGCCGTCACGCGCCGGGGCCTCGGCTTCACCGTGGCCATGGCCCTCGGCCTCATCTGCGAGGTCCTGGGCTACGCCGGCCGCGTCATGAGCTGGAAGAACCAGTGGCTCGAGGACGGTTTCCTCATGCAGATCTGCTGCCTGACCATCGGCCCGGCCTTCATGGCCGCCGGCGTGTACCTATGTCTCCGGCGGATCGTGTATGCCTTCGGCCCGGAGAACTCCCGGATCCGACCCGAGTACTACACCCGAATTGTAAGTCCTCTCTCTCTCTCTCTCTCTCTCTCTTAGCCCCCTCTTCCCCCAAATACACCACTCACCCACCCACCCACACACACACAACCGTACAAAGTGAGTCCAAGCTAACGACACTTCCCCCAGTTCATCCCCTGCGACGTCGTCTCCCTCGTCCTCCAGGCCGCCGGCGGCGGCATGGCGTCGGTGGCGTCGCACAACGGCGAGAGCGTCGACACGGGCGACAACATCATGATCGCGGGCCTGTCGTTCCAGGTGGTGACGCTGCTGGCCTTCCTCGCGTGCAGCGCCGACTTCGCGCTCAACGTGGCGCGCCGGCACCGCCGCCTCGGCGCCGCCGCCCTCGACCAGGGCGAGGCCGCCAGCCGCGTGCGCAACTCGGCGCCCTTCCGCGGGTTCGTCGCCGCCCTGGCCCTGGCCGCCGTGTGCATCTTCTGGCGGTGCGTGTTCCGCGTTGCAGAGCTGAGTAAAGGGTGGACGGGCCCCATCATGAAGAGGCAGGACCTGTTTATCGGGTTCGAGGGCGTCATGATCGTTGTTGCGAGCCTTGCCCTCGTGGTCTTCCACCCTAGCGTGTGCTTTAAGGAGATGATGGAGGGGAAGGGGGGTATTGGGAGGAAGAGGAAGGAGAAGGGTGGTGACGACGTGTTGGTCGAGGATGGGACGACGCATAAGGGCGAGCCTTCTTTTGAGACCGATGGTAATACGACAACCCCCCAGTAAGACGAGGGGGCTAGGGTGGATGGAATCGGGGGATGCCATCTAGTTAGATGGAGCTTCGAGTGTTGACGGGTTGGGGCATCCCTTCATTGGAGAAGCAGTAGTAGGCTTGTTTCTCTTGGTTTATACTTACATTCAGACCGATAGTTCCAGCGCTTTCTCTCCTCCCATCTACCACAACCAATAATACCCAGACATTTCCCAGCATGACCCTTCCCCGTCGCCACCCTAGGTGGGAAAGGGCTCAAAGACCCCTTCGGCCTCAGACCTCGACGCCCACACCGGACTCCCCCCGCCTTAGACGCCGTAGTCGCCGCCATCCACGACCCATAGCCCGGAGCCCCGGAAGTGTTGCGAGGGCAAGTCTGAGTGTGCATAGGGTCCCGCGACGACGTGCCTTGGAGATAGGGCATAGTCCTGGCACCTTTTCTGGTCCGGTTCGGGATCTTATGATAGCAACAGATCCGGGAACAGCCAGCAAAGAAGCCATCCCCAAAAAGGCCCTTGCCTCGTCGCCACAATGGAACCGCTCTTGAACCACCATTATGTTGAGCGCAGTACCACCAAACTACTGGCGCTCGGTGACGGTGTGAAGGACGCCAGAGACAGAGCCGGGTTCCGAATAAGGACTTGAATTCTTTAGTTATATATACAACGGCTGGGCATCCTCATTAACCAGCCACATAAATCAGCATAAATCAGTCGTCGTCCCAGTGCCTCCTACTGATAATAATGGGCCGCGCCGGGTCCCACGGCCCGTATATCTCGTTCTTGTACTTCTGCAGGCCGATAAGCCACCAGCTGCAACCCCCCATGGCGACGGCGGCGATGAGGCATCCAACGACCATGCCCAGCAGCCCACTGCGCCAGGGCCAGGCATTCTCGTCGCCGCCGAGGATCATGCCAACCCCGCCGCCGGCGCCCAGGACCAGGAGGACGGTGAGGACGACGTGGTACCTCCAGCTCCGGTGGCGGGCGTAGCGGCGGAAGACGGGGAACAGGCCAAACACCTCGATGCTGAACATGGTCAGGCTGAACACCTGGCCCGTCGAGGGCAGGCGGCTGGCGAGCACGGTGGAGGCCATGAGGGCGGCGTTGGTGGACAGCGACGCGACGGGGAACTTGTACACCCCGGCCCAGGCGCCCGAGTAGTCGAAGAAGAAGATGTTGATGGTCAGCAGCCAGAAGGACATGGCCCAGATGCTGTCCGAGGAGGTCGACCGGGTCAGCGACTTGAGGATCGGCGAGAGCGCCAGGAGCGTGAAGTAGATCAGCACGGCGGACTTGATGGTGCTCAGCCGCAGGTGCGTGCGGCCGCCGCCGCCGAGCGAGGCGGAGGCCGGGCGGCGCGTGTGCTGCCCCGCAAGGGTGTCCGCACCGGAGGCGGCGCCGCCTCGGGCCGGGGAGTTGCTCATCTGTGACATGGCGGATTGGAGAGAGCTGGCAGAGGCGGAATGGGCGTGCCTCGCCGGCAACAGATTGCTGCTGTTGGAGAGGCTTTGACCGCCCGATGATGGTCTCCGGGGAGAATAGTTGTTGTTGTTGCTGTTGTTATCGTGTGATAGTCCTGGTGTGAGCGCCAGGTTGGAGGTAGAGCTCGCCGCCGATGTGAAGTTGGAGACGCTCTGGAAACTCGGCGTGCTCATATTCAGGTGCTGGCTCGAAGCCCCCAGACCAGTATCTTGTCGACGGGAGGGGTGGAAGTCGCTGTGGTTCCTGCCGGCGCCGATACTCCTGGTCTTAGCGAGGCCATCGACATTGCCGTCCTCGGCTCCTTGCCCGACCCACCAGTCCCAGAGCAGCCAGCCGATAAAGGTGGCGAAGCTTCCCCAGCCGACGACGGAGACGGGGCTCACGCGCTCCTGGAAGATGCCGACGAAGCAGACCACAAAGATGATGACGGAGCAGACGTGCTGCACGATGACGGTGGAGTCGGCGACCAGGGGCCAGAAGTCGTAGGGCTGTAATCGAGGATTTCGCTGGAGGTTTTCGAGGAAAGTGGCTTGGTCCGTGTAGTTATCGGGATCTACGAGAGAAGATTCGAGTTAGAATGGGAAAGGCTGCCGTGATCGACAGATGGCACTGATGGCATGCAGGGGACTCACACGACTGCTTCACCCAGAGCAGCTTCTGGAAACGTTTGCGCCGCCTGCTCCGGCTCCGACTCCCGGTTTTGCGACGGAGCCTACCCGGTCGCAGCTCGTTCCCCGACGCATTGCCGGCGGTGTCAAAGGCGGAGGGCCGGCGCGGGGGCGAGGCGGCGTTGAAGGCGTCCTCTGGAGCCAGGTGTGATGGGTCGGCACGGTGGTGGAACTGGAGGCTCGCGGGCACAGTCGAGGAGCGGACGAGGGGAGGCAGCGAGCTCTCGATGTCGGAGGAGACTGCTGACTGCTGTAGAGCCGATGGTGGGGCCATTGATCAGAGAGGCTCTTCCTTCTCCCATGCGCGAGGCTGTGTCGCGGAGTGTCGTGTATTCGCGCAGACCGTTGCGCCCGCCGGATTGGACATGTACTACTATGTGGTTCGGGGTTCGGGGATTTTGGCTTGGCTCTACAGACAGGCTCGATTTAGAGAGTGTCGGGTTAAAATGAGTGGGGCAATCCTAAAGCCCCGAATAAGAAAACTGGGCGCGCTAAATTAGCACGTCGCGTCGTCTTCAGCTCTAAGAGACTACTAACTAATGACGTCTCGTATGCCTTTGAATAATGAGCAGTGTCACCGGAGCGCCAAAACTGAGACAGCAAGTGAGATACGGGATGAGATACGCGACTCCGAGTATACAGGCTCAAGCGATGACAAAACTGCAGGTTGTTGCTCCTTGTTTTAACTGTTACTGACTCTCGAGCTAGCACTCGTTACCCGGGAATCCAATGCCTATGACGTCCAGTCCCGTGTCTGATGACAACGCCGAGAACGACTCCGACCACAGCTCCTACGATAGTTCTGCCATCTCTGTTGATGGTGATTCAGACGGCGATTCAGAAGATTCCGATTTTGCGCCGGATGAGCTGGGCATCTACACTGGCCCTGAGACAGATGCCGTCTTGGCCCAAAGTCACGCGCACTGGCACAATGCCCTGCGAGCCGCCCAGTCAGCACGTCCTGGTCAGTTCCCTGACAATGCGTTCGATCTCAAGGGGCTGCTCCTCTGCGTACCAGCCTTGCCAGACTCTATCCGAGCGACGTAACAAAGCTTACGGGTCATTCTACTTGGGTGAACCTGGACCATTTGTGACCCCTGCGAGAAAAGATGGAGAATCCCCGCCATGTGTATCTTCGGAGCAGCAGTCCTCTAAGAGTCACCATATCATCCGTGCCTAGCTTCCAGGTATGGAACTGCTCGCAGAATAATGGCATTGCTCTGCTTGTTCTTGGTTGGGCGTATATCTTGAACGCTAGTCTCTGTGAAAGACAGAACCTCGCCCTATAGATTAGCACACATAGCCTGGGACATAGCCTGGACAAGACCACTGCTTCCCAGCGAATCCATCCGACGCCTCTTAGCCTTAGTTTCGCGACACCGGAAGAACTTGCGTGGTGGAAGGCCATCACTGCCTGGAAGACTACATTCTCAACCAAGGATGGCCAATTCTTACCTTGGTCGGTTGTAATTGGAACCTTGGCGCCCTTGGCATTGTTGGCAAGTGTGAGAGGTTAACCTCTGCCAAGCTCCCGACAGCCAGCCAGGCTGCAACCTACCTGGCAAGGTTTTGCGCAGCTTATAATCTGGGCGATCAGTGTTCAGCCGCACTAGCTGCAGCTCTTTGCTTCTCAATACACACCTCCCAGGGCGGACAGGGGAGATTTGTCGCACTTCCACGACCACAATTTTCGCCTGGTTATGTCGCCTCAGTAACCACTTTGAGCTGTGATACTCTGCCGGATTTCGAGCTTATAAGTTACTATCTGATGCTGGGACTGGACGAAAATGTGTTGACCGCCATTCTGGAAAGCGTGCTGTGGGAGCCCGATGTCCCAAGTAACCACACTGGACAGTGGCTCTGGCCGCTTCGAACCATACTCGGCCCCGTTATGGAGGCAAAGGACCACGAGCTTCTCGCGAAACTTTTCTCACCCACCGAGGCGGCTCCCCTGTGGCTCGGCACCATGATTGGCGGCGGATACCCTATCTTGCTTCGTACCATCGACTACTCGAATTGTTTTGCAGGAAAGACTCTTGATCCTGCTGCCTGGACTGGTATTGCACGGTCCTTTCTGGCTCTACACTCGCCAGGGCTGTATATGCAGAATGGGGCAATCTCCAGGTCAGATGTGTGGCGTCTGCGTCGCGACTGCCAGCATGTATACGACAAGTATGAGGAAGACTATACACGTGAACCCATGTGCGGTTGGCGTCCTTTCGGAACCATGCCTCTTGAAGACGTTGAAATAGATCTTCACGATCACCTGCTCTGTTCCCACGAGTGGGTCTACAAGCACTGGACCTGGCTTCACAACTTTGCGATAGACACCGGACGCTCCCCAGCAGGGGGACCGCGTTTGATGGTCGAACGACCTGGGCAGACTGACAAGACTGAAGATCCAGCCCTATGGCATACTAATCAGTATCGAAGTCGGGGAGATGCCAAGGCCATCCGAAGCATCTCCCGACACCATACCGAATGGGTGTTCAAGTGGTGCGGCAACCAGGTCGAAAAAGGTTTCACTGGTCATGTTATCCCGCCTTGCCACTATTCTCGGGTACCACCACGCAGCACAGACAGCCGCATCGGGCGGGTAGACATGGCAAGGATATGCGACTATAGACCTGGGCGCTGTCTCGGAAATCGAGTTGGATGCAGAAGACGTAGATTAAACCAATTGTCGTGCCGTTCGGTTGTAAGGAAGGGGGATGCTGATGAGGTCCCACCATGGGCTTCTCTGGAGAGCCGCCTCCTGCTCTTGCTCAATCAGACTCGCAATCCGCCCCTTGAGACCGATTGGTCAGATTAGCCAGCGGAAATGCAGCTCGACAAGCTCTGTCAACGTAACATAACGGATAAGTCCGTCTAAGTCCTTATCCTAATGTGAGACAGCAAGATGTAAATTACCTCACCATCTTCGGACAAATAGAGAGACAATGGGGGGGAAAGGAAAAAGAAGAATAAAAATTGTAAGCGTCTCTTTGAGTAAGGTACCTAGCATGTCATCCTTCTGTGAGGAAGTTACACCAGTGAATAACCACAGGTGGAAGGATGCTACTTACACTTCCCTTGCAGCCCGCCTCTTTAATTTTGATTGGTTGAAAAATTGGAAGAAAGTTTGGATCCAATCAATTACTGTATACTGCATAGTAGTATATTTTCATTGCGATAGTGCGGGGCGCACCTTGCCAAAAGCTTATTAGGTATTGTGCCGCAGCAAATTACCCTTTCCGCGATACGAATCGCCAAATTGATAGAACACAGGTTTTAAGCCGATCTCAAGAACATTCCAAATGCGCGATGGCAGATCAACCCCAGGCTTGGCATGCGCGGAACCACGCCCTGGTCACGCCCTGCCTGTGCAATCACAATTGCCATCCGGCATGGTTAAGTACCTCCCCACCCCTCATTTCCTGAGGCGCAAAGGCGGCAGGCATGTAACATACCTGTCTCACGGGCTTGGGATTGAAGCGTAGAATGTTGGATCCGGGATATTATTCGTCTCCTCCCCTGGATCTGATCTACCCACCACGCTGCGCCATTTTGCAGGTTCAATTAATCATTGGACTCCTTCGCCAAGGACATCCGCCACCACGCAGGATCGCCCGCCGAAGCTTCTTCATTGTTTCCAGGTACAACTACCGACCTATCTCTGTAGTGGGTAGCGGAGGGGTAGGTAAGCACGGTAAGGTAGCTTACAGGGGGTCGCCGCACGCGGTGTGCGATGAACCAGGACTTTCCCAAGATAAAACTCCCGAGGCAAAAAAGGACGGCGACAATGCCTGCGTTGCGCAGGCAGTCGGTCTAGATCACCATAACCTCGGAGCTATTTACACATCACGCAGCAAGCAGGCTAGGCGCTTTCAAGTCTAACGCCCATGGTGCGAATGGTGCGATGGGGTACACAAATTAACTCACCCAAAAACCCCACGTGGGGACGAGAACAGAGGGCATCTTCAATTTGTCAAAGCCAGGCAGTTGGGACCAGTGTGAGTGTCTTGTTGATCGTCGAAAGCTCCACGAATGAACACCTTCGAATCACCCACGGAACAGGGTCCTCGAAACTAACTGCTTCCTTCTATGTTTGGTTGCTTGGCAAGTTAGGCACGCGTCATCCACACAGCATTTTCCGCGCGTTCCTGTGGCTTGGAATGGGGGTGGTGGACAGCAGTACCCCCCTGTATAGAATGTGGTTTTATCGTATTGTTAGAAGGGGGCTGGGGGTGTTCACGGCTATTAAACCTTTGCAAGAGCGCCGGACATACCATATCTTGAGCGCGGCGGGGACCAATAAGGTTTTGGTCTTTCTTTGAACCCCGACAGTTGTAGGTGTTTCAGGGGTGGTCAGGGAAGTTTCCGTCGTTTACCAAGTACCTAGAGACAACCCGCGCGCAGGCGACGATGAATGTTTGGGAAGACGCGGGCGAAGGGCGCTATGACGCCAGGGCGATACGATGACAGACCCTGCAAGCCTTGCCACATCCCAGAGTTGCACTAGCATAGTAGAATGGAGCTATGGGCCCAGACTCCCGTCGCCAGCACTTGGGGCGTTTTGAGGAAGGATGGGCAGAAGAGGGGGATAGACAGGGGGCACAGACGTCAGAGTGATTCCCCAATGGAACATATATACGACGGACCCAGGAAGGGAATTCACGATGATTTGGGGCGCCATGTCTTCCATCCCGTCGTCCGATTTCCCCCATCCCGTATTCCGTCGTTGAATTTGCCCATTAAAGACTTCCATTGTTCGCCCACCCTCGGCCGCCATCGATTACCAGCGGAGGCACCTACCCTATTTGGCCTGCAGAGCAAAATACGCCTCTGCATTGGTTCCGTTACTTTCCCGGAACTGCTTAGGGCAGAAAGTTCCAGGCCTCTTCCGGCCCTACGACCTCGCGCCGAGTTGCCCTGAAGCATACCTACTTCTGGTTGGACCCCCAAGTCACGCCGATCACAGGGGGAGAGCCGCCCTACGAGTACACTACAGAGGTGTATATTGCATATAACCCTCGTAGCTTCGCCCTCGCGAACCCTTGCCATCCTCGGTTTTAGCCTGCATTCCTCTCTGTCGCATATTGCCAGACAGGCGGTCCAGACCACCTAAGACAGCGGCATATAAACGGACGCCTATATAATAGGTTCCCACCACATATACTCCGGGCCCCAGGTCTCGTGCTCGACATTGCTCCTCCCGCCAAGCCTTAAAGACGAGCATCGCCAGCCAGTTATTTGATTTTGGCGAAACTGCTTGTCTTTCTGTGCCTAAACACCGCCAAAGGAAAAGAGTCCACAGCGCGAGGCGTCACATTACCCATCAGCAACACAACCACATCCACCCCCCCTCCGCCGTCAAAATGAGGTCAACCACTGCCATACTCTGTTTCTACCTGGCATCCTGGGCATCATGCACGCCCATTCCTCTCGTCCTCGTCGACAACCTCGAAGCAGTCACCCCCGCTGCGCACCCACCAGCCCCTATCGCATTAACAAGGCCAGAGCAAGCCATCCCCAAAGTCCTCATCGTGGACCCTCTCGACGCCCCCTCCGAGGAGCCAATCGACAACCACCCGATCACCCCCTCCAGGACGGCCTCGCCGACGGCGGTCCTGGCGTCGCCGCAGCCCGTGGTGACGTCGTACCTTCTCTCGCTCGCCCGGCTGGGCTTTGGCAGGCGGTTCCAGGCGTTCTACGCCGCGCAGTTCCAGTCGGACGAGGACGAGTACGCGTCGTCGTCGTCGTCGTCGTCGATGGACGTGGCCGATTCGGGGGCGCCCTGGGCGAGCATGGCCAGCTACTACCCCACCGTCACAAGGGAACGGGGCGACGTGCTCGCCATCAGCCTCGTCGCCATCTTCCTGTTCTTTGTTGTCGTCGTGGAGGCGTGGTCTGCCGTCTCGGACAGGTGAGATGGCCCCTTGCCCTGCCCTACGCCCCTTTCCCTACCTACTCACCTTACCAAAATTGCTGTTGAGTTGCTGACATGTCATCCACCGTACAGAGCAAGGGGCGCTTTCTCGAGGCGTGGTCCAATCCACCTAAAGGAGGGGTTCAGCAGCCGGGCGCTGTCGATCCGGGCGGACGAGAGCGATGCGAGGCCATTCCCAACGAGTGAAAAGTCGGGGCCGATAGATGTCTAGCCCCCGGGGAGGCGCACAGCATGGCGCGACGCCATGCTCGAGTTGCATTTCGATTGGGTGTTCAACGGAGTTCGATGGTACGGTCTGGAGTGTGTGCTACGGTGTTGCGTCGCATCGCGGGTGTTCGGTTCGAATTGCGCGGCGTTCTTTGGAGCTTCTTGGCTTGAGGATTGGTTACATACAACCAAAGAGAGGGGGATGAATGTTACCACGAGCGAGCATCTGTAAGAGGGCGCTGACAGCGAGCCCCGTGTGCTTTTTTTGGTTAGCTTGAAGGCTTGGCAACTTGGCAAATGCAAGCCATCGCCAAAGTCGGTCGATATGGGCCTGGGCTTGACGGGGCCGGATTAATACAATTGTCTCTGTGGACTTTGAGGATGAGCTCTCATTCTACACTAGAATCCAATCCCTCGAAGTGCTTCCTCTCGTGATCTTGCTAGGAGCCTAGCGTCATCGGGCATGTCCGGGAGTACCTGACCAAAAGTCTTGGCATCTTAGTTCCGTGCAAATAAACCTGCTATTGGCCAGCCGCTGTTGACTGCTTGACCTGTGACCTCCTACGCCTCCTATCTCGGTATGCCCGTCAACAGAGCCTCCCTCCCCGCCGGGCCCGCCCGGAATACGGAGTTTTATACACTACTAGCGACCTACCTAGAGCATCTCCAAGCCCTCACAGCCTCCAGCGGAGGACCGCGAGACGTCATAGCCCCAGTTTATTATCCCTTCAAAGTAGGAAATCCAGGTCTTTTTCGGAGTTTCGGCCATTCGAGATGGGGTATTTGTCGAGTGAGCCTGTTGGCCAAGCCATGAGCCACCTAGCTGCTGCTTTGGTGCCGCAGTGGCGCCCATCGATCGCTGCATTTCAGTGATCGTCTCTGAACACTAGGTATGGTGTGGATTAGATAGGGTAGGTCATGCTCATTACATAACGGGCATCAATCGATCAGTGGCAGGGGGTGAGGACATTAGGATGCCTATCCAACACCCTCATTGGTCTGGAGACCTGAATGAGGCAGCAAAAAGCTGCAGGAGCTTTTCCCACCCAGGAACCAGAGAGGGGTCAGTTTCATGCATTTGAGTCCAGGATTGAGCTCATGCGCGCAGCCTCGTCAGCCCAACCACCCTAGTACAACTTCATACATCAATAGACCATTCCCTTTCATCATTTTCTTCTTTTTTTCTTCGCTTCTTCTTCCTCCCTCCTCCTGCCTCAAGCCGTGGGTTCCCCCTTCTCATTGTTACCTCCTCAAGCCGACTTGTAAACCCGGCTCCTAGCGAAACCATTCCCCCAGCCCCATCCTTCTTCTCAGCGGGGAACCTTCCATTTCATTCAATTCAGGGCTGCCTACCCCGCAGTGCCCGCCTTGTGCAGACGAGCAATCGCAACAACCAAACAAACAAATAAACAAACAAAACGAGAGAAAAAAAGAAACCCGAAAACATGTCCCTCCAGGTAGACGACAGCGGCCGCCGCACGCGCTCGCGCTCCCCGTCGGGCCGCCAGCGCGACCACAGCCGCGGGCCGAGCGGGCCCTCCCCCGCCGTCGTCGACGCCGTGCCCTACCCGTCCTCCTCGGGCGGCGGCGGCGACCCCCGCGACCGCGACCGCGATGCCGCGGCGTACGAGTACGAACGCCTCGCCTCGTGGCGGCCGGCCTCGCCAACCGAGGAGGCGCCGCCGTATTACCGCGGGTCGCGCGAGAGGGTCGATGAGGATCCTGCTGCTGCTGCTGCTGCTAGGTATGGCGAGGGGTGGCGGGAGCGGGAGAGAGACCGGGACCGGGACTCGTATCGTTATGAGAAGGAGAGGGAGTCTGATCGGGATAGAGATAGGGACAGGGACAGGGACAGGGATAGGGTGAGGGACAAGGATAGGGAGCGAGATAGAGATAGAGGCGGGGACAGAGACAGGGATAGAGACAGGGACAGGGACAAGGAAAGGGACCTTGCGAGGGACAGCTTCCAGTACTTGCCGCAGAAGTACGCCCAGAAGTTGGCTGACCCCGAGTCCCCCAAGTACTCGCGCGAGTCGCTCCGTGATCGGGAGCGGGACAGAGAATGGGATGGCGAGAGAGACAAGCCCAAAGAGCGAGAGCGAGACCGGGACCGTGAAAGGGTCTCGGAGAGAGAACGAGAGCGTGAAAGGGTCTCGGAGCGAGAACGGGAGCGGGACCGCGATCGAGGCAAGGACCGTCGAGGCCGGGACAAGTACGACGAGGACTTGGCCTACGGCAGCGTTCCCGAGCCGGGGCATCCGCGGGCTGAGCGGGTCGAGAGGCCGGAGCGGGTTGAGAGGGTGGAGCGGGCAGAGTCCCCTCCCTCCTCCAAATACAAGTACGCCGATGTGAAGCAGTGGGAATACGGCAAGCCCGACGCGAGCGCCGCCGCCTACGGTCGCGGCGAGGATCCGAGATACAGCACCTCGAGCCTCGAGCCGAGGAAGGCACCCGCCGCTCGCGCCCCGAGCCCCGGACCCCAATACGGCTATAATCCCAGGGATTCCAAGGGGTACCCGCCCCCCGGCGCAGACTCGCACCGCTTGTCCGCGAGCGTGGTGACCGCCGAGCCGGGCGCGGGCCCTCGCAAATCGGCCATGAAGAGGGACGCGTCACCGCAGCCGCCGACGGCGCGCATGTCGGGCCTGTCGGTCGACACGTCGCTCCGCCCGGGCTCCCTGTCCGTCGGGGGCCCGCAGCACTCGGGCCCCATGTCCGTCGCGGCGGCGCCCGGGTCCCCGCTGCTGGAGTCGTACCACGGCACGTACCAGTCCATGTCGCCGATGCCGTCGCCCATGTTCTTGCCGTCGCACCCCGGCGGCGGGGCGGACCCGCTGATCCACGAGGCGCTCTCGCCGCTCGGGTCGGACGACGACGACGAGCGGTCGGGCGACAAGCTGCGGACGCGGCGGGCGCGGTTCCACGACCCCGTCGACGACGCGGCACGGCTGGCCAAGGCGCTCAAGGGCGAGCGGCGGGCGCCCGAGACGGAGCCGCTGATCGAGATCCTGCCGGGGCTGACGCACGAGCAGGTCATGGAGCTGCGGGCCGAGTACAAGCGGCTCGTCAAGACGGGGTCGCAGCACAAGGGCGTCAACGTGGCCAAGCACATCCGGGCGCGGCTCAAGGACGAGGACCCGAGCCTGATGAAGGCGTGCTACGCCGTGGCCCTGGGCCGGTGGGAGAGCGAGGCGTACTGGGCCAACTTCTGGTACCAGGGCGACAAGACGCGGCGGGAGCTGCTGATCGAGGCGCTGATGGGGCGGACCAACGACGAGGTGCGCGCCATCAAGGAGGGGTTCAGCGACAAGAAGTACGCCAACAGCCTGACCAAGTGCATGAAGACGGAGCTCAAGGAGGACAAGTTCAAGAAGGCCGTGCTCATGGTCCTGGACGAGCAGCGGATGGAGGAGTACGACGCCTACGGCCGTCCCCTGAGGGTTGACGTCGACCTCATCAAGGACGACGTCAAGCGTCTGCATCACGCCGTGCGCAGCGAAAAGGGCGGCGAGTCCCTGATGATCTCGACGGTCGTGCAGAGGAGCGATTCCCACCTGAAGGAGGTGATGAGGGCCTACACCGACGCGTACGGCTCCAACTTTGCCCGGGACGCCCTCAAGAAGAGCGGGAACCTAGTGGTGAGTTTCTCTCCTTTCCTTCTTCTCCTTTCAACCTGCCTCATCACTGACACGCAATCTTCTTACTTCACAGGGCGAGCTCCTGGCGCACATCCTCAACGGCGTCATCAACAAGCCGGTGCGGGACGCGCTGCTGCTGCACCACGCGCTGTCGGCGTCGCGCAAGGACGAGCTGCGGCGCGAGCTGCTCATCTCGCGCCTCGTGCGCTACCACTGGGACCGCCACCACATGGCGGCCGTCAAGGTGGCCTTCCGCGAACGCTACGGCCGCGACCTCCAGGCCTCCGTCAGGGACGCCACCAGCGGCGAGTGGGGCCAGTTCTGCCAGGCGCTGTGCATCTCGCGCATGCCGGATGATGTGAAGAGGGTTGAGAGGGTTGAGGTTATACGGTGAGGTGAAAAATTAATCATGTGGATTTGAACGTATACGGTTGAGGTGAAAAGTAATCATGAGGATTTGAACGTCTGATCAGATTGTCGCTATTTTATGGAAGCCTTGGGCAGATTCAGGAGGGCAGGTAGGCAGTATGTTTATGCTGGGTAATACTCTTGGATGGTACCTTAGCTAGGACGGAATTTTGAAGTATTTCCTTTTCTTGGATCATCAAATTGGCTTCACACCGGTGTCACTTTCCCCACTCTGTAAACGGCACAGAGCCCCGAATACTACTGGGATTACCAGTGGGAGAGATGCTGAATAATGAATGGACCTCCTCCCCTCTTCGAGCCGGACAACAGTGCTAGACAGCATGAATCCTGCTTGACTCTGAGAAAGAGGCCGGGCTGGAACGATGCATGCTCGATCTGTGGCATACTTGCCAAACCCGGTGCGAGCGACTGCTTGGACGTCTCAAGCAGAGTTAATACATCCTGGCCCGGCTTCGGCCTCCATACTTCCAAGAGAGGTCCACAATGAGCTCAGATATGAGAGGACCAACAGTCTCCAGGCTTTATAGATGTTCAATCTCGACACACGGACGGGCACCGAGGGACTAGGAGCAGGCAGTTACTGCTGACTTGTCTCTCTAATGCCTCGCCCTTGCATATATCTTGCATTTTATCGATCAAGGTCCCTTGAAATACACGAGTAGAAGGGAGCTGTCACTTGACAGCAACCTAAGAGGCGCGAGATGAACAGCGCCTAGCGGTCTATGACTTACTTATCTTTACAACTACCAAAGACGACAAGATGTGAGATATGACACACCAAGGAACCGAGAGCACTTCTGAAACTCAAGCCAGAAAGTAAAGAAATAGAAGAGGGCAAAAAGGGGAAGCCAACCAAAAAAAAACCGGGGGGGGGGGGGAGGAAATAGGGGGAAGAATAGGGGGAAGAAAATAGGGCCAGAGAGACCACCAACCTACCTTTCTCTCCACGTCAGCACATCTCACGCAACCTCAAAGAAAGTCCGCAGTCCCAGACCTCACCAAGCACAAGCACCTCATCCGGCCTACCTCCCGGCAGAGGCACACAGGCGTGGCCGCCTCGCCGCGGTCCCGCGCCGCAACCCCGGCCCGCACGTGGCGCGGCGGCGGCGAACCGGGCTGCCCACCATGGGAGACAGGGGCACGCGCCGCCGGGGGCGGGGGCGCGAGGCCCGGGGTGGCGTCGGCGAAGGGGCCGGCGCCGGTGCGCTTGGCCCGGGCCCGGGGGGCTGGCCTGGGGATGCGGGAGCGGGTGCTGCCGGTGCCGGTGCTTGTGTTCTTGCCGTCATTGTCCTTGTTACTTTTGCCATTGTTGCTGTTGTCGCCCTTTCCGTGGTTCCTCCTGCGCTGCCATAGCGCGCCGGAGGGCGCCGCCTGGATGGTCTCCCGGCCGGCTCCGTCTGTCGCTCCGCTGCTGGCCGACGAGCGGGCGCTCTTGGTGGGCGACCCGCCAACCCAGGCCCAGGGGTTATAGGACTGGCGCCTGTTCCGAGCCGCGGACCGGTCGCCGCCGCCGCACAGGGCCCTGTACGCGCCCTCGTTGATCTGAGGGGGCTCCCGGGCCTCGCCGCCGCTGGCGGAGGACGTGCGCATGCACTTGGGCGAGCAGTCGGAGAGGGGGCTCGCAGGCTTCTTGGGGGCGAAAGTACTTGCTCCTGCCTCGCGGGCGCGGTCTCGTTCCCAGGGGTCGATGAACTCGACTTTCTCGTCCAAGGGGCTGTCGACTTTCTCGTCCGAGGAGCAATCGACTTCCTCGACCAAGGGGCTATTGACTTCCTCGACCAAGGGGCTGTGGAGGTCGATTCTCTCGTCCCAGGGGTCCTCCCGATCGATCCTTGCCTCGAACTCGATCATTTTTTTCTCCAGCTCGATCTTCCCCTTCTCGCGATCCAGGCGGTTTCTGCCAGGCTGCGAGGATGAATCGGGGGGGTAGCGACGGCCGACCCATTGGGACCACTCGACGGTGGCTTCGAGTAGGCCCTCCAGATACGACGTAGGGGTCTCGTCGTCGCTGCCCTTGGAAGGGGGGAACCCGCAATAGATCATCGTGCGGAGGAGGCTGGTGATCTCGCATCTAGTCTGTCTCGGGTCAGCGACGTAGCGGAAATCTATGGAGAAGACGACGTCGGCAGGGACCAGGGAGGGGTCGACTGCGCGCTTGTAACCCATCTTGTTCTTGTGCGCCCAGTAGTTCAGGATGGCGCTCTTGTCCTTGACGTTCCAGGGGAGGTAGTATCGCACGCACATGGCGCACCATCCGTATTCGACCTGGAGTGTGACTTTGAGTCGGCACCGGGGTTCGGTGAACTGGGTTTCCAGCCACCTACGGAGCGCGCCGCGCTTGGCTTGTCTGGCTTGCTTTGCTTTTCTCACGATGTCGCACTTCTCTTCCCTGAGCTCCTCAACGTGGCAGCACACGGTGAAGACCCGCCGCGGACACCGACACATGGCGGCTGGTCGGGTCGAGGACGATCGTTACGCTGCGACTATCGTTGCTATGTGTAGAGGGAAGAGGTGATGGTGCACTGTGGCAGGCTATGACGGAAGTGATATGAGGATTGCGGAGCCTTATATATTGGTGGTTCTGGATGGAGGTTTGAGTCGGCTGGACAAAGACAACAACTCGACTTGCTTTACAAAGATATTGTCTTGATCCCTTTCACCCGCCATTGTCCTACTGCTTGAGCAGCAAATGGCTCGATATCTTGTAATGGGAAACAGCTATGATGAACAAAGGACTGAACTTCCTGTTCAAGATTCTGCTGGGTGCTGTCCTGACTCTCGGTTATTGTATGATCAACGGCATCCACGAGCTGGGAAGCGAACGAGTTGCCCATTCATGCCCTCATGGGTTCTACTTGCACCACAAGGCGAGCTCCTTGACCGCCAGGCCAGGCTTGAAACGATACAGGAATAACGTACTCCCAGGGCCCACCACATTCTGACGGGAGGCTGAAGCTCTAGAGAGGTATTCCCTGATGACTACACGTTTCGCGCCTACTGCAAGGTCTCTAATTTTGTAGACGTCAGTAACTACCTGGGCCTCTGAGGTAAGGGCAAGATCCGGCGGCGATCAAAAGGTGATCGAAAAGGGAGATAAGGATCCTCGACTGCCAATTGGAACGTCAACATCGGCAGAATGCTGATATGTTTATTATTATGAGTTACCCTTTCCCGTTACAACGACGTCATCTGGCCAGACTTCACCTAGTCCATCGTGGGTACTTTACATTCCGCCATACATCTTCTTGTGGTCATTGCGGCGACGAGGGGTTAAGCCATACGGAAGGATCGAAGCCGAAGCTTCTCTACCAGCTTATTGACATGTGAAGGAAAACCAAAAGGGAGACAAAAAAGGAGCTTGTCAAAACTCCAGTCAGGCTTCGGTCCGGGCAAAGCCGGACCGGCGCGGAACGGCGAAGACGAGCGAGACCCGACCCGAGTGCATAATTAATAGACGGGAATTATGAAAGGCCGCCTCCCTGCTTTAAGGGTCCGGGAACGACCCAACCAGGAAACTCGGAGGCGAGAAATAATGCGAAGGACCGAATGAAGCATTTGCAAAATAAGAAATCAAATAACGGTGGAGAAAAGTGTGAGTCGTTCCAGGCTCTAGACTTCCCACTAATGCCGGCAATGAAGACCATTTCCTGTTTCATCCCACGCTTCGACCCTTTTGTCGGGCCACTCGAGCTCACAATGATATCAGATGAAAAGGGGGGCTGGAGACTAGAAGTTGGAGGGCCATATCTTACTGCGTACCTCTCTGAGCCACGTAGCTGGCTGAGCTGTTGCCATCAGCACTAGCTGAGAGAGATTCCAGTGTAGGTATGCTAGTGTACCAAGAAAGAAGGGGGCAAATAGGTGGATGAGTTGACAATGACGAAATGAGGTCAGCCCAGCTGGAGTGCGGCATCTCGATGCACGTGGTGGGAATGCAGGCATCCCCGCATTGATTTCAGCCCAAAATCTCACTAATTATTCTAGAACCTCATGGGTTAAGCTTGGAGATAAGATATCCTGAACCAAACAAAACTTGCCAGCCCATAGAACCCCTGAACTTGCCTTCCTTCTCCAGCAACCCAGCCACCGCGCCGGAGAGTGTCCCGAGCCAGAGTCCCTCCAGGTTCCCCAAAGTCCCCTTGGCCATTTTCCAAGACACGACCCAAGAAACGAAGCCCCCACCTCCCTTATGAAACCCCTCCTCAGCTTGCTCGGCGCCGCGACGCACCAAAACGAATGCGAGGCTGCGTTTATCGTTCTTAGCGTCCCCGTTTTCAATCTCTCCCGCAGGCAGCTACCTACGTTGGTACGCGGGGAATGCGAAGAGTGCGACAAATACGACTCGGGGTGCGGATAATTATCCATGCCGCTCGCCAAGGACGCCCAGCTTCAATGGAAGGGGCGAAAGGTAGGCCTCTTGGTCCGTTTCTTCTTGAGTCGCAGTCCAGTCAGGTCAGGCGCAAGCGGAGAACCACATGTCTCTCGCTGCTATTCTTGTGGGCCACACACCCCGATGAGGAAACCACAGCTATGATAGCGGTAGTCCAGCACACCTCGCGATCCTTGGCATCTAGGCTTTTGGTCCTGTCCTTGTGATTGTCTTCCTACAGCTATGTATGCGTACCGAGGTACCCACCACACCAAATGGGACTTGGTCAATTGGGTTTGGGGCTACCGGGACGCTAGCATTGGACTGGTCGATCCGCTTTCCCCCTTTCGGTCACATTCGATAGATATCATTCCCGATTATATCCTAGGCGATTCCGTTTGACTACCTGTAGAGTACTGTTTGTAGCTCACAAACTCACAGGGCTGGAAAGCGATCGTGACGTGTCAGCAAGTCTGGCACCAGCGACCGAAGTGCGTCTAGGGCTTGTTCCTCGTAGATAGATAGTGTGGCCGTAATGAGCTTTTTGAGTTATTGCACAGGAATGAAGCTATACCCAACCACAAGTGTACACTACTGGCTGGGCTGGACCCCAATATAGTTATGCCCTCGGATGACGGATAGTTATGCTCTCCACGCTTGCCAAGCGCCCAAGTGGATAGCTCTGTGGGAAAGGTAAGGTACGATGACGGATGGCGGCTCAGAAATTAAACCCACTGGAAGGAATGATAGAAAAGTTTTTTTTCCAATTTTCCATTAGTTCTGTAATGCAAATAGAATGGAATGGAATGGATCTGTCATGTCTTGCAACTTTTATTTTTTATGATATTTTTTGATTTTTTAAATTTCCACCAAAAAGGGGCGGCCGCGTGAGTAGCTGGGAGCAGATTACTATGTACACCAAAACAATGAATGGCTTGGCAGCTTTCGAATCTGGAAAAAAACCACCGTGTTGGGGGCCAGGGGATGGTGAGGATGCAAAGATATCGCGCAGAGCGACACCACATGACACAGCAGCCATCTCCCCCATGCATTAATCAATTTGAATGATGAAGATAAAATCCCGGGACCCAAAGCGCCCAATTGAACCCCTGACCCCGGAATTCGACGCAGGCGGGAAAGGCGTCAAATCCCGTTGGAGGGGTGTTATGATAGTTATGATGCATCGATCTCTTGTTTTTTTTTGGGGTCCAATGGCTGGTTGACCGGGGTGGGCTGATGGGCGCACGCGGTGGGCGGGGGATTCATAGACTCCGAAGTCCTGTGCGCCTTTTTGACGCCGATGCCCGAGCCCGCTCGCTCTTTTATTATTACCCTGGCTGCTGGGCTGTGACGAGTCGTACTCGTGCGGCGTGGGTCAGCCGAACCCGAGAACGAGGGCCCCTCCTCTCTTGGCTTGCCGCGGCTTCTCAGTTGCGTAATGGTAATTTGCGATTTGCGCATGCCTCCATGGTACGATTTATTTATCTTGTGTGCACGAGATGGAGCTTTCCGCTGTTGGACATTCAGGTTCCAAGCGGCCCAGCCCTGCCTGCGTCCGGGCCGTATGGTCTGAGATTGGAGAAACTCCAAATCCACACCGACAGTAGGGATCCAAGTCGAATCATATACCAAATGCGGATGGTCGCTGCGGGGTTGGCGATGCGCAGGAGGGCCCCTGTACGGAATACGCAGCGTAGAACTCCCTCGTTTACATCGTTCCCCCGGCCGACAGGCCACGTCCCTTCTTATTACAAGTTTACGACAGCAACGTGGCTGAGGACACGAGTACGTACGTGTACCGAACGGACATAGCGGCGCAGCAATCTGACCTCCCTACCCCTTCCCTTAATTGTCCGATTAAAAGGGGTATTCCAGGTTTGATACCTTTAGTAGCACCTGTCAGGTCGGTGCTCGCGGCTTCCGTGCATAAATTCGGCCGGTCATTAAGTCCGCCGCTGGCTCGGAGCTTCTGTGCAGGGATTGTATTGCCCCGGACCTGGCCGCCCTGTTAACTCCCTAATTCCGCTCCCTGACAAATGGGATGTTAGTGAGTGTCGATCGCAAGCCACCGACTCACAGTCGCAGTGAAGATCTTTTTAAGCTACCATTCAGGGCCGGAACTGAGGTTTGCTTTTGGTGTTGATAGTGATGGTGCATTGTTGTTGGGTATTACTTTACTGTTTGCGTAACTGACAGGAATAGCTGATGCTTGGTTTCCCCAAAGTTCCATACCTCTCTCTCTGTCTCTCTACCCTACTGCTAACGCTCCCTGCGAACGAGTGGTATGTCCCCTTAGTGAATTGCGCCCCTGCAAATGCGAATTCCACGGTGTCGGTATCGTACAATTCCGTCCATCGTATTAACACCCATTGCCAAACCCCCATGAAGGATCCAATCCAAGTTGCGCCAAACCCCGTATCGTAATCCCCTGTTTTGCTGCTGTTACGGACAGCCAAAAACTTGCATCTGCTAAGAGCTCGGTCCTGCCGGTCACCCCTTTATGTACACCACTCTATCATACTGAGGTGGCCGACGGCCTGGCTACAGACGCATTGCCTCTGGATCGTAGCCTGAATATATCATGGGATCTCCCATGCCCATCATGACTTCGGGGTTGGGACATGAAAGCATATGCGGCTTGATGGTGCCGAAATTTGACTCGAGCAGCCCCTGATTCAACATGTCCACGCCCATATACGGGCCGGCCGGGATGAATCGAGGGCCGAAATCCATTGACGTCGGTCTGCTCGTCCACGACGGCGTATATGCTGTGGGAACTGTGGGTGACTGGCCCGGGAAGCTCTCTGGAGGTACCGAATTGACGTCGAATTCGTTATATGAAAGGCTTTGCGGCGACATGGTAACCGTATTGCCAGTAAAGACGGACTTGCGGTAATCCTGCTCGAAATCCGAGTGCTCGAGTTCTGACGAGCTTGCGCGGTCTGTCCGGTTGCAAACCGACTCGCTCTCCTGCTTGATATGCAACTGGTCCCGGTCCCTCTGTTGCTCTTCCAGCTGTCGCGCCAATTCTGCGAGGCCGGCCTCGTCCTCTGGGAAGACTGAATGGACGGGGAGGTCCATATCGCTATTCGGTCTTATGCACCCGAGCTTGGACGCAATATTGTGAATGACGGGCTGGCCTCGTTCGTTCAACTCGGGTTCGCCCAGGTCCCACTGCTGCGAATTTCGCACCATGGCGTACAGCTTATGGACCGTAGCTATGAGGGCAAACTGGGTGTTCTCCAAAACCTCGGCATAACTGTTCCCCATCCGTGTAAGTCAGCATGTCCGAGCAGAACAGGACAAGAAGTGAGAACGAGAAAATGCATACCCTCTAGGCAATTGCTTGTATTCTGTCTTTTTACGCGTACCGGCGGTGCAGACGAGGCCGTCGTCTTTACACCTCTTGCATGGGAACTCTCCATCACACTGTCGTGTGTCAGCGGTTGTGCCCAGGAGCTGCCCCGGAGCAGGTCACAGGGGGCGGGGATGGAGGGGGCCCAATATACCTTTGTTTTCTTCATTCTACACCGCTCGCATGCCTTCCATACCCTCTTATGCCGTCCGTCTGTCGAAGAATGTTGTGACTGGCTGTCTTGCACTGGCGACTGGGGGTGGGCATGTGCGCCGGCTCGCTTGGGAGCTCGGTGCACGGTCTTAACGGATTTTGAGCTTCCATTACTTCTCCTGGAACCGCTAGTCTTGAGGTGCTCCTCATTGGGGGGCGTAGGTAAACCTTCCATGTTGTAATGTGTTTGGAGACGTTGGAGGAGGGAGGAGGTGAAAGAAAAGAAAGGTGTGACGAGTTTGGGGGAGTGGAGGATATGTAAGCCAGGTAGTTTGGTGGTGGTGGGGGGGCGTCTAAGTCCCGTTCCTTTGGATTGGTAACACGCCAGGTAGATGAAAAGATATCCAGACGAGAGACCCCTGGTAAGGATGGGAATAAGGCAGAATGAAGCGCCGAGTATTAATAATGATCAAAAAAAGGTCGGGGTCCAGTCGTAGGGTGCAGGAGGAAATAGTAGCTGGATTAGGTGATTATGTATGTGCTCGCAAAAGTCCCCATCCCGCTCCTTCGAAGGTGCCAATGCGCCGTATGTGGAACCACGGTCGGCCACTTATTTATCTCCGAGTGCGGACCAACTTCCGTCAAGTCGAAGGTCGTCTTGTCTGTGACCTAGTGTAGGGTAAAACAGTGGAGCTGACCCGAGGTCGAACAAGGTACTGCGCGATGTACCGCCGCGGGTGTGTGTTTTGCTGGTTCTTGCGGAGATGGTCTATCTTGACTGATGTCCTGATGACTCCTGATGGCCGCTGTGGAGGCGCGCCGAGTCGGTCCCGGCGCTGTTTTAGCCCTTTTGCAAACTCGAAGATCACTGGTGCGAGCCTGATCCTAGCAGTTCTTGCCCACTTGGCTAAGAAGTACAGGGCGCCCAGTTAGATGAGGATGCGCCCTTGGGCTGACGACAAGTGACGTGTGATGGTGGTGACGGCGACGGCTTTGTGCGAGTCTTGAGTCATTCCAGCAGTGCGGGACACTTGTCCAGACTCCTGCCATCTTATATGACAGGTTTCCCTGTTAGATTCACCGCTTCAATGACCTGATATGCCAAACCATCATGAATGGGCATTTGGTAGCGCGCTTGTGCCGTTTCCGTCCAAGACCCCAAGAAGCTTGGAGCTTAATGTTTAGTTGGGTACGGGTGGGTACCTTGAGATACATCGGCGATCACGGACGCCGAATGTCCATCTGACTAATAAGGTTTCCAAGCCTGCATAATGCAACCCGGAACATAACATAACTTGCCCACTACTATTACTAGGAGCAGTTAGTAGGCAATTCTTATGCATGGAAACGTCCAGTACCCGTGGAAAGAATTGAGCCGCTTAGCCTTCCCGCATAATGAGGTCTGCACTCTAATAGGATAAGCAGAACCTGCTTACACAGCACTCAAAACCCTTGCTAATGAGCATTCTGCACAAGCGGATGTAACGAGTGCCGGACGCTACGATCTATTACTTACAGGAAAAAGCACACATTGCACGGGGTGCAAACAGGTTCCGAAGCGCCATTGCTTGAAATGTCCGTACTTCGTCGGGGGAAAGAAAAATACATTCAATGACGTTTATCTACAAGACGGTAAAACAACGCCGTCACGACTCGCTGAAGGAAGTCGAGGTCGCTGACAAGGCTACAAGGCCCCCAAGGCCCGCAGATGACAGATAGCAAATGCATGTCTGATGGATGATGAATAAGCCCAAGCCTCGGATAAAGGAGGGGCAGAAATTTCTGTGGCAAGGACCTTGGGAGCCTTGTCCATGAATCATCATGACTCCTGACTCTGTGAGGCTCCAGCATCCTAACAAGGGCTCCACTGCCCTGACAAGCCCATCGCTCTTCATCCTCGGGCATAACCTTGAAACATAACGCCAAATAATGCTGGAATGATGTCTGATTCCCATTCTCATTCTGTAAAGCGGGCATCGAATGTACAAATGTAGGTTCCATATTGCTAATCAGATCAAATATATGGTCACACTCTCAGTCGCGCTAGGCTCTATTGCCATCCCCGCCATCCATCCACAACCATACCTACTCCTCCTCGCGCTCCAGGCTGATTCGACCGCCGTTGACGAGCATCCTGTGGTAGTCAGGAGGATTAATTAGTCATTTATCATTATGTAGGTGTGTTTGAGTCTCGAACTCCAAAGTCCTCCCGCTTCGAGAGGTTCCAGACCCAATGGCCCGATTATGGTTTTCTTCCCATCAGTCGGGTTTCAGACGATCGGTCCCCTTAACATAGTGAGATAGGCGCGACGGTATTTCCAGAGGGTATTTCCAGGGTGGGCGATGAGATCATCGTGACTTGTCAGCGGGGGGCCGACAAAGGCGGAGCAAGCTCCCGCATCGCGCGATTCAGTGGCAAATTCATGAGCTCCTGTAGGTAGCTTGTGACTGCATGGACGCTCGAAGCTTAATTCTTTTCAGTCGGACGGTTGACATAGGCATTAGCAGCAGGTCCGATGACAAGAGGTACAAATTTGGCATGAGTAAGTACATCTGCGTACATCCCCACACTGTGGGCTGCTTTTAACTGTTCTAGAAAGCCTCGAGGAAATCCCGGGTGGGCTGCATAACCCAGATTGCCCTTCGGGCAGCTTGTGGGGCCTCGCGCCCGGCATCGAGGTCTGGTCTGCAATTAAGCGAGGCCGACGCCGGGTCCCTCGCGCTTCGGATTTCGGCCAAGCTACCCTCTTTGCCGGTTTCTCCCCCAATGCAAAAAAAAATGGTCCCATGACATACATTCATATTCCCGGCTTGAGTCTTCCCGGGGCCCCTCGAAGGATGCTCTCATCGCGATTTTATCCATCCACCGGTCTCGGCTGGCTTGCTGGCTCGTCTCGTTTTCCAGTTTCGACAAATTGCGCCCAGGCCGCCATCATTGTGTTCTCCGCGGAAGAACAGCGGAGGAAGCGAATTTGAATGCGCCCGCCGGGCTGCTCATGCACAATACCGAGATAACTCCTGCTGCCACCTCGGAATGTGGTAATGTGAAATACAATTCCGTCGTCAAATCTCAGTCAGGAGGGCTGGAATTGCCACGGCCATAATGTCAATTTCTGCATGTCCGGCCGCAATTTTGGGGCCATTTACTTCCTCCCAGGGGATGGACCCCTTGTGGGCCTGCAAAGACTAAAATGGCGCACCGTTCGCTCGCTCGGCCCCTTCCGAGTCGCGAACACTACCGCACTTGCAGATATACCACAAATGACTAGCCGCCAAGCCAACAGAAATGCAGTGGCTGTTGCCGACGATCGTCCTCGGAGGCTCACTATAACGTCGCTTGAGAGGTATTTACTTCGAGCCGGGGCCTGCCAGACTGCCCGAGGAGAAACACGGTCAATCCGGTTCCGTCTCGCTGGAGCCATAAAAAAGAAAAGGAACAGGAGGAGATGAATCTGGGCCGGGGTTCCTGTCCAGGCTTCTCCGTCTCGGAGCTGCTAGAGATTTTTGAAAGCCAGTTTCGATGGTGCTTGAACCTCCTTTTCTTCCGTTCTGCCGTGCTACAGGGAAAAGTACGGCCGCGTCTACAGGGTCAACAGGGTCAAACAAGTGCTACTTGGGTGCATCGATTCAACTTACCGAAGGGACAGTTCACGAGCATTCTGACGCTCCAGTTCTGGTCAGGATACGTTAGGGGATATGCAACCGCGAAGCGCAAATGCCAAGGGCTGGTCAATACACACCGGACCGGTATCGAATCAGTTAAAGACTGGATTTCCACGGGGGACGGCATCGGGGGCTCAGAGCTAGGCCAGCCAGGCCTCAGTGGAAGGCGCCAAGCAGTGTACTCTGTTCTTGCGTACTAGAGAGTGGGAGTATAGGGAGATCTGGCATTTGACGCGGCCGGCGCGGTTGCCGAGTTAACTGCGGAAGGCCGGTCATTGCGTGCCAGTGACCCCCCTTGCCAGGGGTCGTCCGAGGAGATGGTTGGCCCACCCTCTCTCCAATGGATGTCACCTCGGTCACATACTCAAGTCTGGCACCCGTTGTTACAGGGGGCAGACTCGCAGAAGGACTACCCCTGGCAGCTCACTTTGATGATGTCCATTCCGGACAGTCTTCTGTGCAGACGACACTTCCTAGGAAATGACCACACAGAATTGGTCTTTCTACTTCCACGTCGGAGCTAATTGCGACCCCCTGACCACCGATGGTCTTCACGTTGTCCGAAGACAACAGCAGTTGAAAAGCACACACGAGAAAGAACGCGACTAGCTGTGGGTTGAGCCTCGAGTTGCGCAACTGTGTCTGTCCTGAGCAGAACATGAAAGGAAAGGGGATCGTAACCTGGGACTGGAGCTTGAGATTGCGAGGACTCTCTCACTCCCAGATCACAGTAAGTTCACCTTCAGCAGTGTCACCCATGCTATGATCGTGGGACCCTCCACTACATTGGACAATCACCCAGAAGAAGGGTGTTGATGCTGCTTCCGCGATGGTGTTTCCTCCAGGAGGCGTGTTGGCAATGGAAAGATACTTCCTCGCCATGATGAAAAGTAGCCAAGTACCTCGTCGAATGTGCTTTGTCCAGAGGGGATAGAGGGTTTGCTTCCTACGTGTTGGTAACTGGCAAGACAATAAATAAAATCTGATTGGAATGGACTGAGTACACAGAAAGGAGAGGAGTTAGTGATTTGTTTGTGTTACTGGCACTGCGATGTATACCTCCAAGCATCAGAAGGCTCACCCAAGGTCAACCTGACTGTAGGTACAGAGATATACGTGAGATTCAACAGCAGCATTATTATCAAGATTTGAATTTCACGAAGAGCACCGGGGCATCAATTATAAGTAAAAAATCAGAAGGGTATCAGATGGCACGACAAAGTTCTCTTGGGAAATCCCCAGCATGGTCTCGCCATGGGTATAATCATATTACTATTACATGGATATCCTCCAAGGGAATGCGAACGGCCAAAACCAAGCCATGTTTTTCTTCCCATGCCTTTGTGTTCATCCATCCATCGACCCATCACCTCATCCATATTTCCCCAACCATAGCCAGAATGAAGTAGGACAAGTGGCAGGCAGATGGACTGAACGATGGTATCGCCGCGGCAGAAGATAAAAAAAGAGGAAGTACACAGATACAAACACCGAAGACCACCCATCCGGATATATGCTATGCGTATCGTAAGGATCGTAAGAACGAAAGAGTAGGGGAAGGTGCCATTTGACATTCCACCCGGAATTTTGAGGCTGATAGAGAGAGAGATGGTAGTGATACAGAGAACCGCCACATGGGCAGGTTCAGAAAGCATTCAGACACACACACACACATACCCCCCATTTAGAGGACAGCGGCAAGACCCATAGCCGCGAGGGCAAGACCGAAGCCGGCGGAGACGCGACCGCCAGCATTGACGGGGACGAAGCCCGACTCGGTGGGGCGCGGGGTGTAGGCGCCGGTGCCGGCGGGGCCGGGCACTGACGCGGTGGTGTAGGCGGTTGCCTGGGCCGGGACCGAGTAGGTCGGGACGCCGGTGGGGTAGGCGGTGATGGGGACGACGCCGACGTCGTTGCCGGTGCCCGTGGTGAAGCCGACCTGCGGGACGGTGATGGCGGTGCTGATCACGTAGGTGGTGCTGGAGCTGGGGATGACGGAGCCCGCGTCGTCGGTGCAGGGAGCGACGGTGGTGGTCACGATGCTGACGGTGGTGTAGATGGGCCCGACGACCGTGGGCGCGGCGGTGACGGTCACGTAGGACGTGACGGTGGCGCCGGTGGCGATGGCCGGGTTGGAGGGCGCGTGAGGAGCGCAGAGGCCCTGGAAGAAGATGACGGCTTCGGTGACGATCTCGGCGGTCTGGCCGTGGGCGTAGATGCAGTCGAAGATGTTCTTGACGAAGATGGTGTCAGGGCAGTAGCAGGCGGTGTCCGAGTTGTCGGAGCAGCTGACGCTGAACAGGAAGGTGTTCAGGCAGGCCGGGACAACATCAGGGCAGGGGAGAGTCTCGACAGGGGCGCTTGGGCCGGTGGTGTTGGGCACCTGGGTAGGATAAGTCTGAGCGGGCTGGGTCTCTCCGGGGGCGGTCTCGGTAGGCTGGCCAGCACTGTAGGTCTGGGCAGGCTGAGTCTCGCCTGGGGCGGTCTCGGTAGGCTGGCCGGCGCTGTAGGTCTGGGCAGGCTGAGTCTCACCGGGCTGAGTCTCGCCAGGCTGGGTCTCACCAGGTTGAGTCTCGCCAGGCTGGGTCTCACCAGGCTGAGTCTCTCCAGGCTGAGTCTCGGCGGGGGCGGTCTCGGTAGGCTGGGTCTCGCCTGGCTGAGTCTCAGTCGGCGGCGCAGTCTCACCAGGCTGGGTAGCCGGGTAGGTCTGAGCAGGCTGAGTCTCACCTGGCTGGGTCTCCGCAGGCTGAGTCTCGCCTGGCTGGGTCTCCGCAGGCTGAGTCTCGCCTGGCTGGGTCTCCGCGGGCTGGGTCTCGGTGGGTTGAGTCTCACCGGGCTGGGTCTCGGTGGGTTGAGTCTCAGCAGGCTGGGTCTCGGTGGGTTGAGTCTCAGCAGGCTGGGTCCCGGCGGGGTAGGTGACGGTCGCAGTAGGCTTTGTCTGGTGGGGGCCGCAAGAGAAGGAAATGGTGTGGATGTCGATGCTGCAGGTTGGCTTCGGCTTGGAAGGCTGGGTAGGATAGACGATGGTGACGTTCTTGGCGCCACCGCACTGGTTGTTCTTCACGGTAGTACCGGACTTCGAGCACGGAGAGCGGTGCTTGCACGACGAGCCATCAGGCATGTCATAGTGGAACTCCAGGTCGCAGTCGAACTCGGGCTTGACGTGGATGGAGCCGAGAGAAAACTTGTCCGGGCCGCCGGCGCCACAGCCGAAAGACGGCGACTGCTCCTTCTGAGAGTGGCAGGTGCCGCCGATGGACTTGCCAACAGTGCGCGCATCAAAGCGCTTGCCACGGCCACCACTCTTGCAGGTGAAGCCGTTGAACTTAAAGCCGCCAAAGGAATCAAAGGGGCCATCCGGAGCGCCAGTGAAGTCGAAGCCAGGGGTCTGCTTGTCGGTGCAGCGGTTGTCCATGTTACCCGGGGAAGTAAAGGGGTTGGCATTCCTGAAGCCCTGTCCATATAGTTAGCATCAGATCCATGGATAGGCAGTTCAGGTGGGTGGGAACGTACAGTTGCGGTGGCAGTAGTTGCCAGAGCGGCAAGGATTGTGAAAGTGTTCTTCATGTTGAAGATGGGATGTCGATAGTATGAGGTACTCAAAAGCTACACGGAGATAGAAGAAGCCTGGGACTGTAGTCCGTTGTGTTTAAGCACTTGTGAGCGAGTGTCAGTGCGTGGTCGAGTACAATAGTCGAAAACGAAAGAGATAACGAGAGATGAGAGCAAAGAAGCGAATGACTTTGACTCCCGGAGAAGAGATAGACGACGATATAGGTGTTGGAGAAGGAAACAAACACAGTCTACTATGATGTAGGAAAGACTTGCTGGAGAGGAAGGGGAGGATGGAAGAGAGGGCCAAGGAGGACCAACGAGGTTGATATATGATCTCGAGCCGGACGGCTCTAAGCCACTTACCTCCTTCTGGAGCGCCGGCCTGTATCAAATCACAGGAACAAAGAGGCCGGCGGTGGCCAGAGGAGGCCGAAAGGTCCTTTCTTCCTTGCCATCCCCACTCGGAGCTAGCTTTATTCGGAGCTCTTTGGACAAGGGAGTTTCCCAGATTTTCCCAGATGCGCACATGGGAAGCATGACGAGCCAGTAGCATTTGCTCCTGCGAAGCGCAGTAGGCCCACTCGGGCATAGGGGTAAAGCGCAAGATGAGCTCAGTGGAGTGTGTTTGTTTTTTCTCGGTTGGTGTTGAGTCGCATCTTTGACGGGGCGCCAAGGGTGGTTGCTTCGATGTCGAGGTTGCTGTGGTCTAAGACTCCCACAGGGTCATGGCGGTCGTTCCAGGGGTTGCAGGGGTTTGCGCACCGTCCACCATTTGCCTTGCCTCGCAGCCAATCGGTTCTTATTGGTATGCCATTTCGAGACTAGACGCGCTGGGGGCATCCAATAGACTCGTCGCAAGCGAGGCCGTTCTTGCCGATATCCAGAATCCATGCGCCTGTAGGTGGCCATCGACCATCGGCCATCGGTAGGCGCTCACCAAACCAGTCACCCACTACCTGGCCCCCACCGGAAATGGAATCTGCCAGCTGCGGTCGCACCGGTTCTTTGAGCGATGCGCATATGTGGTTTTTGTGGGCTGTAGCGCGGCCCGTTACCGTCATGCCATTTTCTAGTATAATAATCTCCTGGTTATTATTATCCATCTTATGACAAAAGAAGCTTGTGGCTCCACAAACAAAGAATCAACCCGGGAAAAAAGGAGAACATAGCCCACTCAAACCGCGTCCCGCCAAGCTTGGGTTGCAAAAGAAACCTTCCCCCACCCCCAATCGCGACGCGGGGCTTGTGTGTGTTGAAGTGTTGCAGAGTCTCGTATTGAGGTCAGTCAACGACTCCATTGCCCAAGAGATGCTGAACCAAGATTCAAGTTGAAACGACCCCTCTGCTCAGCCACTAAAGGGCACTAACGCAGGTACTGTGATGGAACAACACACCTGCTAGCTGTCAAACCGCCACAGGGGGAGCTTCGGGGCCAATCGGTTTCCAGCTAATGTCAGGGGCCGCGGGCTAGCGTTGCGGTAGGACGGCAGGGTACCTAACGCTATAAACCTGGTGGTCCGAGATTTCATTATTGCTTTCGTCGAAGCTCCGCAAGTAAATGGAAGGTCGGCACCCCAGTTAAAGTTAGAGTATGCTGTAGATTGCCTATCTCTCTTCCCTCCCCCTTTCTCCCCTTTTTCACATCTCCAGTTCCCGACTCAAGACACCGCAAAATCTTCGTTTTGTAGGGATCCTTTCCTTGGGGGCGGTTAAGCTAAGATATTCACCAGGGTCCCCGGGATTCCGGTGACCAGGTCCTAGTGGCTTAGGGGGCTCTTGTTTCAGGTGGATCAGGTGGATTTTTCTTGGGGGCTACTGGCTGTGGCGCTCAGACCCCAGTTGACCAGTACGGAGGACAAGGGTCAACATGGAGAAAGGTTCCAGCAGGAGCAGTTTCCCATTTGGAAATGCGCCGTGCTCTCGGCCGGGACACAGACACAGACCATTCGCTACTTTTAACCCAATGAGCAACCATTTCAACCACCTACCTTACGTCGTAGGCGGGCACTCCATAAGGGCACATCAACTGGCTCGGCTTCCGCGGCATATCAAGGCTGTGTCTCGCCCTGGCCAGTGGGCAGTGCGGGCGCATAAAGAGGCGCGGCTTAAAATTGCTTAAGGGGCCACTAAAATGTCATCTTGGAACATGTTTCTCCCTTCCCGAGTCAGAATGCGGCTAAGAGTGGGGCGACCCCAGCTACCCAGCTACATACCTTACCTACTTACCCAGCCGCCCGACGTCCGTCGATCGTGCGGCTCCGCCACTATACATAGAATGCGGCGCTACCGGCCGCCGATCACCAACATTGTCGTCGTCGGCCGGGTTTTGTTGCAGAGACGCCGTCGGTCCCTAGTGGGGCCGACAGTAACTCCGTACCGACCGCTATGGGGCCATGGTATAGTGTAGGGGGAAATCACGGTTCTCTGGCAGACTCTTGCAGCTATAAGGTTGAGAATTGAGACATTCCCATAGTATCAATGCCAAGCCAATTCTCTAAACACTATGTTCCAAGGTTGGTTCGACCAGAACTCTTCCAGGTGCTTTTAGCCCCCAGCCTGCAACCTCCTCATCCTCTCCTCCGCCGCCCTCGCCCTCCGCTCCCTCTCCAACCTAACCCTCTGCTCCGGCGTCATCCCCCTCGCCTCCTCCTCCCTCGCCTCCTGCGCCGTCTTCTGCAGCCCCGCGGCCAACGCCCTCCCGGGCCTCACCTTCCCACCGGTAGGGCCCCCCTGGGCCCTCAGCCTCTCCTCCTCGGCCCTCCTCCTCTCCGCCTCCGCCGCCTCCCTCTCGGCCCTCTCGCGCCCCGCCCTCCCCTCCGCCTCCTCGCGCCTCAGCGGCGCCGGCACCCGCGCGCCCTCCCAGTCCCACCCGCCCTCGCCGAGCTCCGACCTCGCCACCCGGAACGCGTCCCGCGTCGCCCGGTCGCCAGCCAGCTCGAACGCCGTCCTGCCCTCCGCGCTGGCCGCCGTCGGGTCGGCGCCGCCGCGCACCAGGAGTCCCGACACGAGCGCCGCCGAGTTGTGCGCCGCCGCGAGGTGCAGCGGCGTCGGCGCGTGGTGGTTCTGCTGCGAGTCGGGCGGGTGGAAGCGGAAGTTGGGGTCTAGGGAGTTGGTGCTGAGGTAGGATAGGAGGGCGGGGAGCTTGGAGCGGCGGATGAGGGCTTGGAGTTGGCTGGTGTGCAGGAGGGCGGTCTCTTCCTCCTCCGAGAGCTTGGGTGCGGCCGGTTTGGCCGGTTTTGCCGGCGCACTTGCACCAGGAGTTTTGGAGGCGTCGGGTGTCGCAACGGGGTTGATTTCTTGGACCTTCAACCGGGTTAACTCGATGAAGGACCGCATAAGTTCGTTCTGCGTCGCACGCCGTGAGTTGAAAGGGAAGCTGCGGATGCGTGGGTCGTTTGCCCGCAGGACCTGTCCTTCGTAGGGCCCAAAGAGAGTCCGTCGATTGGTTGATCCGGTGGCACGGATGAAGAGGAGGTCGGAGGTGTCCAGAAGACCTTTCCAGTCCTGTAGGAGCTCCCGAACGTCCTGTATGAGCGCCTGCTCATTATACCTCCGGATACTGGAGCCGGCAGAATGAGCTGCCCCTTTTGCATTGTCATTCGCAGATTGCGAACCGCCCTGCTTCCTCCGTGTTGTGTATCGGTGAAATGTCTTATGGGCAAGAACTGTGGCTTCCCTGTTGAGTGGCCCGGCGGATTTGGTTTGCCGAGGTGCCAGCGACACCACCATCGCTGCGAAATGTCCACCACCTATCATACAGAGGAATATATGCGGTCCTTTGTAAGACGAAGGGGCAGGTGCTCCATTCTTGCTTGGTTTCGGCATGGCGATAGGCGGCAGTTGCCTCCTCTTGATTGCCTCCAGTATATCCTCTTGCTTTTCTAGCTCTTCCTTCGAAAACATGGCCCTGTATAGGCCAAAATAGGTGTTCTCCGGGAGAACTGGAGAGCCGAACCAGAGTAACGGATGCTTTCCAGGGGTGGGTTTCTTCTTCCTTGCTCCATCCTCTTCGTCCACCTCGTTGCCCTGTTTCCTTTCAGCTAATGTCGCCTGCTTTTTCAGGAGCGCAGTGAGAGTTGTATCCTTCTTGGAAGGCTCGTCATCTTCGTCTTCTGTATCCGATGAGTCGGAACCTGAAAGGCTCTCGTCGAGGTCTGAGAATGATCAGCGGATGTAAGGATAGCGGAGTTACAAACTCCGCTTACTCTCAATTAATTTCTCGAATTCGGCCTCCGACACAGGTTTGTGGCCTCGGATCTTCTGCTTAAGATTGTAATGATGGTAATCCGATTTCAGGTGACTTTTCTGTTCCTGGATGGTGGGGAAAACCACACCGCAGAGTGAGCACGCTTGGGATCCAGCGACACTCTCAGTAGTGAGGTCCGGGCTTTCATCTGAGGGCCTCCCTATGCCCTGCTCGATAACCTGTTGTTCTTGACCTTCGGCATCCGTTTTGAGGCTCAAGGTGTCCAGAACTTCTTGCGGAAGGTCGTACACTGGACAGTTGTCGTTAGTCTTGGCTCTGCTCGCGATCCGTGATTTGCTCGAGACTTACGGTAAAGTGGGCGCCGTAGCAGCTCGTCCTCCTTCTTCTCCATATCTAGTGGCATCTACAGTGTCGTCCGGTGGTTGGGTTGTCGGGTTGTCGGCTGGGGCAAGTACGGTAGGTGGTATTTGGCTGATGACAGAATCAGGAGGGGCAGGTTGGGGGGCTGGCGGGAACGGTGGGGACAGCGGGGTTGGAGCTTCTTATCGCGATAAGCTAGGGGCAGGGGTTTAACTTTTGAGTTCAAGAGTCGCGATGAACGAGTGTGAGAATCCTCAAGTTTCCAAATTCTCGGAAGATTCGTCTCCCTAGAATATATATACATAGAGCCTGCTATACAGGTGCGTACGACTATACTTGTAGCCTTTCTGGCCCCATCCTTTTATTGGGACAAGGCGCCGCCATCAGCACTCTAGCAAGGCAGACTAGGTAGCTTGGCCGATTGACTCATTCGGCTTACCGTATTACTTGGATTACCAGAAACGCATCAACGACAAAGAGACTGCGGCCAGATCCTTCAAATTTCTAGGTTAACTCCGATTCTTCGAGGCCCATAGTTGCCCAATGGAAATACATATGCACATGCCGGTTGTTTAATACTCTTTTGAGGTTGCAAGGTGATCCCGAGGGATCTTATGGGAATTCATTTTATATCTTGCTAGCAGTTTAAGGGGAGATTGTAAGACTTACCTGCTTCGCCATGGATAGGGCCTCGCAGTCATTTATCTCGGATTGCTTCTCCTTGTGCTCTTGATCGTCCCCGGGAACTGTCTCGGGGAGCTGATTAGCAACATCACCGTCAGCTGTTTCCTTACCTTTCCTTGCCGAAGCCAATGAGCCTGTCGGGGCGCAGGGAACATGTCCCACTCCTCGTTCCGGGATATCGCTGACCGGTATAGAGGAAGTCTCCCCCACTCGACGACCTAGGGCATTTGACCGGTCTCGCCATGTTGCCCACCATCGTCTTTTTCTGAGAAGGTGCGCCGATGTTTCTGACGTGCCGTTGAACATACCTCTAAACATATCTCTAAAGATGTCTCTGAAGACGTCTCTGAATATGTCTCTGAACAGGTCCCTGATAACATCCCTGCTCATGTCTCTCAACAAGTCTCTGAACACGTCTCTGACCAAGCCTATGAGAATGCCTCTGAACGTGTCCATATTTCCCATTTGTCGGCGATGTGATATGGTGATTTCGATTCTAACCTCTGACGGTTAGGATATGCGCCGTCGGGGGGGGGCTCTTTATATGTGGGATTCAATGCCGGGGAGTTGGATAGTATTTCGAGACATTGTCATTGTCTTCAGCCACGGTCAAATGCCCAAGCGTCTTCTTTGTTCTGCTGTCGGTGAAAAGGGCACCGTGACATTGGCAGTTGTAATATACCGCTAAGCAGCAGTCTTAGGTTTCTAAAATACCCCATGCCAACCTAGTGACTACCGCTCATAAATCTAGCGTACAGAACCCTCACAGTCATAGCAGTACTTTTCCAGAGGGCGCGCTGGTTGTTTCCCCCTGGTTCTCACTGGAAGTAGGAGTTTGCCCTTCCTTTCTTCCATGCTCCGACTCCGTATTAGAATCACTATGTTGTTGATCCTGATTCTTGTCTTCGCCGTCTGCCTTACTAAGTCGACTCGTCTGCGACCGGGACGGTGAAGTTGCTTCGACCCTTGAACCGGAACTAGCTTCCTGAGCTGCGGTGTTCGCTTCACTGTTGCTGGACACCTCTTGGCCTTTGACCTCAGGAATCTGTCCCGTATCGCGATCCTGGGTCTGTAGCTCAGGTATAGCCCGAACAAGCTTCTGAGCTTCGTGGCTGTCGTTGGATTCGTTGGATTCATTGGCGTCGTTGGCGTCTTCCTCAATGTGCAACACATCTTCAATCTCCTCAGCAAGCCTGACCACCTCATCCTCCATGATCTGCTCCCTCTTCTGCGCATTCCTCAACTGCATTTCCGCCTCTTCATCGCCGACAAGGCTTCTCCATTTCTTCTCGAGCTCTTCCCGCCAGCCTAGTTCGTCCGCCAGCGCCCGCACTCCAGCGTCACAAGACCCTAAGCAGAGCACATCATCGGGCAGAGTCCCCAGGCTACCCACCCTCTCCAGGTTGAATAATGCCCTTGGAGTTTTCTCCTGCACCGTCTCCGGCAGCCCGGCGAACGGATACACTTGCAGGCTCGTTCCCAAGATCAGCACCAGGTCCGCCAAGCCGGGATAGTGCTGCCTTGCCCGGAAGACCTCTGGCAACTGCTCGCCGAAGAAGACGATGTCTGGCTTGACCAGACTGCCGCAACTTCCGCCATCGTCGTTCTTCTTGACGCACCTCGGGACTTCTCCCTTCACCACGTGCTCCTTCATCAGGGCATCCGGAAACGGTGTCCCGCAGTCAATGCACCTCTGGGTCGCAAAGCTTCCATGGGCTTCGACAATCAAATGTGGCGGCACACCTGCTGCCCGCTCCAGACAGTCAATATTCTGGGTGAAGAGGTGGAGGAGCAGCCCCTTGGAAGCAAGGAGGGCGATGAAGGCGTGGGAGATGGTGGGGTGAAATCTTCCCGGGTAGAGCTCCTTGGCTAGCACGTAGAAGGGCTCCGGGCTCTGGCGGAAGTAGTTGATGTCGAAGACAGCTTCGGCAAACGGCAGGTTGAGGCGGGCAAGGTTGGCATATAGGCCGGTGTTTGGGGAGCGGAAATCGGGGACTGGAATGGGAAAGGAGAAGTTAGCCAAGATTCAGAACGCAGAGGGGGGCTTGAAAACGGGGCAACTAACTCCCTGCAGCAGTGGATATGCCGGCGCCTGTCATGACAACAATGCGCTTGGCCTGGCCGGATTTGATGTATTCAGCGAGGCCGACAAGGCTGCGCTCGGAAAGGGTGTTTGGCGGTGTGTCATCGCTGAGGACTGAGTTTTCCTGGCCCATCCTGGGCGGCCTTCAACTGCTTGTATAGAGAGCGATGCCGCCCGGGCCTTTTTCAATGACGTTGAAGGAGTGGAATGTGGATATGCAGCTGTTCGAAGTGTTGCAGTTTTAGATTTGAGAGTGAGTGGTGTTCCTGAATCACGGTGCCGCAAATCAATAAAGCGGCGAATCAACGGAGTGGCGAAGGAGCTCTTATCTTATCAAAACGGCGGGGCAGAGCACGGATCACCGGATCCTACATATGCCATAAGGAACAATTCCGCCGCACCGCTTCCGCTCCAAACCCCGGCACGATTATTCGTACTTTAAAGGTGTACCTAGGTAGCAGTCGCTAATCTCAGCTCTATGGGCCTGGGAGGGAAGGATCTAAGAGGCCCATTTCACTCCCTTGTAGGTACCTACTGTGGCAGGTCGCTAATTACTTTAATTTGAACCAGCAATCGTCTCTCCTCTCGTTGGTTACGGGGATCGTACTTTGAGGTACAAGGTATGAAAGCCTTTTCATTTGATCATATGATCTAACAAGTTACACGGCCGATTACCTCAGCCCAACCTACTTTCCACCTCCATCCATTGTTTGTCATTCGCGTCTCGGAAACTCCAATCCTTCGTCGCATCGCGATTCGCAACAACCATTGTCACAAAATATTAGTCGTTGAGCTATGCAAAACGCGGTTGTTCCCGATAAACTGCATATTCGACCTCTCTGGCGATGCTTCCTCTGCCATGAGGACCTCCCCGAGAAGGAGCCCAATATACCCGTGGAAAGTTCTGACTGGCAGCGATCTATGGTCTCCCGTGAGTGATCTGATCTGCTGATCTATCCTTTGAATGGAGGGAATATGGCTAATTGCCATATAAGTTTTTCCCTGTCAGAATGCCGATGGTTCTGTGCGGGTGCTTCTCAGGGCCATAGAGGACCTTGAGCTTGACAATATGCTTTGCTTGAACGGGTTTTTCATAGCTGGAAGAGAAGACCCGGCCCGCGCCGTCACCTTCTGCTCAGACAGAGGTCACAGGGGCTTGTACTGCATAAAATGCCGGCCGGACCAAGTCATATTTCTAGCTCACAAGTGCTGCTGGAAGGCCATCAATCATCCTACGGTCATCCCCTCTCTCCAACTACTAAAGCTAGCCCAGCATACCCGCCCGCTAGGTCCACCGCTAAGCCAGGATGTACATCATCGGTACTTGAGCCGCCAAACCCAGCTAGACGCATACAGCACAGAGACAGCCCTCGGCAGCCTCCTCGAGCAGGTGGTTCGCCGACTGCCACTTGAGCTGCAATGCAATATCTTGGACTACCTAGAAGGCTCTCTCTTCGCATCCTTATTGAAGGCTAAGGCGGTAGCCCCTTTCTTACTGTGCAGACTTGGCCTGGGCAAATGTGCCAAGCCGAGGACTATAGACCTTGGCATAGTTGGTGCCATTACCAGTTTGCATGTCCGGTCTTCGAATATCCTGGGACGACCCTTTTTGACCGGCATAGGATTTAACCAGTCCGAGTGCTGTCCGTGGATCCCGGTACGAAGCACATGTATCCAAGGATTACAATATGCCCTGGGCGAATTTGGACTTCGAGCGGTGCGGATCCTTTACGTCGACTGATCTCGTTCTACCTGGCTCGGCGACCCTTCGTCTTGCTGGCTGGGTACTGTGATGGGCAGTGACCTGCAAATGCTCTATGTCCTCGCAGATGTGAGTTATCCCGTCCTGCGAAACCGTAAAGCGAATCGTTCTAGCATGCAACCATTGGGCTGACGTAACTGCGACTTAGGATATCCGGCTTATCAAGCTCGGCTTCAAGGAGCCTGACCAGACCAGGGCGGATATTGAGTCTGGTGCGGATAATCCGCGTCCCGTTCTGCTGGACCGGGACTTCTCACCTATTGGGCGCTCCCACAGTTTTGTCCGAACTTGCATAGAGACACCAAAGATCCCATACTATGCGGATCACAGGCCGTGCTACTACCTGCCGCTCGCCAACGGGTCAGAATACGTATCAGGCATTGCCGTCTACATGGAACCTATTATTGACCTAGGAATCAAGGGCATTGCCTCTCATGGCCGGTCAACTCAGCTATTGGGCCAGCGCACGAAGTGCTCGATTCACATGGCCCTCAGTCCTGGGGAATACCTCAACTCTTTATGGATGCATATCTCCTGCGGCCATAAAAGATTGATACGAAGTCATTATGCCTTGTCGGTAAGAGCTGCACATGAGTACCTAATCAAAGAGAAGCGACGTATGCTGAAATTGAGTGTCTTTTAAGGTCAGCACAAACCGCGGCCGGAGCCACCATTTTGGGCCTTACTATGCGACACAGCGAACGAGAAGAGGATACGAAGAATTTCCTCAGTGGACACAAGTCAGTAGCGGCCGTCCATCAAAAATCACGGGAATCATCGTCGACGCCTTGACATACAATATACAACAAGATGTTTTCGACATGGGAGTTACGGAGGAATATGAACCCGACCATGAAGAATTGCTTGAAGCTCCGTCTCCGACCGCCGTGCGGCATGGCTTTCCGGATATTCCTATCGTCCGAATTGAACTACGATCGACGGTCATGCAGTCAACAGCAACACTAGATGATATATCCAACCTTCAAGTCCGCAAAGTTGGTCTTCGGTGCATGGGATTGCGCATTCTCCATGGTGATGGAACCATCGAAATACTTGGCCAGTGGGACCCGGCGGATCCGACTTCAATCTCGACTCTATACGATGTATCCGAAGGCCCCCTGGCTGGATTAACTTTCCAAACGACGCCGGTAGACAAACTCGACAGCTACATGTCTGACATCACGCCGATCCTACAGAACTCGCGCGTCGCTCCCCAAACCACGGCATCACCCTTCACCCAAGATTTTGCGTGTAAAAGGGACGGACAAGTGAGAAACTCTAGAGCTACCATATTATCACGCAGTTGCTGACAACTTGACTATCCGCAGCGTTTGGCTTGGTGGTTCACGCCCGATCTGGACAGCGTATCGCTATGCAATGCGGGACGCGTAAAGCATATAAAAAGACGAAGCCAGGCCTTCTTCCCATCGAGCCTACTACGTTATTAACATGAGCCGAGGATCTCCCACCAGAAAGACAACTGGAAAGTCAGTGCCGAACGTCTTGGAGGGCGAGAGAGGCGGGCAAGGACAGCGAGGATGGCAACGAAAGGCTTGTACAATTGCACGTGGAGTTTAGGCTCGGTGGGTCAGGGATGCAGCGAGAACGAGTAATATTACCGCCCAAACTAAATCAGAACCGACTGAAAAAGAATCCCATATCAAAAAGCAGAAAACGAACTGCAGAACGCACAGACCAAGAGAGTGGACACAACGATGAAACCCAGAAGATTCTCGTTGCTCAAAAGACAGTAAGGAAACGATATCCGATATCCCAAAAACATTGACCAAAGAAAACTTGATAGAGTAGGGAAAGGGGGAACATGGGAAAGAGAGCGGGGAGGGGAAACAAACACCGAGCCAGCTCAATGTATCCGGTCGCAAGCATTATTCGCAAGCCGTGCTTCCGTTTCACTTCTTCACCCACTTCGGCAGCGAGACTTTTGCGGCGTCCCTCGTCCTCTGAATCGTTCTCGGGTCAAGTGATAGGACGTAGATGCTCGACTTATTGTGGCTGGTGAAGTAGCAAGGAACATCTCGCCCGCTCCGGTCTTGTACTGTCCCTCTCTTGAATTCTTCCCCGAGCCGGTGGAAGGACTCGCCGGATCCCTCAACTCGAACAAGGAAATTCGTGGAGTCAAAGTCGCGACCCCACGACTCGACTAGCGACACGGCTGGCAATGGTGTTCGTGGCGTGGCCATGGGCGCTTGTCTCGATGATGTCGACCCTTGAGGTGGGCTCCGCTGCCTGTAGGTCAAGGGAGATGACTGCCCCTGGAGTCCGGGGGGGCCTGGTGACGGTCTTTCTGGTGACATGGAACGAGTTGACAGGGAGCGGTCCCGTCGTGCTAACTCCTGTTCGCTACTGAGAGGTCCTGCCGGTGGTAACAGAGGAAGGTGGGGCTCGGGGAAAGATCCTTTCCCACTGGGGGAGGAACCGGAAGGCGAAACCCTGCCGGGAGGGCTGCTTCTGTAGCTACCGCTCGCATGGTCCGGCAGTACGGGCATTCTCGATGGTGGTGTGAGCGCTGTCATGTTCTCGAACGTCCTTTTGATTATAGCCGCGTCGTCCTCAAGTTGTGGATCCATGTAGCTCTCGAGGCTGCCCGGGTCCCCAGGCCATAAGCCCTGGAGCGTCTGGCCCTTACGGGCAAGGAAGCACCGTATGTACGGCCCAACGACTGTGCAGGAATTATCCATTTGCTGCCCAATTACTTCCACTTATATTGTCGATATCTACTACGAATGCCGTCCCACCCGAGCACATTGCGTGCGTATGCGCCGAGAGGAGATTGATTCTATCCTTCTCAAAAAAAAAGGAAGAGAAAATACAACGCTACTGAAACGTTGTTGGTTAGGTCGCACATATTGTTTCGATCCCAATGCTCCGCGTTCGTCACAAGGTAGCCACGCCGTGTGATGGGCCTTACTTGGCGACATAAGCGCCGAAGAGGTCCCCGCTCTGCCGCCTTGAACTGCCCCCTAGCCCCTGGAAAATTGGCTGTTGGTGTTTCGAAACAAGACCTCGAAAGAGCCTCAGAGTCGAGAACACTTGCGCAGCGCTGCCGACTTCCCCCCTGATCTCTCCTGCGGCCAATTCTAGTTTGCCTTTGTTCTCCACCACATCGCTCCTAGCAACAGACACTGCCGTTTCTCGAGAACGTGTCGTAAACAGGAATAGGTCGTCTTTGCTCTCCGGGAGACAGCCGTTGATGCCACCTGGCGTGTGTAAACTTCCAAAGAGAACATTCATATCGTCGGCGTTGTCTACCACAAGAAGCCATGGCCCAGCCGCCTCTGAGCTCAAGTACCGCCGAACCAATTCTTTTAGGTCTTCCTCATCGGTCTTGCAGATGGGGAGCTTCCTGGCTATCTCACTCTATGCTTGTTCGAAGGCTGCGACGCTGAACGCCGGCACTTAGAATGTGGAGTGTTTGGGCTGGTGTTCTATCACCCGTATGCCAGCTGTAGAGCGACCTGGGTCTTGCCTACGCTGCCTAGCCCGACAATCACAGGTTTTTGACACTCCTTGCGTATAAATAGCATCATTTCGAGAGTGTCTAGTATCCCGGCTCGTCCAACGAAGTGCTTGGTCTTGGGGAACGGGATGTAGTGGGAGAATTGGGATAGTATTGACAGCATACAACAAAAATATTGACACGTGAAGATATCTTCGCCCTTCCATTTCTCAAATCGGCCCAGCAAAGTTTAGATTGTGGGGCAATTGCGGGGGAGGAGGGCTACCCCACAGCGGCCCGGCCTGGCCTTCCCCTCTTTCTGCAGGTCTGAGGAGGGAATAATTTAAGCGGCGGGGATTTTCAATAAACGCGACGGATGCACTTCTCTTGAGACACCCTCGTGTCCCAGTCAAACGGGTCGGCTCATTCCTGGTTTTCCTTTTCGCTTCGATATTTGACGAGCCGCCCTTGCATCCGGAACTCTGGAGTTGCTCCACCGTTGAAGGTCTGGATTTCAGATCGAGACCCGCGACTTTTGCACCAATGGAAGAGCCAATTGACGCCAATGACGACGGTAGTGCCTCGCCTCAAGCTGATGCCGACCATGCGGAGCATGCACGCCCAAGGAAGAGGACAAGACGGGCTTGCGATAAGTGCAGCTCGTCCAGGACCCGCTGTGATGGTGAATGGTAAAAGCTGGGCTCTCCTTGCAAATCTGCTTGCGAATGCTGACCACCCATCCTCGCAAAAATAGTCCTTGCAGACGTTGTCAAGGTAGGATTTTCCCACCAAGTCTATCGCATATCGACCCATAATTGCAAATTGGAGTTCGTGATTCTGTTGTGCTCCATCTCTTTGGCTTGTGGCGCCCTTCTCTCCATGACTGTTAAAGTGTTGCTTCTTTCTGATGTTTCCGGCATTGGCATTAACCCGTCGTCTCTTTGGGGCCACAGACTATGGATACACCTGCCGCTATAATCGAGAGATTAAGAAGAGAGGGCGTATCCCGACCTCGTTAGCTGCCTCTACTCAGCCTGAGACGCCGGCCCAGTCAAGGTCCCAGGACGGTCACTCACCTGTATCAACCGTCGCATCCCCGGATACCACCCTAGCTCCAGCACAGTATCAACGTCCTCCACCTCCTCAGGACAGCGTCTCGATCGTGAGCCGTGCCCAAACACGTCATGAGAGCCTAAGTTCGCCCCCTCCCGGACTTCACCAGCAGCCTCCATCCTTATCTGCTTCTGCAGCGGCGCCGTATCTTACCTCGCAGGGTTTCGTTGCTCCCCACATTCACCTCCAGGTTTCCTCCCTCCTCGATCCTTCTGCAGAGTCCCGCATGCTGTCCAACTCGCATGGGAGCCCACCTGCAGTCCCTGCGGTCTCCGGGTCCGACTCCAGCGTGGGATATCCATCGCCTGCCAATGGCGTGATGGGGCAACAGTCGACCGCTAACCCCCATGCTCGCGACTCGTTCGAGGCTCCGACAGCCAACGGTCATGACCGTGGATCATTTAGCACCACGGCTGGACCCGAGGGCTCATTGCCAGAGCTGCAACGGATGAACTCGTTGTACAAGGCACCGTCATCGGATTGTCGATACCGGCTTCTCGACCCCGTTCTCCCATATCTGGGAGATATTATCCCGGCCTCTGTTGCTGCCGACCTGCTCGATGTCTACCTCACCGAACCAGGTAGCTCGTTGTTCCGTTGCGCGTCCCCTTATATCCTTACCCGTATCTTCCGCAAGAAATCTGTTCTTCATCCTACCCATCCCCGCCCGACCACACCAGCACTCTTGGCGACGATGCTTTGGTGCGCAGCACAGACAGCCGACATTGTTTTATTGCATGTTCCCGGCTCTCGGTCGAGGATCACGAATGCCCTGTACAACCTCGCAACGTACCTGATATCCGAAAGGGATCCGGATAGGTGGCGGAGAATCCATGGTATGCGCACCTCTTCCTTTCCTTCGCATAGTACTCTCGGTTGACCGGCTAGGTGGCCTGCGAGTGGAGAACGAGCAGACACATCCCAACTTCCCCGTCTCGTCTTCCCTACCAACCGTCACAGAGACGAACGAACCCGCTGGAGTTGTTGACGATGTCCTGACTTTCATCCTCCTATCCATTGCCGTTTCGGGGGGAGACTTCAAGTCGGATTGTTATAAATGGTGGAACAAGGCGATTAGGCTTGCCCTGTCGCTGAAGCTTAACAGAGAGGACGAGCAGTGTTCCGGATCCGTGTCTCCGTGTGCCAACCCTCTGTGCTCTTGTCACAGGGACCACGAGGGCGAGTCTCCGGCCAATACCGAAGCTAGAGAGGAGCGCCGCCGTGTCTTCTGGCTGTTGTATTGCCTGGACAGGCATCTCAGCCTGTCTTTCAACACTGTACTTGATATGCCCGACTCGTATTGCGAAGTATACGGTAGGTGACCTGCGCGCGGAAATGGGATCGTACTGCTCCTTGCACCCACTAATATTGTTGCAAGCCCCGCTGCCTGAATCGATCTGGGAGAACCTCGACACCATCCCACCAAGAGACTGGCCCCGCCGGACGATTGGGCCGCCAACCACGATCACCGGAACCGGGTTCTTCGAGTATTTCTTACCGCTGATGGCAATAATGGGCGATATTATTGAAGTCCACCACAGGAGACAGCATCCTCGGCTAGGTGGTCTCGACGACACCCAGGCAGTGGGGGTAATAAGTGAGCTCCTTGCAAACTGTGAGCGGAGCATCGACGAGCTTTCTCGAGAAATTGATGTGGCGGGTTATGCGTCGTTGGCCACATCAGGGCCCAGCATCAAAGACCTGGTCACTGGCATACCCTTGCATACGAACCCGATGCCTCCAACCCCGAGACGGATGAGAGACCAGTCCCGCATGCAGCTGGTCGCAGCCTACAGCACGCATATTCTGCACGTTCTCCACGTTCTCCTCCACGGCAAGTGGGACGCAATCTCCATGCTGGATGACGACGACGACTGGATCACTTCGACCCGCTTCAACGACTGCGCATCGCATGCCATTGCCGCCTCCCAGGCCGTCTCGCAGATCCTCAAGTTCGACCCCGAGCTCACCTTTATGCCATATCTGTTCGGGATTTACCTTCTCCACGGCAGCTTCATCCTCCTCCTCTTCGCCGATCGCATGCCCCAGCTGGGGCCGAATCAGTCTGTCGAGCAGGCTTGCGAGACCATCATAAGAGCACACGAGGTGTGCGTGGTGACTCTGAGCACCGAGTTTCAGGTGCTGCCCCCGCCCAAGCCTCCGGTCCCCTGGAAAAGTTAAGAAGTTGTAAAACAAGTGTCGACTGACTTCAAATGCAGAAAAACTTCCGCAAGGTGCTCCGCTCGACGTTGTATAGCGTCCGAGGGTCGAGTCCGACCGAATGGGAAGAGCATAGGGCCAGGCGTCGAGCGCTTTCGCTGTACCGCTGGACGAAAGGCGCGAAGGGTTTGGGGCTTTGAATGGGGGCGCTTAAGTCGCAGACGTTTTAGGAGTAAGGATCACAGCCCCTTATGGAGGAATGGATAGGCGTTGACGGAGGTATACCCCAACCCGGCTTCTTCAATCACAGCGGGCTATGCCTGGGCCATGGCAACTAGGGAGAGAACCCCTGGGGAGGCCCAAACACTTACCGGGCGGCCTCATCGCGTTGAAGGGAAAGCGAGATCAACGGGTCACAAGTGGGTTTGAAGGCGATGCCGCGGGGCGTAATTACCGGCTCTCCGGCCGGGAGTTGCCAAAGCTTGGCATAGCCGGCATGGAGTATTGAGTCCTGCTGCATCGACCTTGTCGCGCACCTTTTCTGGCGGTAACTCGGCGAGATGCGAAGTACTGCTGTACCTTGCCATAGGTCTAAATGCTTGCTGAGAGAATAGGCGTTGCTGAACTTGAACGAGATGATGATGCACCAGAAGTTCGTTGGCCTTGGCGTGGAGCAGGACCCAGTTCGGGAGGGCGCAGCAATGGAAGGGCGGAATGGTATTCCGTGACCTTGGTGCCGAGGCTATCATGTCATAAAAGGCATATGACACACCCTTTGGCTTCCTTGCGGCACTGCGATATTTAATAGAGTGGAAAGGAAGTTGGCGAAGCAGCGGTGGCCAAGGGCGGCCGCATGTTGGGATGCAACCATACATTAGTCTATTAGCACCAGCCCATTTCGATTGGTCTAAAATATTAGAGGCTCGGTGCGGCGCGATCCAGCTGAAGGGTCAGAATACCACCCTGTCACTACCCTATCATTGACTCGCGGGTTAGGCCGCTCTGGGTGGGTTGGCGAGGATCCTATGCTTCACTAAAAAGGTTATCCGAATTGGCAGATTATGTAAGTGTTGACGATCTACGTTGCAAGGAGTCGAGGCTTTGCCAAGGACAATGTTCAAAGACATGGAGGAGGTCTCAAGGACAATATTCATATATGCAGGAATGGCCCAACGGCCTCCTCTTCAGCTGCTGAAATCCGGAACAGGCTGAATTGTCCACCAGGGTCCACGCTCTGGCAGAGAGCTGTTCCAGAACCATCCCACTCCTAAAATGGGGTCGCCCAAATATTGGCCTCAGACAAGTCTGATTCGTCGCTATAGCGAGGAGTGCAACACTATTATCATGCGGCCTAACCGGATTCCACGATAGTTGCCCACTCTTTGACCCAACCCCACAGGAAGGCATTGCATCAGGCTCCCTCCCCCCGGCTGTCTAAACGGCGTTTGTCTTTATCTGGCGCCGTGGCTTGACTTCTTCCCGTGGCTCCCAACATTCTACGGAGTAATACACTACCAATACCAAGTTCAACAACCGGGAACCACAGGGACGACAATAGGTATACACGCCGTATGACGAGATGGTAATCACCACATACCAGCTCAATGGAGAATCACAAGCTCCGACCGCCCAGTACCAGCCCTATTCCTCTCAGACCTCATCTGGACCTTTGCCCGCAAATACCGCACCCAGCAACCCCCCCGACGGAATTACGGTGAACTCGCAGGCGAGCTGGGGAGGATATGGCCAACAGCAGTCAGAACCAGGTCCGCAAATTCACGAGCTAACAGCCAGCAGCGGTCCGCCTCAGACCCCTGCCCAGCCAGCCGTTCAAAGTGCGGCGCTGTCGCCAGGAACCTTTCCTATTGTAGCTCAATATGCCACTCTTCACGCCACTCTCCAAGCACAGCAGAAGATAACCTCCCAGCACAACCTGAGCCAAGTGTCAGATAATGCGGCCCAAGTCACCCCAGTCCAGCCACCCACCTTTACAGGAGTATACCAGGCTCAACCACAACCCCCCACACAAATACAAGCCACACAAGTACCCCAGGTAGTCTATGCTGCTCCGTCACCCCCTACCGAGTTGCCAGCCCAAGGAGTCCAACTGGTCGCTGCAAACCAATACACGTATGTGGCGCAACAAGCACCAGTCCAACAAGTTCAAGGCCTTCCATCCACTGCTCCGCTACAGGCTCAAGCAACCACCCTCGTTCAGGCCCAGAGTCCCGCAGCTTATGGCGGCCTCCAAGGGAACGTCTCGGTCTATCAACAACCCCAGTCCGCCCCAGGACTCTTAGAGCAAACCGCGTACCAGCTACCCGCAGCTCAGTTGCAGTACATACCCACGCCATCCACGGGCCCAGTAATTCCGCAAGTCGACGTCCCGTTCTTCGAAGCTCCCCCGACATCTGCTGCCGCCCAGAACCAGCGGACTTCAAAGATATGGAGCAAAGAGTCAGCCAGGAACGCCTCCAAGACGGCATGGAAGCACAGCAAGAACTTCCTCGTCAAGACAAACGACGTGGTCGAGAAGGTCATCGCCCCCATCATGCCCATACTGACGATGGCGGATCCCGAGACTGCGGCGGCGTACCGGTTGCAGCAGCAGTTGAAGGCGGGGGTCCAGGCCCAAAGCCGACAGAACCAGTCTCTGAGGCCCGGGGCATCGGCCGGTCCACAGCCAGCCATGCAGCAGCAGATCGTTGGTGTGGATAACCTGGGTCCGCTTATCGCCATGTTGCAGGCTGCTGCTCAGACGGGCGACATGCAAGGACAGCAGTCTGGAGGTGGCTCGGAGGCGGTCTTGCTAGCGGCTCTGCTTCAGCAGCAGATCCAGCAGCAGCAGCAGATCCAGCAACAGCAGCAGATCCAGCAGCAGCAGCAGCAACAGCAGCAGCAGCAACAGCAGCCACGAACATCACTGCAGACGCAGCCAAACCGCAAGCCCGTCCCGTCGGCGGCGACTAACAACGCCCCTGTGGTTCAGAACTCGGGACCTCCTCCTGTTGGCACAGCACCAGGGGCCCCAGGAAGCGCGCAGAACCAGGGTGCCCCCGTTCCTTCGCTTGAAACCCTCCTTGCTGCGCTTGCCCTTCATGCCCAGAACTCCCAAGCCCAGAACTCCCAAGTCCAGAACTCCCAAAGCCAAGTACAACAACAGCAACAACAAGCCAACCCCGCCGCAACCCAGCCGCCCGCCCAGCAACCACCACCCCCCCAAACCCCCCTCCCACAGACCACCACCCAGGACCCAACCCAGGACACCACCAACTGGGCCCACCACCGCGCCCGCGTCTTCGGCATCCAAGACATCCTCCTACCCCCACAGCACAACCTCTCCTCCCCAAGCCGGACAATCCTAAGGGGCGACATCCACCCCACCATCCTCGGCGGCTCCTCCCCGGCCCACTTCGAGATCGAGCTCTTCTACAACCCAACCCAGCTCCAGCGCCGCATCGACGCCCTCCAATCCCCTTCTTCCTCCCCGCCCTTTCACCACCTCCTCGAACCCCTCGCCGCCCGACCAGACCTCAACCCCGGCGCCGCCATGGCCGCCGACTGCGTCGTCCAGCGGGGCAACGAGGTGAGCTACAAGGCGATCCTGCAATCGCCCTCCCCGCAGGGCCACGGCCTCTGCATCGCCTCCTTCGCGGATGCGGCGGCGGCAGCAGACCACCTACCCGGCGCGCGCGCCGTCGTCCGCGCCATGGCGCGGTCCATCGTCTGGGGGGACTTTGCGCTCGTGTGTCGGGACGTGTCGGGTTCTGTTGTCGGGACGTGGCGGCGGGGCGGCGGCACTGACACTGGTGGTGGTGGTGAGGAGGAGGGGAAGAGGAGGGCGGATGAGGAGGCGGAGGTGTACGTTTTCGACGGCGGGTCGGGGCGCTTCTCGTATGATCGCAGCGCGCGGGGCGGAGGTCCCGAAGCCGAAGCCGGGCTCGGGCTCGACCATACGGGGGGTTCGTTCCAGGTGTTTGAGTATGAGAATGGGGTGTGTCACCTGGTGCTCACGGAAGACGACCCCGGCCGCCAGAGCGCGGGGGTCTGGGTTGTTGAGCGGGGGGAGGGTGAGCTGGTTGTCGAGGGGAAGAAGTACCTTAGGGTGTAAGCTGGGCGGGGGGGCTCATTGATGTAGAACAGCCACGTCGCTGCCAGTTGTTGATATAATCATTTTGTCGGACTTGTCGGACTGTAGGACCCATTCTCCATAGGTAGACTGTAGGGGCCACCAGTGTGTCACAGCCCTGTCAAAGGCCCCTTTTTACTACAGGGAGGCCCGTCGCTAAGATGCGAGACACGTAGACTTATAAGGATTAGAGACCTGCCTCGCATGCATTTCCAGGCAGCCAGGCGAACAGTCTCAGTTGCGAAACGGCTATCAGAGCAGATGCAAAACAAACACTCATGTCATCATTGATCCTGCTCTATGGCAATATACGGGCTCAAAATGGTCTTCTTGAAGAAAAGAGAGAGTATGTAAAAAAAAACAAAAAAAAAAAACAAAGCGTGGTCCATCCAGCTCCTGTCCTGGATCCAGCATTGGAAGGAAGAAGCCGTTCATCGAACTGGCTTGGTGTTAACAAAAGAGGGATGTTAAACAAAGTAGGATGACATGAATTAATGAGTAAGCCCAAAGGGAAAGTGAGTGTTTCAACACAAGACACACGAAGAAGGGGCAAAAGGCAAAAGAGAAAAAAAAAAAAAAAAAAAAAAGAGTTCCCTAACGCCGCCTGACTCCCTTTACTCCCTCAATGCTCAAGGGGCAGGGAGATATCTTCAGAGGGGTAGCCGTAATCAAGCCGTACATTGGCGGTGTTTACCGTCCGATAATACATTTTTACAGGGGAATCCAGTCCTCGAAGGGGGAAGCGTGCACCAGACATTATCATTTCCATCTTTTTGTCGACCATGCCGGGAAATTCCCGCCTCTCATCATCTGACGGCTTCCCGGCGGTGACCCTCGTCGTCGTCGTTGACCCCCTCGTCGAGCCGCTTCCGCCAGTCCGCGAGGCTCTCGCTCAGCCCGAGGCCCGGGCCCGCGTCCTTCTTGGCCCCGATCGCCCCGGGCCCGGCGGCCGTTTCGAAGTCAAACGTGCTGCTCATCCGGTAGTTCTTGCTCGTCGCCTCCCAGTGCGTCCGCAGCGTCTCCAGCTCGCTTGCCAGGTGGTCCAGCGCCGTGCTGTTCCGCGCGTCGCCGAGGCCCCCGTAGAGGCTCCCCGCCTCGCTCGACTCCTGCCTGGCATGGCTAACGCCGTTGGTGCCCCCGACGGGGGGGCTCGCGTCGGCAATCATGTCCGAACCCATGCTCGCCACTTGCCTGCTCCGCCGACGGTACGTGTCGACGCTGGTCTCGACCTGATCAAGCAGCAGGCTGACTTTCTGTTCCGCGTCCAGGGCCCGGCGCTCTAGGAGCGCGTTCTCGTGCTGTAGTTCCTCGAGATCCTTCCTGCTGCCGCTGAGCAGACGAGTCGCCTCCTCGCTGCTGTGAGCGGCCGTGTCCCGCTCTTGTTGGGTTTCGGCTAGCTCCTGCCTGATCGACTGCATCTGGTTCTCCAGCTTGGCGGCGGATGCCTGCAGCTCGGCCTGGAGGGAGTCGATCTTGGTCTGCATAGCCTCCCTCTGGCCTTCCCAATCTGCCGGCGTAGAATCGGCAACCTGATTCGAACCGGCTTCGACCTTGTCTTCGAGCTCCACGATCTGTTCCTTGAGCCGGCTGTTCTCGGTCTTATACCGCGCCAGTTGCTCTTTAAGCTGCTTGAGCATCTTCTCCGTGCCCTTGACGTAGTGGACCGCGGACTGATAGTCGTTCTCGAGCTGGGCAAGCTTATCACGATAGGCGGCCTCGGATTCTTGGGCCTGCATGGCAGCTACGGCCTTGGTCTCGTCATGGGCGGCCACGGTGGTAGCTAGCCGTTGCTCGAGTTCGCGGAGGCGCATTTGCTCTGGCGAACCTTCACGCGGGCTGCTAAGACGGCGTGACCGGGCGGCACTCGTCGGGGAGATGCCACGCTCGCCCAGGATATCCTTGAGAGTGTTGTGCTGGACAGTCACGGCGTTCGTCTCCAGCTGCTGGTTGGCAAGCTGGTTCTTGAGGTCCGAGTTTGCGGCTTGAAGCGTCTGCGTATCCCTCAGGGCACTCTGGAGTTGGCGCCGGATCGAGACGCCCTCGCGGCTCGCCTGCTCCTGGTAGGCCTCGAGGCCGGCGATGCGCTCTTCGGCGCTACGCAGCTTGTCGGATGCGCTATCCGCTTCTTGTTGATATTTCCGGACCAGGACATTGGCAGCGTTCAGTTGACCCTGCAGGGCACTGACGCGATCGGAATCTGCAGTACTGGATCTGCCGACGTCCCGAGTCGATATCTTGTCTAGACCTGATAGGACGGCCTGCCGGTGTAACCTAGCCTCGTTGGCATGCTGTTCAGCAAGCTCTTCCGCATCTCGCAGGCGCTGGGTTGCCACAACCAGCTCCGCAGTGCGGGCCTCGTGTTCCGATTTGAGCTTGGCCAACTTCGACTCGACGTTCTCCCGTTGGCTCTTCTCCTCTTCGAGCTTGCGCTCTAGGAGGGTCTTCATCTCTGCGGACGCCGCCATGGCCTCGCGGAGGGAAGTAAATGTCTCGCCGTTGTCTCTCGAGCTTCCTAGGGCGTCGTCGTATTGGCTCTTGAGCTCGCCCGTCTCGAGCCGGAGCATCTGTGCTGCTGCCACGGCCTCTGCCGCCTGGACTGCTTGTTCCCGGGCTTCGCGCTGCGCTAGGTGCAGCTCGGCCTTGAGTCGCTCGACCTCCAGGGAGGTCTGTTGCTTGTACGCGTCCAGGTCTGCCATCCTCTTCTGCGCCGCGTTTGAAGTGTCGTCAGCCAGCTTCCGTGCCTTCCTCTCCGCCTCCACCTCCGCGGCCAGGCGGTCCAAATGGGCTTGCAACTCTTTCTGAGTGTTGAGCGACGTGGCGAGCTTCCTGTTTATATTGGTGACGTGGTCATCGCTATCCCTGTGACTGCCCAGTTGGGGGGTGCTTGCCGCACTTCCCGCGTACGCTGCCAACTTGGCCTTCGAATATATCGCCTCGTGAATGGCAGCGTCCCGCTGCTTCTCGGCTTCCGCGATTTGCTTGGCGGCGAGTATTGCTTGCTTGTCAATGGAGCTCTGGACATTAGCCAGTTCTGACCGCATTGCAAGAAGGGCCTCGATCAAAGGCTTGTCGTCGTCGTCAAAGGTTTCTGCGCCCCGGCCGTCGAGGACGGGGCTTAGGGACGCGCTGGTGACGTAGCCAGCCTTCCTCGCGAGTTCCAGTTCCGATGCGTACCATGCATTCCGATTTCGCGCAGAATCCAACTCCTTCAGAACCGCCACCGTCTGCGAATTCCTTGCAGACGACCTCCTGGAGAGAGGGTTGCTGGTTTGGCGGGTGGGAGGCGGAGGCGAGGACGGTCGTTGCACGACAGTCTTCAGGGCTGGTTCCGTGGAGCTGTCAACAGAGCCTTGAGATCGGCCTTGCCTGGACGGCTTCGGTTTTGGCACATCGGCTGCTGTGATGGGCTCGGCTGGCTTGGACACGGACCTCGCTGCTTGTGCTTGCTGAGTTGGCGTCCGCGTTCCATTGGTCACAGGGCTCTCGTTCCCTTTGGTAGTGGGTCCTTGCTGGACGACGGGGGACTGAGTCAGGCTAGTCGTGACCGGAGACCGTTGTTGAGAGTCGCCTCGTTCCGTGGAGGCGTTCCTGCTCCTGCTAACCACAGTGTTCAACGCCGGTCTGGGAGGTTGACCCTGTGGCGGTGGACCAGCAGGGCCGATCGGAGGAGCGACTCTGGGGAGTTTCGAGCCGGAAGGATTGGGTGCCCCGTTCACCCCGTTTACTTCGGCACCATTCGTGATTCTCGTACCATTGGGGCTATTCACGCCGCTCCCCTCTCTAGCGGCGGCACCGATAAGTCGCTTGGAATCCGCAGGTGGACCTACAGAGCCGTCGCGCAATGCCAGGGCTCTGGTTGCATTCAGAGTCATGGGTTCGTTGGCACCCGGGCGCCGGGCGGCTGGGGCTTTCTGAGAATTGGAGCTGGCCTGGGAGTCGTTCGGGTAGCGGATCTTGCTTGTATCGAGACAATAAACCAACCCGAGGTCGCTGACGGAGGTAGCCGCCGAGCTTGGCTCACCACCAACCACGACTACTGCCTTGCCAACAGCGGTCATGCTGTGTCCTGACCGGGGCGATGGCGACGGCCCCATGTTCTGGAACGTGTACCAACGGCGGGATGAGATTCGGAAAGCCGCAAGGTCTCCGAGATCCGAGCCTTCCTCTGTCCGGCCGCCAAAGATATACATAACGTCGTCGACAATCGCAGCCGCATGTCCTTCCCTCGGAATTGGAATGTACCCTATACAATCCAGCTGGGTCCAGAGGTTCGTCGTGGGATCGTAGCACCAGACGTCATTAAACCATTGGAAGCCGTTGGTTCCGCCGAAGCTATCTGGGTTCAGCAATGGCCGCCTGCCTGGGCACTCCAAGACCACTTACAGGTACATCTTGTCATTGTAGGTCACCACCGAATGATTAGTTCTGGCGGGGGGTGTCTTCCCCTGTGGCGGAACAGCACTGTCACTGTTTGAGATGAGCATCTCCCACTTGTTATTCGGCATCTGCAGTTGATTGAGATCGAAGGCGGCAAGATCGTTCATGAAGTAGCCCTCGACCTGGCCACCAAAGATATAGATCTTAGAACCGATGATGTTCAAGGAATGTCCGTACCGGCCAGATGGCCGGGTCCCGGCCGGCAGAGCTCTGGACCACTGTCGTGTAGCTGCAGTAGGGTTAGCATGTCGTGCGCCGCCCGTTTGACCCACGGCCATCGTGCTCCAGGAAGGAGTTCTCACAGGTGTTCAGCAGGTAGAGCGTCTCGTCAAGCACATCCGCCTCGTCAATTTTGGTGTCACCTCCGTAGACGATGAAGGCATTCCCGACAAGCAAGCTTGAATGCCCAACCCTCGGGCCAGGCCCTTCCGCCGTCGTCGCAAGCGGGTAGCATGCCATGTTCGCACCGGCCTCGATCAGCCACAAGTCGCCCTTGACTGTGGAGCTGTTGATCAACCCGCCCATGACATAGATGTCGCCTTCTTTGGAGGAGACCGAATTGACCGCGGCGCCGTATCGAGGAAAGGGACTCGGGTGGGACGAGGTGTAAGTGATTCTCCGCTGAGACCAAGGATAGAGGGAGGCGTTGGGGTTGGTGACCATCTGGCCATTATTTCGGAACTAAGAACCGGACTATGTGTCAGACAAGCCGCCAGCACATGTGCGCCGGGCACGATACGGGGAGTGTCGAGAAGTTGGGGAGACTCACCGGTAAATCACTCGCCTGCAGTTGGGGCTGCTGCTTCGGGGACGATTGCGACGTCTGGTCCGTACTCTGGCCGCGCGGACGCCCGTAGGCATGATTCTCCGGACTGCCCATGCTGCCCTCGTTATCCAGCGAATTCAGACTGCCTGTCGGTGTCGACCTCTGGTGGGAGCTCTTCTCCTCCCGGGCCACGCGCGCAGTTGCGCCCTGCAAGGACGACTGCGAGCTCGGAGGGCCATCTCGGCTGGTGAGTGACCTGTCCTGGTTCTTCTTGGATTTGAAAAGGAAGGCCATGGCGGTTGGAGCCGCTCGGCAGACGAGATCTCAGCTGAGCTGCCTGCCTTTGCCTCCAATGCACAGCCTCGAGTGCAGGTTTGCCTGTCCCTCCTGTTCTCGTTTTCGGGATCGTCGCTGCGAAGGGCCGTTGCGGATGAGCGGGTAGACGCTGATTGTGGTGGTGGTGGTGATCAGATTCGGCGGCAGCGGCAAAGCCAACTGGACGGCGGAGAGGTGCGAAAAGCTGCAAAGGGGTCGAGGCTCAAGTTTATGGATGGCTGGGAGTGCATCGGTGGAGTCTGGGGTTGCTGGCGGAATTTTTTTGGGTCGGGAGGGAATTGGGATTTCGACCTCTCGCTTTTTCCCCCGGAGTCCTGGGTCCTGGCAAGTAGAGATATCGAAGTCGCGGCTGGGGCTGAATTAGATTACTTTTCAGGATTGGCTGCGATGAGGGGCAAGCGCCTCTAACGAAGGGCTATCACGGGATTTCCGATGATGCGCGACGGGAACAGAGATTAAAGAATGGGCAGGATGATGCCGTCGATGACAGTCAAATCTGCTTGTCCCTGCTTACGGGATGCAGGAAGGCGGAGGAGGACATTGGCGTTTTCTGTGCTTGGTTCTCTTCTGTTGCATGCTCGAGAGGCTGGCCAGCCAATCCTGAAGCCTTGTCTTTAATAAGGCACAGGGGTGGTGATGGAATTCTACATATGTACATGTACAAGTATCCTTTTCAGGGGCTTTGTTTTAGGCGTGTCATTGCATATTAAACTTGCAGGAATTTGTGGGGTTTGGAGTACCGGTACCCAACCAGCCCTCATTACGACATCATCGCCCAACCCCCGACCCCCAACTCGCAGGTCAGGGGCACATTGCAGCAAAAAAAAGACCAGACCAGACAGGCAAATGGGATGCAACAGCTAACCCCATACATAGTAAACGTTCATGGATATTTGTTATATTTGTATTAGGTGACTTCGAAGTTGGAAACCGTCAGACCAGGTTTATTCCCTGGTGTCGGAAATTATAGATAAAGCCGAATACTGTCGTTTTGGCTGCCAAGTTCGGCGGGTTACGGCGTTGATGCCGCTCTCCCATCCCCCCACGCGTGGAGATATCAGCCTCAGTCATACTAACTCCCGCATGCTCACTCTTGGTGTAAGATATTCTAGTGGTCTCTGTAGTCGTGCCCCGGCCTTGAGAAATCATTCAAGACCCCTCCAATACTTTAGCCATGGGTGGGTTTTAACCCCGGGCATAGTCGTGATATCCCTATCTGTGTCTCCATTGGCATCCGACAAGTAATAATGTATCATCCGCAGCGTAGACTGTCTCGATGGTGCTAGCTTGATAACGTCACCACATCTTGTCGGCCGACCCACAAACGTCAATTCCAGGCGATCAGGGACATCTTCGGTAAACCGGTCTGTCTCCTGCCGGAACCAAACTTGAACGTCTCGAATAAGTCTCTTACCCTTCTTGATCCACCAAATCCAGTGCACATATTCTCTGATATGCCCCTGTTCCAACCAGGGCCAGAGATATGGTTCGATGGCAGCTTTAGCAACATCTCCAAATGGTCGCCAGGACAAGGGGATAGACGTAGAGTCTTGGAGGCGAAAATTGTAGCGGTGCCGGAGAAGATCAGACTTTATAACCATACCTGTTGTTTCTGGGTAGACGCATAAGGATTCTTCGTCTAGGAATGACTGGGGTGACCCAGTCCAAGCAGCCACAGCGATATCAGGTGGTGCCATAGAAGCAAAACCCCAACGCTCTTCAAGGGTCTCCAGATAACGGGCAATCCAGTCAAGAATGGTGGGATTGCCAAGGAGGAAGATGCCTAGCCACCACAAAGCAACACGTGGTCGGCGGAGGACGAACACTTTGGCTAGCGTTTCTGGATTCCGAGAATCGATGATAGGCTTGATCACACTCAAGATCGAACTTAGCCATGGGCTGACAACATTGCATTCGATATCTGGTTGCCAAAATATGCTCCAAAGGACGGATCCAAGAGACCTTGGATGCATACTTAGTGTCATGTAATATCGAAGATCGCTGACATATTGGCGAATTGGTTGCAGCGTGGCAATATCAATCCGGCGTCTTCTGAGCTTTGGTATAGAGAATTGCGGTTGAAGGTTAACGTGTCGATAGAATGGAAGGGCTAGTGCTGCTAAGAATGCAGCTGTAGGCGGGGATAAGGGTTTAGACATTTGGTCACCTCCATTATCAGGTCCAAGTCCGTAGAGGCTGCAAATCTCAATGAGAAGCTCCACAGCCTGGGCAGAACTTGGTGGCTGCTCGTTCAAAGCAAGTGCTATAGGCTGGTCGGTGGAGATGATGAAACGTGCATCGCCAGAGCAGAAGGCTGCCCATGGTGGGAAACGTCCACTAGCTGCCAACCAACCAGGCTTTGGTGCAAGGATAGCGCAGAGCCACCTGACCAGTTCGTGGGACGCAGCTTGGAGGTTGAGGATGATATCGTCTTGTTGAGCATTGCAAGTTTTCGCAGGCTTGGGAGGAAGGGAGTATTGAGAATATTGGATTTTCTCACCCTGCAGCTCCAAGAGTCGAACAGAGAGGATGTACAACCACAATAGCGTCAAGATAGAGAGACTTCTTGAAGTGGCTGAAGGGCAACTGTCTGAATGCGGAGTACTTCCGAAATGGGAAGAACCAGGTAGTGAGGAGAAGCGGCATTCGATAGAATTTTGGATACGAGAAATAGTACTCTTTCTGGATGCTGCAGACGTACTCTAGAGAATTATTTTCGTTTCGTGGATGCTCTTCTCGTTCTTGCTCTGGGCTTGGTATATGCCAAACTGGTTGTCCAATCAAAGCCTTCGTGGGTATTTTCTCTGGGAGCGCGGGAACGTCTTTCAACATAATGGAGGGCTCCATAAGTCCTGGTGGGAAGGAGTTTGGAGGTAGGGCCTCGGCTGACTTGACGAATTGCTTCCATGTCTCTCGACCCTGGTGAAAAATACGATCGATGTCGGCCGACTTTGGGATAAGAGGGTCGTCGTCGGCGCCAAAGAGTTCGTCCGGAATAGAAGACGAACTAGAAGTCCCTCCGGACACATCGTTACTAACTGAGGATTCGACAGACTGGTCTGCGTCGCTTGGCCCCGATTCCGTTCGTACACATTTGATCTTCACGTAGTCCGCTTGGATGATGTGTTTCCCAGTACGTGCCCAAATTTGACAACGTCTAAGGTCCATAGTTCTGAGCAGAGCCTGCTATGAACTGCCTTGAAGACGGGATGGGCGCGGGTTGTCATTGACGAAGGCGGATCATCGATTGCATGTTGGGCGCGCAAGACGCGGTTAGGTTGCTGAGTGGAACAATTGCGGCTGAAGCTCCCCAGCTTTGAGTTGCTCGCACGGGCCATGGTGGGGCTAACGCAAAACGGCTCTCTACCTTAATCGTTCAAGAAGTACCTACCTACCATAGAACAACTCATTAATTCCTCCTGTCGAAGAAGATTTAGGCTGTAAGGATTACCTATATTTACGTTTTTCTTGGCCAAACCTTCTCTCATAGAATCTCACGACCATATGCTGTTTTGCTGATGGTTTTAGTGGTTTGCTCGTGCCACCCCAAAGTGGCCAGTGCGAGGGTCATGTTATGGTCAGCGGTCTGACCGAGGTACCCAGGTATACTTTGCTTCGCCTACCAACTGCGGTAGAACGGCTCTGCGCTTAGGCGTTCTCCCCCATAGACAACCAACTTTACCTCGACTTCACATCAGGTGAGCTGGTATGTATTTGCTTTGAGGAGGACTGGTGGGCTTTCACCGCTTTCGGACTTACAAGAGCTGCTTTGGATACCCACTTGGTAAGCCTTTTGATGAAGCGATTCTGCCGCCTCTGTCTAACTTTGGGAGTGGTAGCAACTGGCCTCCCTTCTCGCCGCCGCGTCGCTTTATGACCAATTCACCAATCGCCGAATCGACGCCTCCCCACGACCCCGCGACCAATTCACCACACACACACACTCACACAGACATAACATACCGTTGCAATTCTTTTCGCCTTGTCATTGCTGGCAGCTAAGCAGGGGAAACCATGTCTGCGACCCAAGCGTGATTCACTATGACTGCGCTTTCCCTCCAAACACCTCACTCCGGCCCGTCTCCCCACAGACCGCAAATAATCAACTCGACCAGGTCTTCCTCGGCTTCAACTCCAGCGAGCCACCTCCCTACTCAACACTCCCAGGAAGCGCGTAAACAAGGACCCAGCCAGTTTCTAGAGCCCTCCTCTGGCAACCACGCGATGCCTTCGACCGACTATACCAACGGCAACAACTCGGACGCCGGGCGCTCGCCAGCCCATGTATGGGCACCACAGAATGGCAGCTCGAACCACGATACAGACCCCTCGTCGTCCCGGCGACCTTCAAGCGCGCCTGGCGCCAATGATAACCCCGTAGGCTTCCTGAATCGCAGCGCAACCCATGCCAACGATCAGAGGCCATCCCAGCGCACAGCGAAGCCAGCACTCCTTCGATCCAAGAGCGAGTACGCCGCCTTGCGCAATGGCGAAGAAGATTACACAGACGAGGAGCGCCGCGAGTGGGGTGCTAGACACGGTTTTGAGGGCCACTACCAGTCAGAAGACATCATCTCACAGTTGGCGAATGTAGGTTGACTCTGATTCCATTCTCCTCACCCTGCCCCTCGCCCTGCCCCTGCGCCTCCTCCAATCCCCTTTGCGACTGCTAACGCGGGGCTATGTAGAATTGGTACATGTACTTCACAGATGAGCGGCATGCGTCGACGGGGAAGCCCAAGTCGCCGTCTTTCGAGGTTCAGGACTGGCGAATGCGAGACCGGCTCAAGACTGTCTCTGCTGCTCTTGCGGTGTGCCTCAACATTGGCGTTGAGCCGCCTGACCAGCTGAGAACAAACCCAGGCGCCAAGATGGAGGCTTGGCAAGATCCTTCTGTACCTCCGGTGGGGAAGGCATTGGAGAATATCGGAAAGTCTCTCCAGGCCCAGTATGAGACTTTGGCCATCAGGACCCGCTACAAGCAGTACCTGGATCCGTCTGTGGAGGAGACCAAGAGGTTCTGCATCTCTCTCCGTCGAAACGCGAAGGACGAGCGCGTTCTCCTCCACTATAATGGCCATGGAGTGCCCAAGCCGACGGCATCCGGAGAGATTTGGGTGTTCAATAAGAAATACACCCAGTATATTCCCGTGTCACTGTTCGACCTGCAACACTGGCTCCAGGCGCCGACCATTTTCGTATGGGACTGCTCCGAGGCAGGAAATATTCTGAACAATTACCACCGGTTCGTGGAGAAGCACGAGCAGGAGGAGGAAGAGAACGCCCAGAAGGACGCCAACTTCGAAAAGACAGCGTTTCGGCCGTATATCCACCTGGCTGCATGCAATGTCAAGGAGAACCTCCCTACGAATCCTCTTCTCCCTGCGGATCTCTTCACCTGTTGCCTGACAACCCCGATCGAGATGGCTCTCTGGTTTTTCGTCCTCCAGAATCCCTTGACGACAAACCTGACCCCCGAGCGAGCCAGGAAACTTCCCGGTCGCTTGCAAGAACGCAGGACTCCGCTCGGTGAGCTCAACTGGATCTTCACAGCCATCACCGACACCATCGCTTGGACTACCCTCCCGAGAGATCAGTTCAGAAAATACTTTAGGCAGGACCTTATGGTCGCCGCACTGTTCCGGAACTTTCTGCTCGCGCAGAGGATTATGCCGGTGTACAACTGCCACCCCCAGTCGTACCCAGAGCTGCCGGACACGAGCAACCACCCGTTGTGGGATAGCTGGGACTTGGCCGTTGACATGGCTCTAGCCCAGCTGCCCATGTTGGAGAGGAAGGAGGCCGAGGGAATTGAGTACGAGTACGTCAACTCGACCTTCTTCACTGAGCAGCTCACCGCCTTCGAGGTCTACCTCACGAGGGGCGATGCCTTGTCGCGGAAGGTACCTGAGCAATTGCCTGTCGTTCTCCAGGTGCTTCTCAGCCAGCAGCACCGAGTACGCGCCTTGGTTTTGCTTGGCCGATTCCTGGATCTCGGCCCCTGGGCAGTTCAGCTTGCTCTCAGCATCGGAATCTTCCCATACGTTCTAAAGCTCCTCCAGTCAGCTGCGAACGAGTTGAAGCCCATCATGGTCTTCATCTGGACCCGCGTCTTGGCAGTCGACATTAGTTGTCAGCAGGATCTAATTAAGGATAGTGGCTACAATTATTTCGCGTCGATAATGAAGCCTCACGAGGATCTCCCCGTCGTGGATGTCAACGAGCACAAGGCAATGTGCGCATTCATACTTGCCATGCTTTGCAAGGGCCATAAGCCAGGCCAGGTTGTCTGCAACTCGACCGACATCATGACATCCTGCCTGCAGCTCCTGAACGATAGGGACAATCCCTTACTCCGACAGTGGTCGGCCCTCTGCATCAGCCAGCTATGGCAGGACCTTCCCGAGGGCAAATGGAGAGGCATCCGGGAGAATGCGCACGTGAAGCTTGCAACGCTGATACGGGATCAGTGCGTCGAGGTGCGGGCTGCGATGGCGCACGCCATGACCACGTTCCTTGGTATCCCGGACCTCACGGACGAGGTGGCACGAATCGAGGAAGCAGTCGCGTGGACAATGCTCGAGTTGGCTAACGACGGTAGCCCGGTCGTTCGGAAGGAGCTGCTCGTCTTCTTCTCGCAGTTCGTCCTGCGCTATGAGCACCGGTTCCTCGTCGCGGCCTATGAGCAGCTGCTGGAGGAGAAGGAGTACCTGCTATTCCCGCCTACCGAGGATGGCCAGGACCACAAGATGGGCCTGCACTACGCCCGGCCAGACAGCCGCGAACGGGACGGCACCATCAAGCCCTCGGCTTTCGGCATCGCACACAACTCGGTCTACGCCGCCTGCTGGAAGTATATGAACATCATGAGCGTGGACCCTCAGCCCGAGGTCCAGAGGGACGCAACCATCATCGTGGATTATGTTCACCAGGCGCTCCTGCACTCGGACGTTGGGTTGCAAGCTCAGGTTCTCATGGACGAAATCCTCAGGCGCGCTAGGAAAGTGTCTCGAGGAGACATGAGCCAGAGAAGCAGTGTCCTTGGTACCAGCGTCGCCGCTGCGCAGCCCATGCCATCGCCGGGTCTTCTTAAACGAACGGCTAGTTACCTGTTCGGCCCGTTGTTAGGTGGTGAGATGTCGGGCAACCCGCTAACCCCCCCGGCGTCGCCTGGCCTTCAGAGGTCGGCGTCTCAGCGGAGCCGGGCAGGCTTCATCAGCGACGTAGCCCCCCCGGAGCATGCCGACCAGAGCACAAGCCCTGCCAACTACCACGTCGCCGACGAACCCCTTTCGGCCGGCTACGAGGAGCGTAGCCTCATCGAGCCTCCTAGCCTACCCCTGCACAGCACCTTCTTGGATTGGTCGATCGAGTACTTCCGGGAGCCGCAGATGAGCCCGAACGAGGCCGAGGAACCCGGCAGCGTGGAGCACAACGCGCGCCTCTGGCGACGGTCGCGCAACGAGGGCATCCTCCGGGAGACACAGCCACAGAAGGACCATGCCAAGAACCACAAGTGGTCCGTTCCACAGGGAGCCATCAACAACGGCGCGCAGCCCACCAAGATGACCTTCCACCAATTCGAGAACCAAGTCGCCGTCGCCGACGATGGGAACACTGTTCAAGTGTGGGATTGGGAGAGACAGAAGCCGAGGAGCCGGTTCTCGAATGGCAACCCCGAAGGATCGAAGATCTCCGACATGAAGTTCATCAACGAAGACGACCAAGCGCTCCTGATGACGGGGTCGACAGACGGCGTCATCCGCGTCTACCGCAACTACGACAACAATGCGAAGGTGGAATTGGCGTCCGCCTGGAGGGCCCTGACCCACATGGTGCCTTCGAACTACACCTCGGGGATGGTGTTTGACTGGCAGCAGGTCAACGGGCAGGTGCTCGTCGCAGGTGACGAGCGCGTCATACGCATCTGGAACGCCGGCTCCGAGACGTGCACGCACGAGATACCGGCCCGCAGCGGGAGCTGCGTCACGTCGCTCACGTCGGACCAGATGACGGGCAACATCTTCGTCGCCGGGTTCGGGGACGGCGCGGTGAGGGTCTTCGACACCCGCATGCGGGCACAAGAGTCGATGGTGCGGAAGTGGAAGGACGACTCGAGGCAGTGGGTCAGGTCGGTCCACATGCAGCGAGGCGGGCAGAGGGAGCTCCTGTCTGCCAGCCGCAATGGCAAGATTCGCTTCTGGGACATCCGCATGGAGCAGCCGCTCAAGGTGCTCCAGACGACCAAGGATGTGCTGCGAACAGCGAGCACCCATGAACATCTGCCCGTGTTTGCTGTGTAAGTCTATCAAATCACCCCTCATCACCGCCCTCCCCCTCTTTCCCTCCCCCCTTCATCCATCCCACTCGCACGGTTAAGTTGTATTTTTCGGGATTTTTCTAACAATCCGCCGAATACAGTGGTACGTCCGCACATGTCGTCAAGGTGTTCAACTTTGGTGGCAAGGAGCTGTCGCGCGTCGAGCCCTATTCCAGCTTTCTCCAGCAGAGCAAGGGCACCCCCATCACCGCCACCGCTTTCCATCCCCACAGGATGATGCTGGGCTGCGCCGCCAAGGGAGATTACCACATCAACCTGTTCAGCTGTGGCCAAGAGAAAGTCAGCCTACCCTGAAGTTGGGACACTAACCACACGATGCTGGAGCTGCAGTAGCATCTCTCTCTGATGGCCGCTCAATTCCCCCAAGGGCTCGTTTTGTTGCCGCCCCCTCTTCCCCTTCCATGACTATATTTCGAGTATCTCTTCGTGTCGCCAGTTCGGGGTGGCACACTCGCGCGGCAAGGCATACTTCTTCGTTTTCTCTCTTTCGGAACTGGGCATGAGAAACCTAGAGGTCTCACGATAGACATGGATTTCCCTCCATCCTATTCCTAATAATAATCATAATTCGGCGACGACGACATCCTCGCACTTTTACGGATCCCTGAGCTCGGAATTCACCCGACTCGACGGAGGGAGCTGGAATATCGCATGGCTTGCACACACACACACTGGCTTGGAACTGGACTATAATGGCTACTGGGGCTGGCAGGACGGATGGCTGAGAGAAGGTATCTGGGAGGAGTTACTGTGAATCCTGGATCATGGGGACAACAGCTGTTTATAGTGGCTGTAGTAGTAGTAGTGATGGTAGTGGTAGAGGCAGTGGTAGTAGAATAGATACTCCCCACCTATAGGTGCGCTTTGGAAGTCTCCGTTTTAGTTTGGTGGAAGTCAAGATGCATGCCGCAGCCAGATCAGGATGCCTTGCATGGAGCTAAACAGACTTGACAGACAAGCGGTTCTGAAAGATGCCGACAAGCCTTGCAGGGTTTAGGCAAGTTCCGTTGCAGACGACTGTGAGGGGTTTATAAATAGTACGTCTTGGTATGCATGTGCAGGGTCTGGTCCATATTTGAGTACCAATGTCGTCCGGCCCAGATATACTTGCCAGAGAACTCTAGTTCAAGATTGAGCAACATGACCCCTCCATAGTATCCCTGTGGCCTATATGCGCACTCAAGATGAGGTTCGATTCGATTCAAGACGGATGGTGCCTGGAATCTTGCAGTTAAGGGTCTAGGCTTGTGAACTAGCGGGGGGGAGCTCTCTTATCTACCGGGAACACAAAATAACCCCACCTTCGATTGATAAAAAATCATTGAGAAATGACAATCACGCCTTCTCCATCCAATACACTACTAATAATTACCCTACCTACTTAAGCTTGCCGTCCCTTGGCTGCTAAGCAGCCCTCCACTTCCTGGGATGCAACATGCCGCACCTCGCGGGCCGTCAATATGCCTCACCCCACCCTGACGAGTTGCATCTCCACGGATGAAGAAGGCCAGACTCTGTTGTAATCTCCCTCGACACTTGCCGTAGCCGACGTCGAGGCAACGCGACCCAAGTGCAAGAGGCTTGCTCTTTCTGAGGCTGAGCTAGCCCCCATCAACATACATAACGGCCTCGAATTCCACCAGCATCGATAACCCACCTTCCGAGATCGGCCGAGATCGCCACCATGCCTCACGACGCCAGTCCGGGCGTCGATCTCTCCCATCTCCCCACCCACGTCCGCGAGCTCGTGTCTTCCTCCTCCTCCGCCGGCATACCGTTCCGGGCCCGCACACAGCACCTCCACAGCACCTGGGCGCGTACCTTCTCCAGCCTGCCCGAGCTATACATCCAGCCGGAATCCCTCCCCGAGATCGAGCATGCCGTGTCCCTCGCGCGGCGGTGCGGTCGCCGCATCACGACCGTCGGGTCCGGCCACTCGCCGTCAGACATCACCTGCACGTCCAGCTGGCTCATGAACCTCGACAGGTTCGACCGGGTCCTCGACCTGGACGCCTCGACAGGCGTCGTGACGATGCAGGCCGGGATCCGCCTCTTCCAGCTGTGCGACCACCTCGACGCCCACGGGCTCGCCATGCCCAACCTCGGGAGCATTAACAGCCAGAGCATCGCGGGGGTCATCTCGACGGGGACCCACGGCAGCAGCCTCCAGCACGGCCTGATCAGCGAGCGGGTGCTGTCGCTCAAGATCGTCCTCGCCGACGGCCGCGCCCGCGCCTGCTCGCCGACCCGTGACCCGGACCTGTTCCGCGCCGCGCTGCTCTCCCTCGGCGCCCTCGGCGTCATCGCCGAGGTGACCTTCCAGGCCGTGCCGGCCTTCTCGCTGCGGTGGGACCAGACCATCTACGACGACGAGACCGTCTTCGCCGCCTGGGAGGCGCGCACCCTGTGGTCGCAGGCCGACTTTGTGCGCGTCTGGTGGTTCCCCTACATGCGCCGCGCCGTCGTCTGGAAGGCCGACGTGGTGAGCTCCGCGGACCTCGCGTCGGGCCGGGCCGCGCACGTCGACCCGCCGAGGAGCTACTACGACGGCGCGCTGGGCTACTACGTCTACCACAACCTGCTGTACCTGAGCCGGCTCGTGCCGCGCATCCTCCCCTGGGTGGAGTGGTTCGTCTTCGGCATGCAGTACGGCTTCCGCGACGGCGCCGCGTCGACCATCGGCGCCGTCCAGCCCAGCCGCGACGCCCTGCTGATGAACTGCCTGTACAGCCAGTACGTCAACGAGTGGGCCCTCCCGCTGGACAAGGGGCCCTCGGCCCTCCGCCGCCTCGGCGCATGGCTGTCGCGCCGACGGCCCGCCGACCACGGCATCCCCTTCGCCTGCCCCGCCGGCTCGTACGTCCACAGCCCCGTCGAGGTGCGCGCCAGCGACTCCGGGGTGCACACCGGTGCGGCGCGGGCCAACAGGCCGTGGCTCGACCCGACGGAGCGGGGCGGGCCGACGCTGTACCTCAACGCCATCATGTACCGGCCGTACGGGCTCGACCCGCCCGGCCGCGACGACTACTACCGCGGCTTCGAGTGGCTCATGCGCGACCTCGGCGGCAGGCCGCACTGGGCCAAGAACTTCTCCGCCACCGCCGCCGACGTCGAGGCCTGGTACGGCGACGACCTGCGGACCTGGAGGCGCGTGCGCGACGAGGCCGACCCGCAGGGCATGTTTGTCGGGCCGTGGCATCGCAGGCTTGTTCTGGGGGGCCGTGGTGATGGCGATGGTGATGGCAAGGTCGCCGAGGAGCAGCTGCTGCTGCCGCTCGAGGAGACGGAGCTGAGTCCTGGCCGGGCGAGGAATGGGGGTGTGCTCTGGCGGGGCACCTTGGGAGGGGGAGGCAGGGTCTGATTACAGAAAGGGGCATGTGTTTATTTGCTGGGTATGTAGGGGAGGGTGATTGTTCCCCTGGACAGTTAGAATGCGTATTTTGCATAACGCGCATCGGGTTAGCCCTTGGAGATGATTGTTTCTGCTGAGTATGGGTTGCCGGCGCGCGATCCTCTCAAACCTGTTGCTCCCTCTCGATATGCAACTTCGCTTGGAACCTGGCTCTGGCTTACATTCTTTGTTCACTCGGCAACGTTCGGTGGCTAGTTGGGAGACAGAAGGCAACGATTTCGACATGAATTGAATAATACACACATACACACACTACGAGATTCCCACTTTATTCCTGAAAGGATGGAATCTCCCAGCTTGACTATGCCAGACAATACTTTCGAATAGGTATAATGTGAAAAAAAAGCCAGTAAAGCCAACCGGTGCTCCCCTTGAGAGTCGTTCTTCCAGTCTTTCTGATCATCGCCCTCTTTTTTCTTCTAGGGTCGATGTATCGTGCGATAGTGGAACACCAATAAAACAACCAGAGAGTCCCGTAATGTACCTACGAGAGCCACGGATATGAAGCGCCGAGATAGTAAGAAAAGCAACACACGATGCGGCTGGCTGGCTGGCTGAGAGAGAGACCGCTCACTCGTCCTCCTCCTCCTCGATCGGCGCAGGGGTCCTCCTCTCGTTCCGCCTCTTCGGCCGCCTGTGCCTCGAGCTGCTGATATTGCTGGCCGAGTCATCGGGCGCCAGCTCGGCGTCGTCGCCGCCCCAGTCGCTCTCGCTGGCCATGCTCTCCTCGTCGCCACCGCCGCCGCCGCCGTGGCCATAGCCCGCCTGCGCCCACGCCGGCCTCTCGTACGCGGCCGACCCGCCCGACGACGGCAGCACGTCGATGCCCGCGGCACCGGCCCCGCGCCGGTGCTGCAGGCTGAGCTGCAGGCCCGCGCTGCGCTGCCGGAGGGCCGTGCGCACCGCCTCGGCGCGCCGGTGGAGCATCTCGAAGGCGTCCTCGAGCGCCTCCATGCCCGCGAAGATGTCGCGCTCCACCTCGGCCAGCGCCGCCAGCTCCGTCTCCTCGTCGTTGGACACGGCGTGCCGGCTGGGGTAGCCCGGCGACGACGACGCGGAGCCGCCGCCGCCGCTCACGAAGGACGCCGGCGTCGCCCCGCGCGAGTAGGCGCTGAAGGGCGTGGTCGTGCGCGAACCGGGACCGGGGCCGGGGCCGAGCCCTGAGGTGCTGCTGTGACGGGCCATGCCCGCCGGGCTCATGGCTGCCGTTCTCGTTGGCGAGAAGAAGCCGCTGCTGGCGGGCGTCTGGCCGCGCGAGGGTATCTCGGCGGTAGGGGTGATCGCGTCGTCGGCGTCGGCGCCGGACCAGAGGAAGCCGTCGAACCGGCCGGAGATGAGGATCTCCCACTCGGAGGGGTTGATGTCGGTGATGGTGCGGAGGAGGTCGTGCATGTGCGGGTTCTTGACGAGGTATACGGCCGTCTCGCCGTCTCGTGGCGCCTGTTGGAGCCTGTACAGTCTCTGCAACGCTAGGCCGGACCTTATGACGAAGTCGTTACGCGGTCTGCGCAGCGGGGTCGGGGCCCTGACTATTGGCTGCACCTCTCTTAAGCCCAGGAGAAGGGCGTTGAAGAATGGCCTGTCCTCCGGATCAAGGTTGGTCAGGATAGCGAAGGATAGAGTCTCGTCGTCGACCTCTTGCGGCGGTGGGGCGGGCGATTCCGCAACATTCAACATCCATTTGTCGACTGCTGCTCGGGTTCGCTTGGACTGTCTAAGGTAGTGCTCCCTAAACTCTTCGGCAATATCGGGATCCATCTTCACCGGCGATGCCGGCCTGACTGGCAGATCTGCAATGTCTTCGGTCGCTCTGCTCGTCATCGACGCGAGGTCGAACGGCGGCCATTGAGGGAGACCGATGCGCCCGCTAACTCTCTCGAGGACTTCGCCCCAGCCCAATCCTCGGTGGGGTTCCCCTGAGCGTTCGCACATGATGCATGAGCACCCATCTGGCGGCAAGTCTCGTGAGAAGACATTCTCCAGCCGATCAAGGAGCCGCCGGGCGACTGTCCGATGACCTGTAGCGACGGCAACCGAGCCATTGGACGATAAGACGGTCTGATACTGGTCAAGTAAATTAACGAAGGGGGTGAAGAGTGTCTCGGCGCCTCGAAGTGGTGGGTTGGAAGGTCGGGTTCCACTCTGTCGGGGGAGCGCTGCGAGGAAGTTTCTCGGAATAGGTTGCGGCAGACCGCCGTTCTGCAAAAGATAATCGACCCGTGGAGCTTCTTGTATGTTCAACGGAGGGGGTGGCGGAGGCGGAGGCGGCCGCGCGGCAAAATCATTCGCCAGTATCTGAGATGGAGTCGGGCCTCTGCTGTCGGTCTGGTCAACCCTGATATTGGGTTGTTGCTGATACTGCTTCTCGTTCGGGAAGGCGGCGGTTGGAGGGAATTGGGCTGTTTGGGTAGGCGTCTTTGGTGACGAGTCCGGCGCGGATTCAGAAGACAAGTCGCCGTCGGCGACGTCGACTGCGGGAGAACGAGGGGTGCTTGATCTTCGCCCGTTGTTCACGGCATATTCTCCGTCCCTGTTCGTTCCGAGATGGGATGGCTTGGAAGCTGGCGCCCTGACAAAGGTCGCCTGGCTTGAAACCTTTGAGACCCGGGACTTGTCATCCTTGGTGGTGGACCTCGAGGCATAGGACGCTCGGGATCTCGGTCTCGATTCTGCCTCACCTCCTTCCTTCGCCGACGTCGGTGCGTCTCTACCCTTCTTCGCCGCAGAGAGGTCTGTATCGGGGGGAGTAGGCGGTCGGGTATCCCTGGGTGACTGCCTCCGCGATGAAGAAGCTTTTCGACTGGCAGGCGAATCCGCTGACTTGGTCCTTCTCATTTCCGCACTTCCCAAGTCCGTGGGCTCAGGTGTGAGCGGATCAGTGCCTCGTCCCGCCCGCATCGTCACATCGTCCTTGCTCTGTATGTATTCCTTGCTATGTGCCTTGCTAAAGGTCGGGTATGGCAGACTGACTCGATCCGTGGTGCTGGACAAATGAGTCCTTGAGAGCTCCGGTACGAGGTAAGCCATTGCGGAGGCAGTTGGCGGGTCGCCTCGATCGTCTTTGGTTCTCTCTCTCTCCTTGTCCTTGGTTCTGTGTCGGCGGTGAGATCGTGAGTTCGTCTCGCTATCCGTCGGTTTGGATTTGGAGGAGCGCGAGGACTTGTGAGGCCGAGACGAGGATAACGAGGATTCCTTGTCACGTTCCCTGCCCTTATCCTTCTCTCGGTCGCGGTCTCGGTCTCGGTCGCGGTCACGGTCTTTATGCCTCTCTCGTTCCCGATCTCTGTCTCTGTCCCGGTCTCTCTCTTTCTTCTCGGTCTTGGTTCGAGATCGGGTCTCACGTGGACGGTCGTCAACATCAACGTCAACGTCAACGTCAACGTCAACTACAGCCCTCTCTTTGGACGGCATGGTGAACCATGCCGGAGGGGGGCGTTGTCAGGCTATTTGAAGCGTTGGTGTAAGTCACAAGCGCCTTCTAACGGCACTCTGAATGGTTTGTTAAAACGATCCGAGCCCACAGTTGAGGATGCGAGTGGCGCAAGGATTGTGGTGTGATACAAGTGCAGGCGGGAGCTGTCCAGATTTAGAAAGTCCGGGCTGAGAATATTGACAACGCTCGAGGCGAGGTACCAGCATATGTTACAGAGATGGCGACTGGGTGGAGTGACGGGAACCTGAAGAGCCTGAGACGTTTAATAGAAGTTCAATAGGCGGCAGCTGGGCTGGGCTGGGCTGGGTTGATTAGAAAACGCAACTGACCGCGATTTGATAGCTTGAATCAAGGTCCGGGCCGGATCGCACACTGTGGGCCCTTCATTCAGTCGTAGCGTGGCTGCGTGGCATGCTATTCTACAGTGTAAAATGTTGCTTTTTCGCACGGAGTACTATCGAAAGCTCTGAGCTTCCTATCGAGTTGTCCATCTGCCAGCAGCCAACTTGAGCGTCTTTGCCAGGAGCAACCAACTCAGTGACTCAGACACGTGTAATATCTTGCAGAGAAACCGGCAGGATTGTCGATTATCGCACGGCTAGGAAAGAGAAAAGCCTCCACCCTCTACTGCAAGAATGACGCCGACCATTGGAATCCCGTTCCAAATTTAGTGTTCATCTGAAGTATTGGGTACCGACCTCCCTGCCCAGTTTGGTTGGGCATCAAATGTCCCCAGATACCTCCTAAGCGCCACTTCAACACTGCCGACCTCACCACCAACCACAGTCCGCCATCTTCCCACTGTCACAGCAATCGCCTCGAGGCTTTTGACGAGTCACCATGCAGATACGACCATTCTGTTGATGACCAAAATGCAAGGCACACCACTTTGCCCAGCATCGCGGCGCGTGCAACCGTCCTCGATATCTTCGTCCGCTCCGCAAGATATGGAAATCTGGACAACAAATTGGGACGGTTTCCAGATTGCCCTTTTACCCTTCTGATATGCCGCCGGCAGCCATCCGGCCCGGACTCCGCCCGGGGCCTATTTCGTGAAATACTTTGGAGGCAAACGGATGACATGTCGCCTGTAGTCTCCCTGCTGTTCATGTCAGGCACTGACTGTGGAATCAGTGGCACAACAACAGCAAGACACGTTGGTATTCTATTCTTGTCTACGCTAACCCTTGGTTTGACCTGTTTTTCCTCCCGATTTACTCTGCAAAGCAGAAAAACTCTCGCACCACTCAAGTTTTGCAGCTGCCAACCGATCCGGTCCGGTCGTGCGCCGCAACTCGGCCTGCGGTACTGAGAAACAGAACATTCAATTTTTATGAGCTCTCTTGGCGCACAGCTGTCATCTCGCTCTATGCTCCACCAGGACTTTCCTCACAAGCGGTCCAAGAGGCCTTGGCTCTCGAGCAAAAGCACGATCTGGTGGACGATGGAGCGCACGGATTGCTTCTCGCAGTCGACAACCATGTCCGCCTTGACGGGAGGCTCATACGGGTCGTCAACCCCGGTGAAGCCCTTGATCTCGCCTGCGCGGGCGCTCTTGTAGATGCCCCTCTTGTCGGTAGCCTCACAGTATTCCAGGGGCGTCGCGACGTGGACAAGGTAGAAGTCACCGTACTTCTCGACCAGCTCGCGGGCGTGCTGCCTTGCGTCCTCGAAGGGCGCGATCGGCGCCGCAATCACGGCTGCGCCGGACCTCGTCAGCTCCGAGGCAACGAACGCGATGCGCCCAATGTTCTTGGTGCGGTCCTCGCGGCTGAAGCCCAGCTCGGACGAGAGCTCGCTGCGGACCGTCTCGCCCAGGAGCATGGACACGGAGCGGCCGCCTTGCTGGTTCAGGGTGACCTGCAGCGCTCTGGCGATCTGGTCCTTGCCGCTGTTTTGGAACCCGGTCAGGAAGACGGTGAATCCCTGCTGGGATCTCGGGGGGTGAGACTCGCGCAGCACCTTCACGACTTCGGGGTACGAGAACCACTCGGGGATGTCGCGGCCGCTCCGCAGCCTGGTGCGCAGCTCGGTCCCGGAGATGTTCAGCGTCCGGATGCCCTTGGGGATCTCGTCGATGGGCGCGTACTCGTCGCTGTCGGGCAGGTAGGTCATCATCTGGAACGGAACCACTTCAATGCCCAGCTCGTCCTTGTACTTCTCGACCGCATACTGGGCATCGTAAGGGCCGTAGAAGTCGACGCCCTTGCTGTTCTTGCCCGGCCCGGCATGGTCGCGGCCGACGATAAAGTGTGTCGCGCCGTGATTCTTGCGGATAATGGCGTGCCAGATGGCCTCCCGGGGACCTCCCATTCTCATGGCGAGGGGGAGAAGACCGAGGACGGCCATGCCATTGGGGTATCGAGGGAGGAGAGCCTTGTACACACGCACGCGGGTGAAGTGGTCGATGTCACCCGGCTTGGTCAAGCCGACGACCGGGTGGATCAAGACATTAGCGTGGTGAGACCGGGCTGCCCGGACGGTAAGCTCCCTGTGGGCGCGGTGCATGGGATTGCGCGTCTGGAAGGCAACGACCCTGGTCCATCCCAGCTTGTCGAAGTGCAGTCGGATCTCAGCAGGAGTGTCTGTATCGGGGTTAGCTCCGAGCCCGGCAACCAATTAACCAAGCGGCACGCGACCAAAGCCTCACATCTTAAGTCGACGAAGTCATAGTGCTGCAGCCGGTTCACTGCCTCGAGCTTCCCCCCCACGTAGTACTCTTGTGCCGTGCTGAAGAGGTACTTGACAGCGGGGTGTTCCTCGTCACCGCCAAAGACTTCTTGTGCCTCGACAGCCCTGCGTGGCGCTCTTGGTCAGCTTTTTTTTTTTTTTTTGCCATTGAGTCGCGCAATGGCGCAACTCCTTGGCAAAGCATGGCACGGGGGCTCACTTGTCTGGCTTGTAGACGTCCTCGATGGTCAGGATGGCCAAGTTGCGGTCGTCTCGGAAATCCCGCAGAGTGATTCGCACTCCGGGCTTGAGGCCAACCTCTTGGATGGTCTCGCTCGACACATCAAGGGTTATGGGCATGCTGAAGAGGGTGCCATCGGCGAGACGGTTCTCTTTGACGACTCTGTCACGGCGGTGTTAGCTTGGGGGAGTCACCGCAGTGCCGAGGATGTAACCGGTTACCTGTTGTAGTCCTGCTCCGACATGAAGCCTGCGCGAAACAAGACAGATCAGCAAGTTGCCCCCCTTCCGTAGCCTATGCGCAACGTCGCAATTGCAATTGGGAGGAGGGGTAGGTGCCAGCCAACCCCGCCAAACACAAATTCACGAACCTTCGAGGGGCGAGAAGCCGCCATTGAGGAGCAATTCCAAGTCGCAGAGCTGGCGCTCGGTGAGGAATAGAGACGGGAGGTTCGCGGCTTCTTCGGAAAGCTCTGCGTGCCGGGGCAGATCGCGGGCAATCAGGTCCTTGAGGACGCCGCCATGGGGAGGGTTCGCCATCTTCAGGAGCTCGGCGAGTCGGAGAAAACAGGGTGTGTAGAGGACGGACAGAGAACTCGAGCACGGCAGTACGAGGCCTTTTTATCCAGAATCTTAAAAGACGACACGCAAGCCTATTCAGGGACCAAGCGAGAGCTGCAAGGAAGAGGCTACGGGTTCCTGCCTTTATATTACTACACGCCAAGTAGCCTTGCGGGATAAACGAATTCTGGCCAACGATCTTCAAGCAGATATACCACGGCAGAAGAAAAGGGAAAAAAATCCACAAAAATAGTAAAACCCTTTACTCAATCGGATAGTTTTCGCAATGGTACCTGTTCCGCCCTCCGTCCTCTCACCAGAATTGTGGCAAAGAAGCTTACTTTAGCGGCGATGACGTGCTCAGATGCCTTCCCCAGCGGCCAGGAACGTGTGGACCTCCCCTGGCCAGTGAGATGCACCGCTCGAGTTTTGCCAAATTTTGGGGTCCCCGGGCGAGATTGGCGAGGCAGCGATGACCACCGACAGCCGTGCAGAATGGTGTAAGTGGCCTTGAGAAGGACAGGTCTCTCTGGCAATTCCTGCTCTTTGCCTTGCTCATGAACCATATTCATGACTCTGTGGAAGGTATTAGCTGGCAGATAAAGTGGAGAGATCGCCCATGGAAGTGCACGCATTCGGCCATAAGCCGCAATGACCCATACGACGTCCCTGCCAAGACGGGCATACACGCAAGCCCATGCCTTTCGATATGAAACGGATATACGGATTACGGGCACTTGGCTTTGGCATATCTCGGATTGATTACAGGGTGTTGTGTCAACGACAGCAGTTGCTATGTGCTGTAAAGTACTCCGTTAAGTGAACCCAAAACCACGGCAAGGATCCTCGGGTCCCTAGATTGTGGGCAATTGTTACCCCGCAGTGCGTCCTTGATGCCAGCAGTTTTGGGTTTTGGCTTGGGGGTCCATATCTCCGGCTGTACGGACTACGGAACCCTTGATGCTGATTGCTGGACAGCGGCTAGGCGGCGCATTTCTGGATTCAAAACCATTCAAAACCCCGTTGTGCTGGACTTAACTCAGCGACTTGTCCATTTTATTACATATTTTATTTTTCTGCAGAGCGATGACCTCATACCATTCCTTGTCCTGCATGAAAACACACGGGCCTCCTGTGGGCGGATGCACGGCAGACCAAGGTCCCTCCAGCTCCGGGCTGGTTTCGCCATCGAACTTTGGTGTCTGACTGCTGTACTCGTACATACATACCATGCAGTCACGGAATGGGGATGTATCCTGAAAGCATGGCCCCTGGGATTGAAGTATCGTAAGGGACTGAACTGGTAGGTATGTAGCTGCATCGCGCCAATTGACAATTCGAAAGGAAAGAACCGATCAGGAGTTAACCAGGGGCAGTTGCGGCCTGAAGCCCTGGCGTTCGTAAGTGGCTGCCAACTAACTGGTCTGCCAACTTGGCAGCCAAATCGCCGGAATCGAGTGCGCTGAGCGAATCACCCTGCGCGGCTGCAGCATGTGAAGATACCTGACCTTACCTCTGTGAGCTAGGAGCTAGCAGAAACGTCGGCATTCCTTCTGCCCTGAATTGGGTCAGGACGGAAGGCACCGTCGCATCCAAAAATTGGGACTTTCAATACGAAGTATCAGTTTGGGCACACTTCATGCCGCAGGTCCCACACTGCCGTTGTTGTCGAATTCCTAGCCAATTATATGTTGCACCAGGGCACCTCACCTCAACTCACCTCATTGCTTTGTTTGTTCCGCAAGCTCCGACATAATGGAGGATTGAGCATTTTCTCCCAACCATCCCGTTCCCGTCCCACCATGAGTAGTGCAATGATGCGGTGTAGCTATATACCTACGCCATCACCTTCGTAACACCATCCTTCAACTCGCTTCTGCCGTTGATACTCCCTCCTTACATACCCGTTGAACTCATGGGCAGCTAGGTTCCTAGCAAGGTCATACTTAGGTACCTTGATTTAACATCTCTCTGGGCATAACCACTCCCATAAACCCTTTTCGATCCCGCTCGTTCTACCACCCGTGACGAGAGATAAAGGGCCACACCATTGCGCGTCGTGGCAGATATCGTCGTCTTGCGAAAACATCAGCGCTCAACCGATCCCCAGACCCATGTCTCCCTGGATTATACCAAGATCCGACTACTTAATCGGGATACCTTCGATTTCCCGAGTGATCCGCATTGAGTGAACATCGATATTGCGCGCTTGGATCCCCAGCTTCCACCTCGACTGCAGCAGCCGTAGGCTGTTGGTTCAGTCGTCCAGATGGCGGGTTCAACGCGAGCATACGCCCTGCTCCTCCTCTTCTCGGCCCTCGCGCTGCTCGCGCCTGTCTCTGCCCGGGAGACCAAATTCATCTTCGGCACCGATGGGGCGGGCATAACACGGCAGCTGGCCGTCGATCGAACACCAGCCCTATATACGGGCGATTTTGGCGATTGTCTTGGCGGCCAGAGCTTGTTCAACGTAACAAAATTCGATGCCGCCTACTATAAAGACAACATGACCATTGCCTTCCACATAGACGGCACCACGAACATCAAGAACGAGTCGCTGATGAGTAAGTGCGCCCACCCGTCCATGGGCCGCCTCACGCTGACTGATATTCGCAGTGCACATATCTGTTGACGCCTGTAAGGACACCTCCTATACGCCCTTCGAGCCTAACCTCCCCTGACTGACATTTCTCTTTCCAGACGGCACCAGTAGATTCTCCATGACGTTTGATCCTTGCTTCCTTAACATCTACAGGTAAGCCGGTTGTTGGGTTTCCGGGAGTACCGTCGTCGCTAACTGTCTCCTAGTCTTTGTCCTTTGAACGCCAGCGTGCCAATCACCGCATTCGCCGTCATCCCGGTTGGGCCCCAGCAAGTTGGAGGCATTCCCGAGATTGCATTCAGCATCCCGGATTTCGAGGGCTCGACCAAAGTACAGATATTCGCCAATTCCAGCAAAACGGAGATAGGATGTTTCCAGGCTGTCATGAAAAATGGCGCCAGCCTTTCACATCCCAACGCGGTTGCCCCTATACTGGGCATATTTACCGTCGTCGCCATCGTCGCATCATTCTTGACCGCCGCGTATGGCGTCAGCGTTACCCATATGAGGACCCACTACGCACACTCTTTGTCCATATTCGTCGTCTTCGAGACCTTTCAGACCATCTTCTTCTCAGGAGCTCTGTCTCTTAACTGGCCGAGCGTCCTGGTGGCGTGGTGGAGCAACTTTGCGTGGTCCGCTGGGATGATTCACAGCCCGGGAATCGCCAAATCTGTTGATCCTTTCGCCGGCGTCAGCGGAAATGCCAGCCAGGTGGGCGGTGCAGGATCAGTTGTCATCAACAACGGGGGCGGCCTAGCGTCGCAGATCTACGGCCGTTCGTTGGCCCAAGTCGCCGTCGCCCAGATTAGAAAGCGAGCACCCTACAACGCGAGCAACCCCTATGATTATACCTGGGCCGGCTCTCCAGTGACCCCGGGCATGCCAATGCCGGGCACGTGGGTCGGCTTTCCCGGAACCCTGTCCGGGGTCGGCATCCCCGCGGCGGGCGCTTTCTTGGTCGGCTTGATCTGGCTCCTCGTGGCAATCGGCTTGGTCGTGTTATGCATCGTGGCATTCAAATGGTCCTTGGAAGCACTGGTCCGCCTGAAATGGATCAAGGAAGACCGCCTGGCATTCTTTAGGATGCATTGGCTTCGTTATCTGACTGTGACCGTTCTGCGGACGCTCTTCATTGCCTTCTTCATGATTGCGACCCTTGCTCTCTACGAGTTCAATCTCGAGCCGCCTGCTGGCCCCCTGGCTATCGCGGCGCTGGTCCTTGGTCTCTTTGTTATTGTGGTCTCTGGACTGGCGTTTTACGCTCTCCACAGCCGTCTGCGGTCCGGCCAATTCACACTTCAGGCGGACCAAATCGTCATGTACCACGGGAAACTCTTCAGAATCATCCCGTGCATTTCTCTCACTAGAGCGAGCACGTTGAAGGAGCAGGAGTCAGCAACAAAGCCCCTCTGGACCGTGGCCTGGTTCCGCATTCGCCACGTCGATCCCGATATTTGGCGCCCTACGGTGCATCAGGACCAGGCATTTGTGAAGAGATTCGGCTGGCTCTCTGCAAGGTATCGCCGGACGAAATGGTGGTTTTTCGCCTATTACGTCGGGTACCAACTCGTTCGCGCCTGCTTCGTCGGCGGTGCCGTGCAGAATCCCTTTGTCCAAGTCTATGGACTTTTGGTCTTCGAGGTCGTTGCCTTCTTGATCATCGTCACACTCAACCCCTTCGAAGGGGCCCGTAACACGGCTTTGGCTGTGTGGATGCTCAGCATCACCAAGGTTGTTACGACAGGACTCTCAATCGCCTTCTTGCCCGCCTTTAACCTTGACCGCATCATCGCCACTGTCGTCGGGGTCATCATTGTCGTTGTCCAAGGATTCCTGGTCATTGGACTGTTGATCTTGGTGGTGCTTGGAGCAATCTCGTCGTGGATGTCTCTCAGCCGTAACCGGGAAGACTTCAGCCCGGAATCCTTGGACACCATCCGTCTTCGCTATTACGAGAAGATGCTGGCAAAGGCTCCGGATGGACCGCGTCCACAAAGGGAGAAAAAGGAGAAGGAGGAAGCCGAGCCAGAGGTGGCCAAGGAGCCGCATTTTGAGGTCACCTCTGTGCGCCGCGCCCCGAAGATAGAAGACGAAGACGAAGACGTCATTACGAGCTTGGAGGCAGCGGATCCGGCTGATATTCGCAGCGTCTCCCGGGCCAGCCGCGCCAATAGCCTCGGCTCGCGGCAGAGCGTGGGCAGTTTGCCGCGGGCGGCCAGGCAGCACCGGTCGTCCTGGTCGTCGAGAGACTTTGCACAATGGGAAGCCCAGATCGATCGGCCGAACAGCTCTCTGGCCGAGCGACTGACCAGCGGCAGCCCGACCGGCAGCGACGCCTCGGGCACGACACATGTCGCCAACGCCGCCACGAGGTTGGCGTCCCGGCCGCAGAGCAACAACAGCCTGCGGGCGCACACACCGGCCGACATGAGGCAGCCCAGCCCGCTGAACCCGGCGCGCTCGGGTACACCTACGAGGGATACACTAATGAAACATGTCGAGGAGAGGATAAGCGGGACCCTACGCCCGCCACCCACCACTGAGGAGGAATAGAGAAGATGGACGGTTGCGTTGCTTTGCAGGGGAGGGGATTACTTGATGACTTGACGATCATAAGATATGACCTTGCGGATTCAGGTGGGAAGACTCGGGAGACGACTTTTCCCCCAGCAGTACATATATTTCTTTCTTCTTTGCCTTCTATTCGCTCAGCATACCCCAACGTTCGATGTAAACGGGAGCGGTTGAGTCCTTTGGTGGGACGGAGCATTTGCATAGAGGCGGCGTCTAGCGTTCTGGCTGCACAAGCCTACCTTGTCTGTACACAGTAAACGAAGATACCATAGTGTAGTGTAGTTAATCTGACCAACAAGAGGATCTTGTAGAACCACTGCTTGTACAAAGCGAGACTGCAATTTTGGAGCATCAGTCGTGGCCTGGAGGGAGTATGATTCGGCAGTCCACTCTGCGACCTCGTAATGGCGGCTTGCCCCCCTGCTGCTTCAGACAGTATATTCTCTTAAGAGTCTTACCTCATGTTCCTACGCAGTAAACGGCTAGCAGCGTTGAAGATGCTATTGTTGAGAGTGGCCTTGTTGCTGTCGGCGATGCGGATCTCGGCCTCCTCCTTGCTGAGGTGATCACCAAGGATATCAGGCACAAGAACCCAGGCAGCAGGGTTGGTGCCATTCTCAAGACGATATTCCCAACTGTGTGCCGTGCCGTTCTCCTTGATCTCGGCGATACCCGGAACACCTCTCTCCCACAGAGTCCAGTAGAGATAGATCACTGAAGCTCTTCGCGCAACGATAGAAGGTGAATTGGGTGCTGCGGGTCTCGAAGAAGCCCTGGCTTGCGGAGGATCGTATCCATAGTTTGTCACTTTCAAGAGATCGGTGATCGATGTCGACGGTTGCAATTTAATGCATTCAGTATGGCACCCGAGAGCCTCTCCTGACAGGCTCCACGGCAGGCGCAGGATATTTTACCAGACTGCCGTCCTCGAACTTTCACCGTTCTGGCGTACTGCTTCAATCGGCGTATACGGTCATCAAGTCTCCCGTCTCCAAGGAAAGAACGTCGCCTACTTGCAGCACTTAACTCGCCATCTTGTAGCTTAAACCCGCAAAGGCCGCATCGTGGAGACACAGAGGATGTCCATTGGAAACTGCAGCTTGATGGATATTGGCCCCACGTTATTAGTAGGTGACACCTTCCGCTGCGTGCGGGGGTGAAGTCCCACCATAACGGCCGAGGGTCAACGAGGCCAAACTTCCGGGCTCAGCCCGTTACAAATAGGGGCTCTCAACGCCCATCTCATTCTTTCAGGGATCGACCTTTTATCATCATTATCACCTGTAGCATTTTGGACCCTAAGGGTAACTTTCTCTCCGGGAGACTTTTCGGTTATAGTTAGTAAGTGGGGGGATTGAAAGGACTTGGGTGGGCTTAAAAATGCTGTGAAGAACAGTAGTCCCCACCAGTCCCACGCCGTATTGGCACTACCTACCTAAGGTACCTAGGTACCTACCTAACCTACCTACACCAACGACGCTTCCGTGATAGGTGCGTAGAAAAACGGATGTCAATGTCAACCAAGGTTCTTGGTCCCGTAGGTCGTTGATAAGCCCGCAGTTTGGCCGCCACGCCTCTCTTTAACCCCGTCATCCACGGTTGATGAAGTTTCGTGCCCACCTCTGTCGAACACCAATTCATCCTTTGTAAAGCTGTGGCGAATTCTCGTCACCCCTCCCTGGTGTCCTCGCGAAGGGTCAGCAGAAGGGCCAGCGTTTAACCCTGCGGAAGCAGGACTGGCGTCTATCTCCATGGTCTCTCCTTCATGTCTCTCGGCGCTGTAGCTGGGACCGGCCACGCCTAGAGCCCCACGGGATTGTGTGACCGGGAAATCGTCGAGGCCTGTGGGTTCTGCGGCAGAAGGGGGCGCAACGTTCATCTCCACGGTCTCTCCTTGACCCATAGCGGCAGACCGACGGAGGTACGCATGCTCCTCGGGTTGCTCTGCAGTCGAGTATGCAACGTGGGCATACTGCTGAGCGCTGTAGCCAAGATCGGCCGCCCCTGGAACCGCACTGAACTGTCTGGTCAGGAGGTTGGCTTGTGGCTTGTCCTCATGGAAAGTCTGGCTTCGATTTCCCACGCTATTGGAGAATGCAAGCAATGTCAATCAACCAACCGTCTGTCTTGCAGCAGCAGCAACTATCGGTAGAATAGGAGCGCCAGGTTCTGGATTGGATATTGAAGGAGAGGTCTTGTGGCACTGTGGTGCGCAAAGAGTTGATCCACAGGTTTTCCGAGCGCGTCATCCGATGCGACGGCGTCAAGGACGCACTCGCCCCCGATTTCGCCGACGGCTTCCTCAATCGCCATCCGGACCTAGCGAAGACGCTTGTTGCCGCGCCGCAGCCGAGCCACAACAGGCCGAAGGCAGAGAAGGCCACTCGCGTAGGGGCATTCGATCGCTTAAAGGAAATGATGCGGCAGGATCGCAGACAGGCGCTCTTTGGCGACTCGCCCCCGCCCCCACGACAGCCTGCTGCTTATCCCGAAGGCGAGATCATCTATCACTGCAACAATCGCTATGTCGTGCGACACGGCGATGCCATCACGAAATACACGACATGCTCTGACGGCATGGGCGCGAACGACCACCCGAACGAGGCGCTAGCGCTGCGCTTCGTCAAGGCGCACACCACAATTCCGGTGCCCGAGGTCGTCAGCAGCGATTGGGACCGCATCACCATGGAATACGTCGAGGGCCAGACGCTACAGCAGGCATGGCCGGTGCTTACCCCCGACCAGCGCTCCGACATCATGGCCCAGCTCAGCGGCTACATCGCGCAGATGCGTTCCCTGGGCGGCATCCACCTCGGCCGCCTTGACGGCCAGGGCGTCGTGGTCCCGAGCATCATGACGCGCTCGGGTGGGCCGTTCGGCACCCTGACCGAGTTCCATGACTGGCTTGTTCAGCCGCCGCATCGGTTGCAGGCGCAGTCGATGTACTGGCACCAGATCACCACACAGCTTGGTGCCGAGTATCCCATCGTGTTCACGCATGCCGATATTGCCGCGCGAAACATCATGGTGCGTGACGGTCGCATCGTCGCCCTTTTGGATTGGGAATTCGCGGGATGGTACCCAGAGTATTGGGAATATGTGTTTGCATTGCGTGGGATGGATAACATTGACTGGGAGACACTAGGCCGCCATCTTCCGTCTCTCTTTGCTAAGCGCTACGATCTCGAATATATCCTTGTGGGATTTATCGTCCGCCTTTCCTGATAGTGGGAGTCAAAATATCGATCAAGCAACACTCTCGTTAATTAACTGGTCTGCAAGTTCCCCTTCCAACGAAATTGTACCACTCCTGTGCCTGGAACCCGTTCACAATCCCCTGTAGGCCCTTAAGCATAAAGTTTTGACAGTTCCAATCGCTGTCTTGCTCCCGGCCCGCCACCGGAGTGGCCGCAACAATGTCCACCAGCTCCATCTCCTAACCGCTGCGTACCAGCACAGCCCCGGCGTTAATATGGCTGAGGTAGCTAGCGGTGAAAGCCCAATCCCTCTTCTCGTGGAATTGGTCAACCGTCCAAGGGCTTTCTTCGGTGTAACATTGTGCGTGGACAGTCTCGTGGAATTTCGGTTTGTCAGCTGATGTAAAGTAATGGAGGACATGGTGTTTATAAAGACGTCAGGCTCTCCTCGGAATACAAAAACGTCATTTCCCGTCTCTCCGGCTTGATTTTCCGCTAGAGGCTTGTCGTCTCTTATGGCTGGATTTGCTGGTTCTCAAGTTAAGTCCAAAATCTGCACTAACATTGCGTGCAGCATCTATGCCTGCGTCTAAGGATTTGGCAAAAGAAGGGTTTTGCTAATTTCAAAGTAAGGAGTTGAAACATCTCTATTTGCTACCGTAAACTACATATCCAAAGAGAGATCTGATGGTATTCAGAAGCACTAAAAGAGCGCGTGAAACAGGGATAGGACTTAGAATACAGGAAACGCCTCCACGGAACAGGAAACGAGGAAGTGGAAGGTAGTGTACAACTCAGGAGGAACCTTCCCATCACAAGCCCCTAAGGAGAAGGTTCGTCTGCGGCTTCCATAGTAGCGTCGATCATAGCATCTCTCCCTTCCTCATACTCTTCCTTGGTTAGATAGCCGGCACGGTACATCCGTTGTACAGCATTGTCAACCCAGGTGTGACAGTTGAACTCCCAATCTCTGTTTTTAACCGGAGTGCCCTTCACATGGTTCGTGGGCTCGCTGGAAGTCATAGATGTTTTGGTTGTGCCTACATCGATCAGCTTAGCGAATGTCTGGGTCTTCGTGGGGTTTTAATCCGACCTCTTCTCGTACGAGAAGTCTCCGGTCGAACCACGTACATGACAATAGTGGCTCGAACCGCTGTCGACAGGCAAGAACCAGAGAGCGGTGTGCCTGAACTTTTGGAAGTCGACAGGATCTCCTCTGTGAACGGCAATGTACACACGGTACTTCTGACGCTGAGACATGGCTGATGTCGGTCGTGGCTTATATAATGCTTGAAAGATGGAATTAGTTCGTGACACGGATAAGTCTAGGGGGTATCAGGGTATTATACCTTTCGATGAAGTGTATAGCGGTCTGGAACGACAGGTGTACTCTCAAGAAAAGGGCGAGTGTGTGAGTACTAATAGACAAGCAGATGAAATGCCAGATAATCGGAATGCTAGTCTTGGTCTCTGGTGTTGAGTTGAACAAATACCGCTCTGCAGGCGGCGGAAGTGATGCAATCTTATATATCCCAAGTTTTGCATCATGAAATCTGCCTTGTTACATGTTCCAGGCTCTCTAGCCGCGCGTCTCTCGTGCGAGTAAGAACTGGATGTACCAACGGTCTGGTGTGTGGTTCGACTAGCTGAATATTTGTGAAGCAGGCAGGGTAGCCAGGCGTCAGGCTGCTCATCTTGAGTGGTCTACCTCCAACCTCCGCTCCAGTGTTCAAGAGATGTTGGTTTCATAGCCTCATTATCCCATTCATGGCTACCTGATTGGCTATCTGCACTATATAATATATATATGACTCCGCTTGCTGCCAAAGTGGTAGAAGGCTGGGTAGAAGCAGTGCTATCTCGCGCCTGGCCTCAGGGTGGGCCGGCGGCACTGGTTTATTTACCCTGGACCTGAGGAGAGGGCGCAGAATTTCACTGGCTAGATACACGTAGCGGTAGTTCGGAAGCGGTTAAGGTAGGCCGTAATCCATATACCTCCTTGGCGTGCTTGATTCACGGATGTGGTGGGAATCCCTATAGGGCATATTCATGATGAATGTTAGCCGACCCCTGATGTCTGTCTCGGAATCTGAGTAGATCCTTCCAACGGGATAGTATCTTAACTAAAAGTAGAACAATGTTTGAGTCCTTTGACATAGGATTCAGTGGGTTATTCACGGACACTGTTAGGACAACATCGAAATACATACGTGTACGGAGTAAGTCACTGACCTGGAACCAACAGCACAATATAAACGCCGAGCAAGGCCTTGGTGATGGGCCAGTCCCCATTTGCAGATGCAGTGAGGCCTCAGGCATCTATGCGTGTTCTGACAAATACGGGGTAGGGATGTTGACGGGCCCACTAGAAACCTATGGAGGGGTCCAACGGTTGATCTCCTAACTACCTAGGTACACCCTGTCAATGAATCCTCGTTGCCACAGTCTCCCACTTTCAGTCAACACGCCCGTTGCAATTGGAGCCTAGGTGATCAATACAGGCATGGCCGAACCGCGCGACAGCAGCCCACCCAGCCTTAAGGAGAGACTGAGACAGCGGAGAAAACAGATGGGGCGCGCTCGGTCTCCCAATAGAGATGAGCCAGTGGACGGCAACGCCTTGGAAGAAGGTGAGAGGCTGATTGGTGAGGTGTCTACGGAGAAGATAGTGATGGTGTTGATACCAAGCTACAGGAACCGTCGTCCTGCACGAGATGTTCGCCCGGATGGTTACGCTCCATCCAGGAAACATCGCCAAGAAGTCGGGCAAAAGCATTTGCCTCCAGGAAGCCGATGCCTTACGCGTTGCCGAATCAGCTGGGCTCCCTGTGCCTCATGTACACAGCGCCGAGACGACTTCCGATGGGAAGAACTACATCTCCATGGACTACATCAAGGGCCAGGTTCTTTCCGATATTTGGACTGGGCTTTCTGGGGAGGAGAAAAAAGCCATATCTAGCCAGCTACGCGATATACTGGTGATTATGCGATCTATTCCAGCCCCCGAGGCACATATTGGGGGATGTGCAGGAGAAAAGGTCCGGGACACTCGATATACTCTACGCACACCGCCCCTTCGTGCAACGGCGAGAAAGAGTTCAACGATTACCTCTTAGCCAGTCTGTTTCCCCAAATTCCGTCACCCATATACGCAGCCTTCTCCCGGCGGCTCCGTACCAACCATCGCATCGTATTCACACACGCGGACTTGTCACCTAGGAACATCATTGTCAGAGACGCCAAGGTCGTAGGCATCATTGATTGGGAAGACGCAGGGTGGTACCCTGAATACTGGGAGTATGTCAAGTTCTTTCAACGCTCTACTACTGAGGACGGAGACTGGCGGTGTCACGCCGACGACATATTCCCCTGTGGCTACCCAGATGAATTAGTCGACTACATTGCTCTATCCAAGTGGCAATCGCCGTAATTCTAGGTAGCTCCTAGCTCACCGCTCACGGTAATTCTGTTGCTGCCTCGCATCGAACAAGAACGAGAGCATATCAGTTACTTGAGGGTTCCGGACTGGCCCCGCGCTTCCTCGCTCATGTCCATGGGAATGGACACATCGTGGGTTTTCTACTGGAGAAAATAGAGGGACGCTCTGCTTCCTTCCACGATCTGAGCATCTGCGAAACCGCTGTAGGGAAACTCCACGAACTGGGACTAGTACATGGGGGTGTGAACCACTACAACTTTCTCGTCACGGAAGAAGTGGTGAAACCACTCGACTTTGAATGCCTTCAAGGAGAATGCGAGCCCGGAGTCGATGAGCAAGGAATTGGAGAATTTGCGTGCCGAATTGGTCGACGAGTCAGGACGCGGCGAAGGTTTCAATTTCCATGGCGATAGCAATTGATATTGAAGCTCAAGACGCAGCTGCTAGTTTGTAGACGGTGGGAATATACGTGCAGCGTGCCTGGGAAGCGTCAATCACCAAGGCAGCATCAGATAGATCTCGATGAAGCCGGTACCCGATTGATGTCTTTCGCAAATGCTCGTTGTAGGAAGCGCCACCATTGTCATGAGATCGCCGCGAGCGGTTGTTTCGCAGGAGCTCAGAGCCATTGATGACGATGGAATTGACGAGGGCAACTTCTGGAAACGCATATATGTATTGTACAATATGCGTACATACCTACTGTAGGTGTTGAAACAAGGCGGTCCAGAGAGGAAGCGGCAGGCCCATGGAACAGTGCTGCTATGTTTTACTGTGGGATCATGTACTTCCCCCTGGTCACTCACTATGTACCTGCTTAGCGCATTTTCCAGTCCCGGACAGGGGGTAATATTTTTGCACGCAATGGACCGCAATCATTAACGGAGGCCGACAACCATCACAGCAACGCCGAAAAAGGGAAACGAGGGAAAAGAAAAAAACATCCCGAACCCAGGATTCGAATCTGGGCCTTCCAAACCCCTTTCGGGCCAATTCTGCTTTAAGCTTCCCTGGTGACTACTTGGATATGCTACCATTACACCAATTCGGGTTTTGTTAGATGAGACTAGGCAGAAGAAAACTATAAGGCATACAGCTATTTGCAAAAATCGGTGCCTGTTGCACTCTTATTGAAGATTTCGAGCACAGACCAACACTACTTTAGGAAACGTGAAAGTACGACGTGACATCAATTGCAGTGGCTGTGTTTCACTTTGCCAACATGCTGTCTGCGGGTACCGTCGTGTAGCACTAGGTAAATAGAGCAACCCGAACAAACTTGGAAACTTCCAGGAATGAAGGCAAAACTGCCTGTCGGGCTAACTACGGCAAATTGGTAGGGGTTTGCTTGATTATCTTTCGAAAAGGAAACTTCGCTCAATTCTAAAGTCTTCACCAATATTGGCATATCGCTTCACCGGTCTCGCCGAGAGCTGGTCGCTGTCTGGTACATACAGCTCAACCACATCACGTGATGGGTTCCAACTGGTTATTTCGATGTTATGCGTAGCACTGATGCCTGCCCCTCCGTCAACGTTATCTGAAACCAGCTTCGACCCCTCCATCTGCATCACACTTCACCATGAACATCAATCAGTCCAGAATCCAGATCGACCAATCCCATCTCGGGAAACTCCGTAGTTCATCAAAATATCAAGATGTCCATTGAAGGAGTTCACATCGACAGCTCAGGGAGGAAAGTGTTCATCCCGCTCGAGAACAATCCGGAAGTCTTCACCTCACTCGTTCACGACCTTGGAGCTTCCGATGAACTCGGCTTCTATGATGTGTTCAGCATCGATGATCCAGATCTATTGGCATTTATCCCGCGTCCCGTATACGCGCTGATCTTCATCACGCCTCCAGATATTTACAACACTGTCCGCGAGAAGGAGCGCACACCGCTTGCCAGTCAGAAGCTGACATACGACAAGTCTGGCCCGGACGAACCCGTAGTGTGGTTTAACCAGACGATCGGCAACGCCTGCGGGCTATACGCTCTTATTCACTCCATCGCAAATGGAGGAGCACGCCCCTTCCTCAAGAAGGGCTCGCTCCTGGATAGGTTGATCGAAGAGGCAACGCCGTTGGCCCCCGTTCCGCGCGCAAGAGTTCTCTACGACAGCGCTGAGCTCGAGAAGAAGCACATGCGGGCCGCTAGAACGGGCGACTCAAGGACGCCAGGCGCAGACGAACCCGTGGGCCTGCATTTCATCGCGTTCACCAAAGGCAAGGACGGACATCTGTATGAGTTGGAGGGTGACACGGATGGGCCATTGGATCTCGGGCCACTGGAGGACGGCGAGGACATGTTGAGCGAGAAGGCATTGAAGAACGGTGTGAGAAGGTTCATTGATGCTGCGAATGGGGAACTGCAGTTCAGCATTGTGGCTTTGGCGCGAAGCGAGTGAACTGGTGCTGCTTATAAGTATGATCAGAAATAGTGTCGAAGTGCAGAGGGTGCAATGGTGACGGGAGTAAAAGGACGCTACGAGGTAGGTAGTGTTGATTGGAAGATGCTTAACTCCTAAGTCCTAGCCTCAGATTCGCGACGATCAACAAGAGGCGGTATGTACGCCCTGGGATATTTATCCGACCGCTCTAGTCGACTTGGCACCTCACGAGAGAAAACCAAATGGTCCGACTGATCACTTTCTTAAACTCCGCGGGGGAACCCCCCCCTCGCCACCTCAGCCCACCCGGCAGGGTCCCGCATCGGCGTTAAGTTAGATAGAAGAGCGGGCCACGACATAGTGACATGCAAACCGGCACCCCACATGCCCCAACTCCCGAGGAACCAGACGCGCCCTCCCCATGCTCCCCACCCCTTTGCTGGGCGGGCCCGTTCGGCAAGGGGCATTTATCTGATCGCGGATTGGTCGGCCGGGACTTTCTAAAAGGTTTCTCCCATCGGCGAAGAGGGCGGGGAGGGGTCAATTGGGGATGTGGGGCACTGGTGTGGTTTTTGGAAGCTCTCATCCGATTTCCATTGCGGGCGGATGAAGAGGGGAGTACATAATACTCCCGTTGGGTCACTCTTGAAGGAAGAGCTACATTTCTCTCTCTCCGTGTTGCTCTTTTCCCTAAAATCTGAGAAAACCGGGACCGGAACAAGCTCGTTGTGAACCATACCCACCTACTTAATTGACTCTGAGCTACCCCACTACAACCTCATAAAGCCACCCAACTCGGAGCCCCCCCCAAAAAAAGGATCAACGAAAGGGAAGAGCAAGCAAGCAGACAGCCATGGCATCCTCCAACCCCGCGGCGGCGACGGCCGAGCCGGAGCTCCTGGACCTGACCATCGACAACATCACGCCCAACACGATCCGCATCAACTCGCAGAGCGACAACGCCCGGCTCAAGTACGTCATGTCGCGCCTGGTCTCGCACCTGCACGACTTTGCGCGCGAGACCCGCCTTAGTACCGACGAGTGGATGGCCGGCCTGATGTTCCTCATCGGCTGCGGCAAGATCTGCAGCGACGTGCGGAATGTGGGTTTCCCCCCATTTCTCTCCTCCTCTCTCTCTCTTAGTCGTTCTGGGGGTTTGGGCATTTGCGCGGGAACGCAATCGCCTGTTCCCTCTCTTGTGGCAGTTACGGCGCGCGAATGGCGACTGACTTTTCCGTTGCTCAATAGGAGTTCATCCTCCTCTCCGACGTCCTGGGTCTCTCACTGCTGGTAGATAGCATCAACCACCCGAAGCCGCCGGAGGGCACCGAGGGCTCGGTGCTGGGACCCTTCCACACGCACGACGCGCCGACCATCGCCAACGGCGCGTCCATGTCCACGGACCCGAATGGCGAGCCCATGCTCGCCATATGCACCGTCAAGGACATCCAGGGCAGGCCCGTGGCGGGTGTCAAGGTCGACATCTGGGAGACGGACAGCTCCGGCCACTACGACGTGCAGCACGCCGACCGCGAGGGGCCGAGCGAGCGGTGCGTCATGGTCACGGACGAGGAGGGCGGCTTCCACTTCCAGGGCATCAAGCCCGTCAGCTACCCGATCCCGCACGACGGGCCCGTGGGGAAGCTGCTGCAGATGCTGAACAGGCATTGCTGGCGGCCAGCCCATGTGCATTTCATCTTCGAGAAGGAGGGTTGGGATCACTTGATCACGTAGGTCGAAGAAAAAAACCCTTGAAACGCTCGGGGAGACATTGCCGACTAACAATTTCCTTCTTCTATAATAGGGCCCTCTATCTCCGTGGCGACCCGTATGAGAAGTCGGATGCCGTGTTCGGCGTGAAGTCGACCCTGGTGATTGACCTGGACAAGGTTGACGCGGCGACAGCGAAGAAGTATGGCGTCAAAGAAGGTATCTGGTTGTTGAAGCAGGAGTTCGTGCTCACGACGCAGGAGGCGACCGAGAAGCTGAGGGACCAACTCGCCATCGAAGCATTGAAGAAGCTCGGCCTAGACAACCTGAAGTTGGTGGATCACCTGCCAGTGCCGGAGGTGGACTAGGGGTTGCGGTCGCGGTCGCGGTAGCGTTGTAATGTATTCATAAAGAACAGTCAGGATTCTCTATCAATGCCCTCTCGGAGCAGTCTTGGCGAGTTTCATGGCGTTGGCGAGATAGCCTCCAGTTCCTCCATACTTCTGAACGATTTGTGTTGAGTCAAGTGACGAGGAAGCTGCGCTCCTCTTCCGACCGACCAATGCTGTGTTTCGGGTACTAGGTATTCGCAACATCTCCGTCTCGATCTCCCAGCCGCAATCGTTCGCTAGACCGGTTACCCACGACACGAGAGATGAATATGTCGATATGGACTTGGTCGCGTCTTTTGGCGGAGGGGCTCGAAATTTCGAGCCGGTAAGGTTGTGGCTGCAGCACGGTATCATGACAAAGGGGCATTGGGAAATCGCCGCCAGAACAGGAGTCCAGGGTGTCAGTTCGTCGGCGTGGTTCGAGATTATGAAAGTTCCTTCCGCAAAAAGGCCGTCATGAATAATAGCCTCCCTGGCATCGGGCGAAGCACTTGGGCTCGAGGACGCCTCGGGTTGGACAACGGAAGGAACAAGGACAAGCTGCTTTAACGAGTCTTGGGGGTCGGCAGAGATGTGTACCTGAGTGTTGTATGACTGCCACGACTTTCGGGCCCTGGCATCGAAGCCCCAGCCGAGATAACCCTCCTGGTTGAGGATATAGACGAGAAGCCCGTTCCCGCACCCAATGTCGACGAAACCTGGGAACGGGGAGTCGGCGTACATCTCGGCCCAGAGCTCAATCAGGAACGCAGCAATGCCGAGATCCTCGAACACGTGTTTCCGAGGGTCTGTACTCTCCGCCCAGCCGGCGATGAGAGGCCTGGCGTATTTTTGCTTCAGCGCTGCATATCTGTCCTGGAAGGGGACCCGTGGGACTAGAACGTCATGCTGGACCCTCTTCACATAGCCTAGTTGGCGACCATGGCCATGCCTTGAAACGACAGAGAGCAAGCCGAGAGCGGTCCTGTTCAATCTTGTGGATAGGGCTGAGCCGGGAAAGAAGAGGTAAGAGATTGATATGGACCCCTGCGAGTTTACTGCTTTCCAATCGTGAAGAAAGGCTATGCCTCGGACTTTTGGGTGGTAAAACGGTATGTCCTCCTCCGAAGAAACATGAGGAAGATACACGACGAGGGTTTTTTCCTCGCCATCAGCCAAGGAGCTCTGGTATATCAGGCAAGTCTGATCCAGCGGGTCATCTCTCGAGGCATTCCTGGGAACGAGTTTTCGAATCAGGTATCTTTTGCATTCAAAGCTGTCAAACACTGGCATTCGAGGTAGGTCGTCACCCTGAGGCTGTTGTGGTCCAAAACATTGATCGCCTTGCTCATCATGAAGTATGTCGGCTCGGGATAGCCAAGAGGTGTTGATATTAGGGTTTCTGACAAGATTCAACATCACGTCCAGGAAAATCGTTGGATCGAAGCTGCAAGCATGCCAAAGGAGCGGAGACCACCGAGTGCTGGGATTATCCGCTTTCTCGACGATGAGCGGATCAGCGCCCTGATCATATTCATTGGCTGTGAATCCCATGGTATGCTTCTGATAGCGGATCGGAGTGGCACACCGGTTTGGATATTGCAGACGGGTGGTTGGCAACTGCGCCGGCTTTTTTTTCTCTTTCGGTTTTTTCCCGACTATACCCCGTACTGTTGGGCTCACTTATCGCCCCACGTGATCTTCTGGCCTTGCTTGTTCTTCAACTCCCCTTCCCTGAACACAAATTCATCAACGCCGCTGGCTTCGCCTAGATCATTCGTTGCCCATATCCTCTCAATACACAATTCATATGGACCAGGCACTCTGTCGGTGAGGCCCACGCCTATTGTGCGGACTTTCTGTCGTAGTATCTCTGTCTGTGGCTCGACGACGAAACCGTGATTGGTCCTGACGAAATCGTTCCATTTGATTAGGATGGTCTCCCATTCTCCGGGGCGCTTGCTGAAGAGCCGATGCTGGTGCAAGTCTGTGGGTACGACAGATTCTGTCTGGACATTCACCAAGTAGCTCCTGCCGTCGGACTTTACGCGTAACGCGAGATAGGCATATGGGTCGATGTTCCATAAACTCCTGCCAAACAATGTCGACTGTTGGTCTTGTGTTCTCCACGCCGCATACCCCGATCGCTTGATGTCTGGCCGGTCTTTTGGTAGCTGGGTAGAGATTGTCCCGTGGAACCGGGCATAGCCAGTCGCTGATTGGGACGGAGGTACACGATCTGAAGAAGACTGTGAGGGGATCCAGTCGAGGTTCGCCGTCGAAAAGCCGCCAATGTCAACATCTGACAGTACTTTGCAGGTGTCGAGTGACTGCGGGGATCGGAAGGAGTGCAATTCGTAGGGACCGGATGGGCCCTTAATGCCCTCGAGTTTAAGCGCTAGAAGGCCATAATGTTAGCTCCACGTAATTGGCAAGCTTGGGAGAAACTGGATGAAGTTAGAATACCAATATTTGAAAGCCTCTTGAGCTCATCGATGCTTCGGCCCAAAAAGCCCCTGGAGAGGCATGGTGTTGCCCGCATCGTGCAGCCACGCGGTCACTAGCTTTTCAAATGCTATGAAATGCTATGCTGAGCCTAATTGTTCAACCGGGAGAGGTTGGCAAGGCTAGAAAAAAAGGCGAGAGCGGAATCTCCGAAGCTTGTGGAAAGGTCATGGACCTGGCTTGGACCGATCAAACGCGGCTCTGTGCACTCACTGCACTGGGCCGCTTGGTGGGTCAATGATTTTTAGATTCCATTCCATTGCCCCCAGTGGGTGGCGCACTATTCGGCAGACATGTCTCAAACAAGTACCCACATAGTCATGTTTTCACTGTAAACAGTGCCATATTGCCACCGTGCTGGAGGCAACTTACCTGGAAGTGACTTTGACTCATTTGTGGCAGTCCCGTGACCTGTGGAGTGCCTGAATTTCTGCCTTTAAGATCACCAGCCGCCTTAGACACAGCCCCGCCAATTTCTCCCCCCATCCAGGTTTGCTTCTCTCCCCTTCCACTACCTCCACCATCCATCAATCGCCACAACCGACTTCATCACCACGACCAAGCAGATAAAACCATAACATCTCTGCCCTCTACTCTTTGATCCCTCAATCAAATAAGGAGTCGAATTTTCATCACCTGCCTGAACACATCCCAGCGAGACACTTCAATAGTCGTCGGTCGCTGCGCCCCCACCCCTCCATCAGAACCCCTCTCCCAAGTTCACCCCCCAAAACCCGAGTTTATGTCAATCGAAAATCTCAAGACCTACGGTATGTCCTCTCGTGCTCCATTTCGCAGTATATCGTCGCTATGATGGCTGCTAGTCCTCAATTTATCTTCAAACCCCAACCTATCACCTTATCGGCTTCTTTTCACGGTACATCCCTTGCTAATACGGGCCCTGCAGATCCCTTCGCCGAAGCCGACGAGGACACCGGGCAGACGAAAAAAGCCCAGGATTCGATCCATATTCGCATCCAACGTACGTTTGTTCCCTCTCCACGCCATTCCCCATACTGTATCCGGTCCCGGGTGTTTTGAGGCGCCTGCTGACCTCTCGGCAGAGCGTAATGGACGTAAGACCTTGACCACGGTCCAAGGCATCCCTCCCAAGTTCGACCACAAGAAGATTCTCAAGGTCATCAAGAAGGAATTTGGTAAGTTTGCGACTGCCCGCTCTAATCATGGAGACATCGATCTAACTTGCCACCAGCTTGCAATGGCACCATCATCAGCGACACCGAGTCCAAGGGAATGGGCGAGGTGATTCAGTTGCAGGGTGATCAGCGCAACAAGATCAAGGACTTCCTCTGCGACAAGGATGGTGGCCTAGGCCTCGATGAGAAGACCATTAAGGTACGGACTGCCTACTCTGATGACTCAGCACATTACATTGATGCTAATTTGATCGCTCCAGGTCCACGGCTTCTAAGCCCGACATGTCGCGTCGCGCCACTGCCCAGTCTAAGCGAGGAGACGGTAACTGGAGGTAGGACCGTGAGGAGGTCAACACCTCTGTTTGGTGCCGCCTGCCGTTTAACTGGCCCTCGACCCCGGTCACGATAACCGGAGGTGCGGCGCGTTAACATGATACCCATTGCGGTTTCGGGATGAGAGACTGGCTCCATTCGAGTACGAGAGCCCAGTGCTATTTTCTTTTCGCTATAAGGACTATTTTGCCAAGGGGACTTATGTCCGTCTTGAAGGCTTCAGGGCTTACTTTCATGGATGGTCATGATCCTGCGTGTCATTCGCTATGATCTCCGGTCTCCGTGGGAATACGATATCCCAAGCAATTGAACCAATGTCCACACACTTCAGTCCCACTTCCCTTTTGTGCGAATGTTTGCCCCTTAACAATCCGCGGTGATGATGATCGAGAAAACTACCATACAAAGAGACTCCACGACTCCGCTGCCCTCAGTTCGGAACGCCCATGGTGAAAGAAGTGTTTGGGGTATATAACGATAAAACAGTAATGTACCACATTGGCGCAAACAAGCTCGAAACAGGAACCTGCAAGGCAGCTTATAGCTCCCTTGTGACGTTCCCATATTCCACCACCTTAACAGCCAACTTCCCAACTTGATGCCATGCCTTCCTCGCAAGCGAAAACAAAGGTACGTTGGGATAGTCGGAACGGTTCAGGTGCAATTGCCCAAGCAGGGCCACCATGCTGATGAAACTGGCGATGGAGAAAACACTGATTGTCATTGACGTCTCCTTGCGAATATTGATCTTCCGTTGAGTGACATGATAAAGCATTGTCAGGGTCTGCGCGGGAAGGGAATGCCCCCGTCAGCTGGGGTCTCACGGTCAGGTAGGTAGGTAGGTGGGGACGGCCACAAACTGTTGCAATAGCAATCCACGCCGGCAAGAAGAGGCGAGGATCCTCGGATCCACCGGTGAGGAAGAGGACCCAGGATGTAAGGTAGCCGTTCAGGGCGTTGATGGTCAGAAGTCGGACGAGGGTGGCCTGGGGAGTGTAGTTAAGCAGCCTGTTGGTATACCATTAGCCAGAGCACCCCAGCTTAATCCATCCAAGATTTCGGTCCTATCCAGCATAACACATTGGGCCGCTTACCATCTGCTCATGAGACAATCGGTAAAGAAGAACGAGAGGTATGCCGAGGCACCGCACTGCAGCCAAATCCCAAAAAAGTTAGCCCGCAAGTTCCACGCCGTCCACGATAAAGAAGCTCGAAGCAAGGGGAGCAAAGGAGAGCTCTTATCTGGCCCACGCACCCAGATAATAGCCAGCAGTGTCTCCATCAGCCGCAACCGACTCTCAAACGAACTCTCGGCAGAGCGGAGCCCTCCCCCACCCCCGCCGCCGTCGCCGCCGCCGCCATCACCACCACCAACGGCGACGCCAAGGCGTCCGGCGGGGCCGTAACCCACGACCGCGGAGACCAGCAGGTACAGCTGCAGCAGCAGGCGCAGGGCGATCGGGAACCCCCACCACACGGCGGGCACGGTGGAGAGCAGGCGGCAGACGAAGAGCAAGGGGTGCCAGCGCTCCGGGACGCCGAGGACGACGGCGACGCGCGGCTGGAGGAGCGAGGAGCGCGCCGTCACGTCGGCGCCGTTGGGAATTGACGCCGTTGGTGGTGTTGTTCTTGTTGTCGGGTTGCCATTGATGTTGTCAGGCTTGTGTGGGTGGTCTTCCTGCCGCCGCGGCGGCCAGGGGGGCGGCGCGTACGCTGGTTGGGCCATCGGGCGCGGGGAGAGGGGGCCAACTGACTGTCCACCTTCCCCGTGGAGCCCGGGACCGGGCGAGAAAAAGAATGGCTATCCTCGGGATTCGCGTTTCTTTTGTTCGTTTGCCTCGGACTTGGAGAGGGCAAGCTGGGGAAGGGGGTTGAATACCTGAGCTCACAAGTTTGGGAGAATGATATCAGAGAAGAACACGATGCGGAGGGGTCCTTCTAGAAGCGGCACCTGCAAGGGGCTCCCCTGCCAAGCGGCCAATTAAATAATCGGCACGCTATATGAATAGCACATACCTATAATTGCTATATGCGGGGGTACGTGGGGGTTCATCATGGAATATGGACTTAAGAAGGATTGCGGAACATGTCTTTATCCGCTGGGACCGTTTACGCCGAAAACCCGACCCAAGCTCGAAATTTTGTATGAATTGACTGGTTTGCGATTGCCGGATTGCCAACCTTGGAGGTCGGATCAGACCATGATTGCGTTCGACTACAATAGAAGAGAGCAATAGCGACCACTCCCTGCTCATTGCCAACACGGGGCCCCGCTCATTGTGAAATCAACATACTACGGCTCTGTGAGAGAGACGGGCAACAACAGCACTGGCAATGGCTGCCCCGGCCTTCAGGACCCGGTCGGGTCTGCTGCTCTCGGCACGACGGTCGGTGATCGATTGGCAAGGGCTATGGACGCCCAGTGGTAGATGCGTGTCTCCGGTACCCTCCAGTTTGCGCCATAAGGGCTCGGCGTTGGCAAGAGCGATGAACAAGCGTGCGTCTAAACAAACAGGCAATGCACCCACGGTACAGGCGAGGGCGAACATGAAGCACGAGTGGAACGACTCGAGCTCTATAACCATGATGTTGCCAGGTAAGCCAATGCCAGTCCCGATATTGTAGTGTTGCCTGTGTCCCAAGTTTCTCACCCATCACGAACCAGGAACCTTCGTCCGGCCACCCCTGTCCCGCTTCCCGCGCTCGCCAAAGCCCTTCTTCCGCTTCGTATCCGCCTGGATCAAGCAGAGGGTCCGCGACTTCCTCACCGTCCAGTTCTATCGGTTCTCGACCAAGCCCAAGATCTGGAAGGCGCCCGTCTTCCGGCCCCATAAGCGGAAGATCCTGCCGACGGCCAAGGCCCTGCACAGCGCCATGTCGGAGGCGCTGGCGCGGGGCGACAAGGAGGCGCTGCGGCGCGTGTGCTGCGCGCCCCTGTACCAGCGCCTCTGCGGCACCATCGAGAGGAGGCCCGCCGGCCGGCGCTACAGCTGGGAGCTGGTGCGGTACAACAAGGCGTGGCTGTACCCGCGGCTCGTGGACGACAAGATCGCCGTCGAGCAGGGTTCCGTGTTCGCGCGGCGCCAGGCCGTCGTCGCCATAGCCAGCCGCCAGCGCCGCGTCGACATCGACGACACCCGCGGCGGCGGCGGCCGCGCCGTGCCCGGGAGCGAGAAGGAGGCGGACCTGGTCGAGTACCTCGTGCTGAGCGCCAGCATCGACCCCCGGACGAGCCTGCAGAACGAGTGGCGCATTTTTGGCACCGTCAACCCTACCACGCTGGAGAGCTACGAGAGCGAGGTCGCGCTCCTAAAGCATGCGCAGGACCTCGAGCTGCAAAAGTACAAGTCATGATGAGATGAGGGGTGGGGGTGGGAAGATGAGCTCGGAAGGGCCCGCCTGTAGCATATGCCGTGTAACACCTGTCTGTCTGTATTATAGTTGGATAACCGGGTGCATAAGCAGGAATCGAGAAGGGGTGTTGAATGAAGCGGCCCACTCCGTAATATTACATGAAGATATATCCCACTTGCCAGATTTGACGGGAGACTTGGGTGATGGAAGGGAAAAAGGCTACTCTGAACCCAGCAAGCTCCTCTCTCCTTTCGAGAAGGTTGTACAGATCTAGGACGCAATGGCAGAAAAGCGAATCCAAGTTCAAAAAAGCGGTTCAGCAGAACGGCATATATGTAGACTGATATAGATATTAGACACATACGCCCAACCGCACACGCACTCGTAGATTTTCGATATCCTCGTCCACACATTAAACAAGTTGGCTCTGTCGTCTTGCATTATCCTCCCAGACATCGGTCGCCTGCCTGAAGGAGAATTGTCTCTGGCAGGTCTGACGAAACGGGGTCGACGAAGACAAGGGGTAAGAACCGCACTCAGTCTTCCACTTCCCAAAACCCTCCCATCTTCAGTCCCTTCAACGCCTCGTGAGGGCCCTGATCAAACTCATATTCCACCTCCCTCCCTCCGCCTTTTACTTCCGACAGCCCACCGGCACACACGACAACCAAACCATTGCGTCCGCGCAGGAATCAGAAGAACTTCCCCGTCAGCTTAGCAACGCCCGGCTCGCGCGCACTCTCAGTATCCTCAGCATCAGACCCATCCGCGACCCTGACAACAGCAACCGGCGTCGGCCTATCAAGGGCATCGAACCTGCGGCCCGTGATCCTGGCACGAGCGTACAGGAACGTAAGGCGGCAAGCCATGGCCGTGAACCCTGCAACGAGCCCCCCCACGGGCGCGGCGACGAAGGCGCCAAAGGCGGCCCAGTCGCCCTCGTAGAGGCCCTGCTCGAGGAGGATGAGCTCTGCGCCGGACTTGGCGTCGCCGTAGTAGACGGTGCCGAAGATGAAGACGGCGAGGATGCCGCCGAGCCCGCCGGCGACGACGTCGAAGCCGCGCCACCAGTAGGCGCGGTCGGAGAGGCCGACGACGAGGACGGGGATGGTGGCGGCGGAGACGAGGTCGGAGATGAGGTAGATCTGCAGGATGGACGAGGCCTTGAGGGCGAGGACGACGACGGGGACGATGATGAGCACGACGGCGCCGCGGATCCACCAGATGTTGAGCCGGTTGCGGAACAGGTCGTTGGACGCCGTCGACACCATGGCGCTCTGCAGCGAGTCGAAGGCCGCCGTGCTGAGCGACACCACCATGACGAGCACGATGCCGATGACCCAGCCGGGCAGCTGCTCCAGCAGCAGGAAGAGCGCGATGCTGCCGTCGCCGGCGTGCTCGTCGCCGGGGCCGGGCCAGGCGCCGGACCAGGCGGCTACCAGGCCCGTCGTGCCGACCAGGGTGAGGATGACGAGGATGGCGGCCGAGGCGAACGAGATGCCCACCCAGAGGTCGCGGTCCGTCTTGGAGGCGAAGGTGCGCAGCCAGAAGTTGGAGAGGAAGAAGTCGTTGGTGAGGATCGCGACGGGGAGGATGTAGAGCAGCTGCCAGCCCAGGAGGCTCGGCTTGGTCAGGCCCGACGACTCGATCAGGCTGCGGTCGATCTTGGTCTCCACGCCCACGGTGATGGTCGCGATGATGACGAGGCAGACCACCATGGCGCCCTGGATGTTGTCGGTTATGAAGGAAATCTTGAAGCCGCCGAGAGCTAGTTCCCGGGGGTTAGTCGCGGAGCTGTAGACGTAAGAGCGGCAAAGGGGGATTGGGGCCTTACAGGTGTAGATAGTCGTGATGACGCATTGGACGATGATGACGGGCAAGCCGTTCATGCTCGTCAGAGCGGTGATCACCTGTCCGAGGGCCGAGAGCTCGGCCACCATGTACAGGAAAAGGGTGACCAGCGTCATGAAGCTCAAATACAGCGCCGCGGGCCGTCCATATCGCTGGCGAGTCCACTCAGTGAGGACGAACCCCTCGGGGCACTTTCGCCTGATGATGGGCCCCACTGCGGCAAAGGCGAAAAGGGGGAGGGCCGACGACAGGGCGTACACAACCACCCCCTGGACGCCAGCCAGAGTGGCCAGCTCGGGATAAGAGAACAAGATGCCGGATCCAAGGGCTGTAATGGTCAGTATGCAAGGTCAGGAGGCTGGCGCTTGGGGGGGGGGGAAAGGGGGGGGAGGAGAGTTGGATCGGAGCGGCAGCACGTTTCCCACGCAAGCATTAACTTGATCGAGTAATTACGGTACAATCTCAGCTTCATTTCCACAAGCTGTGCGATCGCCCACCAGGGTGATGATTTCAGGGACCTTCCGAATCCCCGAAACACCACCCCCGGGGGTTGGATCTACAGACTTGCTTCAAATCCGCGCCCGTAGTGAGCCGCAGTCCCCCGTTCCCCCGTGGCTGCCCCGGAACTCCCGCCGAGTGCCCCATTCGAGTCGTCGGGGGAGTGGAGAGGCCGGCCTCGGGAGAACAGGGTGGTCTGTTGTGTTGGGTGCGACGAACCTATCTGTCAGCTTCAAAACCTACAGACCCCATCTCGACCTTTCCAGGGTCTCTCTGCGTCGTCGGTCTCACGGCAGGTCGATGAGCTTGGGAGTTGGCCATTGCCGTTCTTTCTTGCTCGTCCTCGTTCTCGTAGTTATGCTTCCTTTTTGGTTTGCTACCGCTCTGGTCTCCGGGGACTAAATAGCAGTGAGCGCTTTTCGCGTTCCCTACTCACCGGAAGCGATGAAGTTCAGAGCCAGCGGAAAGGCTACAGAACGGTTGCTAGGGGTTAGCAGGGGAGCTCCAGGGGAAGAGGTAGGGGGAGGGGGAGGAGGGGCATGAAGGGGGATGACGGGGCTGAACAACGCCGGCGTGTTCTCCTGTCAAGTTTCCCCGCCTTGAGGTTCTCTCACCAGACTGAGTTCTATTGCCAGCAAGAAACTCTCCCTTGGATTGGTGGCGGAGTTTCCAGGCAATGCCAGTCCCGATGATGCTGTAAGTACCTGTTAGCGATTCTGTGTCTTCCGATCAAGGGTGTAGCCTGCTGTTTCCCAGCGCAGAATTCTCACAGAAAGGCGCCATATGTCAAGTATATAACGGCATTCGAAGCCTGGAACGAAGGCTGCCCCATTTTGACGACACTATCGGAAATCTCTTTGGTCTTTCAGCGACAACTTTTATATCGCTATATGTCTCGCTCGAATGGGTGAAGTATGGCGGGTAGTGGCGAATAAGAGTGAAGGGGCTTGGAAGTCGAGAGGAAAGCTCAAATTGAGACGAGGTGATTCCAACAACTTATACGGGATTACCTCTCCTGACTTGTTGGGGTGACGAGCAGAAAAAGAGTTTTGCTTCAACAAATCACAATCATTTGGTCAACGAGATTTTTTTACACTAGAATTAGAATTGCCGGCGTGGGGGCTTCGTAGGTCTTGGCCAGGCCGACGCTCTGCCTAATGCATCCTGTGGCTGGGTGGAACCCGCTGCAAATTAGGTAACATCATCACACATGGTGTTGGAAATGGAGGTTGAGCCTTGGAGGGCTTCTTCAGGGTGGGGAGATTCTTGTTCATTGATTCCGGGCTTTTTGACAATGCCGAAGCATCGTCAACTACCTGATCATGAAGCTAAAAAACAAACGCGATCGATGGTACAGTTACCAGTAGTCTCCCAATCATGCCATGTGCTTTACAGACACCAGACCTCCAAGCCTTTCCGCCATTAATGAGAACTCCTTCATCATCTATCCTGTGCCAAGTTGCTGAATAACGAACGGCCCCAAGAATATCGAGAAATGAGCTCCCGGTGCAGAAGAGAGTCGAAGACTTCTAGAAATCCGAAAGAACCAAACATGATGAGTGCTCAAGACGCAGAGCAGACTGTCCCGTTGAGCACTGTACTTCTAGGGAGAAACCCCTACTTCTTGGCGGCTGGCTCCTTGCCGTCCTGCCCCTCGCCGTCCTTCTCGGTGGCGTCTTCACCGCTGATGCCGGTCGGGAAACCCACGGCCGCGGGCGATGGGAACGGATAGAACGGCATGTACGGGCTGTAGACCCATGGGCTCATGGGCGAGGGGGGAACTTGCGGAGTCGACGCGAAGTATGGGTTGGGAAATCCTGGAGGAGCGCCGTATCCCATGTGCGGGAACCCAAAGGCAGGAGGCCCTGGGACTGGAGTCTGGACAGCATGGGTAATGCCAGTAGTTCCAGGAACGGTGACATTGGCAGGTCCAGTAATGGGAACCTGGAAAGGGCCAGGAGTGGCTGCAGCACCAACATCTCCAGCAGGAGCGCCTCTGGTAGGAACCATAACCGTCGAGGGCGTGGCAGCCGATCCGTCCGCAACAGCCGGGGCTCCATTCGAAGGGAAAACCGTCACGTTGCGGCGAGGGACAATGGGACCATTCCGATGGCCATCAGTGAGACCGGCCGACGAGCTGTTACCAACCGACTTGTAAGTCGGCAGCTGCTGCGACTGAACTCGGCGAGGCATGCGATTGGGCTGTTTGCCCATCTTCCGCTCAACACGCAGAGTCTTGCCGTGGAATTCGATACCAGTCTGCAAGCGATGAGAGTTAGCACAAGTCCGGGATGTAGCAAGGAGGGCAGCCACTCACGAATTTCTTGACAGCGCGCTCCGGCATGTCGATTTGGGCATACTCGACAAATCCGTAGATGCGAGTACCAGAGGAGATCGTCTTATGGATGATCTGGCAATCGAGAACCTGGCCGACCTCCTCGAAGAGCGCCATCAGCTCATCCTTGCCCAACTCCGCGGTCAGGCCGTCGACAAAGACAGAGCGGCGGTCAATATCATAGCGGGCCATGAAGGCTTCGTTCGAATTCTTGGGACGGAGCTTGGATTTGTCAGCGGGATCAAACGCGGCGACGACTCGATACTCTTCATGGGTCTGGAATGCCTGAAATGATTGTTTAGCGACGGGGATGGAGAGAAGTAGCATGATTGTATACTTACGGCCACAAGGTCCCGGCTGGGATCGTACATCTTGAAATGGACGGTCACAGACGGCACACCGTCGGGAGTCAGATTCGTCGAAGTTTCGCACTTGTCCAGTTCACCATGTGGCTGCATGAGAGCGAATGCTTGCCCGACCGTGACTCGACGCCCGTCGCGGCGGCTGATGGTAAAGGTGCCTTGTATAGCGTCAGAGACCAGGGGATACGATGGACAGGATATCATGGAACTTACGATTGGCCTTCACCATCTCGGTGCGGCAGGCTCTGCCAAAGATCATGGTTCCTCTGCCCCTCTCCATGCCTAGCTTCGCATCCGAATCATTCTGTATCGTTGGGTGAGTTGGGATGGCCTGACCAGTCCGGGGGTGGGTATGGTTTTCTAGGGAAGGACTCACGGTGTATTGACAGAATGCAAACGGCATGTTGTGATTGTCGCGTCGAATCTTCACGAAGACGGTTCCATAGTTACAGAACTCGCGAGTCAAGGCTGCCTCTAGGGCAACATCGTCCTTATTTTCCGGCAGACTGGCATGTGTTGTTAGAGAAGAGGCATGCGAGGGGTGTACCCTAGATAACTCACTTGGCGACAAAGACACAGGCGCTCTGGGGATATACTCCCTGCGCATCGACCTCGGCAGGCTGATGCTGGGCGCCCGAGATGTCGGAAGAACGATATCGCAGTGGCGGCGTGGGTTTGACCACGTCCTCGAGCGAGGGTACAATGTGGCCGCTTCCAAGGCGGCGGGCTCCGTTAATAGTCCCAGTGACTCGTCGTAGCTTGCGTTCCGGAGAGACAAACTTGCGTTCCTTGACTGGGGAGACATATTTGTGTTCCTTGATTGGAGAGACAAAAATATCGTCCTTCGGCTTGGAAAGCGTGAACGTGATGGTCCTATTGAAATAGTTAGCATATTTCAGAGAGCTTGATCCTTAATAACTTACTCTCCGGTTGTGTCGGGAATACCGACGTGCTCAACCACTTCCTTGTTGCTGCGGACCACGGAGCTGGGCTTGGTTAGAAAATGAGGAGGCTTCAACTAAGGGGGTATGGATACTTACGCCTGAATGGGCGAATCATCAAAGTCCAGATCGGTCAGGCGGACACCACCAGCTGAAAGTCAGTTAGCATGTTGCATTTAACTCACCGGGTGAAGCCAGCAATAGAATGAAACAGAAAAGGGGATGGGGAGGCGCGGAATGTAAACATTCTATGTATAGACGCATACCATCATCGTTGTCCTCATCCGACGATGAGCTCGTGCTGGCAGACTTGGGCAAGAACTGCAGCTCACGTCCCTTCGGAGTGGCCTGAGGGGACACAAGGGACCCCATTTTGAGAATCGATGCTGATCTTTAACGATGTTGACCTTGGCTAGGCGACAGTGATGGATAGTTAGAGTTGGTTGTCTGCCAACCAGTCAGGACTGAGACACTTATTGGAAGTCAGTATGGATGCGAAGTAGTAGAGTAAATAAACAAAGAGGCGGGAGTTAGATGCGGTTGGGGATAGCGTGAAGTGGGGTATACAGAGGAGGAAAGTGAGGCAGAGGTACGGAGGAGGGGAAAGGGGAGCGTGAGAAGCGCCCGCGGGGGGCAAGAATCAGACAAACAGGAGACGGACCAAGGTGAGTAAATTCAAATATGTAACGTAGGGGAGATGGAGAGATGATAATATGGACCTCGATGCTACGCGTAGTCCAGGCACATACCTAGATGGATAAGACAGTGGGGGTAGGGGAAGGAGAGCTGGGGAAAGGAGTTGTCCGGTCTCTGAGGTAACAGGGAGGGTTAGGTGTATCTCCGTGCCGAGTAGATAGGTGGGTAGGCTATGAACGACCGAGGAAGAAAATGAGGTGGAGGAGAGTAAAAGTAGTGCCGAGGATTAAGTACCTAGGTACCTAGGTGGTATAGGGATAAAGTATGGAGTCTGATGGTATCGAAGTACCTCGGTGAAGGGAGAGAAGGGAGGGATGATGGGGGGAAGTAGGTTGGCCGAGGGGAAGAAGATAGAGGGGCCCAACCTACCTAGATACCTACCTGCCGAGTCGAAGGCAAAGTGTTGAAAGTAAGGGGGAGAAGGACGGGGCCTACCTAAGGGGAGGAAGAGTGGGCAGACGCGGAGAGGTTAGAAGGGCGCGGGGAGAGGAGGAGTACGCGGCAAGGAGAAGGCAGGAAGGTGAAGCGGGAGAAGTTGCCTGGGGATAACTACGTGGGGGAAGAGTAGAAGATAAAATATAAAATCAAGCAGGGTTACTTACCTTTGGTATCTCACGATGATGAGTGAGGATAGATAGCTCGAGAAGGTGGTGATGATGGTTAGATTGAGAAGATGGATAATCTTAAGAACCTCAAGAGGTGGAGGAAGGTGCGTGGTGTTGGAAGGGGAGAGCGAAAATGGAGAAGAGAGAAGGGCCTACCTCAAATACTTATTTCCTTGACTCCTGATTGGAGAGATTCGCGGTCATTGGATTGGTACGGTAACCAGGGGGGCCCTTGGAGGTGCGGCCAGCCTATGAGAAGTGGTTGTGATAGGGGGGAGCTACCACGAGGGTCCCGGGGACCCGGGTGGAGCGAGTTCGGAAGGGGGTACGTACTGCTCACGATGCTGGTGGCTATGGAGATGTAACCCCTTGGATCAGCAGGTCCATGCTCGTCCGTTCTCAGGACCCTCTCGGGGCCGTTGCTGCAGGCAGGCATCTACTCTATATACCTAGTGAGCAGGCCTTGTCTTGCCTTTCCATTCTTTGATTATGACGGCATCCGCTGCCCACGTTGCTTCCGGATTCTTAGACTCGAAAGTGATGCCACAGGTCACGATCTCAGGGAGTACATCTTTGCCTCGTTGAATGGGCGCTCAGCGTTTGACAGCCAGTTAGGCAGGCCCCTGAAATCTACGTGGTGACGATACAACTAATTTGGAGGATAATGGCAGTAGACGGCGTGGCGTGAAACCCAGAATCAGGCCCTAGAAATGTCGAATCTATAATACGGAGGTCAAACATTCCTACATCGGTCACTACTTGGGGAAATAAGGAAGGACTTCCCTTCAAGCACGAGGAAGTGAGAACGGCGAAGCTGGGGCTTGAAACGTGTTGAGCAGCTGGCTACCAAGGACCCATTCCTCCTAAGATACTACAGCGAGAAAACGAATCAAGAAAAACAGCAGACAGTCGAGTCAAGCATGTAACAAAAGCAGTTGCAGGCGGAGGGGAGAATCTGTTGGGGGCCGCAAGGGCTGGCCGTGTGTTGGAAACGAGGATAAGGCTACGGTTGAGAGTAATCAAACAACAGAAGGCAGAACAATGCACGCCCACTGCTTCTGGAAGTCGACGTCTGGTATACTTGTATGTCGGAAGTAAAATCCGTTACTATCGTGGACTACATCGCCGAGTAGAATAGCCAGAATGGTTTCCGACTCTGTCGCCTGGCCTCGACAGCGAGCGAGGAAGACGGGAAGAAGTTGCTTGTCTGAGATGCCAGAGCTGCCAACTTACGGTATAAATATTATTAGGGGAATGACATCAAGTTGGGTAATGGTCGAGATCGTCCCAGGCAAAATGTAGCGAGATACACACTAAAGAAAGCATTAGAGGTTGGGTTAATCAATGGGAATGCGGTGCGAATCGACCAGCAGCGGACTGGGTTGGCCAAGATCATGACACGCACAAGTGCCGACGGGAGCAGCGCGAGCGTGAGGTTTATTGCTTCCAACGTGGACTAACTGGCAGAGGCTGTTTTGGAGGCTGTTTGTTCATGGGGCGGTAGTCTTTGCTGGACTACTTGGGAGGTGACTTCACGACGACGAGGTCTCGTTCTTGGGAGCTAGGAATGAATTCCGCATGTTCAGTGTGTGGCAGGTTCTTATTGTGCCTATAATCTCCCTTGTCACCGATGCGTAGGTCAATAATATTTCATACTTGAAGGAATTGGCCATTTTCGTAGTATTGCGGCCTCTTGGACTTTTCTCTCGTCTCAACTAAGTCTTGTTTATTTCTTCGAAGTCTCGTGCGTCTGGTTGGAAAGGAGTTGTTGGCTATAGAGGGCGATGTTCTGGAATCCGAGTGTAATTCTTAACGTCTCCGGGTATCAGGTTCTAGGACTTGCAAGAAATCATTAGCCGACGTGGACAGAGTTCGTTGTTGACCAGACCAGGATTCAAGAGGGGAGTAAGGGGCATTTGCTACCGCTTCGATATTCGGGGAGGAACTCTCTGATGTGCTATTAGGTTGAGCGTCTTCTAAATGCTCAACTCCTTGATGTCCAAGATATAGGGCTTGTAAAGAGTATCGGTGTGCTTCAAGCGCTGTATTGATGCTGGTAGCAACGGGGATATAGGGGTTGCGAGATGAGGGCAGTCAACGATCGCCCAAGCTCTACCGCGCCGCCCTCGGATAAGTCCATCCCTTGGCTGATGAGCAGCACTGGTGGGTGCCGCTGAGAGAACGTGGGATTTGGATCGAGGTAGAAGCTGGTGGTTATTTCTTCCTAAACCCCTTTGATGTCAGTCCTGGTCTTATTTCCCGAGAACGATGGTTTGGAGGACTAGAAGAAGGTTCAGGGACGATGGCAGTTGATGTCCAACAATTCAAAGACTGCACCTGTTTCTATTCCTCAGACAAATGTTGGGTTGAAATCCTCGGACGGCAATTATTACCAGACTGCATGCAGCTGGTTATTATTTGGAAAATTCTCTTTGGGGGTATGAGGTCGAGAGCGTCGATAACATGGTTTCTTCAGCAGCCCTAAAACTGTCCCGAATGCGTCGAGTGATTTCCGTCCGTTGATCTCCACTTGGGTGGTCTGCAGTTGGAGAGATTAACGAAAGCTTTTGCACCTAAAGTTTTCATCGCCACATACCGAAGGGAGTAGCCATGTATACGGACGGCTACACTTCCCATGCTGCTGCAGTACGCCGAATGTTGCCCCCGAAATAACTACCGGAGGTCCTGGGGGTTCTGGTTTCGCTTATTGGAACTAGAGAGAGGCGAAGAAGGATCTTGGAAGGATGAAGTATGGCGTCTTTCCTGGAGAAGAGCCCGAGCAACAGAAGACATGAGATGCCGAATTTTCTCCATCAAGGCCAAAGTCGTAGAGGGAACGGGAGGTTAAGAGTGGTGGCAAAGCAGACTGGAACAACCCAAGGGAGCGGGACAGGGCACATATATAAGGGAGAAAGTAGATATGTCATGGAGAAGGTACAATTTTTTTCTTTTTACCTAGGCACTTCTACCAGAGAGCCAGGCGAGTGAAGGGCCTCAAAGTCAAGGTTCAGGTTGAAAGTGGTGGGTTTCCAGGCCGACATCTTGTCGTGATACCTCGAGGTAGCTCAGGACTGCTCACAGGCGAAAGATCCACTTGACCCGATTGAATAATTCGTCGCCCCTATTTGTCGTCAAGCATTTCCATGACCCAGAAGTGAATCATAAAGTAAGGTTTTATTCCATGCTTTGTGTTGAACGCGTTGTCCTTGTCCATTCTCTCATTCTGCAGCTTCGGGTTTGCCTCCTTTGTATTGTTCTATGACTTGGCATCTGTAAAATTAAAGAGAGGTTGCTTATAGGCTCAAAGAATCAGGTCCTAGAAAGGGGTAAAAGGGGGTGGCCGGTGCCACTTTTTCTATCTGTTAGACACAGTATCACGCATCACCACTTTTCAAAGTAGGGAGGGAGAACACAACAGTTTTGCCATTTTTGCCATTTTTGCCTATGAATTAGCTGCTTCTGACTGACTGGTCCTTCTTCTTTTCAGTTATGTATGGTTTTGATTATTTCAGCGTAGAGTCATCAGAAGCGTCTCTCCCTTCAAACTCTTTACGACCTAAATCTTCCAGTCATGGCGGTCTCTGATATGAGTCTAGCTAAGCCTAGTGGACTACCATGGCGCCTGTGACGGCCTCCCTAAACCCAAATGGCCCTCTACACAGTCAACCTAGGAGGCCAGACGCGCAACCAGCCCCCTTCAGAGGGGTTATAGGCCTGTGGTTCGTGTCTCCAGCTACGGTTTAATGCTGGAAGGGACCCCCGCTTTGGTTGACTTGAGATTATCGAACGAATCCAGGATCAGCAATCAATAAGGATGATGACATCCTGTCTATGTGGTTGTAGCGGGATCGATGAAGGCGCGGGAAAGGATCGGCATGGTGTTTAGAGCATCCTGCAGTCTACTAATCGAGGAGTCCAGTGTATGGGCAGTTGAGCGTCGGATATCGGGTCAAATGCGCCTCCTGCCATCTTTTTCAGGATGGCTATCTCCGGATCTGTGGCTGGGGGACTCCAAGCACAGGTCAACGAAATATGGCAAACAGCCCGTGACCTACGGCCACGGAGGGGAAGGGAGAATTACTTGTGTCTGAGGAAGTCAACGAAAATTGGGACAATGGTAACGGGCTAGGAGGCTCTTTTCGAACACTTGCTAGAGCACGTCTCGTTCCCTTGGTGGTTGGAGTTTGGGGGGTAGGGGAAGGGGGATCAGGGGAGACTGGTTAATTGAACTTGGCTTAATTATTAGAAGGAAGTCCTTGAAACGAGAAGGAGCGTGTCCACAGACGCACAGAACAAAGGGTGCTCCTCCGCAGGTATAACAATGGCAATGGCAATGGCAACAAGAGACCGCCTTAGACTTTGGAAAAGTGAGAATTCCCATTGCCACCAAGGAAATTTCGTTACGCCCGGGTTTCACGATACCGTCAAGTTCCCATCCATGATCCTGAGCTAGATATATGGCATGCCAAATGTGCAAGGTAGAAGGATTGTGTTGTTGTGATTCAGACTAGCTAGCGAGAGTTAAGTCACATAACGGACCAGAACGTCTGGAACCCTCTTCTTTTTTTCATGTGGGATGGTTTTCTCTGATGCTCAATCTCGAGCACAACGAACGAGGTCGTCAATTGTCAATTTCCATTCCGCAGCCCTACGTACGGTACGGGCCTTTCCTTAGTAATATGACGTGTCAGCGCTCGGGCCCAGGAACCAGGGGCTAGATGCTTCCACCAAGGTGTATGTATGAATTAGCGTGCCGCGTCCAGCTTCGAAGCGACCACGGATCAGATGCTTGATCAAGTCGTCGAACTGCGCGTCCACAGAGACCGCGACGCCTTCATCGAGTCGATTGCCGAGGCTGACGTCTGCCGCCTGGCCTCGTCATTCCATGACAACGAGCCGTGTGCGGTATTCAAGCCGGTAGCTAGGGGTAGCTACAATGTCTGCTTTTTCGTCCACTTTAGCCATAGTGGTGATTCCTGGGTCATCCGCGTCCCCATAACGCCATGTTTGGCCCGTGGTGTGGGAGAGAAGCTACGGCGAGAAGTGGTTACGATGCAGTGCGTAGTTCCTTTTTCGTCCCGTTCTCTTCGCTACCACGCGTCGCCTAGCCCACCTTGGCTGGCATGACAACTCTTGCGACCTGCGCAGGTATGTCTCTGAGAGGACGAGCATCCCGATCCCTCGAGTCATAGCCTACAGCTTCGATAGCGGCTCGCATGTCCTCCCACCCTTTATAATCCTCGAATACATAGAAGGGCGATTGCTCTCAGGCATCAGGCTGCCTGCGCTGTCGGATGACAAGCGGACGATTCTCTACGAGCAGCTAGCCGACATCTACGCACAACTCCGAAGGCTCGAATTTTCGGCCATTGGCCAGCTCTGCCACGATGGCAGTGATAGCAGTACCATTCATGTTACCGGCCTGCCCCCCACAATCGACCTGAACATCCAAGAGCTGGAGGAACTGTGGCCGTCAAGTGTTCAGCGCGAGTATAAGGCTCCCCTTACGTCTTCTGGCCAATACGTCTCGATGCTGCTGAGCATTACACAGAACGCCTTCGAGAAGAGCCCGTCGAGCGTCTGGCAGGAAGGACGGCCGAACGTCTCTCTTCTATATGGACCACTTCGCCGCCTTCATCAAGGACTGCTGGCTGCTCCGGAGCGGGATGACGGGCCATTTGTGCTGACCCACGGCGACCTGAATCCGCACAATCTGCTGGTCGATGAGAAGGGCATGACCATCGTCGCGCTCTTGGACTGGGAATGGAGCCGTGTGGTGCCGCTCCAGTTGTTCAATCCTCCTATTTGGCTCACGGGTCTACGCCCCGATCTCGTGTCATATTCTTACGCTTATGAGCTATACACCAAGGAACTGGACCGATTTCGGAGCGTCTTGGGAGCCAGGGATATGGAGATGTTTGGTGGCCAGCTTCTATCTAAAGACTGGGCGAAAGTACACGAAAAGGGGGCATCCTGGCAGCCGCTGCCCTGGAGAACTGGACAGCTATCTACTTCTTCTCGCACCGGTTCATACACTCGTGTATATGCCCCGACGATCAAATCAACACTTTCATGGCCAGTGATCCGTCCCGGCAGCAATTTGTGGAGAGAAAAGTTCGCGATTGGAAGGCATACCAGAACGAGTGCAGGTGTTGCGGGCTGCATGTCGATTCCGACGAAGAGAGTGACGAGGAAGGGGTCAACGCAAACAACGAAAACAACAACAATAGCGAGAAAACCATCAAGAAAAAGGGTTTGGCTGCAACTAGATGGACCTAATCACATCTACCTTGCGCCGTCCGTTTCAGACATTATATTGGGGACGGATCCTGCTGTACGCCGTCAGCATAGCGGGTCTTATTGCCTTAAAATGTCTTCTGCGGGGCGTAGTCGGACGATGAGGATGGAAGGACTGTCTACCCTCCAGAACAGCCGGCCTTCTGGGCCTCCTCGAGCTGCCCCTGCAGACGCTTGATGGCCATCGCCTGTATTTCGATGGCGTCCCGCTTCGAGTCGGCGGCGTCGTGCTTTGGTTAGTCCCCTTGACGCTCCTCCCTCCTCCCCCCCGGCTCTTCTAATAGTGATTTGTCCCACACGATGTCACCGGCGGCCTTCAGACCAGTTCCCGGTTCCTCTCCAGCCCCTGCGTGCCTGACTGGTGCAAGACGTGACGTTACCGCCGAGACCCACCGACGAACGGAGTTGAAGGTTGTTTTGGTCGTTCTAAGGAGGCGGTTTGATCACTACCCTCCTCTCCCTCCCCTCCCCCGTCCACCCACAAACCATTCTTCCTGTCCCACCCAGGAGACAATAGGTAACCTAATTGTCCTTCTTAAGCACGGAAAGACGTTAGATAGACCAGAAGAAGACCAGAGGAAGAGCTGCGAAGACTTCAGAGATACCTAGGAGACGCGAGTGTATCCAGAAAGATGTCAATATGCGCAGCGGTTCTTGAATACCCCTCTCGAACGTCTGCAATCAATCTTGGCTAACCCGAGCTCTTTCCGCCCCTGATATGGCCGCACATTTCGCTCGTGAAGTTACGCCTTGTGATGCCGTGACAAGGAGCCCCCCTATCGAGAAAGAGATCCCAGCGAGGGCTTTATGGACAGTTGCTTCTTCAAGCAGGGAGAACCTCCTGGTTACCTACCTAGGGGGGGTGTTTGCTATGAGCGTTTTCTGTAGTGATCTGCACCGTCACGAGGTCTAGGTCAACTGTAGGGACGACGAGATCGGAGACGTGAATATCATGGATCTCGAGAGATCGTTTGTATTCTGAATCTTCAGCTGAGACACCTATGGAAGTATCTGACTATTTGCCTACGTGAAGATATTTGACAATTGACAAGCGAGTCCGAGAACTCACTGGCCAGACTACCAAATCAACCACCACAAGATTGGCATCGTCGTACAGTCCAGGTCTTGAAGATTCCAAACAACAATCGGTGACCAAGCGGTCACACGATGAAAAAAGCGAGCACTCCAAACTACCAGGCGCCGTCGGTCGAGGGCTGAGGCTCGGTGGACTTGCCCCAGGCGTTGTCGGTCGAGGGCTGAGCACCCCAAGCACCCCCGTCCTCCTTGGTACCGTTGCCGTTCATGTGTCCATTGGCGTTCCCGTTGACGCTGCCGTTAACGTTCCCGTTGACACTGCCGTTGGCATCGCCGTTCTCGTCGCCTGTAGCACCACCCCAGGCAGCGACTCCTTGGTCGCCCCACTCGCCACCGGCACCGTCACCTTCCCCGTCATCAAAGTCAGAGTCAGCCTCGAACTTGAGGTCCTCGAGGGAAACACCCTCCGGGACGTAGGCCTTCAGAAAGTCCGGGATCTCCTGCTTCGTCTCCATCAGGGTGCGAGTGAGAACAGAGGCAATGGGCTCATCGCTGTCACAGTAGAACGAGGTTGCAACACCACGATGGCCGATGCGGCCAGTTCGGCCTGAAAATAGAAGGTCAGCAACGGTTGGGCAAAACAAGCAGGGTATCTGCGCTTACCAATGCGATGAGTATACTCCTCAATGCCCCCATGATCAATCGAGGGGAGATCATAGTTGACGACATGCCTGACGTTGCGCACATCAATACCGCGAGCGCTCACGCCCGTGGCGATCAAAATGGGGGAATTTCCGCTGCGGAAAGCACGCATGGCGGCCTCTCGCTCTTTCTGCGTGCGGTCGGAATGCATCGAGGTGCACGGCAGGTCCTTGTTGAAGAGGAAATCATCCAACTCGTCGGCAGTCCTCTTGTGGTTGACGAAAATGATCACCCGGCAAGGATCCAAGGAAAGAATCAGGTCGTAGAGAGCCTGGCGCTTCATGGGAGGCTCGACATAGATGACCTCTTGTTTGATATTCTCATGAGAGCTGCCAGCACGACCGACGCGGAGGCGGACATGATTCTCGGCAAGATGGGTGCGAGCCAGGTCTCGGGCGCTCTTGGGGAACGTCGCAGAGAAGAGCATGTACTTGATGTTGCCCTCCTCTTGTTCTGCAACACAGTTAGCTGGCTGGAGCTTTATTGGGATAAGAGACAGGTAACCTACCGCCACCAGTGAGAATCTTGTTGAATTCTTCTTCCCAATCGGAATGGAGCATCTCATCAGCCTCGTCAATGACCATGTATCGAAGACGGCGAAGTGTCAGCACATGAGGACGCTCAATGAAGTCGATGAGGCGGCCCGGGGTAGCGACCAAGACATCGCACCCCTTGGCAAGTTGGGCGGCCTGGTCCTGGACAGGGCCGCCGCCATAAACCACACAAGGTCGGAGCATGGTTCGGTAGCAGAACTTGCGAGCTTCATTGAAGATTTGCACAGCAAGCTCGCGACTCGGACAGACAATGACCACAAGTGGCTCAGCACGGACAGGCCGGCTGAGGTCGACATTCAATCCATCCGGGCAGGGGCGATAAGCGGCAAGCTTCTTGGTCTTCCCCATGAGTTTGTTGAGGATGGGGATCATGTATGCGGCGGTCTTGCCGGAGCCTGGCGATGGTATGTTTAGTACTCTGAAGAAAGGAGGCGTGGGACATTCGAGAGATGCTCACCAGTCTGGGCGACTGCAATCACGTCGTGCCCTTTGCCAATGGCAGGGATGCAGTATTTTTGGATTGGAGTGGGAACTTCGTAGCCACACATCTGGACATTGCGCAGCATGACAGGATGTAGGCCCGCGCCTTCAAAGCTCATGATGGGGGCGACACACACAGGCCCCTCCTGGCTGACCTCAATTTCGGCAATCCTAAACATGTCAGAAACGGGGGTGAGAAAGCAGGATTTTGCTTGACGTACTTTCCGAAGTTGATACCATGGGCAACGCGGTCTTTGAGCTCTCCAAAGAGGATAATCTCAAGCTCCGGGTGCTCAGGACCGACCTCGCCAATCTCACCATCGTACTCGTAGACTCTGGCATTCCCGTCCCAGTTGTCCGGGCGATTCGTGTCGTAGTTGTAGGGTTGAGCATCGACCCAGCCGGTGCCGTCCTTGGCATCAGTAGCAGTTCCACCATCACCATTAGTACCAGCAAGGGCAGCTTTCTCGTCGGCAGTTCCGTAGCCGCCCTGGGTTGCAGGAAGCGCAGTCTTCATATCAGAGGTGTCAAAAACATTGGCAGCCTTGCCATCAATGGGATCAGGCCCGCCAGGAGCCACGTCTGGGGTACCCCAGCCGTTGGCAGACATTGCTGAGGTGGGTTGACAATGATATCTGTAAACCACGAGATGTGAGAGGCGGTAATGGGAGAGCTCGAACTAAGGAAAGAGAAAGGAAGACAGGAGCCCAGATACTGGAGGGGTAAACCGGACCACGCCAGAAGCATAATACTTTGCACGACTCGGGTGGGTGACTTACTCGGATATTGTAGACTGAGGTGGGAACTGACAAGTATCAGCACTCAAGTCAAGAGGGGTCCAACAAATTCAAGGAAAGAGAGGGGGAAAATCCCAGTTGATGCCCTCCTGCAAGGATGTGGTAGTGGTGGTAAGGTGGGATGGATGATGGGCTGGGTAGGGAAGAGGATGTAAGGAGATGGGCAGTAGGAGGGGTAGATATCAAACCTTGCTCTCAGATGATGTGGCTCCAAGCAGCTTTCAGAAACGCTGGATGTGAATATTTTGGTTCCTTGGGTGTGAGGGCGGAGAGGGAGGGCTGGAGACGCGACCGCGTGTTGGGGGTGGGGGGGGGTTGGGGGGTTGTGGCGATGCTTGGGATGGGTTTATGAGGTAGGTGTGGCTCCAAGACGCGTAAGAAGACGAGTAGGGAATGCGGATACAGGACGGTGAAAACGGTGGTGATGTGGGAATGGAGTACCGCCGCTGGTAGGGGGTTGATGATGATGTTGCTTACCTTCAGGGGTCGTTGGCAGGTCCTTTGCTTTGCTTTGCGTAGACTTCAAGATATCTACTCGAGGTTGATTCTTAAAATGGGATGCAGAAATTCGAAGGGCCTTCGACAAAATGGATGTTGAGAGGGGAAAAACCAGGAAGGAGCGAGCCAGATGGAGAGGGTTTTATACCTAGGTACCTAGGTACCCAGGTAGAGGGGATCCGCATACACAGGACCCGCGTAAAGAGAGGAGGGCCTATCACAAGGAGCAGCTGGGGACTACTTCTCGACCATGTTCACGTCTCAGAGGACAGGTAGTCGCCCAGACGATTGCTTTGTTTACAAACAGCAGGATGGTGGGCGAGGTGCATTGTTGCCCAGCCAGTGACAGCCATACACTTGTCGCCCAACTTGACTGATCACCGGAGAATGTCACTGGAGGAGGGGCACAGTTAGATAGGCCTGCCTTGCTTTACTCTGACAGAGACCAAATATGGAGCTGTTAGAGTGGTGGTTTTGAATGCTTCTTTGGTTGCTGTGTGTAAGCCATGAACATGGAGGCAGGATTAAAAGGCCATAAACAACACTAGGAGCGAAGCCAGAGCTGTATTTTCCCCTTGGCTCAGCAAACAAAGCAAAGGCGGGTGGATTCAGAACCTTTCAATGCAGAGACACATCTTAATTATGTCTGCTGCTTAGTTGCAGCAGCGGAAATGACATGGCATAAAAGACACGGCGGCTCTGGCATCCGAAGAAGTGTCATTACGTCAGGGGTAAACAGAAACGGGTTTTGCTTTGGTACACAGTAGACATGCAAGACAGGAACGGCATCATGGGCATAGGCTTCCAGAACTGGAATTCCTCCGAGGGGACTCAGCAGGAGCCAGTAGTGGATAAGTAAAGAGCGATTTACACGCTGCGAAGGAGTCGAAGTCGAGGACCAATTTCATGTAGCATATAAGACGGTCACTTACACAGATCACGAGAGAGATCAGTTCATATCCAGTAAGATGGGATAGGTATTAACCTATCTCGGTTCTCTTCTAAGAATAGTATATAGGTAGACAAGATGACCGGGTATTGAAAGGCATCTGATAGGATGCTCCTAACTACCTGGGTAGATAGGTAACTAGGTATTTTAGGTAATCAAGATGGACCTCAGAGCTCGGATTGTCTATTGCTGTCCCCCAATCCGTTCTTCAAGACTTGGTCCAACGAAGCAGCAGCCCGGCCGACGGCGCCACCTTCTTTCTTTGCCTCCTCCATGCCTTTGGCTATGGCATCACTCCATCTACTGTGGAATATTATCTGTCTCGACTCGCGATCAGGATACATTTCGCCTTCTTCGTCTCGGGCGGGGCCGAATAGATTCAAATAAGAAAAGGGGTTCGGCCTCCTAGGTAGACGGTAGATGTTGTCCCAGTAGGCTTGGGGCTTGTAAGGCGTGGGATCTTCAGGCTTGAAGCCGATACGAAGGAATTTGACGAGCCCCTGAATCTGCCTTGCTTGTGCTTGTCCTCCTTTGACGGCTCCGAGCGTCGCTTTCGACGCCGATGTCCAGCCTTTGCTGCCGGTGGCCGAACTGATACTCGGATTCCAGCCCAACATGGCGCTGAAACTGTTCAGCGTTTTCATCCAGCCCCCTGGGCAGGATACGGTCTCATCACCGGCCACGTCAAGGAGCCAGTCCATAACGTTGAGGGTGTCGCTCCGAATATCGACCGACAGATGCGTCATGCCGGCTCGGATATACATGAGAGCCTTCTCAACATGGGGTCGCACTTCCGAGGGAGGCAGACCCCGAAAGAGCTCGAGGAGCTGGCTCCGCACATGCGAGGAACCATCAGATACCAATGGTAGGAGTTTAGTTAGGATGGTAGAGGTCCCCACCGGGTTGTATGACGGCTTTGCTGAGACCCGGCTGGTTAGATAAGATAGGGACTCCCGTCTCTGGGTGTCGGATCTGGAGGTTGAGGCGAGTGAGAGGTTATGCTTGAACTGCTCGGCTGGGTGGGGAGCATCCGCGGATAATGATTGCTGGTTCACAACAATTGCTGGTCCCGGTAAGCCACAACATTCTCTGACCTTGGAAGGCCATAGACGGCTCACCTTTTGATTTGAAGCTCGTATCAGTGAAATTTGAAGTCTTGGCCTTGGTTTTCCCAACCTTCAACTTGGGTTTCTGCATTTTGTCAGTACGCGAATCGCAGAGAAAGGGTATCCCCATAGAATGCGGAGGGAAGTGGTACCTGGAAGTCCTTCTGCTTCTCCTTCTTCCTCTTGGTACTGGCTCCCATCTTGATCTCATTGATAGGGCTGGTTAATTGGGCTGTCCAACCCTGGCAGTCGTGTGAAGTTCCATTCTTCAAGCTTCCTCCTTGACGGGCCCGCTAATTACCTACCTAGGCAATAACTGGGCCACACGCCGAGTTGGCGCTGGGCCTAGACTTGGTGCCTGAGGCTGCAAGCATGAATTGGAATCCATCCACATCCATCTTGTCTTGGCATCTTGGCGCCACTGGTAACATCAGACTGATGACGCACCTCTCATGATTGGGCCGGGAGTCTGGAGTGTGTGTTTCGCACAACTGACCTCTCCCCACCCTTTCGACCACCTTCCACAACACCATCCCTCCCTACAGTTTATCCTTTCTTTCTTTCTCTCTACAATTCGTCCCTATTACCAGATACCACTTACTTGAAGAATCTCGTTTCCAGATATCCAGTCGGCAACATGTTGCTGAAGCCGCTGACGCTTGCCGTCGCTGGCCTGGCGGTAGCCACCCAGGCTTTCCTGGTGCCTCCCGAGGTATCCGAATCCGAGGTCAAGGCAGCCAACGCCCTCCCCGTCGAAGCATACGTCGTTCCCGACCACCAACTGCTCAACCTCACATGTCCTGGCTGCCCTCTTGTGTTCAGAGGCAAGCATGGCTTTGCCAAAATCAAGACAGACAGGGTCAGTCACTTGGAGCTGGCGTTCGCCGTCGATCATGAGCTTGATCACGACAGACTGTTCGTCAACAACTTCGAGCTCTATCCATCCTCAGACCCCTTCCGCTCCGCCCTAGGCGCATCGCTTGTTCCAGATGATGTTGGTAGGAGGCACAAGAAGCATCGCAAAACCCACAAGTCATCTTCACCATCTCGGCTAGGCTTCAGCCTTCAGGTCCACCACGTCGCTGAGAACAAGGAGCAAGGGTTGCAACTCATCTCCCTCGATCTCCAGATCATCGAGGTCGGGTCGATGTTTGTGGATGGCATCCCGAACGTCCATGTCAGGCTTGTCAAGGACTCCAATGGAAGATTGGCCATCGGCAGTATCGAGACGACAGAGTCACAGACACTCGGCTCCACGCCGGGAGGTAACCAGGGGGAGTGTACCACCCTGTTGTGCAAGTGGGTGACCATTATGAAGGACAAGCTTTCCCATATGAAATCGGGCAAGAACTGCGCAGGAAAGAAGGCTGGTGCTGCTGAGGGATCACAGCACGGCTATCACGGGCATCACAACCACCACGACAATCAGAACAATCACGACGCTCGCCCTGACGGGACCGAGCAACGGTATCATCGTCACAGTTGGGGGCTATTGTTCAAGAGTATCGCCGCCCATATTCTGCTTCCTGTTGCGGTTGGCATCATTGCCGGAGTCACCGTCAGCCTGTAAGTTTCACCTAACCACCTCCCCCTTTATTCAGGCTGGCATTTCCTAACCAATGATAAGGATTGGAATGGTGGTTGGCACATTCGTCGTGTCTATTTTCCGGACCTTCTTCCGCCGCCCAAGTCGCCGCCGTGCTGGACGGGCTCTCCATAAAGCCACTCGCAGCGAACCTGCCGTCGACGAGGAGAAGTCGGGCCTAATGGTCAACCAGGAAGCTCCGCCGTCGTATGAGGAGGAAGACGTCAACAAATCCCAGGTCTGATGAGATCACGGGGCGCGGTTATGTATACATATGAGGGCAGTACATGCGAGAGCGGGAAAAGATTGCTCGAGTTCCGAATCATTAGATACCAAATTTGAACGCCGGATGTTGTGTGTTGATGCGCGGGCGTTTTTGAGGACTTTGACAGGCATGATGAGAGACGGATTACTGGATGGTTACGTTTCATGTCGTTCCTTATTCTCCTCTCGTGGTCTATCCCAATCACACTCCTTTGAATTGAGGCTACCTAGGTAGTTAGGCATCCAGATGGATGAAAGTGATACACTCGAAATAACCAATATGGATGGTTGATCCTCCATTTCGCTTCTAATAGTTGCCTCCTGGATAGTAGAACTCGACCAATTTAGGCCACTCTCTCTGTTGATCGGATGAGTTAGAGGAGGAACATGAGGTTAACAGGGGCAGATGAGTTCGAGGGCTGCCACAGCGGCTAGGTGCCATTCTGTTTGGCAAGAGGACGAGGAAGACTTGCAAGCTCCCTGTCACATAACCGTGTGCTGGAACAGCCGTCGAGGCTTGGATAATCGACAGCTCAGAAGGGTCACTTTCGCCAAATCTTCCAGTTTGATGCTAGCAAGAGACACTTTCGGAAAGACACCTAATCAACAGCATATGCCCTCTAGAGCGTGTGTAGAGCGGGGCTGCTTCACCACAGCTTATTGCAACGCAGACGATGATCTCGGTTGTTGCGTTGATACGTACGAGGCATCTGGCTGAGGACTCGTCTGTGAGGGTATATCGTGTTGATGATATTACAGCCGGCAAGGTCGGGGAGGAGTGTGGAAAGGGGTTAACTGCGCCGCAGTCCTCAGCCAAAAAAACTTGCTCTCAGTGACCTGCACAGTACATCCATGACCAAAACTGCTTGGATGATGACTTGGCCAACGGATGCGGAATAGGACCGTTGTCGAGCCTTGCAAGGCTACCAGGGTCTGGAAACATATCGTTCGAGACGATGTTTCAGCAAAACAATGCCGAATAACTCCAACTCAACCCGGAAGCTCTTCTCGAGCGCACCTTATATGTAAGGCCTAAACATCCGTGTCTTTTCCTTTCCCAGGCGATCGACACAGCTTGTTAAGGCTCCCCGTCCCCCAAGCTTCCAAGACCACTGGGCTGAAGTTTGAACAGGAGGCGGACCCAGACCCTATAGTGTGCACTACAACACGATCCGTACATAGTACATACCTACTGCGTAGTAGAATCAACAGCTGCCAAGGAGGTTCCTTTTGAAGCGAAAAGGTCAGTTCTCCAGGGGTAAAGCCATCGATGCCATTTTTAGCACAGGAAAGGGCTGAAATACGCACGAAAGTTGCGCGTAGGTAATCTCAAGAACATCCAATGAAGTCCGCCTAGAGGCACCAGTGGGGTCTGAAAAAGCGGGCTCTAATAAGGCACAACACAATTTAATCCTATTTAATCCTACCCTGGTGCGGGTAAAATAGCTTGAAAAGGCTGGAACCATTTCCGGGCTCCTCCCCTTCTTCTCCGTGTCGCCATGAGCTCCAGGTCTCTTGGCTCATATATGAATACCTGGTTGGTAAATTCTGCAGGCAGAGAGACATATATATTCTACAGGAAGTTCTTCAGGACGTTGACGACGGGAGCACACAAGTGTCGAGTGAAGAATGCTGACGATCCGGGACGATCCTCCCCAAAGGTAATGTTCCCTGCGAACTCTGTCTTACTCATCATCTTCAGATTTCGGAACCGATTTGCCGGAACTCTAGCATGATCAGATAGGCTGGACCTTGTCGCTGCACTAGCTTAGATCCTACGGGCCATCCTCCATTCAGGGGTACATATATATACGTTGCATACAAACTGGGGCTTGAGTCATCTTCTTTGCGCGTATTATGAACCCAGTAGGGCAGGTCACCACGTCAGCGCTAGAGCCACTACAGCTAGCTATTGCTCACCTGGCGCAACGTCCAGAAGGATCGTGGGCATGGTTAAATTACGATGGGGTCCGTTGGCGTCTACGCCGCTCAGGCAGGCAGCCCGCCACACGCCCGCATACGCAGTAAGGGGCGTGCAGAGGGATGGGGATGCCTGCATCGGAGCGACAGGGTCGTTGCACTGCGGTCAAGCAGCCGCACAGACAGGCTAGGGTTGTTGGAAGAAGTTTGGGCAACTCGAGTAGAAGTTTGTCGTCCCCCCTCTACGATCCCCGCATTCGAGTCCCATTCACGGTCTATCATCTGGAAGGCCAGAATCACAGAATATGGAAAATTGTTTGCTGATCAACAGATCCAAATCGCACAAGCCTTTTTCACTGCTATTAGCGCTTGTGACCAACAAGATTTAGCTGTCACTAGTTTGATGATTCTGACCAATCCCGCGCATGGTCTCTCTTCCCCATTTGGTGGTTCTCCCCGGTCAATGGTCATCCAACCCCTGCACCTCCACGGTAGGGCCGGCGGATGTCAGGGGAATCCATCCTACGCTAAACCTGTTCCTGAACCACAACCCTTGGCCCCCTCTTCGAACGCACCCACTCCCCTCCCAAAAGTACCTACCAGCAAACATGCATCGTGGGAATAACGGTCTGCCAATTTTGGTTACTCTGAAAGGAAATTGCTCGCACCATGCATCCCCTTCGAGTGGGCCAGCGACTGACGCAGCCTGGGGGCGGCCCCCAACCGCTGGGGGGCCCCCAGAGCCAGAGGCAGTCGATATGAAAGGTAGCATGACCACCCTCTCCTCTTTGCTCTTTCTCTTCTCTCACGCTCCTTTTGACCCTTCGTCCTGTCAAGCCAACAGCGAACGGTGTGCTCCTCGGCCCTTGCAAACGTTTTGTTTGCGTCCTTTCGTTGATCCATAGTATCATCACGTTCATTTTTCGGCTTCGGCCATAACCCCCATCCAGTCACACTCCTTTTCCCGGTATCTTAATACCTCAGGTCATCCTTGACGACCGAAATAATGTACACAAAAACCCTCGTGCTTGCAGCTTTGGCTGCGGCCCCGGCCCTGGCAACCAACACTCCTTCGGTCAATGTTTACTTTGGCCAGTCGGGCACAACCGACTTGGGAACATACTGCGAGTCCAATGCCTTCGAGTATATCACCATTGCCTTCGTCAACAACTCGCCTGAGCATGATCCTTCAGGGCTCAAGTACCCGGGCACAAACTTTGGTGCCCACTGCGCTGCTGAAGTCTACACTTCGAAGGGCGGCGTGAAGTCAAACCTCCTGTCTAACTGCAACTTCATCGCCGATGATATCCCCAAGTGCCAGGCCGCAGGAAAGAAGGTCCTTCTGTCCGTCGGCGGTGAATGGACGGCGAAGAGTAACTACACCGTCTCGTCGGCCTCAAAGGGTGTCGAGTTCGCCAACATGCTGTGGGGTGCTTTCGGCCCCCACAACCCCCTGTGGTCCGGCCCTCGTCCCTTTGACTTCAATGGCAAGCATGTTTCCGTCGATGGTTTCGACTTCGACGTCGAGCACAAGTTTGGTAGGTCTTTCCTATTCCCGCCAGTACCCGTGTCTTTTCCGCTCACTAACATGTCGAAAGCCGATCAAAGTGGGTATATTGCCCTGATCAATAGGTTGCGTGTCCTGTTTGCCACCGTCCCAACCAAGAACTTCGTCATTGCTGGTGCTCCTCAGTGCCCTCTCAGCGATGACTGGTTCCAGATGAAGGATATGATCACCGCTTCCAAGTTCGACCTCCTCTGGATTCAGTTTTACAACAACCCCGACTGTGACGCGACGAATGGCGGGAAGCACTTCAACTATGACCAGTGGGCAGAATTCATCCAGGGTACCGCGAGCAAGGACGCCAAGCTCTTCATTGGTCTCCTTGGCAGCCCTGCAAGTGGTAAAAATGGATATCTCCAGCCCGATGAGGTCACTGCCTTGCTCGAGGAGTACAAGACGCACGCTTCTTTCGGAGGAGCGATGGTCTGGGATGTCAACACCGGTAGCCAGCTGCTCGATAGTGGAAGGACTTACATCGAGAACATTCATGATGTGGTCTGCGGACCCCCGGTCGAACCGCCTACGACCTCCGTCGTCACAACCGCCGAGCCTACCGCCACTGCGGAGCCCACTGAGACTGCCGAGCCCACTGAGACTGCCGAGCCCACCGAGACTGCAGAGCCCACTGGAACTGAGGAGCCCTACCCGACGAACACCGGGACCGAGACCGGTACTGACTCTCCCACTGGCACTGCTTACCCAACTGGCACTGAGACTTCGGAGCCCACGAACACCGGCGGTGAGCCTTACCCCACCGCCAGCGAGACCGAGTCTTACTGCGATGAGGAGCCTGAGCCTACCGGCACTGACTACCCAACCGGCACCGACTCTCCTACTGGCACTGCTTACCCAACTGGCACCGACTCTCCCACCGGCACTGAATACCCCACCGGCACTGAGACTTCGGAGCCCACGAACACCGGCGGTGAGCCGTACCCCACTGCCAGCGAGACCGAGTCTTACTGCGATGAGGAGCCTGAGCCTACCGGCACTGACTACCCCACCGGCACTGACTCTCCCACTGGCACTGCCTACCCCACCGGCACTGACTACCCGACCACCACTGAGCCCGAGACCACCGGCCCGTATCCCACCGAGACCGAGTCTGAGTCCTCAGGCCCGTATCCCACAGAGACGGACACTTCGGGACCGTACCCTACTGGCACTGAGACAGCCTACCCCACTGGCACCGAAGAGGGTTATCCCACCGCTTCCGCGTCTCTGACAACCAGCACCGTCTACGCCACATCTGTGTACACCGTTACGTCGTGTGCCCCCACCGTCACGAACTGCCCGGTTGGCCATGTGACGACCGAGATCATCCCGCTGTACACGACCGTCTGCCCCGTCGAGTCCGAGTACCCCGTCACCCACGACGTCACCTACACCGTGTCGCCTCTGTCCTCAACCCCGGTCTACTCCGTCCCCGAGACCGAGACCGCCCAGCCGACTGAGTCCGTTCAGCCGACCGAGTCTGTCCAGCCGACTGAGACCGCTCAGCCCACTGAGACCGTCCAGCCGACTGAGACTGCCCAGCCGACCGAGACCGCTCAGCCCACTGAGACTGCCCAGCCGACCGAGACTGCCCAGCCCACTGAGACTGCTGAGCCGACCGAGACTGCCCAGCCCACCGAGACAGTCGTTGTCCCGCCGGAGCCCACCGACTTCACCACCGTCGTGGTCCCAACCGAGGTCCCCACCGCCCCCGTCGAGACGGTGACCCCGTCTGCCACGCCCACCGTGCCGCCCGTCGTCGTCGGCGCCGCGGGCCGCAACGCCGCCGTGGCGTTCGGCCTCCCCGCCTTCATGGCTGCCGCGCTCCTGGTTCTGTGAGATGGGTCAGTAGTTGAAATAATGTGGGAGTGAGGATTGAGGCTTGATGGGAAAATATAGAAGGAGTGGTGGTGGGTATGTTCTTTCTTCTTCTTCGTGAATTAGCGTATAAAGCGTCGGTATATACACCTCCCCGGGGTCCGGGTGGTCCAATGACAACTTTTTTTGACTTGCTATTCTTTTTTCTCTCGGCATTGATTGTTGTGTTGGATGCCCTGGTCCCCGGCGTGGCCTCCTCCCGGACGCTAGGGGGAGGTTGCGTTAATATGTTTCTATACTCTTTTTTGAACTCGGTATGGGATGGCTTCTTCGGGGGGCAAGCAAGCTTGGTGAACGACGCCCGGGTTTGCGGAATGGCAAGATTCGTGTCCCCGATTGTGGGGATGCCGATGTCGTGACGATGATGGAGGTAGTCGTCCCTGTCGAGTGATTGTATATTAAGATATTTGTCTTGAAGAATATATTCATGAAGATAGGCAATTTGGATTATGTGTCTATCTCCAAGGTGTGTCTTGCTTGGACGTGTTTCTATCCAGTGTCTATGTGCTTGCCACATGTTATGGTGAAATATCCACCACTCGTACGTGCAAAAGTATAAGTCGGTTCCATTTGTAGTCGTTCGCATTCTCACAGCCTGGACGTTGTACCGAAGAGCCTCCATACCAACTGTACTTAGGCTGTGGGGCATGTCTCACTTAAGTCCGAGGTTAACCCCGCTTGTGGACCCCTGACCTGTACCCCGTCCGAAGCAAGCATCTCCGATTTGCCGGCCATCTGTCGTCACCGTCACGGAGCTCAAGCGTGGCGGGGTGAGTTGATAAGCTTCATATCGCGGAAACCTGAACTGATTTCTACATATATATGAACGGATTCTCATCGCGCCCAAAGAGTCCAAACTCCTTTTACTGATCAGTAGAAGGCTGCCCGCCCATGGGTGTTTCTCCTCATTCCCTACAGCCATTGTTTCGGAAAGCACTAGCTCGGGAACCTCCGCGCTGGACCCCATCATGAGTGCCAGCCATGACCAGGCGGGAAGCTCGGCCGGTGAAGCTAATCAGAGCCCGCACTCACATTCTGAGGAGGACTTGTTTATGTCGGCGGATGACGGGATTGTGAACGAGGAAGACGATGAGGGTGATTTGGATTTCGCGGCCGATGACGACGATGTTGATGAAGAGGAAGATGAAGACGACGAAGAGGAAGACGAGAACGAGGATGAAGATGAGGACGACGAGTTTCACGGTATTCGAAGGAATTCTTGACGCCTCATGAGCCCTGCTAATCACCGTCCTTAGATGCCGAGGGCGGCGCTGTAGAGCTGCAAGTCCTCATTCGCGAAGCGGAGGACCAGAATGAAGGTGGGGACGGGAGAACAAGAGTCGGAATACTAAGAATGGGTGGTAGGTTTGCCCGTTGCATGTCAGCATGGGCTTCGCCATTGATGCTGATTCGAAAACCCAGGCTCGGTCATCCACTTAAATCACGACCAACTCACAGCGTTGCTCGATGGCCATGGCTTGGGTCACTCACTTTTTGATGGCGATGACGACGTAGTGCCTCTGAGGAGACGAAGGGAACCTCTAGATCCCGATCGCTTTCCCAAAGTCCCGAGTATGGAGGGTCGGAAACTCATGCAGTCGGGCATCTTTGGGTCTGTCCACCGCGGAGTTGCAGACAGGAAAAAGCTGGCCCGACGGATCCTAGACCGAGAGTTGGGTTTGGGAGACCGCTTCAGCCGAAAGACGAACCAGGATCTAATGGCCCAGGTAATATCTCTGGTCGCACTTCTCCTGCCGAAAGCTGACTCGTTGCAGCAAATGATCCCATCCACGAACCCCGAGATGGTCATCCACTACGGGGATCCCGTCTGCTGCGGCCAGTTCTCCGACGATGGCAATTTCTTCTACGCCTGCGTCAATGACTTCCGCGTTCGCATGTACGACACATCTAATCCATATAACTGGCGGTACTACAAGACCGTCACCTACCCCTTCGGCCAGTGGAGGTTGACGGATGCGGACCTGAGTCCCGATAACAAGTGGCTCGCGTACACGTCACTGCAGAGCAATGTATGCTTCGCACCTACAGATCCCAACGACAAGGGGGATCCCTACTCCCTCGACATGTCGGACGTCACAACCCGTGGAGGGCACCGCCACGGGCACTTCCCCATCTTCTCCGTCCGCTTCTCGGGGGACGGGCGGAACCTGGTCGTCGGCACGGGCACGGATGCCATCATCGTGTACGACATTGAATCGCGCCGCGTGCTACATCACGTCGTCGGCCACGATAACGACGTCAACGCCGTGTGCTTTGCCGACAAGTCATCGCCGCACATCCTGTACTCGGGCTCCGACGACTGCACCATCAAGGTCTGGGACACGCGGAGCATGGGCGACGGGCGAGAGTCCGGCGCCTTCGTGGGCCACATCGAGGGCCTGACCTACATAGACAGCAAGGGCGACGGGCGGTACATCCTCAGCAACGGCAAGGACCAGTCGATGAAGCTCTGGGACCTGCGCATGGCCATGTCGACGGACCGCGTCGAGGAGCTGGACCCGACAAAGTTCACGCGGCAGCGCATGTACGACTACGACTACCGCTGGGAGGAGTACGAGGAGAGGGAGTGGTTCCAGCACAAGCACGACAACTCCCTGGTGACGTTCCGCGGGCACACGGTGCAGCGGACGCTCATCCGGTGCCACTTCTCGCCGCCCGGGAGCACAAACTCCTCATATGTCTACTCGGGCAGCCAGGACGGCTGCGTCTACGTCTGGAACCTGGACGCCACCCTCGCCGCCAAGATCAACGTCAAGTCGGTGACCAGGGGCAAGGGCATCGGCCACCGTCGGTACCGGCTGCACCATCCCGACCCCGGCGAGGGGGATTGGATGACGCTCGTGCGTGACGTGGGCTGGCATCCCAACGCCCCGCTCCTCGTTGGTGAGTACATAGTAGCGAGCGACACCCCGCGGGATGCGCAAGAGACTGGCTGGTTGACTGACTGACTGTACCTAGCATCCGCCTGGAACGGGCCGACGATGGGTGGCGGGACTGCCACACTACATTCGTTTAACGAGTCTGGCGCCGACGAGGCAGAACCTCGGATGGGGATTTCGGTTAATGAGAAGTTGGTCGAAGATCCTTCGATATTGACGCAGTCTCGATTTTGAGACGCCGAAGACGGGTCGATTTTGGAGGTGCACGTATCGGGTTATAAGGATCTATATCTGTGGTCTCGGAGCATTTTGGAGAGTTGCTGATGGCACACTCCTTTTCCCTTGAGCAATGTACTGGTAGTACTGACAGACGGCGTTTTTCCTTCACGTTCGCATGAGTCAAAGCATATTCCATCCTGATGTTTGATAGGTTGAGATGGTTACGTACCGAGTTTTATTATTTTGCATATTCCCACGCTGAAGCAGGACATGCCATGCTGAGGAAAGGGAAAGGGCCGAGTATGACCTGTACATGCAGTCGAATCGTTGTTACCAGACCCTGCACTATCTTGTTAACACAAGAGGTGTTCAGGCATGGGAAGAGCGGTTCTTATACACGTGACGACCCTCTCGTGCCTAAGGATCCTGTCCGCGCAGGTACCGCATCTTGGCTGTAGTGGAAGGTGGTCGTTGGGCATGTCCATATACTGGGACGCGAGAGTCTACATGGCACGAAGCCAGCTGCAGTGCAATGGTAATGGCAATAGCAACAGCGACTTGGACGGCGACTTTGACAGCAACCGCCACCAAAATATACAGGACCTGGCAAAACTTGGCAAACGAGAGCAGGAGCAAACTCGAACACAGATGGGGTGGTCAGCCCAGAGCTACGGCTGACGGAAAGGCAAACGCGTAAGGGTGGTGGAGGCGCGGATGCACGTGACCTTCCCAATGACATAGGATTTGGAGATTATTGGCGCACGGACCATCAGCCTGAGCTTCTCCTCACAGCAACTCCAGCCTCATCCAGTCAGTGCATCGGAAATTCCGACTACCTACCTGCAAACAGTTGCCACTATTTCTCCTCCTACTTGCCCTCCAAACAACTGCGAGGTCTCGGAACCCCAACGCCCAACGGCACAGTTCACAGTTCCGAGCATCAAATCCCCTCTTCATCTCTGACCCTCCCAGCATTATCGCCCTCGACTGCCTGTTCAAGGCTCTTTCGCGTTTGCCGTTCGGCCTAGTCAACAGGTGCTCGATCAATCGCCCCGAGCTGGTTGCCATCCATTCAGGCTGCGCTCGGCTGTTAATCTCAATCTCGACCCCACAACCCAATACCTTGCGAACTCTAGGACAGTCTAGTAGAGGTTAGGAAGGAGGACTAGCTTGCGCCTGTGGTATCATCCCTGGAATCGGCAACACACTTCGGTCGCGTTGAGCCACTGTTTTCATCTGGGAAGAACTCGGATTGAGAAGAGAGAATCGTTATTCCAGCATCTTGTGTCCAATCAAGGACAAGCCCAACTCACCCTCCCCCTGTACTGTCCAAGAGACATAAGAGCCCGACCTGTCGAGGGACTGCAAGCACAGAGCTTCGTCTTCTGAGAAGGGGCCGTCTTATCTTCTGGGTTATCAGTCTTCAGTCATTGTTTCGGGATTCTGGAGTGTACGTATGAACTGGCCCTCTATCTCTCTCTTCATTTTTTCTTCATTTTCTCTCTCTTTCCTTTACCAGCTGTTCTCGCACGTCATCTACCCTCTCCCATTCACAGTATCGAGCATTAGAAGGAATCCTGGCCTTGTCAGCTGCTGATCATGGATTTGGAAGACTACAGACACGCTCCTGTAATTCTGATCCATAGCCAGGCTTTCAATACACCCTCACTTGAATTCCCAGGTCCTTACTTTGAAGAGTCGAGGCTGTGAAGCAATCAGCTCAAGATGGCCGAGGAGGAATTCGAGATCGACATCTATGGCGATGCCAATAACGAACAGGCAGAGGCCAAGCGCGACGACGCCAGCTCACATACCTACAATGCCGAGGGCTCGCACGATTCCAACGGTGCTGGACAAGGTGATTATGATGGAAGGGATAGCGGATATGACAACGAGCGGGAGCGGAGCAATGAGCGGGAGCGGAGCAACGACCAACCGGCCACTTCGCAACAACCTCCCCAACAAGGGGTGAAACGGAAAGAGGGTTCCGATGAACGACCAGTGGACCCCGGCGCAACCACTGCGCTCCTAATCTCCGACCTCAGCTGGTGGAACACTGACGATGAGCTTCGCGGCTGGACGAGACAAGCCAACTGCGAAGATGAGCTCAAGGACATCACCTTCAGCGAGCACAAGGTTAACGGAAAGAGCAAAGGGTAAGAGCATCGCGTGGCTCAAACCAGACCAAGCCCCATTGCTGACTTGCCCACTTAAACAGACAAGCATATCTCGAGTTCACATCACAACAAGCCGCAACAGCAACCAAGCACAAAATTGACGCCCTGGGCAACGAGAGCACCCAGCCCGGCCAGAAGAAGCACTCGGTCATCTACTCGAGCCCGACCAACAACCCCTTCCGGACACTCCCCAAGGACGCGCCCGCCCGCGCCGCCAAGGACGGACAGAGCCGCACCCCCTCCGGCCCCGGCTACGACCGCGGCTCCAGTAACATGGGTGGCGGTGGCGGCGGCGGCGGCGGCGTCGGCGGCTATGGTGGTGGTGGCGGTGGGTACCGCGGTCGCGGTGGCGGAGGCGGCGGCTACGGTGGGCCGAGAGGCGGCATGAACGCGGGCGGCGGCTTCAACCGCAACTTCTCCAACCCCGGCATGAACGCGTTCAATAACAACAACATGGGCGGCTTCAACAACCCGATGGGCGGGGGCAACTTCGGCGGAGGCGGTGGCGGCGGCGGCTTCAACAGGGGCGGCATGATGGGCGGCGGTATGCGCGGCGGGCCCGGGGGCATGCGGGGAGGGAGAGGTGGCATGGGCGGCATGATGGGCGGGATGCCGATGGGGGGCATGCCGATGGGTGGCATGCCTGGTGCCATGGGGGGTATGGGGATGATGGGCGGCGGAATGCCAGGTATGTGCCTCATCTGAATGAATGATACAGGGGGTCCCGGGGGGGGGGGGGGGGGGGGGGGGGGGGGGGGGCGGGTGGTGGGGGGGGGGGGGGGGGGGGGGGGTTGTGGCGATGCTTGGGATGGGTTTATGAGGTAGGTGTGGCTCCAAGAC